TGCCGACCCCGAGGCCGACCCAGCGTCGTCGTCGCCCCACGCGCCCACCACGACGTACTCGCCCGACGCCGCCACCGTGGACCCGAAGTAGTCGCCCGCCGCAGCGTCGCTGGCGGTCAGCTTCTGCTCTTGTGTCCACGTCCCGTTCGCGCTGCGCTTGAACACGTATGCCGACCCCGAGGCCGACCCGGCGTCGTCGTCGCCATATGCGCCCACCACGACGTACTCCCCCGACGCCGCCACCGCAACCCGAAGTTATCGCCACCGCAGCGTCGCTGGCGGTGAGCTTCTGCTCCTGTGTCCACGTCCCGTTCGCGCCGTGCTTGAACACGTACGCCGACCCCGAGGCCGACCCGGCGTCGTCGTTGAGATATGCGCCCACCACGACGTACTCCCCCGACGCCGCCACCGCAGACCCGAAGTAATCGCCCCCCGCAGCGTCGATGGCGGTGAGCTTCTGCTCCTGTGTCCACGTCCCGTCCGCGCCGCGCCTATACACGTACGCCGACCCCGAGTTGCGCACAGCGTCGTCGTCGTCGCCCCGCGCGCCCACCACGACGTACTCGCCCGACGCCGCCACCGCGGACCCGAAGTAGTCGCTCTCCGCAGCGTCGCTGGCGGTCAGCTTCTGCTCCTGTGTCCACGTCCCGTTCGCGCCGTGCTTGAACACGTATGCCGACCCCGAGTCGCGCACAGCGTCGTCGTTGTCGCGATATGCGCCCACCACGACGTACTCCCCCGACGCCGCCACCGCAGACCCGAACTCATCGCCCCCCGCAGCGTCGCTGGCGGTGAGCTTCTGCTCGCTCGTACTGAGGACGCGTCGCCCGCGAGGTCTCGCACCCCACGCTGGCGGCGGCACTCCTGCAGGGGGCGGACAGTGAGCGGTGCATCAGCCCGACGTCAACGGCGATCACGAGTACGCGCGACGCCACTGCTGCTGCATGCCACTTCCATGGAGGCTAGGATCGAGCAGTGTGACTGCTTTGTTTCCGACGCAGTGCAGCTTCGTGGCAGGGCAAGCGCCGCGTTTCGGGCAGCGGAACGCCGAACGGGCCGGCGCTGGGCGCCTGTTCCTGACGGGACCAACGCAGCGCCGGAAAGGAGCGATCGCGCGTTCGGGCCGCGGCCGGCAGTCGCGCCCACCGGGGCAGTGGAGCGGCGGGCAGCCGCTGTGCGCAGGCGGGCTGTGCCCGGGCCCGCGCGCGCCGGGGTCGCACTCATCGTGGCGCACGCGACAACGAGCCGTTGCGACGGGCCAGGGCGTCCCGGTCCGCGTGCGCACCTCCCGCCGCAAGCGCGTGAGCAGCCCCGCACAAGATCGCCAGGATCGCCGCGAGGAGCACGAAGCGCGCGCGCCGCAGCATCGAAACTCCGCCCAGAGGAACCCTGTCGCTCATCAACGCGGAAACGCCGCTCGTGAGCGACGGAATGCCCGCGATCGCGCCGCGCCGCCAGTGGGAATTCCTGGCCACAGACTCGTGACCTAAGGGCACCTTCCCTCCGATGCCGGGAGACCGCCGAGGACGAGAGGATGCCATCGTGTGACGCGAACGGACCTCGATGGAAGCTCCCTCGGCCGTGCAGAGTGCGTGCTGCGCCGTCGGGGCGCACACCTTGTCGTGGTGGCCGTACGCGGAGGCCACTCCAATATAGTGCCCGCAAACTCCCCCATCCCCCTGACCTGGCTGCTCGCCGTCTGCCGGGTTCGCCGTTCGCGATGGCTACTATGCGTCTCGGGCCGCCTGTCTCGCCTATTTGCTCCCCTCTGCGCCGCCGGCGTCGCCCGCGCGCCCCTCCTCTCCTAGCTCGCCGGGCCGATGTCGCTCGCGGGCCTCCCGCGCTACGCGGATGGCGGTCTCCGCTCGTTCCTCCGACGCCGCTTGGGCCTGCGTGTCGATTTCGTGGCCCTTGGCTCTGGCGCCGCCCCGAATTTCGCGCCCGTTTCGCGTTTTGCTCGGCTCGGCTCTGCCGACGTCAGGTCGCCGCACGCGTCGAATGGCGCCGACTGCAACCTCGAGCTCGCGATACTTGGCCGGGTTTCCCAGGAATCCTTCGCCGTTGGTCCGGCGGTCCCGCGTGGGCGCCGCGGTTGCGGTTGACTTTGTGGGTGTGCCTGAGGCGCTGTGGCGTGCTGCTCGCTGTTTGCGAGCGCCGGCTGAGAGGCTCTCAGTGCTGTGGATCGTGTGGTGTGCCGATGTGCTGCCTGAAGAGGACGATGTTGCCCTGCCGGGCTCGCGCGCGGCCCGTGGGTGTTGGCGGTGGGACAGGTTTGCTCGTCTTCCTGTGAGGCGCGGAGCTGACTGCCACCACTGGGCGTGCGAAGAAGTGCATGATCCTGTGTGCGCCCACGTCTGCAACGCGGCGATGCTCTGGCGATGTACTCCGTGACAGTGTGGCCTGGTGGAGTGCGGGATGTCTCGTTATTCGGTGTCGCGTGTTCGGCGGCGTTGGCAGGACCACCGTCGTCGTCGGCGGGTCGTTAGCTGCGCTGGCGAGACGAGGCGAGTCGCTGGTCGCTGGTGCCAGACATGTTTCGGCCACATTTCACATTGATTCCATTTGCTGGCGCATTCGCTGCAAGGCCTCGCGAATGGCCTCCAGCGCTCGGTGGCCGGGCCGGCTGGCCTCGATGGCTCTCCTGTACGCTTTGCGGTCCCAGTAGACCATGCGCAGCTGCTTTGCCTCCGCGCCCAAACAGTGCGACGTACGAGGGGGCCCGGGGCGAACGCCGTGCTCATGTGCAGGAACACCGCCCGCGGCGCCGCGATCGTGTTGCCCTGCTTTATGTGCACCGTCGTTGCGTACGCAGCGTGCAGCGGACATTGGCTGCGCGAGCACACTTTCATTCTCCTGTGCATGAACTGTCATGAACACGTGCTAGATGCTGCTGGTCATGTAGTCGAACTTCACCCGTTCTCCGGTGCCCGTTGGTCGTGCGAGTGTGACCTCGACGCCCACGTCTCCTGTGACCTCGTTGCGCACAAAGCGCTTCACGGTGCCAACGGACCTCGCCCTTGCCGGCCTGGCCCTGTCCACCGAGACTTTCTTCACACCGAACCGCCACGGTCCGCCAAGAGCACTCGTATAAGCTGAGTACAGTGACGGGCCGCACGTCGGCCCGTTGTCTCGCGGAGGCCACACAGGATACAGTCCAGAATCACTCCCCCCCATCCTGACTTGGCTCGGTGCTGCCTCGCCCCTCCTGTGATCGCGATGCTTTGTTGCCGCTCCGGGCTGCCTGTTCCGCTGATTCGCCGCCCTCCGCGCCGCCGGCGCGGCCCGCGGGCCCCTCTCTGCCTGGCTGGCCGGGCCGATGCCGCTCGCGGGCGTCGCCCGCTCCTCGGATGGCGGCCCTCGCGCGTTCCTTCGGCGCCTCCCGGGCCTGCGTGTCGATTTCGTGGCCCCTGGCGCTGGCCCCGCCCCGACTTTCGCGCCGGTTTCGCGTTTTGCTCGGCTCGGCTCTGCCGACGTCAGGTCGCCGCACGCGTCGAATGGCGCCGACTGCAACCTCGAACTCGCGGCACTTGGCCGGGTTTCCCAGGAATCCGTCGCCGTTGGTCCGGCGTGGGCGTCGCGGTTGCGGTTGACTTTGTGGTTGTGCCTGAGGCGCTGTGTCGTGCTGCTCGCTGTTTGCGAGCGCCGGCTGAGAGGCTCTCAGTGTTGTGGATTGCGTGGTGTGCCGATGGGCTGCCTGAGGAGGACGGTGTTGCCCTTCCGGGCTCGCGCGTGGCCTGTGGGTGTTGTCGGTACCGACAGGGACAGGTTTGCTCGTCTTCCTGTGAGGCGCGGAGCTGACTGCCACTACTGGGCGTGCGAAGAAGTGCATGATCCTGTGTGCGCCCACGTCTGCAACGCGGCGATGTACTCCGTGACAGTGGCCTGGTGTGGGAAGTCTCGTAGCTCGGTGTCGCGCATTCGGCGGCGTTGGCAGGACCACCGTCGTCGTCGGCGGGTCGTTAGCTGCGCTGGCGAGACGAGGCGAGTCGCTGGTCGCTGGTGCCAGACATGTTTCGGCCACATTTCACATTGATTCCATTTGCTGGCGCGTTCGCTGCAAGGCCTCGCGAATTGCCTCCAGCGCTCGGTGGCCGGGCCGGCTGGCTTCGATGGCTCTCCTGTACGCTTCGCGGTGCCAGTCGACAATGCGCTGCTTTGACCTCTGCGCCCGCGACAGTGCGACGTAGAGGTGGCCCGAGGCGAACGCCGTGCTCATGTGCAGGAAAACCGCCCGCAGCGCCGCGATCGTGTTGCCCTACTCTTTGTGCACCGTCGTGGCGTACGCAGCGTGCTGCGGAAATTGGCTGCGCGAGCACACTTTCATTCTGCTGTGCATGAACTGTCATGAACACGTGCTGGATGCTGCTGGTCATGTAGTCGAACTCCTCTCATTCTCCGGTGCCCGTTGGTCGTGCGAGTGTGATCTCGGCGCCTACGACGTCTCCTGTGACCTCGTTGCGCACAAAGCGCTGCACGGTGCCAACGGACCTCGCCATAGCCACCGAAATCCAGCAGCCAACCGCACCACCTCACCCTAATTGTATTCTCGTTGGACCTCAGTCCAATGCTCGGGCCGAGGCTCGGCCCGTTGTCTCGGGCCGGGCAAAACCTGAGGCTTTGCCCGCCCCCAGCCGGGCTGAGCCCCGGAGGCCTCCCGCGGGCGGGGCGCAGCTCCGCCCGCGCCGCCATGGGTCCGCCCGGTCGCGCGTCACCCGGCAGCGGCGGCGCACGCCGGTTGAGCGGCGACGAGTGCGCCACCGACAGGCAGGCAGTCAGCGACCGGCCTTGCGTCGAGCCTCCGGCACGCGAGGGCTAGACCGGCGCGCGTACGTGTGTGGATCATACCGCGGAAAGGTGTGGCTAGCGCGACACTCGATCCTGGGCCACCAGGGCGCTGGTCTGGGCATTACACCTGTGCAGAGGCTGCCTGGCAGGCCGGAGTACGCCCCTGTGGGACACGACATGGCGATACACTGGATAATCTGAGCTTGTGCTACACCATGGAGGGAGACACGGGCGTCACGAAGCGCAAGAAGCGCCGGTTGGAGCAGCTAGAGGCCAGCCTTGCCAGCCGGCCGTCCCAGGGCCCGCCCGGGCGACCTGCGGGGGCGGCACAGAAGCGCAGCGGGTCCAAGGTGAAGAAGCGCGCGACGCAGGGCGATGGCGCCGAGACCGACCCCGCGAAGCCCCCGGCACGCCCCCAGAGAGGCAGCGCGCAGCATCCCACGTCCGCGCCGCCGCCAGACGCGCCCGGCGCGGGCCCGCCCCCGCCGCACACCGACATCGTCTACCGCGCGCTCCCTCCGAGCGTGCTTCCCGGCCCGCTGAGGTCCACCCTCGGCCTCAGCCCCCCAGGCAAGTCCGCCATCACCGTCGCCGCCTCCGCCGCCCACAACCACCGTCCGGCCGCATCCGCCCGCGCCACACCGCTGCGCTGGCCTCGTTCTTGCAGATCGGGATCCGTCCGCCGCGGTGTCGTCGTTCCTCGAGTCCCTGATGGCGCGCAACCTCAGCGCCGCCGAAGCCCGCACCGCCGTCGGCTCCAAGGTCGCGGAGCGCCAGGTCCTCCTCGACAACCCCACGGCTGGGCTCCGGCGCCCGCAGACGACGCGGTTCGCGCGGCACGTCCGCGCCAAGCCCCTCAGCGCCGCGGCAGCGCGCAAGCTGCGCGTGCTGCCGTCGCAGCAGCCGGCCGGCGCGGTGCCCCCCGCGGCGGTGACGGCCCTGCGCGAGGCGTGGCAGATCTACATCGCGCGGCTGCTCGACGGCGCGCAGGCCCCCGGCGCACGCCTCGCGAAAGCCAGCCTCTGTGGGGCTGACATCAGGGTGGAGGGGTCGCGCGACGCACAGCGGGTCGGGGTGGCGGGGACGGTGGTGCGGGAGTCGCGGAGCGCGCTGAGCGTGGTGGACGCGGACGGGCGCGTGCGGTGCGTGCCGCTGCGCGGGTCGACGCTGCTGGTGAGGCTCGCGCGCGGGCGGACGGCGCGGGTGCACGGGGACGCGCTGGAGGCGCTGCGGAGCGGCAAGGCGAAGAAGTGAGGAAGACGGACGGTCGCATGAGGCGCAGTTCACAGCGTTGTAGGGCGGGGAGAGGGAACAATCAGGCGGCAATATGTACATATGATTCTTCAATGCGTGTGATGTTTCTTCAACCAAGCATCGTGCCTTCAGGGACACGAGCCCTTCTTGGCCGAGCTCCACGCGTGGTGCGCGACGCGGACCGCGCTCAGCGACGGACCACCGCGCCCTGCAGGCGCCCACCTGCGCCGTTCACGCCCACGCGCCTGTCGTGCTCGGCCATCGCCTTCTCGTGCTCCATGGCGTCCTCCTCCAGCGCCACACTGCACGCACGCACGTCCCCGCGCGACCACCGTCACTCCCCCCCTCTCCGACACGCACCAGCGCTCCTCAACAAACACACACAGCCTATCATCCGCATCCCCGCGTCAAAACACGCCGCGCGCGCGCACCTGTCGTACTCGGACCGGTCGTACTGCGGCCCGTAGTCGATGTACAGCTCCTCGCCCGGCATGATGTCCCGCATCGCCTCGAACGTGACCTCGAGCGTGTCGGGGTTCTCCTCCACGTGGATGTTGCAGCCCGCCGTGGGGCCCACGAGGCCGCCCGGCGGCTCGTTGATGTACGCGAGCGTCACGTCGATCGGCAGCCACGGCAGCCCCGGCGTCGGGAACCTGTCCGGGTGCCCATCGGCGCCCGTAGGGTCCAGGAAGAGCTGCCCCGCGGGCGCGCCCGGCTCCTTCGCGGGGATCTCGAGGCTCCAGGCGTAGCTCTTGCTCTGCGAGAGGGGCCGTGCAGGGGCGGTCTCGGCGAGGTTGCGCGCGCCAGGACGCGAGGACGGAGCGAAAGAGGATGCGGTGGGGACCCGGACCTGCGGCGCCGCCTGCGCCTTCTCGAGCATGGCGTTGGGCGTGCGGACGCGTCCCGGGTAGATGCCGAGGACGGTCCCGGCGGGAATGACCTGCGACGCGAAGACGCCGCGCCCGTGCACCGGAGAGTCCTTGACCACCATGAGGTCCTGCCGGGCCGTGCCGCCCCTGGGGCGCTCCACGAGGCACGCCGCGAAGAGCGCGCCGAACGCAGCGAGAGCGGCTTCGAAGGAGATCGTCTCGGCGCTCGGGGGGCCCATCAGCATGTCGAGGAACGCCCGAGGGGGCGCGAGGAGCGCGCGGTGGTGCGTGGGGCGCGTGGGGTGAGGCGCCGGCGTGCGCCTCGGGGGGCACCGGACGGTGGGCTTCCCGTGGCCCGGTGCGACGATCGAAGGGGCCGCGCGGATCATGGCGGCGACGGCAGGTGGTTGAGAAGCCGTGCAGATGCCGCCCGTACAGCCTCGAACGCGGCAATACGAACTCAAGGACCCTCTCAACTTCACGATGACAGTGTAAATTATCCGATTGCGCGCGACTCGGCGATGTTGAGCTTCCTGCATGGAGAGACCGGCCAGGAGCCATGAGCGCCTCCCAACACGCACGACGCCTCCTCGACGCACCAGGGGCGCGAGACGAAGCGCGAACGGCGCCGCGTCGATGAATATCAAGTCTGACTCGGCAGCAGAGCGTGCGCGCGGTGCCCCAAGCGCGGTGCTCAGGCGCGCAGCGAGGCCAAGAGCACAAGTCTGTTGGCGGTTGGTCGTTGGGCGTGATACGACGTGCACGGGCGGTGCCGCGAACGACGCACCTGTGAGGCGACGGTGGAGTGTCGGCTGTGGTGGTCCCGGCGGGCCAATGTCCGCGCCGGGTGCAGGTGTTCGGGGCGTCGGACTGAGCGCACAGGACTCCCCCGCCTGACGTGCGCTCCACAGAGGCGACCGCGGTCCCGCGTCGCAGGCCTCGAGCAGCGTCGAGGATGTTCGCCTGTGGCCGCGTGAGCGACAGCTACGCTGCCCGCGCGCGTGGTTTCGAAACGCGCACTTGGTGCGTAGACTATGCAGCAGGCACCCCCCGAGCGGCCGACATCGGGCAGTGCGTGGAGAGAGCGAGACTCGTAGGATGTCGCGCACCACGAGAGGGGACCCTGCTGTCCAAAGAAGGACCCTCCAAGGACACGCCGTCCGTTTCTTGTCATCGCAGCGATGAATGACGGAGCACGGTGCTGCGGTAGGCAACCGCGATTTCGCTTCTGAAGCACCTCTCCGCCCAGGCTCAGTCACTCACACGGGGCGTGACGCATGGCCTGTGGTCGCGAACCTCCCTGATCATGTGAGCGTTCACCGAGGTGTATGACGTCAACCCGGCGCGCTCGACTCGCGCCGCTATGCGCAAACCCAGCGCCACGCACAGATGATGGACGTCGAAGTGTATTTGCCTCCTTCGCGCGGCTTGGGCAGCCGAATCACGTCCGAACTGAGCATCGCTCATGTCGCAAGGTTCTGCTGCGACCTGCCGTTGCCCTGCGTGGCGTCCAAGTCAAGCGCCTTGCTTTCATCGTTCATTGCGCTCTCGTAGTTGCCCACCGAGTCGTACGCCGACGCGCGGTTGTAGTACGCGTTCACGTTGTTCGGCTCCAGCTCCAGCACGCGCGTGAAGTCCTGGATCGCGTCCTCGTACAGCCCGAGCTTGTCGTAGCTGATCCCGCGGTTGTGGAAGGCGTGCGTGTTGCTGTCGTCGCGCGCGATCACCGCGTCGTAGTCCTGGATGGAGTCCTTGTACTTTCCGAGCTTCGCCAGACAGTACCCGCGGTTGTTGTACAGCCGGATCGTGCCGGGCTGCAGCTGCAGGGCGCGCGTGTAGTCGTTCGCGGCCGCCTCGAAGTTCCCGATCTTGCGGTACGCGTACCCGCGGTTGCTGAGCGCCGTCACGTCCTGCGGCGCGCTCTGCAGCTCGCGCGTGAGGTCCGCGACCGCGGCCTTGTAGTCGCCGCGCGTGCGGTGACACAGCCCGCGGTTCCGCAGAAACTCGGGGTTCGTGGGCTCGAGCGTCACCGCGCGGTCGAAGTCGTTGATGGCGACCTCCAGGCGGCCCATGCGCTCGAGGAGCCGCCCGCGCGCGTTGAACGACCACGCCGACTTGGGGTCGAGCTCGATCGCCTTGTTGAAGTCGGCGAGCGCCTCCTGGAGCCGCCCGAGGCGCTCGAGGAGCGAGCCGCGGTTGTGGTACGCCTTGGCGTTCTGGGGCTCGATCTCGAGCGCGCGGGTGTAGTCGGCGACGGCGAGGTCGTACTTCTTCAGGCGGTCGTACGAGAACGCGCGGTTGTAGTACGCCTGGCCGAACTTCGGGTTGAGCTTGATCGCGTACGTGTAGTCCTCGATCGCCTCCTCGAAGCGGCCGTCCTTGCGCAGCGAGAACCCGCGGTTGTGGTAGAACTCCGCGTTGCCCTTGTCGAGCGAGATCGCGGTCGTGAAGTCCTCGATCGCGTCCCGGTAGCTCGCGAGCCGGTCGTACGTGATGCCGCGGTTGTAGAACGCGAAGCTGTTCTTCTTGTCGACCTCGAGCGCCGCAGTGTAGTCGTCGATGGCCTTCCGGTACTCCCCGATCTTGTCGTACGAGAACGCGCGGTTGAACAGCGCCTTGAAGTGCCCCGGCTGCATCGCGATGGCTTTCGAGTACTCCTCGATCGCGCGCAGAAAGTTGCCCTGCTTGCGGTACGCGTAGCCCTTCGAGTGGTGGTAGTCCGCCAGCACGCTGCGCTGCTGGCGCTGCGCCGGCGCTGCGGCCGCGCTCCCCGCGCTCGTGTCCGTCCACGCGGTGTTCGGGGACGAATTGAGCTCCATGCCCCCCCCGGCGCCCCCCACCGACTGCTGCGCCGCCGACTCCGTCCCGGCGTCGCTCGCGCGCGACGCCGTCGAGCGCGACAGCTCGCGCAGCGTGATCATCGACGACGCGTCCGGCCGCGGCGTCGGCGTTGCGCTCGCGCCTTCCGCATCAGACATCGCCGTCTCTGTGTCCAGCTGCGCGGCGGAACGTGGCGTGACACGGTCGGAGCGGACAGTGGACACCAGGGCATGAACGGTGCGGCCAGCGCGCGGCGTGTGTTTCACTCACTCGAAGAGGGGCCGGGGCATCCACGTGCACCCTGAGCTTCTTTTGTTGCACGTGTGAAGATTCGAAAATGCTGGGATCTGTGCTCGGATCCACGTCCTCCGTGCACGGCACGGTCAGAATTTGAAACTTGTCGCTTGTGCGCCCCACCTCGAGGGACCCGCACTTCCTCGCGAGAAGTGAGATTCGGACCACTTTCGACTGCTGTGGACGTACGACGCCCCTGGACGGCTTCACTGCATATTGCTCGGGCGACGTCGTCTTGATCTTGAAGGCCATCCACTCGTCGGTCAACGTGTTGCTCAGCGTGATGAACGTCGAAGTGCATTTCTGTCCTTCGCGCGGCATCGGCAGCCGGATTTCGTCCGGACTGAGCATCGCTTCTGGTTGTGGGTCGCTCGGCGTCGCGTCGGCGCTCTGCTCTTCCCGGGCGAAGAGCAGGTGCGGCTTGTCCAGCATGTTTGCGAGCTGACGCATCCGTGCCAGAGTCTCCTCCTGGTCCGCAACGCACCGAGCTTTTACGCCCGGTGCGCACGCGTCGCGCTCCGCCTCCATATGCTCGATCAGGGCGCCCACCGCGCGGGCAGTGATGATGCCTGACATCGCCAGATGCATCATCATCTCTTTAACCTCCATGATGGACGCGTTCTCGTCGCGATCGTCCGACAGCTGGTTCACGGGCTCCGAGTGCATGTCCAGCATCATCTCCTCCATCCGAGCGCTGTCGCTGTGCAGGGCATCGCCGATGCTCTGCAGCTCCTGAGCCGTCTCCGTGTCAAGCTGCGCAGCGGAACGTGGCGTGACACGGTCGGAGCGGACAGTGGACACCAGGGCATGAACGGTGCGGCCAGCGCGCGGCGTGTGTTTCACTCACTCGAAGAGGGGCCGGGGCATCCACGTGCACCCTGAGCTTCTTTTGTTGCACGTGTGAAGATTCGAAAATGCTGGGATCTGTGCTCGGATCCACGTCCTCCGTGCACGGCACGGTCAGAATTTGAAACTTGTCGCTTGTGCGCCCCACCTCGAGGGACCCGCACTTCCTCGCGAGAAGTGAGATTCGGACCACTTTCGACTGCTGTGGACGTACGACGCCCCTGGACGGCTTCACTGCATATTGCTCGGGCGACGTCGTCTTGATCTTGAAGGCCATCCACTCGTCGGTCAACGTGTTGCTCAGCGTGATGAACGTCGAAGTGCATTTCTGTCCTTCGCGCGGCATCGGCAGCCGGATTTCGTCCGGACTGAGCATCGCTTCTGGTTGTGGGTCGCTCGGCGTCGCGTCGGCGCTCTGCTCTTCCCGGGCGCTGAGCACCTGGTCCAGCATGTTTGCGAGCTGACGCATCCGTGCCAGAGTCTCCTCCTGGTCCGCAACGAACCGAGCTTCGACGTCCTGGGCGCGCGATGCGCACGCGTCGCCTTCCGCCTCCATACGCTCGATCTCCGCACGCAGGGCGTCCACCATCGCTTGGTCGTCCTCCGCGCGGCCACTGAGGATGATGCCGGACATCGCCAGATGCGCAATCGCCTCCATGATGGACGCGTTCTCGTCGCGCTCGCCCAGCTGACTCACGGGCTCCGAGTGCATGTCCAGCATCATCTCCTCCATTCGAGCGCTGTCGCTGTGCAGGGCCGCGCCGATGCTCTGCAGTTCCTGAGCCGTCTCCTCGTCGCGCTCGCCCAGCTGACTCAAGGGCTCCGAGTGCATGTCCAGCATCATCTCCTCCATCCGAGCGCTGTCGCTGTGCAGGGCATCGCCGATGCTCTGCAGCTCCTGAGCCGTCTCCGTGTCAAGCTGCGCAGCGGAACGTGGCGTGACACGGTCGGAGCGGACAGTGGACACCAGGGCATGAACGGTGCGGCCAGTGCACGGCAGGGGCATTCTCCGCGAACTCGTAGAGATGACATGCAACGACGATCTGCAACGGATGGATGCCTCACCCCGATGTTCGCCGAGCTGTTCGCCGCCGCGACGTCCTGGAACGCGTCGGATATGCGCGCCATGATCTCCTTGAGCCTCCTCTTGGACGACCGGGCCGCGAGACACGCCCGGACCCGTCCGCTCTTCCTCAGCCGCGCCACCTCCCCCTCCAGCTCCTCCAAGGCACTCACTAGGTCGCTGAGGCAGCGGTCCAGGGCCGCGGGGTCGCTCAGGCGCCCCTGGGCGTCCGATATCTGCTCGATGACGGCGGCGCATCGCGTGACGCGGGCCTCCAGCCATGGCAGCGCTTCCTGCGTTGCGGACGACGCCTGGGGGATGGGTGCTGTGCGGTGCGCGAGCGCGGTGCGTGCAGGGGCGATGCGGTCTGTCGAGGGACTGCGGCCGCACCTTGATCTCTCTGGCGTCGCGGACATGACCGCAGAGAAGTCTTGTCACGCTCAGCGCCAACGTGATCGTCTCAGCTAGCATGTTGGGAGAGACAGCGTCGGAGCGCCCGTTAGGTCATCGAAGCCTCCTCCTGAGGTGTTAAAGCCAGTAGCAGGTCAACGATAGCACCTTTCTGGCGCTCCGCGGGAGCCTGCGGTCCTATTGTACGCCTGCCGCTACACCCATTGCGAGCCTGACCGAGGCCCCTTGACCACCGCGGCACGGGCCAGCCAGGACAGCGGCGCGCTCTCACGCTTGTGCACGCCCCTGCATTGCAATTTCCCGCCGGGTCCAATGCAATGCGCTCGCTTCCGTCCCGCATCACGCGCCCACGCGGCTGCTCCAGCAACCACACACACAGCGCCCGTCCGCCTCCGATGCGACCGCTGTCGCACTGGGGGCTCGCCAAGACGAATAGCCCGAAGCAGCGCATGGTGCGTCCCAGCCCACAGCTCGCTCTGCGCACATGTGTGTCACCGTATCCCCCCTCAGACGCAAGCTCCATCCTGAGAGACGCACACGTCTCTCGGCTCCGCAGGTTTCAGGAGCGCTCCTCGGTGACTGCGCGCCGCCCTCTCCTGCTGCCAGCGACGCCTCGTCGCGTCACGCAGTCGGCGGCCGACAGTGTTTGGCCGCCAATGTCGAAGGATCCGTCTTGGTCACGAGCCGATATTGCCGACGACAGGCTAGTCATGGTGACTCACTCACTCCCAGCCAGCCTCGCGCTCCCCCGGGGACCACGTTCTACCGATCCCGCACCCGCCGCCGGCCTCCGCGCAACGCCCCTCGCCCGCGATCACCGCCGCACACGAGCCGCTCTCGCAAAGGCGGTGCGATGCCGGAGGCCTTGGGGACGACCGCAGCTCGCCAACCAGCTAGATGTGCGCGCCAGGGCACGGCGCCGCCCCGAGTCACGTGCAGGGGGGTGTCTCGCCACCACCACTGAGTCAGGCGTGCGGAACCCTGCGCACGGAGCGGGACCGAGGGCGGGGCCGCCTGCGCGCGCGCACCACTCGCCTGCGTGCATCGCGCCAGCAAGCGCCCCGGCCGCCCAACGCGACTTTTCGCGCCATGGCTGCGTCCAGGGCCGCGTAGTCAGCGAGTGCTGTATCGAGGGACGCACGATGGTCGCGGGGGGCAAGGGGGGCGACGCGCAGAAGGGAGCCACGCTGTGGGAAGGCCCGGCGTCGCGCAAGGTGCCCCGGTCGAAGGACGTCGGTACGGGGCGCGGAAGTGTGCGTGCTTGCGCCTGTTGCTGTTCGGCCGCAGGGGTGCAGCGCCGAAGGCATGACCGTGACGTGAGCTCGGTGCAGACGGGATGTTGAAGGTAACGGAGCAGGCCGTCGTGTGGAGCGCGGCGGACCGCAGCTTGGCGCCGTACCGGCTGCCCGTGGCGGCGCTGGGAGGCACCAAGGAGAGGGACAGGAACGAGGCGCAGGTCCAGAAGGCGAAGAAGGACACCTACGTCTACGTCCGCGTCGTGCCGCGGAGGGCGGGCAAGGACGGGCAGTCGCCGTTCGGTCCCGGAGGTGCGCGAGCGAGCCGCGATGCGCCGAGGGCCCTCGAGCCGCTCCTCGCGCGATGGACGCCGTCCGACACGGTGCGCGCATGTCTGTATCGCAGAGATCACTCTGCGCTTCGCGAAGCGCGAGGACGGCGACCAGTGCTGCGCCAAGGTGGTCGCACTGAAGGAGCGAGCCCAGCGGGAGAGAATGGAGTGGCCGTCTGAGGAGGAGGACCGCGTCCGAAGCCGGATTCTGGAGCGCGACGAGGATCTTCAAAAGGTTTATAAGGACCTCGTTCACGTGAGCGCCCCGTAGATCCACCGTGTCCGCACTCCACGCGCCCCGCCCACCTGTGCAGACACTCACACCGGCCCCCGACGCCGTGTCCTCGCCCCTCGCAGGGCGCGGTGCTCACCGACCGCGAGTTCTGGCGCAGGCCCGATCTCGAGGCCAGGCTGCGCGCCGCCCGCGACGAGTTCAAGGCGGACGGAGCCAAGGCCCGCAGCGCCACCGAGATGCGGAGCTCGGCCGCGGCGCAGCCGCAGGACGCGCAGCGGCGGCTGCAGGAGGACGCGCAGCGGCGGCTGCTGGTGGCGCTGCCGTGGCTCCGGCGCGCGTTCGTGGAGTTCGTGTGCTCGAAGATGCTCTCCCCTGTGGAGTTCTTTGACAAGTTCCACAGGCTGCGGCAGCTGCAGCGCGACGAGCTGGAGCGCGGGCGGCGGACGGGCGCGACGCAGGAGGAGGCGCTGCTGGGGCACTTGAAGGGCGACGCGTATCTGACGAAGCTATACTCGCACCAGCGGCGGTATGCGAACGAGGCGAAGAAACAGGGCCCGCGGGACGTGCGGGCGGTGGGCGGCGTGGTGAACGTGGCGGTGGAGGAGTGGGACCGGCTGCCGGCGGGGTTCGGGATGGCGGTTAAGGACGGGGGCGCGCGGGGGGGGTCCAAGGATGTGGGGGGGAGGGGGAGTGTGGTGGAGGAGTGCAACGTGCAGGGGATGTGGCAGCTGCGACCGTCCGACGCGCTCGCAGCCGGTGCGTCGCGAGTGCGACGCGGACTCGCGCCCGCGTGCGATGGCTGCCGCGTTGCGCAGCGGTGGCCTTGGGGCGCGCGAGAGCAGCTCGTTGTCGCCCGTCGGTGCTCGCAGGGAAGAATCTGACGCTGCTGGAGTTCGCGAAGGCGCTCGACAACGAAGAACGGGCGCGGAAGGCCGCGGAGACCGCGGCGCTGGAGGCTGCGCGCGCCCAGGGGGGGAACGCCGCCACACGGAAGCGCCCGCGCGAGAGCGACGACGAGGCGGCGCGGCCGCTGCGAGACCTCGTGCCGACCGCGGCCGCGAAGGTCGAGGAGCTCGCGGTCGGCGACCCGCGGCGATACTTTGAGACAGCACCCGCGGAGCCGTCCGCGGGGGAGCATGTGGACGGGGGGGACAGCTTCGGCGGCGGGCCGTCGCAGGGACACTCCGGGGGCGGCGCGGTGTCCGGGGGCATCAGCGTGGTGTCGCTGATGCAGGCCAAGCGCGTGGATTGGGGCCGGATGGTGCTGCCGGAGGAGCAGGACGTGGTCGCGGCTGCAGAGCGGGCGCTGGATGCCCTGCTGTCGGGAGGTGCGGAGCCTGACCTGTGCTGCGTTGACGCTAGGCGGATATGTTCGCGGGCCCCTCGGAGATGCGCGTGTCGAGGCGTTGCGGTTGTCGGTGCATGCGTGCAGATCCGGACAGGCTGCCGACGGGGTGCCAGGGCGCGAAGAAGATAGCGGATATCATGACGCGCGTGCACGACGACGAGCAGAAGCAGGCGCAGGCGCGGGCTCCTGCGGCGGCTGAGCGCGAAATGAGAGCCAAGGTGTGTGCACTGGAGCTCAATGCGGTGCTGGTGCCGTTCTGGACTACGACGAAGGCCCTGGAGGCCGCACAGGGCCCGGCGGCGGACGGGAGGGCGCAGCGCAAGCGGAAGAAGGACGGCGACGCGCTGCTGCGGTTCATGCGGGGGCTGCGGGAGCTGATGGAGAGGGCGAAGCAGCTGAAGCAGGGGGTGGAGGTCGGGGAGCGGCGGCGGCTGGACGAGCTGACCAAGCCGCTGAACCTGGCGGTGGAGGCGGCGGAGGACGCGCTGGCGCGGCTGCAGGGGGCGGATGTGGTGGCGCAGGACACAGCGTGACGCGGTGTGACAGCGTCGCGGGCACCGGCGCTGCTACGTGGATCACTGCGCAGGTGGAGCTACAAGCTACGTCGCGGCGCGGGCTCGAGGGTGTTCCCGCTTCGTCCCAGGTCACGGTGCGAACAGCAGAGGTTGCGACTGGCGTGCACGCGCGCCGTCTTCACTGGCTGAGCAGCGCCAGGCGCGCGACGGCGCTGTCGAGCTGGTTGTCGACCGCAGCCATCTCCTCCGCGATGCTCTCCTCCGCGACGCCGCCCTGCACACAACGACTCCCTCAGCACGCAGCGCATGTGCTCACTTCGCAAACCCACTCCCGGTCCCTTCCGCTACCGACCGGCACTCGCTCGCACGACACGCTCCTGCCCAGCGCTCACCTGGTCGCCGCCCTTGTCCGTCACCCGCGAGTGCATCTCCCCGCGCAGCTGCAGCTTTGCTAGCAGCGTCTGAAGATCCGTGACGAGCTCGCCCGACTCCACGTGCCGCGTGAAGTGGTGCACGACGACCTTGGGCATCGCGTCCACGAACCGCCGCGCCGCGTCCATCAGCACGTCCCGCATCGCGTCGGAGGTCTCCATCACGCACTCGGGATTCTCAATAAGGTATCTGTCGTTCCCCGGAGCAAACAGCGGCGTGGCGACGTCGTCGGCCTCCTCCTCGACGATGTGCGGGCTCACCTCGATGCTCCTGGCCGCCACGGGCGACGGCGTCTCGCTCTGCGGCGTCTCGACCGGGCTGAGTGCGAGGTTGCCGTCCACCTGCTGGCCTGACTCAGTGAACACCGCGGCCGCGAGGGGCTGGAGCACGTCGAGCCACTCGTTGAGCGCATGTGCCGTGCGGGCGCGGAGCACGAGCGTGGAGGAGGCGTCGGGGCTGGGACTGAACGCGCGCACGGGGCGGTCGCCGCGCGTGCGCAGGGTGAGCGAGAGCTTCGCGAGCTCGTTGCCGACCCTGCCAGACACCGCGAAGCCGTCGCGGTGGATGCCGCGCATGACGACGACGTTGCGGAGGTTCAGGCACGCCGTCGGGCCCCGTCCAGTCTTGTCGGTGTAGTAACCCTGCACGGGCGACCCCACGGGACCGACGCGCACGTCGGACGCGGGGATCGGATGCGAGCGGTCGCTGCTGGACGTCAGTTGGAGGCACGAGTGCGGTGATCTCGTGTTCTTGTGGTGTCTTACCATCAGGCCCTGGTTGGGGTCGACGACGCACCAGCGGCTCACCCAGCGGCCGTCGGAGCACAGCTTGAGGACGGTGCCGCCGATGATCGGCAGCCGCCGCCCGCGCGTGGCGGACAGGGGGTCCTCGGCCACGACGGGCTGCGCTGGCTGCACCGGGGACGTCTGGACCGACACGGAGCTGACGTCAGGCTCCGGGGCGCTCTCCTCGCCGATCACCTGCGGCCACGAGGTCGCGTCGCCGCGGGCTAAGTGCCTGGTCTCGTGCAAAGCGCCGCAGGGGGGTTTTGCTGCTTGTTGGGCGGGGGGGGGCTGTGCGCACGTGTAGTGCCGTCACGGGGCGCAGCTCCATGCGGCGCTTGAAGAGGGCGTGCGACGGCACCGCCTTCTCCATCTCGACGAGGCTGTCCACGGTCGACGTCGCGCTCTCCAGGTACCCTCGAACGATCTCTGCAACGACAACCACCACTTTCTCGAATTACGACAACATGAACAGCAACAACTCGGAAGCGAAACAAAGCGGTCGGCCCGGCGCAGCGCCCAGGTGCCGAGGCGCGCAGGTGAGCGCGCGGGAGCGTGCGCCATGCACTCACCGGTGGCGCACTCCGCGACAACCTTCATGTTGGCCGTGAAGGCATCTCCTTCGTTAGTCTTCTTTCCGAACTCAATAATCCCCTTTCGGAGCCGCTCGCTGACGACCTCGCCGCACTGCCGCACGGCCTCGTGCCCGATGTCGCGCAGGTGCTCGATGAGGTCGGCGATGACGCGGTGAATGGCCTTGTCGGGCGACGACAGGTAGTGGGAGTACCCCATGGCCGCAGTCATGGCCTTGGTCAGGCGCGACGGAGCGAGCTCGCGGTCCAGGAGCTCGGAGAACTCCTCGAGGCGGGCGAGCGGCGCGTCCTGGCACAGAATGCGCAGCTCCTGCCCTAGACCCGTCTTGAGGGACATCCTGCGAGGCGGGCCGTGGACGTCGATGTGCTGTCGGTGGCGGAGGCTGACGGCGAAGAGAAGTCGCGTGCGAGAGCGCGCAGGTGGGTCCGCGTGCGCGGAGTTCCGGACCTGTGTTCCGCGCCGATGCTGTTGACGACGGCAGGGAGCATGAGGCTCGCGGTCTGCAGGCTCTCGTTCCACGACGCAGAGGCGCTCGCGAGGCGCTTCTTGCGGGCGAGGAGGTCCGTCAGGAGCCGCGACATGCCGAGCAGCGTCTTCGGGGTGCCGTCGCCCTGCACAATCACAAGATGCAATACACATGTCATTCCTCGCTGTTTCCGCACCCTCACGAGCAGCGAGGCGGCTCCACGGGCAGCCTCGTGGAAGGTCTGGTCATGTCGAGCCGCTGTGGCGCGCCCGGGGCGCAGGGCGGGCGTCAATTCGGTGCCTCGGGGTCGAACGAGGAGTTCAAGGAATATGAAAGCTCGTCTTCGCGATCACGGACAGGGCAGGGTACCTCAGGCGTGTCTGCCGCCGAGATGAACGCGCTCAGATCCTGCCCCGGCAGGGTGGAGGTCCGCCTCGCTGCCGTCATGGCTGCAACCGTTCGAAATTGACGGCACAAGGTCCTGCGGAGTCGCGCTCTGGCGTCGCGCGCTTCTGGGCGAGCTGGGGGTCCGTCGAGCTGCGGGCGAGCGGCGTGGTCGGGCGCGAGACTGGCGCGGTCTGGGCCGATCGGCCCGCGAAGTGCGCGGCACACGGACTCCCCAGGTCTGACTGGGCCTGGCATTGGAAAGTCCGAACTCCCTTGGAGGACTCAAGCGCGCTACTTGGGCTCGAGGCGGGCGCGCGCGGTCGCTCAGACGCAGCGTCCTGCACGGAGGTGTGTATTCGACGTCGGGCAACGATGGCGACCATCACGAATGTCATTCAGCTGGTGAACAAGCTGCAGTCGCTGTCGGCACCCATCTTCCAGGCAAGCGGCAGCAGCAATGCGGACCTGCCGAACCTCTGGAGCATGCTCCCCAAGATCATCGTCATCGGAGGACAGGTGGGGACGGCCCCTGGCGGCCTGGCTTCGCCCCGGAAGCGCCTCGTACGCGCTGAATGGTTTGCAAGTATTGTGCAGCCCTCGACTGGTCGTGTTCCGCCGTTCGCGCGCCACTTGCAGTCCTCCGGGAAGTCGTCTGTGCTAGAGGCGATCGTGGGGCGCGAGTGTCTGCCGCGGGGCACCGGCATCGTCACGAAACGGCCCCTCGTTTTGAAGCTCGAGCACATCGGCGAGAGCGACGCGCAGGAGTGGTGCGAGTTTCTGCACTTGCCGGGCAAGAAGTTCACGGATTTCGGTGAGCGACACGCCGCGCGTGGCCTCGCGCGACCGCGTTCGTACGCTGCGGCGGCCCGGTCGAAATACGTACAAGCCCAGGGCGCGTCGCGGCCCTGCATGGTGCCGCACTCCCCAGTGACCCCTTTCACTGATTTCCTTTCCTCGATCCTCGCGTCGCAGAGGAAGTCCGGAAGGAGATCCGCGACGACACGGAGCGGCTGCTGCGGCGCATACACAAGGACGTGTCGCCCGAGACCATCCAGCTGACCATCCACAGCCCGCACGTCCCGAACCTGACGCTGGTCGACATGCCCGGGCTCACCAAGGTCGCCATGGACGGCCAGCCCGCCTCGATCGTCGACGAGATCAAGGATATGGTCCGTTCCTTCATCGAGGACGAAAACTCCGTCATCCTCGCGGTGTCGCCCGCCAACGCCGACATGTGCGCGCCCGACCACGAACCACGCGCCGGTGCGAGCGGACGGGCGCTGAGCGCGAGTCCGTGCACCACTGCGCGCGGCACGCGGTGCCGTTGCTGTCGACGCGGGGACGCGCGGCGCTCCCGTTGCGCTGCGGCGCGTGGCGTGGGCGATCGGTCGTTTGCGTGGGGCTGAGCTCGCGTTACCCGCTCCGTGATGTGCAGGGCGACGAGCGACGCGATCAACATGGCGCGGAGTGTGGACCCGCAGGGGTTGCGCACGATCGGCGTGCTGACGAAGATCGACATCATGGACCGCGGGACGAGCGCGCGCGACGTGCTGCGCGGGGGCCACATCAAGCTGCGCCACGGCTGGGTCGGCGTGGTGAACCGCGGGCAGGCGGACATCGACAGCCGCGTGCCCATGGCCGACATCCGCGCGCGCGAACTGGAGTTCTTCCGCACGCACGCCGAGTACAAGGACCTCGCGAACGGTGCGTCGCTGACCCGTGCGAGCTGTTGCGGACGTGCGGCGCGCGTTGCGTGGCCGGCGGAGACCGTTGTAGCGACGCGGTTGGCTCCTGTCTGTCTGCAGTCGGGACGGGTCGTCTGGCGGAGAAGCTGTCGGTGCACCTGCGGGAGTGCATCGAGCGGCAGGTGCCGCGCATCGCGACGCAGCTGCGCGAGGGCATCGGGCGCCTGAAGACCGAGCTGGAGGGTCTCGGCGGTGAGGACCTACAGAGCGCGGGGGCGATGCGGCAGATGGTCGGGCAGCAGCTCGCGGCGTTCCAGGACGCGTTCAAGCGCATCGCGAAGCGCGGGCACGGCGGCGGGGAGAAGATCCTGCACGAGGTGTTCCTGCGTCAGTTCGTGACGGATCTGCAGGAGGTGGATTTCGCGGAGCTGTGCGCGCCGGAGAGCGTCGCGCGGGTGGTGAAGCTCGCGGACGGCCTCGAGGCGCACCTGCTGGCGTCGGAGCGAGGGTGCAGGTGCGGCGCATCGCTAAACGGGACGTATGAATGCAAAACGGAGGCGCGCATGCAGGCGATCATGTTTGTGCAGCATGGCATCTTCCCCTCCGTCCCTGCCACGTCGACCAGGACGTGGAGCCCGACCGGCGCATCGTCCGTTCGTTAGTCGCGCGCGTTGGAATGTCGCACGCCGTGCGCGACGATGGGGTGTGTTGTCGCAACGCAACCACGGTTGTTGTTGCTGTTCCGTTGCAGGGAGCTGGTGAAGCAGGCCGTGGCGCTGCTGGAGCCCCCCGCGCTGCGGTGCGTCGACGCCGTGCACGCGCACCTCGAGGACTTCCTCGAGCGCGCCATGAGCGAGACGGACGACGGCCCCCTGCGCCGCTTCCCGAACCTGCGCCGAGACATCGTCGACGAGGCCTCGCGCTTCCTCAACGGTACGATCCCGCACCCACGCACGCTCGCGCCCGCTGCCACCCCCGTGTCGACTCATGGCGCTGATACCAACCTGTTACTGGTATCCACAGTGGCAGTGTGTTGTTCAGAAACGATGAGAGCCGTTGTGTTTCCCCACCCGCGCGGTGCGACCGGCGCTCCGAGCCCCGTGGGGAGCTGCGTCATGCAGAGAAGCTGCGCAAGAGCCGCGAGTTCGTGCGGACGCTGATCGCGATGGAGGGGGACTTTCCGCACCCGAAGCTCTTCCACGAGCTGCAGCACAACGACGCGCTCGACATCCGCGACCAGCGCGGGCACCGCTTCGAGTACAACAAGGACGCCCCCGGGGACCTCTCGCCCGAGCTGCGCGAGGCCTTCCGCCTGGGCCGCGTCGTGCACGCGTACATGCTCACCGTGTGCAACCAGCTGCGCGAACAGGTCCCCAAGGCCGTCGTCTTCCACCAGATCAAGAGCGCCCAGAAGGACCTCGTCTCGGCCCTCAACAGGGACGCGTCAGACATGAGCGACGCGGAGCTGCGCGAGTGAGTGCCCGCGCATCCGTGCCGCCCCCCTGCCCACCGCCACCGGCGCTCCGCTGGCGCGTGCGTCGCGCCCCGGGGTGCGCGGCTACGTTCGCGCGCTCGATCGGGGGAGGGTTGACCCCTGAGATGGTGCTTTGGTTGGGTGCAGCGTGCTGGCTGAGGACGAGTGGACGGTGCGGCGCCGGCAGGACGTGAGGGAGCGGCTGCGGCTGCTGCAGGCGGCGCAGGAGGAGATCGCGGCGTTCAGGCGCCAGGCGGCCGCGCGTGGGAAGACCGTGTGAGGGCAGCGCACGTGGCAACGGGACGGGGCGCGCGAGTGTGAGCTGGCTGCGATGCTCGTCCGGACCATGCGGGACCGGTCGGCTGCGTATCGCGCTGGTGCTCGTGCGCCGGGAGGTGCGGCGCGGGGCTGTGGAGCTAGCAGCCTGTGTCGGGCAGAGATCCCAGGCCCTGGCCGTTGCCGCGCGCGACTTGGGCGTGCGTCGGCGCCGCGGGGCGCGCAGGTGGAGCAGTTCCGGGGGTGTTCGTAGGTGGGCGCGGCGATCGAAGCAGCGGAGCTCTGAGGGACGTCGCGGAGGAGAAACGTGGCTGGAATCTTGCGTAGGTGGCGAGAGAGGATGGAGAGCTGCTCCGAGACCTCGCGGAGTTAGGGCGCAGCGACGTCAGTGTCGTTTAGGGCAGCTGTGCACTGTCGTCGTAGAGCCGGCGAACATCGGCGGAGCGCCGGGGAGCGCCTCTGCCTGGTGCGCGCCGGGAGGCTTGGCGGGTTTCGGGGCGACCCGGGCGCCTCACGCACGCGGAACCCGGCGTTCCTAGTCTCGAAATACGCTGTCGCGTCTAGGTAGCGAGGGGCGGGCGGGATGGCGGACCGGATGAACCGCCTGAAGGAGGGCGCGTCGCCAGGCAAGATGGGCAAGTCCGTCAGCGTGCCGACGTTCGCGCTGCCGGAGGCCCAGCAGGCCGCGACGTCACGCCCCCCCACGGACCACTCCGGGGCGCGGACGCCGGACGCCCGGAGCGGAAAGGGGAGGCTGGTGAGGAGCCCGCCTGCTTGCACAGGGCTGACGCCCTGCAGGACCCGCGCGCACGCGTCCAACTCGCGGCGGCACGGGGTCTGCGTCCATCAAGCACGCTTCGCGCTCTCTGTGCGGCTGATGACGTCGCGCCTGTGCGGCAGCGGCTGAGCCCTGGTGGCTGCACCAAACCCTCGCGACGGCCGCCGGTCCAGGGCGTGATACTCACATCAGGCCGCTTGCACCGCTCCTCCCGCATCTGCAGACGCAGCCGCAGCACCCGCCGCCCGGCAAGCTGGCCACGCACCTGGGCATCATGCAAGGAACCAAGCGCCCCATCGTCTTGATGAGCAAGGCGCGCCACAAACTCGACACGTACGCGCGCGGCGGGCGGCAGCTCCGGACGTGGCTGAGGTTCGACGAGGTGCGGATCCCCAGCAGAGACCCCGCCCGAGCGCGTCACAACGCGCCGCATTCCATCACACGCACTTTCCCACGCGGCGCGACCCGACCCGCCCGCGAACGCGAGCCCGAGCGACTCCGGCAGCGCATCACGGCCGCTCGCTCGGCGCGCGATCGAACCGGCGCGGCCTTCTGAGCGCGATCGGGCGTTGAACACGTGCAGCGCAAATGTTCCAGTCGAAGTTCGGTCTCCGCAGATGGGCAACGCGAGCTTCATCCAGGCGGACAAGATCGCGATTGTGCGCAAGTTCCAGGTCCCGCTGCGCGACCTGCGTCTCCTCGACCCCAACCTGTCGAGCTCGTACCCGTCGGCGCTGCTGGTGCGCGACCGGGCGCTGGTGATCAACCTGGAGCACATCAAGTGCATCATCGGCGTGGACCAGGTGCTCGTGCTGAACGCCGAGGACGAGAACGTCAACCCGTTCGTCGGGGAGCTGCAGCGGCGGCTGCAGGAGCACGCGTCGCCCCGCCCGACCCCGGGGCAGGAGGCGGGCGAGGAGCCCCCGTACGAGCTCGTGGCGCTCGAGGTGGCGCTCGAGGCGGTCGCGAAGCACCTGGAGCGGCTCGTCGCCGAGGTGGAGGCGTCCGCCCAGCCGGCGCTCGACGCCCTCATCGTGTCGGTGACGGCCAACAACCTGGAGCGCGTGCGGAAGATCAAGTCGCGCATGAACCGGCTCTCGACGCGCGTCGACGTCGTGAAGGACATCCTCGGCAAGGTACCGCGCCCCGACGCGTCCCGGCCGCGCTCGCGCGATGCGTTTCGACACGCCCTGACGCTCACGCTGACCCTGCTGCGCGCCCGCCGCGACGCAGTACCTGAACGACGACGAGGACATGAAGCGTCTGTACCTGTCGCGCCAGGGCAAGATCGAGCAGCAGCTCGTAGAGATGGGCTTCCAGCCGCCGTCGCCCACCGAGTCGGTGCGGCCCTCGCGCAAGAGCGAGGCCTCCGCGCACAACGACTGGGGCAACTCCGTGCCGTACAACGGCCCCTGGGCGCGCAGCACCGACCGCGAGGGCGCCGCCGAGGCCCCAGCGGGCCCCGGCATCTTTGGCGACGACCCCGTGCCGCTGACCGAAGACAACGTCATGCGACAGAACGCCTCGCAGGAGCTGCAGCGCGTGAGCAGCTCCCTCGCGCGCGGCACCGGCGGCGGCCGCCCCGACCTCGTCCGCCGCTCCCGCGGCCCGACCCTGGAGATGCACCTGATGGACCAGCAGCGCACCGCGCGCGGGCCGCTCGACGGGGAGCGGCCGGGAAGCTCGCTGCGGTCGCTCCCCGGGTCCCCGCTGGGGTCGCGCGGCGTGAGTCCGACGCGCGCGGTCCCGATCGAGATCCCGCGCGTGGCGCCCGAGCACCGGGAGGGGGCGTACCACGCGCGCCAGCCGGCGGACATCGAGGTGCCGGGGGACGTGCGGCTGAGCGGGACGCTGCTGTCGCCGTCGCCGTCGTCGCCGCAGCGGATGACGCCGTCGGCGAGCGCGGTGCACGCGCGGCGCTCGGTTCACGCGGGCGGGTGGCGGCGGTCCACCTCGCAGGCACCCGACCGCGGGAACGCGAGCCCCGAGACCGGCAGCTCCGCGCTGCGCGACGGCGCTGGCGGCGGCGGCGGCGGCGGCGGCGGCGGCGGCTTCCTCGACCCGACGCCGGAGGGGCAGCCGATTGAGCACGGGTTGGACGGCGCGGCTGGCGGGGGCGACGAGGGCGGCGCGGGCCGGCGGACGTCGACGGGGCTGACCCGCGAGGGCGGCTCGCTCCGGCGGTTCACGTCGCGGCACCGTCGCTCGAGCTCCTCGACGTCGTCGTCGTCGTCGCGCTCGCGCGGCACCACCGAGAGCGAGGTCTCGAGCGTGGTGTCGTCGCTCGAGGAGGACATCGTGGACGAGGTGGAGATGCTGCTGGAGGCGTACTTCATGCAGCTGGACCACACGAAGAACAAGCTGCAGACGCTGACGGAGTACGTTGATGACACGGAGGACTTCATCGAGATTTCGATGGACAACCACCGGAACCAGCTGATCTGGCTGGAGCTGATGCTGACGGCGGCGGCGCTGAGCATCTCCATCGTCAGCATGGTCGCGAGCGTGTTCGGCATGAACCTGAACAACAAGCAGGAGTCGTCCTTCGCGGCCTTCATGGTGGTGATCTTCGTGAGCGCCATCGTGGCCTGCCTGTCGTTCGGCGGGGTGCTGCTCTACGCGCGCATCCGCGGCCTGACGTTCCGCTGACGACCCGGGGCGGCCGCGGGGGGTGGCAGGTCTTCGCGCGGGTGGATGGGGGCTGGGGCGGGTGTGGGCGAGGAGGGGGGGTGGTGCATGAGTGAGCGTGAGAGTCCCGTGTGACAGCGACGTTGGTCTGTTTGTACCCTGGAGCCGGCGTGCCGCGCGCGTGTGCTGCGCAATGTGCAGTGAGTGCGTACGCCGTGGGGGCTGGCGTCACATGCTGGACATATGTGAGAGAATCTAAGTCCTAGGCTTCTCCTTCTTGCCCTTGAACAGCGCCAGCAGAGCCACACCCGACACCTTCACCACCTGCGACTCGCAGCGGCATGGTGCGAGGCAACGTGGGCGCGTGCGGCGCGAATCGGCGCAGCGGCGCCGGTGCGGGGAGACCGGACGCGTGCACCACGCAGGGGCGTGCGCGTGGGGATGCCGGCGCGCCCTCGGGGCGCGCGGGCAGACGGCCGTGCGGAGCAGCCGCCGTGGGCGAGCCAGGGTGGCCTCGGCAGCGGACCGCGGGGGACGGCTGGCGCGCCGAGCGCGTCGGCGTGCTCGTCCTGTCGGCTGCATAGCGTCGCGCGGGTGGGAGCGGCGTGCTGTGCGGCTGGGACCGGGGGGACGCACCTTGAAACGAACACCGGGAATGTCACCGACAGCGTGGCCGCGACGACCGAAACCGGCGATCAGGACCTCGTCGTTCTCCTCGATGAAGTTCAGGCAACCGTCGTTCGGGACGAAGGCGGTGATCTTCTTGCCGTTCTTGATCAGCTGCACACGAGCAGCCTTGCGGATAGCCGAGTTGGGCTGCTTGGCCTCGATACCGCTGCGGAAACCGGGAAGACACAGTTGCGATGTCAGGTTCGGCTCGCGAGATGGGCGCCACGTCCACGGCGCGCGCGTGGACGGACTGCAGGCAGTTGCAGCGCAGCCCGCGTGCGCCTGGCGCGGCCCGCGGGGCCGCTGCGACACGCCGCGCAAGCGGTGATTACGAGGGAGCGCTCGCGACGGCGGAAGGTCGCCGCGCGGGACGCAGCGGGCGCCCAGGGCGGCAGACGGGGTCTGGCGCGAGCAGCGAAGCACGCAGCCGGGCTGGCGCAGGTGCCGGGAACGCACATCTTCTCCAGCACGATACCCTTCGAGTGCGAGGCGCCGGCGAACGGCTTCTTCCACTCCTTGCCCTGGTGCGACCGCTTGTAGTCCTTGTCGGCCCACCTCTGCTCACGGCGGTGCAGCCGGAGCTTACGCCCCGCTCCGATACCACGGGTCTTACTGCAGAAGCAAGAAACGCCACGCGTCGCATTGAGCACCCCGCGCAGGAGGCCGAGGGAGCAGTGTCGGCACTCGGCAGGCCAGAGAGCCGCCCCTGAGGGCGAGCAGAGGCCGCAAGACCGCGCCCGGGCCGCCGGCTGGAATGTACCAGACCGCGCTGGCGACCCGGAAGCGCGGAGGGCCGTCCCCGCGGCGCTGGGACGGCGGCAGTGGAGTGCCAGGACGGTGAAACCCGCCGGGGCGCGACGGCGGGCACACTCACCCCATGTCTACACCACGCCTGAAACGAAAGGGATGGGTCGAAAGGACGAGCGCCGCGCCGCGCGCAGGCAATCACCACGTCGCGCAGGGGACGTGTGCAGCCTGCCCGCCGTGAGAGGGCCCACTCCACCCTCGCTCGCAGGGAGTCACGCGCGTCGTCATTGACGACGCCGACTGGCGCCGCGGGTCACTCACGCGGCGGTCTGCGCGCCCGACACGCACTGGCCTGTGTTTTCGGAAACAGGACGCGAGGCGTGACTCGGTACATAGGCACTAGCGTCTCCGTGGCCCGTAGCGCCGCCCGCGTGGCGTCCCGGATCGCACACCGCGCGTGCTTGCTCCCGTCCGGTGCGCTGTATCTTTCCGGGGCCCCTCAGCAGCTGAGGGCGGTCGGCGGCCCCGCCCGGGGGCAGGTGGAGCGCGGGCAAGATGGACAAGGATGGGCGCCTCTCGAAGCAGACCAACTTGGCCAAGGCCGAGGAAATCGCGAAGCGGAAGGGCATCGTGCCAGGTGCCGCCGCTGTCCCCGAGCACTGTCCCGGGCGACGTGTTCTCGTCCCGCCGTAGTGAACGCCGTGCAGTGCGGCACCGCGCGCCGGTCCCGTCACCCCGGGCGCGTCCATCGCGGCTCCGCAGTCAAGGATAAGGTGAAGAAGCCGCGGAAGCGCACGAGCAAGCCGGCGACCGCAGCGGAGGAGCAGGCGCAGCGCCTCAGGTGGGGACCCTGTCCTGCGCAACTCGCGCGGTGCGGAGCTGCGCTGCCGGGCCACGGCACCGCACCCGCACCGTCGTGTACCACAGCGTGCAGCCCGGGCACATCCTGCGTGGACTCCGCGCCGCGCGCGACGCAAGCGCTGCGGGGAAGCACGGCGCGCGGCGCGACGCCCGCCCGCGCGCGTCGCCGCCCCTGGGCTCGCAGGCAGGAGCAGGAGCAGGAGCGCAGGCGGCAGGAGGCGGAGCTGGTGCGGATGCGCATGAAGGTCATCGAGCAGCTGCAGCAGATGGCCAAGCCGATCTCCGCCACGTACGTGCACAACCTGACCGGCTTCGATCTCGACAAGATGAAGGAGCTGCGCGAGGACCTGCAGAGGAACCCCAAGGTGCGCGCACGCCCGCGCGCACGCCCCCCGCGCCGCGCCGCCCGCGCCGTTCGCTCCGTGCAAGGCGACGTGACGCGCGGGGCGGGTGCGGTGCAGGTGCGGTACGACCCGGAGAGCGGGACGTACGAGTACAGGTTCCGGTGGCTGTGCAAGGACAAGGAGGGCCTCCTGCAGAAGATCTACCGCGCGCGGAGCATCTACGCGGAGAGCGGCGAGACGCAGCCCATCGTCGGCATCCCGGTGAAGCAGTTGTCGGACGACCTGAGCAAGAGCTGGCCGGGCTGGGCGGACGCGCTGGACGAGCTGCTCGCGGAGGGCAAGATCTTCCGCATCCGCAGGTGCGGCCCGCGCGCCCGCCGCCCGCAGCGCGCCGCGTGCTGCGTGCCGCTCACGCGGGCCTCGCGTGCCGGCGCGCGCAGCACCTCCGCGAGCATCAGCAAGGACGAGGTGGTGTACGCGCGCAACATCCGGGACCCGGGGAGCGACGCGCTGGTCAAGGCGCTCGAGGTCGACCCGCGCCTGCAGCAGCTGTGGCGCACGCTCCCCGTGCCGCGGGAGCCGCTGGACTTCATCGCGGAGGTCAGGAAGGCCGGCTTCGTCCCCGCGAAGCGCCTGCCGGACACGCAGGTCGAGGCGGGGGGCTCGCGGCGCAGCCGGCGACGCAAGCAGCGCGCCATGCAGAAGGCGCTGGAGGAGGCGGGGATGGTCCCGGGGCAGCCGGGCGCGCTGGAGCCGGCGCCGCCGTTCCCGTGAGCTGCGCGCGCGGCGCCGCGTCGCTGCCCTGCGCGGCCGCGGGGGCCTCGGGGGTTGCTTGTGTGTGTGACGGCGTGGATGGTGCGTGGGGACGCGGGCGGGCGGGCGCGGGGGCGGGCGGAGCATGCATCGGGGCGGGGTATGCCGTTGCGCGGCCGCCGGCTGTCGTCGGCGACGCGCGCGCGGCGGTGGCGTGGCCGATTGACCAGTCTGTCATGGGGGCAGGGGCTGCGAGCGTCGGAGAGCGGCGTCGCCTGCGCTCTTCGGCGCGCAGGGTTCCGCCCCGGGGGCACTGCCTAGAATTCACAGCCGTGCGATAGCAGGCTGCGGTGAACTGTTGTGGGCGAGAGACGAGCGGAGCGACTATCATGCGGCCCCCGGCCCATCAGCCATGAATGCATCTGCTCCTGCGACAGCATTTGCACCCGGGAAGTACTCGAATTCCGGACCTTATCACAGCGAGCAGGCGAACGGCGCGAACGGGCGGCGCAAGGAGCCCAGCGCGAGCGAAGACCTCAACAGCAGCGTTGCGAACGCAGGAGACACAGCGCCCGCTCGAGGCTCGCCCCCAAGCCATAGAGCGACTAGTAGGGACTTAGACAATTTAGGGAGCGAAGAGCCGGGCTCGAACTGCTCGTGCCTTCCGCTCAGGGTCACGCAGAGGATGCGCGCTGCTGCTGCTACAGGTGAGCTTTGGCCCGCGCCCGCGCCCCCGGGGGCGCACGGGCCCGCGCAGTGACGTCGTGGGGGGCTCGCCGCGGCCCCGCGGCACCGCAGCGACGCGTCTCCGGCGGCCTTGGCCCCGGGGACCGCAAAGACGAGACCTTGGGCACACATACGCTGGGGCCTTGGCAACGACCAGCGAGCGGCCCCTGCCGCGCGTCGTCGCTCGCGCCCGCAACCGTCGCGGGGACGCGAATGCCGAAATGTGCGCGGGTCGCGCGCGCCCTGCGCCCCCGCTCGCGGGCCCTCGGGGCGCTCGACCCGTCGCTGCCCTTGGCCGGCCCTCGGCGCGCGCCCTGGGGGCGGCCCCCGCCGCGGGCAGGTGCTCGAGCGACTTTCTGGGGCGGCGCTGGCCGGGAGGGGCGCGGTTCGTTCAGCCCGCGCGAGCGCTGGCACGGCCAACATGCGACTGCACCCCTGGCCGGCCCGCGAGGGCCTCCAAACGCGTTTACGCGCGCCCGCCTGGCCACCGGTCGTGGTCCAATTCCGGACAAACGTCGCTGCGGGCCCACTTCGCCGCCCAGCCCCCGTCCTCGCCCCTGCAGCGAGCCTGGCTGCCGTGGCTCTCTTCTCTGTGCTAAAGCTGACCGGTGGCGACGGCAAGAGGACCAATAGACGACGTATATCCCCGGACGAGCTGCCGCGACTGACGGGAGCGCGGTCCGAGAACGGTTCGGCGACGAGTCGGCCTGGCAACACCCCGCACAAGGTGCGCGACGGCGCCCCGCGACCGCGGCGCCCGTTTTCGGCGGCCTCGCAACGCATGCTTCGCGACCTGCACCGCGCACCGCCCCGCACCGCCCCCCCCGCACGCGGATCTGCACCCTGCCTCAAACTGCCACCGCCCCACCTGCCCCCCCGCGCAGGCCAGCGCCAAGCCCGAGCCGGCGAAGTCGAACACCATGCCCTCGGTGCGAGTGCCGGCGACGGAGGGCTCCGGGGCCGCCCCCCCCGCGCAGGACCCGCCTGGCCAGCCCCCCGCAGCCCCGGCCCCCTCCGACCCGCCCTCCGCGGCCGAGCTGCTGCACTCCGCGGGCGAGGCCGGCCCCGGCGGCACCGTCATGGCCGCCAGCCCCGCCGCGTTCAGCCAGGGCGCGCCCCCGCGGCCCCAGGCGCCCCCCGCGCACCCCCTCCCCCAGATCCAGCACGTGTCGTCGCCCGGCACGCCCGAGGGCGCGGCGGCCGGGGAGCGCAAGGGCCCCGCGCCCGGCAAGCGCACCGTCTCCTTCCTGGCCACCCCGGCGGCCGCCGACCCCGCCGCGGGGCCGCCCTCGGGCTCGCGCGCCACGGCCCGGCGCGCGCGACGGGCCGGGGTCCCGCCCGGGCTCGCGGTCCGGGTCGGCGCGCAGCGGCGCGAACGCGGCGCCGCCCTCGCTGCGGCTGAGCGTCACGGAGGGTCCGTCGAAGGGCGTGACGGCGGTGCTGGAGCCCGGCGAGGGCCAGGACTACGTGCTGGGGCGGCACTGGCGGTCGCAGCTGACGATCAACGACGGGGAGGTGTCGTCGTCGCACCTCGTCGTGCGGTGGGACGAGCAGCTGCGGTGCTGGACCGCGACGGACCTGGGCAGCCTGAACGGCTCCAAGCTGGAGGGCGAGCTCATCTCGACCAAGGAGCGGCAGCGCGGGGAGGCGCACCCGCTGCGGTCGAACTCGGTGATCCAGCTGGCGACGCAGACGGTCATCCTGTGCGAGGTCTTCCGGCAGAGCTCGCAGGGGAGCAGCGAGGAGGACGCGGCGCCGCCGCCGGGGGGCGGGCGCGCCAAGCTGCTGCGCAAGGTCAACCAGGGCAGCACGATGATCAGCAAGATCCCGCGGTGCATGCTCGAGGACGACGACGAGACGGGGTTCCGCGTGCCGTGGGTGAACTTTCTGGACAGCGACGTGGAGCGCGCCGACTGCCGGACCGCCGAGCACCGCGACGGGCCGTCCACGTCGTTCGTCTCGTGCCTCGCGCTGGGCATCACCGTCGCGTGCCAGGCGCGCGTCGGCGTGCAGCACCTCCGCGACGGCCTCCCGTGCGAGGACCAGGCCTTTGTGCGCATCCCCAGCGCGGCGGCCCCGGCCCCGCTGGGCGGCATCTTCGCGGTGTGCGACGGGCACTACGGCACGAAGGCGTCGACGCTCGCGCGGCACAACCTGAGCAAGGGCATCAGCGAGGTGATGCGGGTGCCGCCCGACGCGGGCAAGGGGTACGAGGAGGGCATGCGGCGCGTGTTCGGCGAGGTGGACCGGCAGCTGCGGGACGCGTGCGACGAGGGCTGCACGGCGACGGTGGCGGTGGCGTGGCGCGACAGCGTGGACAAGTACCTGCGCATCCAGGTGGCCAACGTGGGGGACTCGCAGTGCGTGTTCGTGCCGTGGGGGACGACCGAGCCGCACGTGCTGACGCAGAACCACCGCGTGGACATGCCGAGCGAGTACGAGCGCATCTCCGCGCTGGGCGTCCCGATCGTGGAGGGCCAGCAGCGGCTGTTTGGGCTGCAGCTGGGGCGCATGCTCGGGGACAAGATTTTCAAGGAGGAGTGCCACGCGTTCATCAGCGACCCGCACGTGTCCGAGGTGGTCAAGGTCGGCGACCAGGGCGGCATCATGGTGATCGCGAGCGACGGCCTGTGGGACGAGGTCACGCCCGAGGTGGCGGCGCAGAAGATGATGGACGCGCTGCAGGCCGACGCGGTCGACGGCGAGACGGGCATGGAGGCGCTCTGCCGCGCGCGCGACGAGCTCATCGAGACGGCGCTCAACGGGCGCTCCAAGGACGACATCACCGTCGTCGTCGTCCGCTTCGTGCCCGAGGCGCTCGCGCGGCGGCTCTCGTTCGAGAGCACGCACGAGGGCATCAAGGACCTCGCGCGGGCCGGGTCGGACGCCGGCTCGATCCGCGGGTCGATCCGCAACCAGCTCGCCGGGCTGCAGGTGGGCTCCGGCGGCGGCGCCAGCCCGGGGGTGTCTTCGCCCATGACGGGCGCGCCGCTGGGGTCGGGCGGGCGCTTCCACAAGCAGACGAGCAACCCGGCAACGATGTTCCAGGGGTCCGCGATCGAGGAGGAGGCGGAGAGCCCCGATGCGCGCGGCGACGGGTCCAAGGACGGGTCGGACGAGCTGCCGGGGACGGAGCAGGCGCAGAGCGCCGACGAGGGGGGGGAGTCGAGGGACCCCAACGGCTCGGCACCGTCGTAGGGCCCGCCGCGGACGACTGCATGCCGTGTTCACTAGGACCTGCGCCCGCCAACCACTGCCGCGTGGTTCGGGGCACCTGCCCCGACCGGGACCAGGGCCACGACCTGCAGCTCCGTGCCAACCCAGCGGACCTTCAGAGCGCGCACCACGCCGCGAGGCGGGCGGCGCAGGGCTGAACGGTCCCTGGCCTGCACGGCACCCGTTGCTCGGCCTACGCACCTCCCGGTTGCTAGCCCCCATACGCGAATAGCTCCTCGCGAGACACGATGCCCTATGAGGTCTGGGGGCCTTTTTGGGGAGGCCCGCCTGCCCGCATTTGCACAACGCATACTCTACTCGCCCGCACCATCCCACTCGCAACAGCTGCGAGTTGTGCGGTCCGTCCGGACTCCTGTGTGTAACAGAGCCAGTCTCCCGCGCTGCCACGTGTCGGTCACCGCGCACCCGGTCTCGCTCGCGCGTTCTGTTTGGGGGGTCATGTCAGCCTGTGACGAGGGGGTGTCCTGGAAATACGCCGCTGGCTGGCGCCTGGCAACGCCTATATCCCCGCCGCGTGGGGGCGGGCTGGGTAACTTCGCCCCCCCCCCGGGTGGGATCTCGCGGCGCGCGCCTCTCTTCTGTGTGCGAGGAGAGCACAACCGCCCCACGCAGCCGGGGAGAGGCCGCAGCGTGGCGCATCGGCGGACTCGGGCTCGGAAATCAGGGCTTGCGGGCTTGGTCGTCAACTTCCGGGTGAGTGAACGGCACGAAGCCAGCGAGGAGCGCAGGACCGCGCTGCTAGATGCTGCGGAGCTCCGTGGTGCTTGCGAGCGTCCGCCAGCCACCATTTGGCCAGAAAAACTCGTTCCGCGCACGATAAGTGCGCAAAGAGGCGGGACATGGAAGTTTGAATGGGGTTGACGCCGGCAATCAGTCCTTGTCGGCCCAGAAAAGCACCCTGAGAGCTGCACCGCTCCTTTCCGTCCGTGCTCAGCTCATTTCCGACAACGTTCCTGCGTATCTCTTCGACACGTTTCTTCTCCGTGCCTCTGCGCTCGCCAGGTCGCTGCCTGCTGCGCGTTCCTGCACCCAGGAGCTCTAGACGTTAGTTAGTAGGTACACCTTAGGGAGCATGCGGCCAAACATTGACAGAACGGTCGCCCCGCAACGTTCGAACGTTTCAGGCGCGATGGAGCCCCTCAAGGACGCACATGGGAGCCCTGTGCGTCTGACGGCGGAAGCTCTGCAAGGCGCGCTCCTGGACCCGAGCCGAGACGTGGTGGACCTCGGGGGCGCCGTGGTGTGTCTGCCCCCGGGCAGGATGGTGACTGTCATCGAGGAGCACTACGTGGAGGAGGAGGAGTATTACGATTCAGAGGTCCGACTGACTCCGGGCAAGAAGAAGCTGTTCGGCGGCACCAAGATGGTCGAGACGATCGTCGAGGTCAGGAAGTTGCGCTGCACGCCCAAGACGAGGTGGACCGAGCTGCCCGAGGGAGCGGAGATGCCCCCCGACGGCGGCTACAGCACCAAGAAGGTGAGACGCGGCGCACGCAGCCCCGGAAGCCACACGCGGGGGCGTGGCACGATGCACGTTGGCCGCAGCGGCAGCTCGCGGCGGTCTGGATGCGGAGCCACCTTTGTGCGCGCTGTGGGGCGCCGCCGGCCGCAGGTCTGCTCGCTCGATGGGTGCAGCATCAGGTTCGACAGAGCAGGCGTGACGCTGCGCAACGGGACGATCGAGTTTGACATGGCGGCCGCGGACGAGTACAGGAACAAGCCCAGTGGGCTGCTCATGGTGACTGCCCCAGGGCTGCGGCTCGAAGATGTCGAAATCGTGGTTCGTGGCGGTGGTCCAGGTCGGTCCCCTCGAGAGACTGTCGCGACGCCGCGTGTCGTGCACGCGTGCCGCCGTCGTGCCCAGTGGCGGCGAGACGTTGCGCACGCGCCTCGCTGACGTTCCGCAGGCTCTGGGCGGGGAATCGCGGTGGTGGCGTCGACGGGAGGCGGGATCGTAACGCTCGAGGGATGCAACATCGCGGTGGAGGCCGCTCAAGGTGCGCCGCTGCCGGCAGCAGGGCCTGTGCGGCGTTGCGTCCTGTTGGGGGGGTCGCGCTAGGTATAAATGGCACCTGGAAAAAATGGCCGCCGTTCCTTGCGCGTCGCGCACACGCCGTCCGCTCCGGTGGCGAGGCTGCAGGGACAGGCAGGGCTCACGCGGGCGTGAAATGCGTGCTGTCGGCGGAGGACGGCGGGCGCGCCACGCTGTCGAACTGCGGAGTCGTTTGTCAGCACGCGTGCGCGCTGCGCGTCGCGGGCGCCGGCAGCCGACTGGAGCTTCAACAGAGCCGCCTCAGCGGCGCATCCATCATGGCCGACCTCGGTGGCGTGCTGCGCGTCGACGGCGGGGAGGTCACGAACGTCAAGGTCGGCGTCACTGTCCGCGGGCCGGACAGCGTGGCGGAGATGCGGGAGTGCACCGTGCGGCACGAAGGGACTGCGGCACAGGTCCTCGGAGGCGGGGCGCTGGAGCTGCGGGAGTGCACGCTCGAGGCAGGGCGCGGCGACATGGCATGCAGCCTCGAGGTGTGCGGCGAGGGCAGCGTGCTCTCGCTGCGTGGGGGCACCGTCGCGGCGGGCGGCAAGCACGCAGTCGTGGCCTCTGACGGCGGTCGGCTCGCGGCGTCGGGGGTCGTGGTCAGGAGCACGCAAGAGAGGCCGTTTGTTGGGATGGACGCTGGCACCGTGTTGGAGGTGGCGAAAGACGTCAAGTACGAGGTTGCTGCCGACGACGATGACGCGGACGATCCACGGGGGCGGCTGGTGGCCGTGGACGAAGGGGTCAGGTGCGAGCTGCGCTGTGCGTTTCTCTCGACAACTTACACTTAAACTCCACACCGGTCTTGTTCTTTGGACCGAGCGGTGTTCGGATCCTTTCCAATCGCTGCAGTTTGAATAAGCTGCTGAGCGAGCGCAAGGACGCGGAATTCACTCTCGCTGCGCTCATGGAGCAGCACAGCGTGGCGAACCTGCGAGCAGCACTCAACAGCTGCCCCGGACAGGTGCGCCCGTCGACGAACGCAGCATGGCGAACTTGCACCGTGGCGCTGGGTTGTGTTGCCCGACGCGTGCGCTGGGGGCTGCTGCCTCGCGAGCTTGGCGACGTGCCAGCTTTGGCTGATCATGATGCACTGCAGGTCGTGGATCTGCATGGGCGGGAGGTGCGCGGCGGCGGCGCGGACACAGTGGAAATGACACGTCCTGGCGTGACCCTTAGCAACGGCAAGTTGAGGGGCCTGCGGCTCCTCGTCACGCCGTCAGCGCACGGCGTGCAGGTGAACAACATCACTGCAACAGGCTACAACTTCAGCGGAGGTAAGTGGCTATATCTGGCTGTGCCGGGTGGCGTCGCAGAGTTCCTGCGCGGCCACGCCCGGGCGCCGAGCGGCCCTGTTGTGTTCTGCTTAGCGCGGCAGACAGCAGCTGTCGTTGTTGTGCGTGCAGACCGTCCTCAAGGGGCGATACAGGTCGAGGGCGCGCGTGGTGTGGTTCTCAATGCATGCAAGCTCGACGGGAACATCGGCAGTCGCGCGAACGGCCTAGTGTTGCGCGGAGGTGCGAAGGTATGTACGCAAGCAGCTTCCCGCCAACGTGGGTCGACGCGCGCTGCGGCAGCTGCTCTAAGTCTCCGAGGAGGCTCCGGTTCATTGCGCACTTGTTGTAGGTGACGATGGAGGGCGACGGGTCCAGCGCGAGCGGCAACGGCGAGTCTGGTGTGGTGGCATATGAGAGCGGCACGGAGCTGCTGATCCGCGACGCGACGTGCAGCAAAAACGTGAAGCTCCAGGGCATCGCGGCGGAGCAAGCAGCCAAGGTGAGCGCGCACCGCGCGTGTCGCTACAACGAGGTGCCGCGACGCAAGGTCGGTGCGCGGCCTCTTGGACAGGACGCAACTGTCTCGGGCGTGCGAGTGTGCAGGTGACCGTGGAGAACTGTGTCTGCTCAGACAACCACGAGGACGGCATTCTCGCGGCCCACAAGGACACTATGGTGACGGTGCTCAACAGCACTTGCAACAACAACAGACTCCACGGAATCTGCGCGCAAGAAAGCGCCAAGGTAGGCGGCACTCGTGCCAGACCGCATGCAGCGCAGCGGCATGGCTTGAGGAGCGCGGCCTCACGCCGCGTGAAGCGCGAGGTCGGTGCGATGTTATGTTGTGTTTTCCCGCAGGTGGTGATACAGGGCGGCGAGTGCAGCAACAACGGCGAGGCTGGCATTTGCGCGTTCCACGTGTACACGGAGGTCTCGGCGAAGCGCACAACCTGCAAGGGCAACAAGCGCTTCGGCGTGTCTGTGGAGGTCTGTGCCAAGGTGAGCCGACGCGCAAACCGCTCATCGCGCGGAGTGTCCGCGCGCACGGCTGTGCACTGTAGTGCCTCGCGAAGCGTGTGCGCGACCGGTTCGTCCGCAGGTGACGGGGGAGGGGGTCGTACTCGTCAAAAACAAAAAACCGACTTTCTCCGATCTGGGATCTGTGCTGGAACTGCGATGAGCATCGCGACCGGCCCTGCGAGGCAGTGCTGCCAGAACGCGCGGCGGGGGGGCAGGCGGACCGGCGCCACGCCCGGAGACGCGCTCCCGCCGCCCAGCACAGTGCGCAAGCTACCACATGCGTGGTGCCGCCGCGAACCCGCCGCCAGGCGCCCGGGACGCTGCGGATGGGCAACCGGTGCCGTCCGGGCCGCGGGCCTGTCTGGTGGGCATGCAGGGCTCCGGCGACGTGATTTCTGATTGATTGTACCCAACGACAGTTGTTGACTCAGGTTTGCATTTGGCGGGCCGGGTCTGGCCGCCATAGGGGCGAGGTGTGACCGGCCAAGCACATGTGCGGGTAGCGTCGCCTCCAGGCTGCGTTCCGTGCACGAGCGCGGGAACTGCACTGCGGCGCTCGCCTGCCCCTCGACCGAACTGCACATCTTTAGTGAGGGCCCTGTAGCTGTGCGTTCTGCCCGCGAACCTTCCCGTGATTCGCGCCTATCGTTGACAGTTGATCGGGATATGCCCTGGGGCTGCGCGTTTCGGTGAAAGAAGCCTCGATGAGGCAGTGCAGTCGACGATGAAGCCCCGCGTGCTGCTCGGGCAGTCCCCGCGAGGCGGGAGCGGCTCCTCGGACTCCGACTCGGACGACAGCTTGGGGAGATTCGCCCCTTCGCCCCTCCCGGGTGGTTACGCGCCGATCTCGACCCCCCCGAGCGCCGCAACGACGCAGTCGAGGCCCACACCGCAGGCTCGAGTTCCCACGGTCCCGTACCGCGTGCGCGCGAGCCCTGCGGCGCCCTCGCGCACGCCCGGGCAACAGAACCGCAGCGCGGACTCGAGCGGCTACGTTTCCATCTCGTGGGATCAGAATGCGTCGCGCAGGTGCGCTATGCAACGCGCCACTGTTCAATGCTGGACCGCCCGGGGCGCCTCCGGACGCGCAGCACGGTGCTCCGCGCCCCCGCTGCCCTGTCACCTGGTCATTGTACATGCCGCGCGGCCCGTTTTCTCACTCCGTTGGTGCCGCAACGTGTCGCTGTGCAGGGAGCCTCATTTGCTCCAGGTGCTGCCCGTTCCCATCGTCGCTGCGGTCGAAGAGTTCCTCAAGATCGAGCGCGAACGCACTCTCGACCTCCACGCGCGTCTCGACGCCGCACGCAAGTCCGCAAAGGTGCGCGCACGGCCACGCACGCGCGCCACCAGCAGCACGTTGCGCTGCCACCCTGCCTCAACAACCTCCTCACCGTCCCGCTGCCCCGCGGCCGCCCGCGCGATGCAGCGCCGAACGTCCCCTGTCCCCCGCGTCGCTCGCAGGACCTTCGGTCGCGCGTTTCGCGCAAGATAGACCGCGCGCGGAGGGAGGTCCAGGACTCGGTTACGGCGGACATCGACGGGTTCAAAAGCGGCGTCCTGCGGCTCGCGTCCAACCGCGAACGCGATCTGCACGAGCAGCTCGCGGGTCTGGCGGCCGAGCGCGACGACCTGCGGCGCGAGTGCGAGCGCACAGCGGCGGACTTCGATGCCGTCGTTGCGGACCAGCGCAGCACGACGGGGGAGTGCGTGGCGGCGACGCAGCAGCGCGATGAGGCCCTGCGGCGGCTCGGCGACGCCGAAGCGGCCCTGCGCGCGGCGCGGACGGACGCGAGCGCGGCGCGGGGCGACGCGGAGCGCTGCGTGAGGGCGCAGCGGGCTGCCGAGGCGGAGCTGGCCGCGCGAACGACGGAGCTCGAAGCCAAGGTCGCGCAGGCGGCGGCTGTAGAGGACAGAGCGCGTCGGCTCGAGGGGGAGCTGGCGGCGGCGCGGAGAGACGCGGAGGCAGCGTCGCGGCAGGGGGCGGAGGCAACGGAGGCGCTGCGGGCGGCGCGGAGCGACGCGGAGGCGCTGCAGGCGCGGGAGGTGTCGGCGCTGCGCGCCGCGGAGGCTGCGCGGGCCGACCTGGCCGAGGTGCGCGGCCGGAGCGACGAGGCGCACACCGCGCTGGAGGCGGCGCGCTCCGCACTGGACGCGGAGCGCGGGAAGGGCGCGGGGCTGGCGGAGGCGCTCGGTGCCGCGCGGTCCGAGCTCGCGTCCGAGCAGGGGCGCTGCGCGGAGCTCGCGGCGGCGCTGGACGGCGCCCGTGCGGAGGCGGCGACGCTCTCGGGGACCACCCAGGCCCTCGAGAGCGCGCTCGTCGCGGCGCGCTCGGAGGTAGCAGCGGCGGAGGAGCGCAGCGCAGAGCAGAGTGCGGCGCTCGAGGCCTTGCGGCGCGAGCTGGCGGGGGAGCGCGACGGACGTGTGCGGCTGGAGGAGGAGCATGGCGCGGCGTCTGGGGAGCTGGTGCGGGTGCGTGGGGAGCTGGCGGCGGAGCGAGAGCGCGCGGCGGCGCTGCAGGAGTCGCTGGGGGGCGTCACGGGGGACCTGGAGAGGACCCTGGGGGAGTTGGGGGACCGGAATGCGAAAGTGGGGGAGTTGGAAGGCAAGGTGGGGGAACTGTCGGAGGAGGTGCGGGGCGCGTCCGCACGCGGCACAGAGCTCGAAGCGGCGCTGGCGGAGGCGCGTGCGGAGACCGAGAGGGTCCGGGGGAGTTTCGCAACAGCCCGGGGGGAGTACGAACGCGAGCGTGCGCGGCTGGCCGCGGAGGCGTCCGACGCGCTGGGGGTCGCGGAGGCTGCGGTGCGCGCGCGCGAGGAGGCCGAGGCGAGGGCGGGCGATGCGGAGAGCGCGGGTGCAGCGGCAGCGGCGCGTGCCCGAGAGGCGGAGGCGGCGCGCGCGGCAGCGGCTGACGCGGCGCAGCGGGCCGAGAAGGCGGCGGCGGACGCAGCCAGGCGGGCGGGCGACGCGGACCAGCGCGCGCGCGTGGCGGAGGCGGCTGCGACGGAGCTGCGCGCGGAGGCGATCAGTCTGACGGGGGACGTGCGCGCGAAGGACGACGCGCGGCAGCGCGCCGAGGAGAAGGCGTCCGCGACGGAGGCGATGCTTCGGGCCGCGGAGGCCCGGGCGGAGACCGCGGAGGCGCGGGCGGCGGGGCTCGTGCGCCGCAACGCCTCGCTCGAGTCGGAGGCGCTGCGGGCGCGACAGGCGGCGGACGACGCGCGGCGGGAGCGCGACGACGTGGCAGTGGAGCGTGCGGCGCTGGAGACGAGCGCGCGGGAGCTCCGGGCGCAGGTCGAGGCCAGCACGGCGCGGGAGGCGGACCTGACGCGCGAGGTGCGGTCGGCGGCGCAGCGGGCGGCGGCGCTGGACGCGACGCTCGCGGAGGTGCGCGCGGAGCTCGCGCAGGTGCGGTCGGAGGCTGTCCGCGTGCCGGACCTGCTGTCCGAGGTCGCGCACACGCGCAGGGCGCTCGCGGGATCGGAGGCGGAGCGCACAGCTCTGGGGTCGCGGCTCGCGGAGATAGACGGGGCAGCGCGGACGGCGCGTGCGGCGGCGGAGGAGGCGCGCGGGGAGCTGGAGGCGCGGCTGGAGGCGGCGGTCGCGGGGGAGGTGCGGGCGCGGCGGGCGTGTGGGGCGCTAGGGGCGGCGCTGGGGGCGCGGAGGGGACGAGAGGCGCTGGCGCGGGCGTGGCGGACGTGGCGGGATGCGGCGGGGCAGCGGATGCATACCGGGGACCTGCTGGCGGTTTTGGTGGAGCGGAACGCGCTGCGTCGGTCCGCGGCGGCGCTCAGGGCGTGGCGCGAGGCGGCCATCAAGGCAGCGGCAGGGCGGAGGGCGCTGGCCGGCGCGTTTCGGCGCGTGGCGAAGCAGAGCGACCGCGCGCTGCTTGCGGACGCGTTCGGCGCGTGGGCGCAGCGCGCGGCGGAGCGGGCCGATGCGCAGCGGCGGTGCGCGCACGTGCGCCACATGCTGGAGCAGTCTCTGCTGCGGCGCACGCTCGCGGCCTGGCGGAGCGACGCGCGCGCCGCCGCGACGCAGCGCGCGGCGATCGAGCGCCGCGTCACGGCGTGGGTCCACCGGCGTGCGCACCAGCGCGCCGCGGCGACGTTCGCGGCGTGGCGGCAGCACGCAACGCAGCGCGCGCGTCTGGCGGCGGTCCTGGCGACCTCCGCGCGGCAGGCGACGGCCGCGCGCGACGCACAGATCGCGTCGAGCGCGCTGCAGGCGTGGCGCGCGGCCGCGGAGCACCACGCGATGCAGCGACACCTCATTGCACGGTGGCGTGAGCGCCGCACTGCCGTCGCGTTCGTGTCCGTGTTCAACCGCTGGCGGGCGGCGGCGAAGGCGGGCACGCAGCGCCGGGCCGCGGCGGACGCGATGCGCCGCGAACGCGCGGCGCGGGTGCTTCGGGGCGCGTTCGCGGACTGGGCCCAGCTGGCGCGGCGCGCGGTGGTGGTGCGGACGGCTCTGGCGGGGTGGGTGCATCGCCGGGCGGGGCTGACGCAGGCGCGGGCGCTGGCGGCGTGGCGCGTGCACGTTGCGGAGCGCCGCGCGGGGCGCGCCGCGATGCAGGCGGCGCTGCGCAGGGCGGCGGCGCAACAGGCCGCGTCAGCAATCGAGCTCCAGGGCGGGTGCTTGCGGGCGTGGCGGGAGTACGCGCGCTGGCAGAGCCTGCTGCGCAACGCGCTGCTGTCGCGGCTCACGTCGCTGAGGGTCCACCGGGAACGCGCCCGCCTGTGGACGGCCTGGCGCGGCTGGCGCGACGCCGTCAGCGTCGGACACTTCTTCGAGGCCAAGCTGACTCAGGTCGTCGTCGGACGCATGCGCGGGCAGATGCGGGCGTGGGCGGCGGCTGCGGCGGAGTCCGCTGCGCTGCGACGCCGCGGCGAGGCGCTGGAGGCCGCGGTGCGGTGGCGGCGGATCGCGGGCGCGTTCGCGGCGTGGCGGGACGTGGCGCACCAGCGCGCAGAAGCGCGGCTCGTCGCGGAGGACATGTGCCAGGCGCGGCGCGCGCGCGTGCTGCGCGAGTGCTTCGCGGCGTGGCAGCGCGCGTACGCCTTTGGCATTGTGCAGCGGGGGCGCGCCGTGGGGCGTCTGGTCGCGATCGGGGGCCGCCGGGAGACGGCGGCGAAGCGGCGCGCGTTCGACGTGTGGCGCGCGGCGGCGACGGTCCTCGGCGACGCGCGGGCGGAGCAGGCCGAGCGGTTGCGCGAGGCGTGGGACGCGCGGCGCATGCGGGACGCGCTGCGGTCGTGGGCGGCGGCCGCGGAGGAGCTCGCGCGGCAGCGGACTGTGGACCGGCGGATACGCGGGCTCGTCGCGGCGGCGCTCCCCGTTTGGCGGCACCTGGCGCGTCGTGGGAAGGAGAGGCGGGCGCACGAGGTCAACTTGGTCGCTCTGGCGCGGGCGTTCGAGGCCTGGCGCTCGCACAGCGAGCACGAGCGGCGCATGCGCACGATGTACACGCCGCCGGGGGCGGCCAAGGGTGCGTGGCGCGGCGAGGGACCCACCCCGGGGACCGTGGGCTACTCTGGTCAGGGCGCGCTGTCAGACCGGCCTGAGTCAGGCGCCCCGCGCGGCGCGGAGGGCGCCGGCGGGGTCGCTGGGTCCGTGCACTACGTTGCGGCGCGCATGGGCATGGAGTGGGCCGGCACCAGCGAATTGGACTGATTCGTGGAACGCAAGACAGTAAAGTAGGTGTTGTGAGCCGCCCGCGACGGCTGCCAGGTCACGACGACCGACCGACGTCGATCGTTGACTTGCTTTCACAGATCCCCGCCGGGGCGTCACGCGCCGTCCTCGTCGGGCGTCTTGGTCACCAGCGACAGCGCGTGCACGGGCCCCGCCAGCTCATCCTTCAGCAGCCCGTACACCATGCGGTGGCGCTTCACCGTGTTCAGCCCCGCGAACTCCTCGGACACGACGTACACGTTGAAGTGCGTCTCCCCGCCCGCGCCCGCGCTGCCCAGCTTCATCACGTGAGCGTGACCCGCGTGCCGGTCCGAGTCGTCCTCAATGTCCAGCCTGACGGGCGCGAGACCCTGCGTCAGCTTCTCCCTGATCGCCGTCTGCACGGGGCCGTCCCCGACAGACATCGCCATCACCTTCCCGCCCCCCGCGCCCGCCCCGTTCCCGTCCCCCCCCTGCACGCTCACTGCACGGCGGCGGCTGGTCCCGGGCTCCGTGAGCGCGGTTCGCGGCACCGAGCGACGTCCGGCCATGAGCACGGCGCGCGGGCGGGCGGGCGCGCGCACCTGCTGCTCGACGAGGAGTCCGAGGGCTTTCTTTTGCATCAATTTGAACATGTTCAGGAACCCGTTGTTGCGCGACGGTGTGAGGCTCTGGTTGAGGCCGAGCATCTCGATGAAGCTGGGCTCGATCCGCGTGATCTCGTCGGGCGTGCAGCCGCTGAGCCCGTTGCACTGCGTGGCGCGGGCGAGCGATGCCGCGCGGTGAGGTGACCCCGGGGTTCCGTTCGAGGGGTGCCGCACTGGTGTGTCATGGGGCATCTCTGAGCGTCTGTGATGTAGGAGGGCGTGGAAACGTGTGCGAGGTGCGGGAGGGCGCGCGTTGTTGGGCGCGGGAGCGCGCAGGGTGCGTGGGACGTACCAGGAGCGCCGCGAGCCCCTTGGTGAGCTGCGAGTCCGAGTCCGCAGACCACTGGATCGTCCCATCCTCCTGCAGCGTCGGCTTGACCCACACCTGCGCCCCCATGGCGAAACACGGGCCCGCGAGCGCTCAGACCCTGGGAGGGCGCCGTCAAGGCGCGCGGCGCACCCAATTCGGCGCATCTCGACCCGCTCACGCAGCGTTAACGCAATATAAGTGGACGTGGCTCGGCAATGGGCGCTATTGTGGCGCGCGTTCGCGCTGCAGCGCGCGTCGGAGGCCGATCCGGCTGCTCTAGCCACTCGCAGGGTGCGAGGGCGCGCCGCGGCCCCGTGCGGTGGAAATTCGCCGCACACACCTGCGAGACGCATCCCTCGACCTTGTTCGCCGGCACGTGGTCCTCCTTGGGCATCGCCGGCAGCTTGGTTGCGTAGAACAGGAGCTGCTTGTAGCGCGCCATGGGGTCTGGGACCATCTGGAAGGCCATCACGATCTTCTGGAGGCTCTGCGGCAGGTCCGAGACCTGCTGGGCGCGGCACACGTGCAGCGCGCCGCGCCGCGGTGCCGCGGCCCCGAGCGGCCGCCGCGGGGCCTGCCGTGCTGCGCGCACGGCCCCTCCCCGCACCGGGCGCGCAACGCTGCTCCTCGCGAACGCCATCTCCACGCTCGACGGCTCCCGAACACAACGCAGAGGTCTGCGCGCCAGGCGCGTGCGCCGCGGACCTCGAAGCCGGGGAGGACTACACCTGCTTGTAAAAAATCATTATTTTATGATTAATTACTATCAATTTGGGTTCTACTGTGAGGGTCCGACCCGGTCGAGCTCTCCGGCTGTTTGGGTGGCAGGCGTGGTATAGCGGGCGAAGATTCGCATCCCTGGGTGTGCACCAGGACGTTTGCGACCGGACTGGTCTGTGCTCGCGGGCAAGCGGCGGGTGTTCGCGGCGGGGGCGAGCACTGCGGTGAGAGCGACGCTGGCTGCGGCCACGGCGGGGCGGGCGCCGCGTCCGGCGTCGTTGGACGCGGGGGAACGATGGCGTCAGTAGAGATGTTGCAGGCGCGGGTGGCGACGCTCGAGGACGAGCTCCGCGCGTCGCGAGCGGAGGCGGAGAGGCTGGCGCTGGAAGCACAGCAGGCGTCGCAGTACCAGGAGCAGAGATACGAGACGCTGCTGCAGGAGCTGCAGTCTCTGACGTCCGAGCGCGACAAGCTCGCGACGGAGCGCGCCGAGCAGGCGGAGGCTGCCAGCCAGGCGCGCAGTGAGGTTGCGAGCCTGCAAGTGGACAAGGCCGAGGTCGAGCGCGCGCACGAACTGGCCATGCGGGAGCGGGACGAGGCCGTCGGACTCAACAAGAGGCTCGAGAAGCTCCTGGAACAGCGCAGGACCGAGCTCACGGAGCGCGATCGCGCAACCGACCAGCACCTCCAGGCAAGACACCGCACGCGCCGCACGCGCGCCGCAGGGGCCCGCGCCGCAGATCGTCGCGAGGCAGACGTCGTCCCCGCGTGCCTGCGTCCGGCGCCGCACGAATCTCGAGGAGACTCCCCCTATCGCGGCGGTGAGGCCCAGGGGCGCGTGTAAGCAACTCGCGCGCCCGCCCGTGCCTGCCTGCAGCGCGTGCACGCCCTGACGACGGAGAAGGCGCAGATCGAAGAGGCGATGCGGGCCGCGCAGGGCAAGGCCAGCGAGGCGGACGCCCGGGCCTGTCGCGTCGAGCAGGAGCGGGCCCTCTTTGAGAAACACAACAAGTGAGCGCCCCACGCCGCACAGGGACGGAGCGCGGACGGCGCGGCCCGCCCGCGCGAATGTACCGTAGCAGGACGTGCCATCCGCGCAAAGACGCGGTCCAGCGTGGCCGTGGCGGCTCTGCGTGGGTGGCTGGGCAGCTGTCGCCCCTCGCCCGCGCGGCCGCGTGCGCGACCGTCCCCTTGCGTTTCATGGCAGAGCGTCGAGTCCTTCGTTTGCATTCGCTCGGCCGCGTCGCCGTTTGCCCTGGCCCCCCTCTGGCGGCGCTCCGCCCCACAAACGCCCGCGGCACGCGGCGGCACGCTTTCCAGGTGGCTGGAGGACGAGCTGAGCGCGAAGAACGAGTCCATCATGAAGCTGCGGAAGGAGTCGGCCGCGGAGATCCAGCAGCTGCGCGCGGCCCAGTCGGACCTGGAGTCGGACAAGGCGCGCCTGACTCAGGACAACGCCCAGCTCCGGCACAAGCTCGAGGCCGCGCAGAAGGCCGCGGACGCCGCGGAGTCGCAGCTCCGGCGCCTGCGCGAGCAGGTCGCGGAGCGCGAGGAGCACTTCGCCAAGGAGCTGAGCGTGGCGGAGCGGCTGGCGGAGATCGGGAAGGAGGACGGGCGGGACCTGCGGGCGAAGCTCAAGGAGCGGGAGTCCACGGTGCGCCCCCGCGCGCCGGGGACGTGCGTGCGGCGCGGGAGGCCGACCGGGGGGAGTGTCGTGCCTGGCGGTGTCGTGGGCGCCCGGGGACGTGCGTGCGGCGCGGGGGGCCGGGCGGGGGGCCGTTTCGTGCCCGGTGTCGTCGTGGGCGCGCGGGTGCCGCTGCGTCACGGCCGCGGCCGCCTCCTCGCTCGTCGCGCGTACGACGCGGGAGCTGTTCGCACGCTGCGGGGGGGCTTGCGCTCGCGTCCGGTGGCGGTGTCAAGCAGCGTCCTGCGCGTGTGCGTGTGTGTGTGCAGATCGAGGGTCTGAAGGAGTCCATCCGGCGCATGGAGGCGGCGTCGAAGCAGCAGCTGGAGCACCAGAAGGTGGTTGCGTCCGAGGCGAACTCGGAGGTCTCGCGCCTGCGCGAACAGCTCAACTCCCTGATGTCGGGCGCGGGGATGTCTCCGCTCCCCGGCGGCGCGACGCCGGGCACCGCGCCGCGCACGCCCGGGTCGGCGCTGCGCGGGTCCCCCGGGGGAGTCCCCGCCACGTGGGCCTCTCTGTCCGACTTCGAGAAGTTCGAGGCCGCGCAGGCGCTCGAGGAGCGGTACCGCCGCGAGAGCCGCGAGCGCCGCCGCATCGAGCAGCTCATGAACGAGGTCATCGAGTCGTTCGAGCACAAGGTGCCGCAGATGGCCGAGCAGCGCCGCGTGCTGCAGGAGCTGCGCGAGCGCAACGCGCGGCTGACCGAGCAGCTCCAGGTCGCGCAGGCCGAGCGGCGGGCGTCCGAGGCGCAGCGCGCGCAGCTCGGGGAGCAGGCGCGCATCGCCGCCAAGCGCTCCGAGGACCTCTCGCGGCAGGTGGAGCGCCTGACGATGCGCGTGACGACGCTGCAGGGCGGCCGCGCGGCGCTCCCGGCGCGCGAGGCGCTCGCGGCGGCCGCCGCGGACCCCGACGTCCTGACGGCGGAAGAGGTCATCTCGGAGCGCCTCGTCGAGTTCGAGGACGTCGCGCACCTGCACCGCATCAACGCGCACCTGCTGACCGTAGCGCGGCAGCTGAGCGAGCAGTGCGAGGCCACGCGGGCGTCCGTCGAGGCGTCGCTGCGCGACCAGCACCAGCAGGAGCTCGAGGCGGTGCGCGTGGAGCTGGAGCAGCTCAGGCGGAGCCGCGAGGAGCAGGAGAGGCTGGTGAAACAGATTGTCAACCAGCGGGACCTCTTCAAGTCGATGCTGACGTCGGCGGTCGGCGGCGACCGCGGCGCGGACGCCGCGAGCGTTGCGGTGCTGGCAAACTACCGGCCGGAGGACGCGGGTGCGCGGGGCGGCGCGCAGGGCGGCGGCGGCGGCGGCGCGGGCGCGAGCGGGGCCGCGGAGCGCGCCGGGGACGGCGTGGACTACAAGGCGCTGTACGGGGACAAGGAGCGGGAGCTGCAGATGGTGCAGGAGGAGTCCGCGCGGAACGTGTCGATGCTCAAGGTGGAGCTCGGGTCGGCGCGGGACCAGGCGACGGCGGCGGTGCGGCAGGCGGAGCAGGCGCGCGCGGCGGAGCAGTTCGAGCGGTCGCGCGTGGACCGGCTGCAGGAGCAGACGGCGGGGCTGCGGCAGCAGCTGGCGCTCGCGGAGGCGCGGGTGTCGGAGCAGATGCAGCACAACCTGAAGATGGAGGCGACCCTCAAGGAGCTGAACGCGCGCGTCGAGGTGAGAACCGCTCGGGGGCAGGCGGCGGCGGCGGCGGCGCGGCGAGCGTCGATACACTGGTCGGCTGGCTGGTCGCCGCGCGATGCTTCGTGCTCGGGAGGGGGAACCTCTTTTTGTCTTGTCTTGTCTCGTTGTTGTCGTGTGCCTTGCGTTGGCGGTGGTGCGACGTGGCGCTGTTGTGCGTGTATGTGCGTTGTGCAGGCGGCGGAGGCGGCGTCGCGGTCGGACCGCCAGCGCGCGGCGACGCTGGAGGCGCGCATCGAGGTGGTGCAGGCGTCGGAGCAGCGGCACGCGCAGGAGGCGTCGGGGCTGCTGGAGGCCAAGCACCGGCTGGCGGCGGAGCTCGAGGCGGCGTCCAAGGTGCACGCGTCGCAGCTCGGGGACGCGCGGGACGACCGCGTGCGCCTGCAGGCCGAGGTGGCGCGCTTACAGCAGGAGTGGGGACAGGCCAGTAAGGAGCTCGCCGAGCAGCGGTCGCGCGCCGACTCGGAACTGGTGCGCAGAGACCCCATCCGAACCTGCACCGCCGCGTCCGAGCTGAATGGAACGGCGCACAGACGTCCCTGAAACGAGGTCTTGGGATGTGCTCGCTTCGGTAGTCCTGACCGATCGCCAGCTGCCCTGTGGCTCCCTGCGTGCAGTCCAAGCTCCAGCTCGAGCTCTCGCGCGCGGAGAACAAGGCGGACCAGGCGCAGGCCGACGCGTCGCGCGCGCGCAAGGACCTGCAGGACGCGGACGCGCGCGCGCGCAAGGCCGAGTCGACGGCGCAGGTCCTACAAGACAAGCTCCTCGCCGCGGAGAAGCGCGCCGCGGGGCTCCAGATGCGCGTCGAGTCGCTGGCGTCGGCCTCCCTCGCGTACGGCGCGGCGGGCGGCGAGGCGCCGGCCGGCGCGGGGGCGGGCGGCGGGGAGCTGGAGGCGGAGCTGCGGAGCCAGATGGCGCGGCTGCGCGCGGAGCTGGAGGCGGCGCAGGAGGCGGCCGCGGCGGCGCAGGGCAACGCGAAGCAGTACCAGGCGCTGGCGGCGTCGGCGGACGAGGCGCTGCGGCGCGTCGAGGCCGACCGCGGGCGCGCGGCGTCGGTGCACGCGGCCGCGCTGGCGTCGGCCGACCAGCGGAACGCGCAGGCGACGCGCGAGCTGGAGCAGGCGCGCGAGGACCTCGGCGAGCTGCGGCGCCGCCTCACGGAGGTGCAGGGCGAGCTCGAGGCCGCGCGCGCGGAGGCCGCCAGCGGGAACGGCGCGCTGAAGAAGGAGGTGGCCGAGCTGAGCGCGGCGCGGGCGCGGGCGGAGGAGCAGCTCGCGGCGGTGCGGAAGGACGCGGACCAGCACTTCGCGCAGTGGCGCGCGAGCAAGCAGAGCTACGACTTGGAGGTGGTGCAGCACGCGCAGGACATCCAGAAGCTCGCGCAGCTGGAGGAGCAGGCGGCGGCGGTGGAGGCGCGTGCGCGGGAGGCGCGCGCGGAGCTCGACCGCGTGCTGGCGGAGCGCGACGAGCTGCGCACGGAGCGGGCGCGGGCGGCGGCGGCCGCGGAGGAGGCGGCGGGCGCGCACGCGCGGCGCGAGGCGGAGCTCAAGGCGCGCATCGAGGGCATGGCGCAGGAGCTCGAGGCGGCGGCGGCGCGCGGCGGGGCCGCTTCGGGGGAGTCTGGGCACGGCGAGGCCAGCCAGGTGGTGCACTACCTGCGGCGCGAGAAGGAGCGGGTGGAGGCGGAGCTGTCGCTGGCGCAGCAGCAGCGCGCGCGGCTCGAGCAGCAGGTGCGCGCGCTGCGGCAGGAGGTCGCGGAGCTGCGGGCGCTGCAGGCGGACGCGGCGGAGCGCGAGCGGCGCGCAGCGGAGGACAGCGAGGCGCACCAGCGCGTCGTGGCGCAGGCGGAGCAGCTCAACTTACTCCGCGAGAGCAACAACGCGCTGCGCGCGGAGAGCACGAAGTCCGCGGAGCAGCTCGCGGCGCTGCGCGGGCGCGTGGCGGAGCTGGAGCGGCAGCGCGAGCCGCTGCGGCGGGAGTTGGCGTCGCTGCGCGCGCGCGGGGAGGCGCACGCGGAGGAGCTGCGCGTGGCGCGCGAGGACGCGGGCCGCTGGGAGGCGCGGGCGAACCAGCTGCTGTCGCGCACGGGCAAGGTCGACAAGGCTGAGCACGACCGCGTGTGCGCGGACCTGGAGGCGGCGCGGAAGCGCGTGGCGGAGCTGCAGGCGCTGCGCAGCGGCGCGGCGGAGGAGCTGGAGAAGGAGCTCAAGAAGAAGAACGAGGCGTACGGGAAGATGCGGGACATGATCGTGGGCATTGCCAAGGCGATCAAGGTGCCGGTGAAGAAGATGCAGACGGCGGAGTGGCAGGAGGAGTACGTGGCGAGCGCGGGCGCGGCGGCGCGGGAGCGGGAGCTGCAGGGCAAGGTGGAGGAGGCGGAGCGACGGGCGGCGGAGGCGGGCGGGAAGGTGACCGAGGCGCAGAAGGAGGCGCAGGCGGCGCGGGCGGCGGCCGCGCGCATGCAGGCCGCGCAGCAGCGGATGCAGCAGCAGCTGCAGCAGCTGCAGGCCGCGCAGCAGCAGGGGGCGCAGGCACAGCAGCCGCCGGCGCAGAAGCCACCAGCGCAACGCGCGCAGGCCCAGGCGCAAGCGGCGCAGCAGCAGACCCAGGCGCAGGCCCAGGCGCAGCAGGCAGCCCAGGCGCAGCAGCAGCAGCAGGCGCAACAGGCGGCCCAGGCGCAGGCCAAGGCCCAGGCGCAGCAGGCGCAACAGCAGCAGCAGGCGCAATTGGCGGCCCAGGCGCAGGCCAAGGCACAGCAGGCAGCCCAGGCGCAGCAGCAGCAGCAGGCGCAACAGGCGGCCCAGGCGGCGGCCAAGGCGCAACAGGCAGCCCAGGCGCAGCAGCAGCAGCAGGCGCAACAGGCGGCCCAGGCGGCGGCCAAGGCGCAACAGGCAGCCCAGGCGCAGCAGCAGCAGCAGCAGCAGCAGCATGCGCAACAGGCGGCCCAGGCACAGGCGCAGCAGCAGCAGGCTGTTGCTGCACAGCCTGCAGCCGCGGAGCCAGCTCGGCCGGCGGCGCAGCCCGATCAGCCGGCGGCCGCGCCCGCGCGCCCCGACAAGCGCCCCCGCGAGGAGCCGGGGGCCGAGGAGGAGGCGCCGCCCGCGACGGCGGCAGAGGAGGGCGACAGGGCCGCAGCGGAGCCCGCGGCGAAACGCGCGAAGCCCGACGAGACCCCCGGCGACGAGCCCGCCGCAGACACGCCGATGCAGGAGCCCGAGCGGCCCGCGGAAACAGAGCCGCAGCAGGCGCAGGCGCAGGCGGAGCCGACGCCGCAGGAGGGTCCGAGCCAGTCCGGCGAGGCGCCCGCAGGCGCCGCGGAGGAGCAGCAGCCTGCGGCGGAGCAGCAGGAGGCCGGCGAGGCCCCGGGCGAGGAGAAGCAGCCCGCGGCCGCGGCCGAGGAGGCGCCGGCGGCGGAGATGGAGCTCAAGGCGCAGGGGGCGTCCGCGGGGGCGCAGGCGATCCAGAAGGCCTTCCGGGACCAGCTCGCACAGGCCGCAACCACCACGCCGCGCGCGGAGGGCTCCGAGGCCGCGGGCGCGGCGGCGTCGAGGCCCGCGGCGAAGCCCCCCAAGCCGATCGAGTGGCGCCCGGACGTGCGCGCGAACATCGTGGGGCGGTTCGCGCCGGACGCGGAGGGCGCGCCGGCGGCGGCGGAGGGCGCGGCCGCCGCGGCGCCGCAGCCGCAGGCGTCCCCGCAGGACCCCGTCGCGGCGCCGCGCCGGCCGAGGGCGGGGCTGCGGCGGCGGCGGGCGCGGGGAGGCCGGCGCGAAGCCCGGCGAGGGCGCCGGCGCCGGCGCGGGCGCGGCGAAGGCGAAGGAGAGCCTCGCGGCGATAAAGGCCAAGGCGATGGCGGCCGCCGCGGGCAACAAGGTGCAGGTGCAGCGGGGGCTGCGACGACGCCGGGGGCGGCGCGGCGCGCGGGGCGGGCGCGCTGGGCCGCGCGGGCCGCGGCGGGCGGCTCCGCGGGCGCGGGCCGCGGCGCGGCGGCCGCGGGGGCGACGCGGGCGGCCGCGCAGGCGCTGGGCGCAGTGGGCGCGGCGGCGCGGGGCGTGGGGAGTAGCTGCCGCGTGCGACCGGCTAGTTGCATCTGTGTCACATGAAAGGCCTGTGAGCAGGACGTCGGCTGTTTTCCGGCGCCACGCGAGGCGCACGGGGACGCACCTGTCTGGCATGCACGCACCCGTCTTAGCAGGCGCGGAAGCGGCGGAGACGCCTCCGGCGGGGGCGCCGGGGGGCGGAACGGTCCGTGGCTGAGCCAGGGGACGGCGCGCACGGGCAACGGAGGCTTCAGCGGTGCGGAGTGGGGCCGATTACGTCAGGACGGTTATACAGTCAACGGGGGGCGCCGCCGGACGGGCTGGCAACGAGCGCCGGCTGATGGCCGCGGCGCCGCGCGCGGACGGGGCACTGGCTTGTACAAGTCGCCCCCAATTCTTTCCCCGGTTCTGCATTGCCGAGGGGAACCATTCTCGCGGCCCGAGGAGCCCCGCGCGCCGCCCACTTGCCTCCTGCTTCCAGGCCAAAGGTGCGCTCCCTCCTCCTTCCAGGCGGGCGAGAGGCCGCGCGTTCGACGATTTCGCGTTCCGGGATGCAACTCGGGCCAGCTCCCGCGCTTGTCGCCTGTTGCGTTGGGCCCGCTCCACGAACAGTTGCCAGCGCCGGTTATTGCGGCGGTGCCGCGTGGAGAGGCATTCAAAGCCGCCGCGCGCGGTATCCAGCCTTCTGATAGGACGATTGTCGCGCGAAGGCGCCTTCTTTGTGGGCTGGCGCCATCGCCTCGCCTCGCGAGCGCGGTCGACGTTGAGGTCACGTAATGTGCCCGCGCTGACACACGTTCCTTGCGCTGCGCATATTGCTGGCAGCCCTGCATGTCTGTGTTCGGTGTGGCCAACTCGCGTGCCAGCACGGGCTGTCGCACGCCGTCGTTGCGACCCTCGGGCCGCTCCTGCCCTCACCTAAGCGCGGACGGCCGCCGCCGACTGCGGTTGCTGCCTGAGTTCGCGTTTCCTCGACCTTCCAGCCAAATTGAGTGCCCAGGCCGCGCTCTCGACTCCGCTCCGCGCCCCGCCGCGCGCGGCCGCGAAAGGTTCAGATGGCCCTCGATCCCCGCCTGGGCTCTTGACGCAAACGCCCGGTCCCAGCCGGCAGAACCCCTCCGCCCGCGGGCAGCAGGCGCCGCGACCGGCATCCGCGCGCGGGCGTCGCGTCGACGGGGCGCCAACGCCTGTCGCGAAACCAGTTTTGTGCCTCGTCCCTTTGCTTGCAGGACCTCCCCCCTCCCAGCACTTCCACAGCACAATCCCTGAACCACGACAGCATGGGCGACCTTCCGCGCGACGTCCGGCATTGGCGGGCGTCCCTCGACGCCCAGCGCGCTGGCCCCAAGGCTGAGCAGCAGTATCTGGTGGGCACGCAGCCTCCGAGCACGTCCGTCTCGGCGGACGGGACAGTCGACAACTCCTATGGCACGCTGCTTCCCGGCCCCGCGATCGCGGGCCCGCGGCCGGCCGCGTCCGTGCCCCAGCTGATGGTGCACCCTGTGGACGAGGGCGCCCTGTGGGGCCGGGACGGTCTCCGCCGCGCGCCGACGTCGCAGCAGGACCGCACGACGCCCGCCAAGGAGGCCATGGCCGCCCTGGGCATCGTGCCGCAGCCCGGCTGGACAGTCGCGCCCGGCCCGGCCGCGCCCGTGATGCGCCATGGCAAGACGTGCGTGGGCTGCGGGGCCGCGCTGCCGTCCGTGCAGGACTTCTCGCTGTGCACCAAGTGCCACAGCATGCTCGTCCCGCTCTCCGAGGTCGGCGGCCGCCCCGTCCAGCAGCCCCCCACGCCCGTCTCGGTGCCGCCGCCCGTCGTCATCGACACCCAGGTGCATCTCGTCGCCAAGCAGGCCGGCAACGGCAACCCGTACAGGTGAGGCCCGCGCGCACGAACCGCACCGCTGCGCGCGCCCCGGCCCGCGCGAAAGACGCGTGCCGACGACGGACTTCCCCCCCCCTCCGCGCGCATCGCAGGCCGGCACGCAAGCGCCGCACGCGCCGCAAGCAGCGCCCGCAGGCCGCCGCGTCGGACGCCCAGGGCAGCGACACCAGGCAGCCCTCCCTGCAGTCCGCGCCGGGCGACCCGGGCCGCGTCGTCGACCCCCGGGCTCCGGCGACCAACTCCCGCCACATCTCCGCCAGTGGGGCGAGCGCCTCGCCGCTGCCGCGTAGCTCCCTGGAGCGCCGCGGCTCGGCGACGAACGCTTTGTTCGCGGACTACCCGCCGGCGTGGGCCCGCGGCAGCGAAAGCAGCACCACGTCGCCGCCGCCGCTGCATGCCGCGGCGTCCATGCCGCCCGGCAGCCGCGCGCCGGGGCCGCACATGACGGCGTACGGGCCGGGCGCGGCCGCGCTGGGCCTCGCGGGCCAGGCGGGCCAGCCCGTGGGGGGGCCGCAGCCCTCGCAGCAGGAGGAGCTGCTGCGCATGATGCTGTCGGCGGCGCTGGACCTGGACAGCGACTGAGGCGGGCGAGCGGGCCCACGGAGACGCACGGCCGTCTGGCGCCCAGCCGCCGGACGAGGCCCGACACACACACACACACTGCATATGACACGCCGCTTGCCGCTCCAGACAGACACACGTCTGCGCGCCGCGGAGCAACGAGCTCCTCGAAGGACGCGCCACTTCCACCAAGATCTTGCCCGACCAATATTCACCCCCCTGAAATCTTCTTCCATCCACGAATCTTCCCCCCCCCCCCGTCCCCCGCCCTCTCCTCCTCCATGTACCCCCTCTCGTCGCTTCAAACATCCTCCTCGGTTTCAAGATGACAAAAAGACCCTACATCCCCCCTCCCCTCTTCGTTCTCCCCAAAGAATCCTTTCCCTCCCCTGTTTGACACCAGTAATCGGACCGGCAGCCCCCGACACGCCGATCGATGACACGAAAGTGCACGAAGCGACCAAGATGCTTCTGCCCTGCAGCCCTGATGCGAACGACCGCCCCGGGTCGTCTCGGTTCAGAAGAAGAAGCCAAGCGCCAATGTCTGATCTTTCGCCGCGGCCGAGGCCGCAGGCCCCTGTTCCGCCGAAACGCCAACCAAGGGTTTTACTGCTCTTGCCGCTTGCGTGCTCTCGGAAGCTCCCGCCCTGCCGGGGCGCTTCCGATCACTGCATCTCTGACACCTGCCTTTCTCTCCCGCCTTTCTCCTTGGATTGAGAGGCGTTGCCGAACGTCGCGATGCAAAGTTTTTTTGCATCGCCGAAAGCACATCGTAGCGCGACTGGCGGGCTCACGCTCCCCCCTCCTGGCAACGGCACTGTTCCGTGGCCAACCGTCTCTCGCAAAAAGATGAAGCCGTACGCATCTCATTTGATCATTCCGCCCTCCGCGGGGGAAACCTCGCTCAAGAAGACCCCTGCAAACCTGACAAGACCATGTCGCTGACTCCCCCTCCCCCTCCCGCTTCGGGTGGCGTCCCACCGCCAGCTGGCTCCCACACACGGGCGGGCCAGACGCGGCGCTGGGCGCCCTAAATCTTCGAGTACGAAGCTCTCACTGGGCCTCGTGTCCCCATCGCCCGGTCATTTGTTGCCTTTGGACGGCCTACGCAGATGCCCTACTCGGTCCACGTAGCGTCAAGCTCAGAAGCGTCGTTCCGCGTCGCCCTTTCGCTGTCTTAGCACTAATAAAACCTGGCCACTTCAATGGACGCCCCGAAACAAAGGCTCCACGCAAGCCCCACCGATCCCGCCCCCCCGACCCCCTTCCTCCCCCCCCCCCGACCGCTCCCATCCGCTCTCTGGCCAACTCAGCGATCTGCGGCAGAGCCGCATATGCGTGCGTTCAGCAAGCGCAAACCTTGCATCACGCACACCTCACCTTGCTTGCTCCTTTCGCCCCCACTTGAAACACGACCTTCCAGCCCCACATCCACGAAGACTCCGGCGCTCCGCCACGCACGACACCATGACTGCCGCATGCGGCGACCATCGTCGCGAACTGTGTGCGCCCGCATGCCCCCACTGATCGCCCCTCGGCCAGCGCCTGACCACAGTGCACCGCCGCTGGCCAGAAGCCGTGCCGAGAGGGCCAAGATTTGCGCCGTCCGTACGCCAGCTCGGGGCGTCGGCGCAACGCTAAGATCATCAGCGGGGAGACTGGGAAAGACTCGTTGTGATTCAAGGTCAGCACACGCCAGTATACGCGTCACAGTCGCGCGCCCACGACGTGCCTCGCGCTCGTCCACCGCCAGCTCTTTGCGCACCCTTTGTGAGGGCTCACCCTATGTGCCTGTACGTCGCGAACAGCCCGCGGCCCCTCCCCGCCCGCGAGCTACTTGTTTCCGTTCGCCGCGCCCTGCGCCGCCTCGCCCGCCCCGCCCTGCCGCGTCCGCTGCACGGCCGCGAGGTACGCAGGTGCTATCGGGGGCTGCACTGGGGCCAGGCGCTCGTACCCGGGGTCGAGGTCGTACGAGCGGTCCGCGTCGTACGCGCTCAGGTCCCCGCACGCCACGAACCGCGCCATGCTCCGGAGCGGCTCCGCGACCCCCGGGGCCCCCTGCGCGGCCGCCGCGTCTGCTAGCGCTGCCCGCACGTCCGCGGCGGTGGCGCCCCGCGGCGGCGCGTACCCGCGACACACGACGAACGCCTCGACCGAGGAGTTCCGCGACGACCGCGGCTTCGCGATGGATACGTCGGCGAAGAGCACTTTGAGCTGCGCATACAACAGGGCTGCCTCGCGGCCGCGGAAGACCTTGGCGACGAAGGAGCCGCCGGGGCGCAGCACGCTCGCGACGATGGTGCAGCACGCGAGGATCAGCTGCGACTGGACGAACTCGTCGAGGTCGTGCAGGCCGGTGACGTCCGGCGCGCCGTCAGACACCACCAGGTCGGCGGGGGCGCCCCCGAGCGCGTCGACGACGGCGCGGGCGGTCGCCTCCGTCGTGATGTCGCCCTGCAGCTGCACGACGCCCTCGATCGGCGCCATGGGCTGCAGGTCCACTGCAACGATCCTAGGCAGCTCCTCCCCCTGCGGCGCGGGGACCGGGGCGCGGGACGGTGCGCCGGAGTGCGCTGCGGGGCGTCGCGGCATCCTGCGCGACGCGCCCAGCGCGAGGCGTCCGCGTGCGGCGGCGCGCGGCTGTCTGTTGCGAAAGGCCGCACCGTAGCACCCGCGTCCTTGGCTGGCAGGTAGAGCTTGCGGGAGAGGACCTGGCTCCAGCTGCCAGGAGCGGCGCACAGGTCGATGACGTTGCGGACGCCGCTGAAGATGTCGAATGTCTCGTCGATCTGCACCGTGTGGGGCGCAGGGCGTTCACAGCCCCCTCCGCGCTTCGTCGCGGGACAGACGACGCGACTTGCGCGTCGTAGCTGGAATTACTGGGGAGATACGCGTGGTCCCGTCGCACAACGTCGGACCGAAGCCCTCATCCTGCGGGGCGGCGCACAGAGCGGTCTGGGCGGTGCGGTGTGGCCTACCTGCAGGAGCTTGAACGCGGACCGCGCCCTCCATCCGTCCTCCTTGGCCTTCCTGTAGTAAATGTCCCTCTTGTCCTTCGCGCCTCGGCCCATCGCGCGCTGCGACGCCCCCTCGTGCCGCCCACTCCGCTGCTACAGCAGCCGCAAGCCCGACGCTCCCTCCTCAACCGCTCCCAAACGACGCACTAACACGTAGCCAAGCCCAGCTGTCCGGGAATCCGACCGAAGTCCCGGCGGGAGACGCCCTGGTCCGCCCCGCTGGGGCAGTCTGCCAAGCACTCACCCGCACGCAGCGCACTGTCGGCAACGCAGTCCCAGCGAGCTCTGGCACGCGCAGCCAGCACCGCGAGCTGGTCACGAACTCCCACCTCCGAGCCGCGCGCGACCCTTCTCTCACCCTGCTCCCGCCTGGAGGCCCCCCGAGGTGTCTCTTCGCACACCTCCCCCGGACCCGCCACGTCGGTCACCAGTCAGTCACACAGTGCCCCCCTAGCGCGATCCATGCGGCGCGGGTGCCTCCATCGCCCCGCCCCAGTGGCTCGTTGTCCGCCCGGCATCAATGGGCAGCGTCACGCCCGTGATCATCCGCCCGGCCTCGCTGCACAGGAACTGCACCGCCTCCGCCACGTCCGCCGCGCGCACGGGGTCCGGCATCGGGTTCATCCCCGCGAACAGCCCCTCCAGCTCCTTGGCGTCCATCTTGGCCGGGTCGAGCCCGCTGCGCGCAATCTGCCCGCGCGTCATGCTGGTGTCGACGGCCGTGGGCGCGACGCAGTTCGCGCGGATGCGGTGCGGCGCGCCCTCGATGGCCAGCGCGCGCGCGAGCGCCACCATGCCCCCCTTAGAGAAGGTGTACGCGCTGATGTTGGGGTGGCCCGAGAGGCCCGCGACGGACGCGATGGCGACGAGCGCGCCGCCGTGGCCGTGCGCCTTCATCGCGCGCATGCCCTCGCGCATCGTGAGGAAGGTGCCCGTGGCGTTCACGGCCATGACGCGCTGCCACTCGCCGAGGGACATCTCCTCGATCGGCGACGCGTGCTCGACGACGCCGGCGTTGGCCACGACGGCGCGGACGTACCCGAGCGCCTCGGCCTCGGCGAACGCGGAGCTGAGCTCGGACGGGTCCGTCACGTCGGCCGGAATGTAGGCGAGCCCGCTGGCAAAGGCCCCGCGCGGGCGCTGGAGGTCCGCGATGACGACCTTCCACCTGCGGGTGCCCGGGGCGGTGGGATGGAGGTCGGGGGGCCGCGGGGCGGCGCGGCGGGGGCCGCGCGCGGCTCAGGCGGGCCCGCGGCGCCCCGCGACCGCAGGGTCGGTTGCGGCGCTCACCCGTCCGACAGGAGGAGGCGCGCCGTCGCTAGGCCAATCCCGGTCGCTCCTCCAGTGATGAGCGCGACGCCGGGGTCCTGCATCATGCTGTGGTAGCCTCTGCGCCCGGCGCGAGCCACGCGGAGGATGGTCGAGGCCATCGCCGCGCCCGACGTGAGCTGCGGACCTGAGTCAGGCGAACGACGCTGCGGGATGCACCGGCGAACAGGGCGCCCGAAGCCGCGCGTCCCACGGCTGAAACCCGAATCAACCAGGTGGTTGGCTCGGTTGCAGTGCAGCTGCAGTGGTCCGAAAAATGCCGCTGCGGGGGACAGGTTCTGCGGCCACGATGCGGGAATTTCGCTCCGCTGCCGCACGCTCCGGCCATGGCGCGCCCAGGGAGCGCATGTCAGAGCCTGACGTGAGGCCTGGAGCCTCAGCCTGGGCTGACTGGCGCCCCCCGGCGTCAGGACGCAGTCATGCGCCCGGCACCAATGCGCGCCTGCACGTAGCTGCCAGTGACAGTCGTTCTGTGTCCCAAGCGAGGTCCGCCACACGCGGAAGCCCGTCCATCGGGGCAACCTCCACCTCCCCTCAGGTCGCGCGCGATTTCCGGGTACTTGGGCTGCGAGCGCGATGCCCAGCAGCGCGCCCCTCGTGTCGTCACGCTCGGGGTCGGCCCTCTCTGTCGCAACCGGCCGACCCAGCGTCGCGCGACCTCCTTTCGTGCGGAGCTCCCGCAGCGCCCACGCCTGCAGGCTGCGCGCTGGCAGCGAGAGGGCCCTGAGCGAGGTAGCCTCAGAGATCCTCGATCTCATCCAGGCAGAGTCTCCGCCCGAAGACGCACGCGCGCGCGCCAGGGAGCTGTTGGCGGAGCTCACGCGCCGGTCCGAAGGGCGCCCCTTCCATGAAGCGGCGCTCGCGGGCAAGTGGGAGGCGGTGTACACGCAAGGCACGCCCCGGCGCAACCACGTCGCTCGTAGCCGTGGCAGGGCAGCGGCGCGGCCGCTCGGAGGGGCCGTCGGGTGGGTGAGGACACGACGTGCCCGGCGCCCTTGCGGCTCGCAGGTCCCGTGGCGTGGAGGCTGTGGGGCGCTGGCGCGCGGGCGATGGGCAAGCGGGACGCGTCGTTCCAGCAGTTCGAGCCGGACGGACGCCTCGTGGAGAACAGCGGTGAGCTTGCAGGGGGGGGCGTGATGGTGCGCGCCACGGGCCGCTACGAGCCGCGCGAGGAGCCCGACGTGCTGCCTCGCACCATCGTCGCCTATATCGAGCAGGTGCGGGCCTCACGCCGACGGAACCAAGGCCGAAATCGAAATCAACACAACTCTTATCTCTTGAAAACTCAACTGATTGCGAACACAAGCAATCACGAGCCCACGAAGCGACACGCCCGTGGCCAGCGGTCGCGCGTGCGAGCGCGCTGTGCAGACACGCGTCGCGCTGCGCTCGCGCTGCAGGGCGCCGTCGAGGTTCCGTCGCGCGGGTGGACCCTGCCGCTGCCTATCCGTGGGAAGGGCTCGTTCGAGGTGGCGTACGTCGACCAGCGGATACGGGTCTTCCGCAGCCCGCTCGGATCGCTCGCCGTCCAGGTCCCTGCCGACCGGCCCTAGGACCGGCCACGTGGAAGCGCGCGAGGCTCACCTCCGGGGTGGTGAGCGTCTCGACATGGAACCGCTTGGAGATGGCGTTCACGGCCCTGAAGTCGATCGTCAACCGCCAGTAGCGGTTGACGTCCTCCTGCACCCCCGAGTGGCCGACGACGAACCCGAGGAATGGGAGACCAGGTGCATTTCGATGGCTTTACGCGTAAGCTGTATGCGCGCAACCGAACCAGCACCTGCCGTACGTGCTCCGCGTGTTGTGTCGTCGGCCGCTCGGGGGTACAGGAGACGAAGGTGGACGCGATCTGCGCGTGGCCGACCCCGACTTCACCCAAGGCGGTGCGCTCGTTTCTCGGGCTCGCTGACTTCTATCGCGTGCTCGTGGGACTTCGCGAAGATGGTCTCGCCGCTCCATCAACTGGCTCAAGATGGCAAGGACTGGGTCTGGACGGGGTGGTGAATTGTCATCACCCATCATCATCCAGTGCTTACATGTGCGCGTTGGGGCCGCGGGGCGGCGATCGCGCGCCGCGTCTACTCTCGCTGTTGACTCTATACATTTGCGCGCTGTTCCGCTGTTTCATCCTGCACGTCTCTGTCTTTCCGCGTCGTCAGCGCCGCATGTGAGGCAGGTCAAGGCTCCATGTCGAACCTGCGCTCCAGCGCGTTCCTCGGGCTGTCAGTCGACGTCGACGGCCACTGCACGCCCGACGGCTCCGCGCCCCCCTCGCTCGCCAGGCCCTTGATCCAGTCAGGCAGCCCGGGCGACTTCTGCTTGCCCTTCCCTCCCCCCCCGCCCGCCTCGTCCGCACCCCCACCCTCCTGCCCCGCCGCAGCCTGAGGCTGCCGGCGCGCACGCAGCGTCCGGCCAGCGCCCTGCCCGCCACGCACACCCAGCCCCTGCGGCTTCGCGGGGGACGGCACCAGGACGTCATCAAACTGCACCAGCATCTCCGACATAGCGCGCCTCGTCTCCAGCCCGACGACCTCCGACGGCGCAGGCGCGTCCGCACCGCTCCTGCGAGCGAGTTCTCCGCCCCCGTCGCCCTCCGGCGACACGGGCACGTCCCCCGTGCTGACGCCACCGTTCCCTCCAAGCGGGGCCCCCGGTGCCTTCTGGCTCGAGGCAGGGGTGCTAGGGGGGGTCGCGGAGACTGCGGCGGGGTGCCTGATGTCCTGCAGGGCGCGTTTGGTGTCCCCCTCAGGCTTGTTGACGTCAGTCTTGGTTTTCTGGTTGTCGTTGCCCTGGAGGACCTCGACGGTCATCCACGCGGCAGCGGCCGCGGCGGAGCCAGCTGCGGGCTGCTTCGCGGCGTGCGGCTGCTCCGACCTGGCTGCTGGGGCGCGCTGCGAGGGCCCGGGCGCGTGCGAGCCGTGCACGCTGCGCTCGCTGTCAGGCATCAAGTGCTCCGGGGGACTCAGCGGCTGCGGCGGGTCCGACGCGTCCTGCGTGCCCTCGCGCGGCGGCGGTGGCGGGGGGCGGTGGCTGTGCCCCGAGCCCGGGCGCTGCGGCTCGGAGGCCAGGACCACCTCCAGCGACGGCGGCCGGTTCTCCTCGTCCCCCGTCGCGGCGCGCGAGACCGCGCGCACGTGCTGCAGGGGGCTCGAACCGTGGCTCGGCGCGGCCGCCGACCGCGCCCGGACGCCCTCGGAGGCTTTCGCGGGTCCGACCGGGGGGCCCTTGGCCGGTGCCGCCGCCTTGCTGGCCAGGTGCGCGATGTCCGTGCTGAGGCGCGGCATGAGGTCGTCCCACGGTCCAGGACCCTGCGAGGGCGGTGGAGGACGCGTGGGGGGCGTCGCGGACGCGCGCAGCGGGCGCTGCTGCGACTGACGGGGCGCTGCGTGGTCTGGGGGGGGGTACCAGTGTGGCCTGACAGGTCTTGGCGATTTGCAGCGCGAGGTCCATCATTCGCTGGGCTGTGGCGAAGTCGCCGTTGCGGCGCACCGCGGTGCAGCCGGCGTTGAAGCACGACGCGAGGAGGTAGTGCGCGTGGAGCTCGGGGAAGGCGCGGAGGCGGCACGCGCGCAGCACGACGAGCAGGCGCTCCATGAGGGCGCGCAGGCGCTGCAGGTCGCCGCGGGCCTCGTCGTGGAGGATCACGAACGCTTCCGCCGCCGAGTGCGCGTCCTGCACGGCAGGCGTGGTGAGGCGGTGCGCGAGAGGACTTGGAGACGAGTGCTTGATGGTCAGCGCATGTCGTGTGGTTGTTTGGTTCGTTTGCGCGTGTGTGCGGGCGGGGCGCGACGCTCACGATTGGGAGCTGGCGCGAGGCGACGTCGAGCGCCGCCGCGGCGACCTCCGCGAGCACGGCCCCGGGCGCCGCAGCCGCGCGGCACGCAGCAACCAGGTCCAGCAGCTGCCCGGCGCGCGCTGCGGGGTGGTCCGCGAGCTGCGCCAGCACCGCCGCCGGCCTGTCCGTGCGCCCTTCGATCACGCAGAGCTGGACGTCCGTCAGGAGCACCAAGAAGTCGAACTCGTCCCTGTATTGAGTCGGGTACGCGCGTGTTGCCTCAAAGGCAAGGCGGCGGGCGAACGCGGGGCCGCCGGTCGAACCAGACACGCTCGATGCGTATTGTAGCGGAACCGCGCCAGTGAGCCTCGATCGGCATGAAATCACGTGGCGAGCGCGCTCTGTAAAATCGTGTTCTGCGACCCCACAAACACGGAGACAAGCACGCAACGAAGCGTTGAGGCCCCCTCACCGGCACGAGTCAGCGTCCGTGCGCCGAAGGCTCTCCGCGGTGGCCAGCGCCTGGTCGATGCAGTCGCGCGCGATCCCGCGCGGCCCCGCGTCGCCCGGTGCCTCCACCAGCAGCCGCACCGCCGCCACCGCCGCCCCGATGAGCACGACGCGCCGGCACGTCTGCGCTGCGCGTGCCGCCTCCGGCGTCACCCCGTCCGCGCCGGCCATCAGCCCGTAGAACGTCGCAGCGAGGTGCGACATCACGATGACGCTCTTCAAGTGTCCCAGAGCGAGGCTGTCGCGCGCGGCGGTCCACGCGGTGTTCGCGAACCACATCAGGACGTCGCCTGCGTGCTCGTCGTCCGCGGGGTGCTCGAACGCCGCGCTCCCCACGGCCTGTGCGCGCTTGGCGGCCAGGGTGAGGGCGGTGGAGAGCTGCGTCGTGGCGGCGTTGCGGTCCTCGGGCGACGCCGCCGCGCGCTTGTCGAGGACGGCCTGGACCCAGTGCCGCATGATGGTGCCCTCGGACACGCCCGTCGCCTTGCCCTCGGCGATCCTGCACGTCAGACATTGCACCGTCTGACTCGGTTCAAATCCTGACTCATGCACGCGCGCGCAAGGCAGGCTGGCAACCGGTACGCTCCGCGCCGGACCTGCTCTGGAGGAGACGCAGCACGTCGACCGCGATGTCGTGCGCGTTCGCGTCCTGCGCCTCCTGGCAACAAATGCGCAGCATCTCGTCCACTGCCTGCGCGTCCGTGCCCTCGTCGCCGCTCTCGCTGCCCCCCGCACCCTCCTCCTCCTCGTCCGCGCCCGCGATCGCCGCCACAGCCTCCCCCGCCGCCGCCCGGTCCTTCCGCAGCAGCGCTACCTTGAACCCCAGAAACGCAGAGAGCGTGTCCGACGCAGAGAACGCGTCCGACCCGCCGACGGCCATCGAGGCCTGCCCGAGCCACTGCGCGGCCCGCTCGAGGTCCCGCGACTCGCCCCGCATGCAGCACATCGCCAGCAGCCGCGCTGCGCGCCCCTTTTGCTCCCCCGTGGCGTAGGCGAACGCGGCCTGCAGGAACGGCACGGCCCGCGCGTACGCCTTGTCCTCGAACGTCCGCACCGCGTGCTCCCAGATGAGCTTCAGCGCGCCGTCCGCGACCCCGGGCCGCCGCTCGGCCGCCTGCAGCAGGTGGTCCTGTCCGAGCATGCTGAGCGCCGCGTCCTCCCCGCGCGACGTGCCCTCGCTGAGCAGCACGGCCGCCACGGGCACCACGACGTCGAGGCCGCCCCCGAACTGCCGCACGATATCATTCATGGTCTCGTGAAGGTCTCGGAACAGCTGCTCCTTGTCCGGTCCCGCCTTGACGCGCAGAGCCGCCGAGGCGGCCTCGCCGAGCGCCCAGAGGCAGGTGTCGACGCTGGCGTCCGGCGCGTGCGTCAGCTGGCGCAGCTCCGCGACCATCGCCGCAGTGCGTCCGAGTGCGGCGTGGGCCTTGACGCAGACGGCGCGGAGGTCGCTCGGGACGGTGCCGGGCAGCGCGCGGAGGACGTGGAGGGCGCCTTCGAAGTCGGACTCCTTGCACGCCCAGTTGGCGATGGAGCGGACGTACCGCAGGCCCAGGCGCTCGCGCTCGGCAGCGACCGAGGCGTCGCTGCTGGAGAGCAGGAGGCGGAAGCCCGCGCGCGCGACGTGCAGCGCGGTCTTCGTGCCTGCGAGGGGGGGAGCGGGGCGGAGCTGTGTCGGGCGGAGGACGCAGTGCCGCTGCGGTGAGAGCCGTGGGGAGCGGTGGTGGTGCGCTCACTTCTGTCCGTGTCCTTGCGGCTCTCTTCCAGCGCCACCTCGCCCACGCTCTCCGCCGCGAGCACGATCCCGACGGCGCAGGGCTGGCGGAACGGGCTCTCGCCGAACGTCGCGCCCGCTTCCTGCAAGTCCGCAGCACCGCGTTGCGCTTCCGGCCCGGGCCCCGCGAACAGGAGACCATTCCATGCGACGGCACGGCGATTCGCGGGAGGAAAATGCGCACGACGCACCTCGATGGCCCGCGACACGAGTCCGAAGTCCTGCATTGAGATCGCGTTGGAAACCCGCAGTCGAAGTGCGGCACACAGGAGGCGGCACCCGTCGTGCACGACGTTCTCGCCCTTGGCGTTCCTGATGAGGTTCCGGATCGCGGTGAACGCCTCGGAGCAGCAGGTCTCCGCGTCCGCGTGGCTCACGGCCGCCCCGCTCACCCACTGCTCGGCCGCGCCCAGCCACACCTCGGCACACGTCGCCCAGCCGTCCGGCGTCGCCGCGCCGTCCACGGTCGTCGATATCAGCTGGCCGGCGAGCCTCCCGAGCAGGCACCGCGCCCTCTGCTGCTCAAGAGTTATACCTTGGCCCTTCTTCGCGAGCTCGAGGAAGGCAAGCCAGCAGTTGTAGGCAAGGCGCCGCATCTCCGCATGAGCCCCGCTCGGGATGCGGGCCGCCTTCTCGCGAAGGTACGCGGCCAGGTCTCCCGCCCGCTCGACCGCGGCGGCGTTGATACGCCCCTGCGTGTCGGAAACGAGCGCGTCCGGGTCCAGGAAGCCTTGCAGCTCCTGCAGGCACGCCGATACGCCCTGGATCGCCATCGTTGCGTCGAGACGGAGCGAAAAAGGACGGGGTTCGGAATGGCGCGTCGCGCGCACCGCGCAGCCTCTCGTGCGCGCGCCGACACCCCTCCCGCCATTCGAAAGGCCCCTCTGGTCGCCGCGCAGCTCCGCGACGGCGAGGTCCCGACGACGGCGCCCCGCACCACCGGCGAGCCTCGGCGTCACACGGCGCAATACATGGCCGCGCATCGCCGCAGCCCGCCGCGCAGCGCGCGGGCACCAGCCCTCACGCGTCGCCCGCCGTCTTGCCCGCGGCGTCCGCGGCCTGCGTCTCGTACCGCCTCTCCATCGCCGCGTACGCCCTCTTCAGCGTGTACTCCCACTTCTCCGGCACGGAGCACTTCCCGGCCCCGTTTTCTACCGCCCACTTGTACGCCCACTTGTTGTCGGGCTTCTCGCCCTTCTGCTCGGCCTCGATCAGCGCCTGCTTCATCGACCCGCCCCCCGCCGCGCCCCACCCGTCCCCCGTCTGCGCGTTGAAGTCCACGGACCGCGACGGGTCCGTCGGCCACCGCCGCTGCACGAACGTCAGCAGCCGCTTCCAGCCCTGCAGGAACTTCCGCGTCGCCTCGTCCGTCATGATGTGCGCCGACGCCGCCTTGTGCCCGAGCCGGATCTTCTCGCGCCCCGCCCGCTCGTGCAGCCCCACCTGCGTCACCCCGATCGGCCACGGCGCGTTGCCAATGGTGACCTTCATGTACACGTCGTACGCCTGCAGGTAGTGCCGCTGCCGCATGGCCTCCACCATCAAGTACAGCCCCGCCATGAGCTCCGCGTTCAGCTCCCGCCGCTCCAGCCGCTCGAACAGCGGCCGGAAAAACAGCATGGTCTGCTTGAACAGGTTCGTCGCCTGCACGCCCGCGGGGCCGTTCCGGACCGCCTCCGGCCGCGCGTCCATGTCCTCCTTCCACGCGTCGCACCACCGCCGCAAGTACTTCGCGATCAGGTCCTCCGGCTCCATCCGCTCCTCCTCCAACCTCTCCTGCAGCGCGCGCGCCGCCTCCGCGAACGCCGCGGCCGTGGGGTCCGCCGGCGCGGCGTCGCCGCCCGCCGCGGGCGCGTCCTCGCCGGGCTTGTCGTCCTCGTCCGCGCCGCGCTGCTGCGCGCGCACGGCCGCCTCGGCCCGGCGCTGTGCCTCCTCTTCGCGCTGGATCTCCAAAACGATGTTCTTGCCGTGGACCTCGCCGTCGTTCGCGTCGACGTCGAGCTCCTTCTCGACGCGCCGGAGCCGCTCGGCGCGCTCTGCGGCGTCGCGGGGGGCCGGGCGGGGGCGTGGGGCGCGAGTGTGGTGCCAGGCGGAGGTGTGAGGGTGTCGGGGGGTGGTGTGACGGACCTGGGTGGCCCTCGCCGAAGAGCGTGGCGGGCTGGCCGAGCGTGCGGAGGCGCTGGATGACCTCCTCCGGGGTGCGCTGTCGCGCGACCCCCCCGCGCCGCGCAGCGTCCGCGTCCCTGCTCCTGCTCGGCTCAGACACCTCGTCGACCAGCCTGGGCTTCTTGCGGGCCTGCATGCGGCAAGAGGACACCGTGGCGAGCTGGGGGGCCGGGCTGGCGGCGCCATCGGCCCCGATCGCGGCTGTGTGTGACGCCGTGGAGTGTTGGAGGGGCGTCGAGGTGTCTTGGACGCACGAGCGCCCTCGCACGACCATGCTCGCCCCCCCCCGGATCATGAGAAGGTGTCTGAATTCCCGCCACCCGTTGGCGGGAGACCTGATGTTGGCCATGACTTGCAGAAGAAGCCTGACTTCCACGATTCATGTCGAGCACCTTGAAGGTGTTCGCGCAGCCTCCGCCTCCCAGGTCGAGAGAGGAGCGCCGGCAACAGCGACAAGGATCGCACGGCAGCCCCTTCCACGTCGACAGCGTGGAACACCAGGTCCCCTCCAAGGGTGGTTTGGTCCCTCCACGCGCACCGCACGGGACAGCGATTGCGATGAACTGCTCTGTCTGGTCCGAGCACGGCGATTCGCGCGCGTCGCACCTTGGCTGCGAGCTCTCTCTGCTCCTCCTCGCGCAGTCGCTTGAGCCGCGCCGCCTCGAGGTCCGCCTTCCGCATCCATTTCTTGTCCCCGCGAACCTCGCTCGTCTCCTTCTTCTTCGCCGCCAGCAGACTCTTCAGCTTGTCCATCCTGCCCCCGCGTGCGCCAGACCTCCACTGCGCCTCCCAGCCCCTCCAGCTCCACCGCCACGACGCAACCGAAGCGCGACGGCTCCCTCCCTCAGACTATCAGCACGATCCAGGGGATGCGACTGCGACGTCGAACCAACGCGCAGGTTGCGCCCGGGCTCGGCGTTCGGCTTGGTGCAACTGCGTGCAGGCTGGCCCGTCACCGAGTGTTCGCCGTCTTCCGGACGACGTTTCAGCGCTAGGTAGCAAGGCGACGGCTCCCGCGACGCATTGAGCCGGTGTACGTCGCGGAAGATCCCTCCCGCGTTCTACCCGGGGCAGTGATGTCAGGAGGGTGTGCGGGAAGCCCTCCCGAGGCGTCTTGCGCGGCGCACGTCGAACGCCCGACCCGCCAAGGCGGCCAGTGCACTTCGAGCACCGCGATGGAGGCTCGGGAGTCCGCGCAGGAGCTCGTGCGCCTCACCCCGCAGCAAGCGACGCGGTGCGCTACCCTCCTGTGCGACGTGAAGGACCTCCCCCTGCCCGAAGGGCTGGTTCACGGCAACCTGAGCAAGGAGGCGCTGCTCAAGATTCTCCAGGAGCTCGCCCTGAGGTGAGACGGCGTGTCTACCCGCGGCGCAGATCACTGCTAACTGTCCACGCTGTGTTCGTTCGCACGCGCGCCGCGCCGCGGGATCCCGAGCGCCGTGTCGCCGCCGCGCAGCGACCCCGGTCTGTTTCTGGAGCGGTTCTGGCGGCACCTTCCCGCGGAGGGCATTGAGGCGTTTTGGGCCCTGCGGGAGGACTGCCCGAAAGTCGACCACTACACGAACGAGTGGGCGAGGCACCACACGGCAGCGCAGCGCGAAGCAGCCCCCAGGTCCGGCCCAGCCAGCCACACCCCCCCTCGCCACCAGCAACACCCCTCACCTTCTTCTCATCTCCCGCGCGCCATCCTCGGCCCCCGCAGCCAGCAGCAGCCGCCCCCCGCGAAGCGCGGCAAGGTCCCGGCGGCCGTCCGCAACCGCCGTCTCGCGGCCATGCGTCGCCTCGCGCGCGACGAGGGGTACTTCACCGAGGAGGCCATGAGGCAACGCTGCCCGCTGCTGCACCACTACTACGTTGGGCAGTACGCGGGCGACGCGAACGGCGGCGGCGTGGGGGCGCCTCCGCGCAACGCCGCGGCCCGGCGGCCCGGGGAGCCGCTCGGTGCGGCGCTGATGCGGCAACAGGACGAGGCGGCGACGATGCAGCGCATGGCGAGGGAGCGCGCGGTGGAGCTCGCGCGGGAGCAGATGGAGGTGGAGAGCGAGTCGGACGACGAGGGGGCGGACGCGGAGGGCCCGCGGGCGCCGGCGACTCCCCCCGGGCGCGGGGGGGGGGTCCGGGGCAGGCGTGAGGAGGCGGAGGATGCCGGGCCGGTGTCGGAGGAGGAGCGGGCGCTGCTGCGGGGGGAGTTCGAGGACCTCATGCGGCTGCGGTTCCTGTCCGGCGAGGACGCGGAGTTCGTGGACTACGGGGCGATTGACGACCCGGGCGGCGACGCGTCGCTGGGGAGCGAGGTGGAGGACTTCGCGGAACGAGACGCGGAGGACGCGTACTTCGGGGAGTAGAACCTTTTATTGCCGGAAGGCTTGCATGCACGGTGGTTGCGTGGCGCGCTCGCCGCATGTGACGCGCGTGGGCCGTAGCAAGGCAGGTCGGCTCGGTCTGCACGGCCGCGCAGGGGCGGGCATGCTTAGGAGCGCACGCGCGCGGGCGGCGTCCTCCAGCCGCCGGGGCTCGGCGGCGTCGGTGCGCCAGGGCATGCACACGTGTGGGTGAGGTGTGCAGTGTTGTGTCGTCACAAGGCGCGACGGCTCTAGTGAAGGTTGAGACAACGGCATGTGCGCAGGCAAGCGTCTGAGATGTTCCGTCCCGGACGCCCCCGCGGGCCACGGCCGCACTGGGCGGTCGCGCGCCGAGGGGGGGGTCGCCGCGGCAGTCGCGCCCTCAGGTCCAGCCGAGGACGTTCTGCATGAAGAAGCAGAGCGCGACGGCGAGCGGGTACACGGCGAGCATGACGGGCGCCCAGACGGCGCGGAAGGTCACGTCCTTGTGCGTGATCCACCCGAGCACCGCGGTGGTCCACACCACGGTGATCACCTCCACGGTGTACGTCCACGGGAGGCGCTGGTAGTACACGACGAAGAGGAAGAGGCCGAGGCACATGGTGTTGTTCATCGTCACGGCGCCGTAGACTTGCGAGAAGGTCAGCGAGATGTTCTTGGTGCGCTTCTTGGTGGCAAACTGCAGCGAGGAGACGAGCTCCGACGCGTTCGACGCGAGCGGCGTGACCACGAACGAGATGAAGAAGCGCGGGATGCCCGTCGCGACCGAGAACCCGCCCACCGCGGCCACCATCGGGTCCGCGAACACCCCGCACAGCGCCGTGCCAAACGCCATCTTGGCCACCGCGTACAGGCAGATCTTCCACTTCGGCCACGACGCGATCTCCTCGGCCTCCTCCTCCATGTCCTCCTCGACCTCCTCGAGCGAGTGCTCCTCGTCGTCGCCCGCGCCGCCCCCGGGCCCCGCCAGCAGCGGCTGCTCCACGTCCGGCGCCGCACGGTCGTCCTCGCCCGACTCGTACCCGAGCCACGACCGGCGCCGCACGTTCACGCGCTTCTCCTCGACCCACTTGCAGATCCCGTGGAAGAACTCGTCGCGGTCGAGCGCGTTGTTGTTGTCGTTGTCAAAGTCGCTCATCACCTGCCGCACCACCGCCGAGACCGCGGCCGAGTCGCTCCCGACCGACAGCCCGATCAGCAGCGCCTCGAGCTCGTCCACGTCGATCTCGCCGTTCCCGTCGCGGTCGAACAGCGCGAAGATCTCGTCGCACTTGCGCCGGCTGACGCTCCCGCTGTTGTCCATGATGCCGCCCAGCGACCCGTGCATGCGCGCGATAAGGCGGTACCGCATGAAGCGCTTGCGCGCCTTGACGATGCGCCGCCGCTGCAGCTCCGGCGACACCACCTGGTACGCGCAGTAGGCCGCGAGCGCCACGATGCACATCATGCACCCCACCAGCGCGGCGCCGGGGCTGTCCGCGTGCCCGAGCATCGCGGGCACCTGGACCACGAGGTACAGCGCCGTCGTCGCCGACATGATCCAGCTGCCCGGGCGCGTCGAGTCCTCCGCGGTCACGCCTGCAACCGTCCCAAAAGGCGCACGCCGGTCCGCGCCGCCCGGTCCGGGGCTCCCAGGATGCGACACGCGGCGCGTTGCGAGGGCGCGTGCCGGGGGAGGGCGCGCGGGGGCGGTTCGCGGGTTCGTGCGCACCGGTGTGGAAGAAGTCGCACGGTTTGGTCAAGCGGCGGTCGATCGAGGTGCCGTTGCCCCCCGCGCGGAGGTCGCAGCGGCCGAGCCACACGGAGCCGCCCCAGGCGAGCGAGAGCAGCATCACCGTCGAGCCCACGAGCGTCCCCACGCCCACCTCGACCTGCTCCGCGGCCTCCTCTGGGCTGCACCCCAGACCTGCACGGCACGCGCCGGGGCGCCCAGCGTGTGCAGAGCGACGCGCGCGGCGCTGCGGACCCCTCGTAGCGCGTCCATGCCGGATCTCCGCGGAGCGAGCGCGTCGCGCGGCCCAGAGCGCCACACTCGCGCGCTCTCCACGGCAGTGGTTGGACGTCACTCCAGCCCGGCGCGGGCCGCGCGCAGGCCGCGCTCCTGGCGCGCCGCGCGCGGTCGCCCGGGGCCGCACCTGCCACGACGATCATGATGGCGTCCGGGAGCGCGCCCAGGATGGGCAGCACGAGCCCCCCGATGATGCCTGGGTCGAGGATGTGCAGCAACATCTCAGAGCCGTCCGCGATGTAGCCCGCGCCCTGCAGGAACCGCGCGGCCGCGGGCGAGGAGCGTCGGGGCGTGCGGGCGGGCGGCGCTCGGCGCGCGCGCGCGACCGCCGCGGCCGCGCGTTGCGACCGTGGCTGGCAGCTGCGGGAGGCCGCCCGGGGTTGCCGCGGCGCGGGGGCGAGAACGCGGGCGTCTGTGGGCGGTGGTGCGTGCTGACTTCGCGCGCGGGGCGTCGAGCGGTGCTGCGCGCACGTATACGTCGCGGTGTCGCGGCGCGGGCGATGCTGCGGGGAGGTGCGGGAGGGGCGCTGCGCACGCGGGCGAAAGCGGCTGGGTTGTGGTCGAAGGCGGGGGGCTCACTATGAGGAGGATGTAGCCGTACACGGCCATGAGGAACAAGCTTCCGTAGAGGTCGTTCGCACACGGCAGGAAGCCATAGCTCTGTTCGCAGGCGGGCGCCATCGTGCCCCCTCGCAGCGCGCGGCCGTTCTGGGGCGGGGCGAGTGTGGGAAAAAGTGCAGGAGGTCACGCCTGCGGCCTGCTCCGCTCCGCACGCGACGCAGCGGCGGTTCGCACGAGCAACGCCTTGGTTACGCAACCGCGGGTTCCGGCCGCTGAGCGTTTGTTCCGCGCACCTAGGTGTCCGCGAGGGCGAGAGTGGCCCGTCCAGAGGCGCGCGGGCGCGCTTGGCGCCGCAGGCATGAGGCCCGCGAGTCACGGTGACCGACTGAGCGCAAGAGGGGCCCTGTGGGACGTCAGTGTGGCCCGGGGACTCCGTGAACGCGCCTCCCCGGGCCGCCTCCATTGCTCACACGCCGTCTTTCGGACGCCGAGCTCGTCCTCGCGCAGCCATTAGGAGCGTCCGGTCCCGCGAGGCTGCGAACGCGGCCCCAGCGTCGCCCGTCTGGGCGGGTTCGTAGCATGGCGCGCGTCTCAGACGCCGACTCCAGGATCTGTGCCTTCCTGGAGCTCGTCGATGAGTACATCTCGCTGCAGGAGGCCGTGCAGCTGGGTATCCGTGGCGGATGGGGGTGCCTCGCGGAGGCGAAGTACGCACTGATGCCCGCCCCGCTCGGCGCCGCGGGGGTTCCATCGCAGATCGAAGCACGCACGTGGATTCGCGCAGACGACGGGGACTTCGCTGTCGCCCGGATCCCGCCCGGGGACCCCGCGACCGCGCCGGCGGCGGAGCGCACCTCTTCCGCGCAGAGCAAACGCCCCGGCGACGGGCAGGACGCGTCCTCGAGCGACGACGAGTCCGTGACGGAGATGATACGGGTGCGCGGCGGCCACTGCGCGCCTCCGCCGCCGACCTGCCGCCGAGTGACGGCCCTGTGTGCGCACACACCACCCTGCGCCGCTGAACGCGTGCCGAAGCCGGTGCGGCGCCCATGCAGGCCGTCGCCGTCGAGGAGCGCGAGCGCGGGGCGTCGGCCGCGCCCGTTCCAGGCGGCAGCGAGAAGCGCCGGCGCGACGCCCGGCAGCGGTCGGCGAGAGCGGACCCGATCCGCTGGCACGGGTCCATGGTGCCGCCGTCGCTGCGGGCCGCGCAGAGACGTTTCGGGGACGTCGTCGACAGCGTCGCCCGGCTAGCGACGTGCCGCGCCCGGCTCCTGGCGGCGTGGCGGGCACTGCATGGCAACGCCAACGGTGCCGCGTCGACGGGGGCGGGCTGCGGCGCCCTCGCGGCGCCGGTCGGGTCCGGCGCAAGCACGAGCTAGGTCGTCCCGCGCTCCGCGCGCCGCGCTCAGCAGCGGGGCGTCTGCGTCCACGAGCTGTCTGACTCTCTGTCTGTGAACCCCCCCCGTCACACGCCGCCGCTAGATCTTCGGGATCTCCACGTCCCGCATGAGCCAGAGCCCCGCGACCTCCTCCCCCTCCGGGTCCTCCTGGATCGCGAGGAAGTGCAGGCCTTGGCTGCCGTCCACCGCCTGGCTCCACGCGGCCGCCTCCTCCCGCGCCTGCGGCGTCCGCGGGAACGACGAGTACCGCCAGCGCTGCGACACGCCCGTCTCGAGCATCAGGAACCCGCGCTCGGCGTCGGCGCGCATCCGCGACAGCTCGAGCCCGTTGGTCCACCCGGCGAGCGGCAGCGCGCGGCGCGAGAACACCGCGACGCCCGGGACGAGCGGGTCGTCGCCCTCCTCGACCTCGATCCCCGCGGTCTCCAGCGGGAACGTCGACCCGAACACCTCGCCGCGCTCCACCGACTCGAGCTCCGCCAGCACCGCCGACAGCGGCAGCTGCACGAACGCCCACGACTCCCCGCGCAGCGCGTCGGGGAGGTCCTCCGCGACGCCCGTGTCCATCGTGAAGAGCGTCGGCGACGCCGCGTCGTACCCCGGCAGCGCGGGGTAGTGGTTGTCCATGCGGTCCTTCAGCCACGCAATGATCGAGAAGCACCGCCGGGAGGGCACCGCGCGGATGTCGAGCTCGCCCAGCGCGCGCGTGATGATCGTCTGCATCTGCCCGCGGAAGAACCGGACCTGCGCGGGCGGGCGCGCGCGCGCGTGTGTGGGTGCGTGCGTGCGGGGGTGCGCGCCGCCCCTGCGGCGACGGGGCGCGAGCTGGGGCGCGCGGAGGGGGCGGCCAGGCAGGAGCGGGCGCTGGAGGGCAGGTGCGCGGCGTCCTCGGGGCGGCGGCGCACCTTGTCGGGTTTGACAGCACCCTCCATCTGCACGATGCGGTCAATGGCCTGCTTGAGGGTCGCCGAGTTGATCTTGTTGTTCGGGAAGTACTCGCTATATTCGAACGTCCGCTCCGCGTCGCAGATGAGCAGCTCCCACACCTTCTTCTTGCGCTCGTCCAGGAGCGGCCTGCGGGGCGGCGCGGGGGCGGGGGCGCTGGTGGGCGCAGGCGCGGGGAGGGCGGGGGCGGGGGCGGCGCGGCGCGGCGTTTGGTGGCTGTGTGTGGCGGCGGCGGGCGCGGGAGGGGTCGCTGCGCGACGCTGAGCGCGTGAACGCTCGATCTCCTCGGCGTGGGGGGAGAGGGCAGGGGAGCTTCCTGGGCGACGTGAGGGGGCGGCGAGGGGCGAACGGTGCCCGTGCGGGCGCTATGGGGAGCCCGGCGCGCGGCTGGGCGGGCGAGACTGGCCGTGGTGCGGCGCAGGGAGGGCGCCGAGGGCGCGGCAACGGATGGGTAGGAGGGTGCTGGGAGGGGGCGCGGTGCTGCGTGACAAGAGGGTGTTTGCGGTGCTGCGCGGTATCGGAGGCGCGAGAGTGCGGAAACGGGGGAGAACGGCGGGGCCGGAGCGCTCCGTGGGGGAGGAGGCGGGGGAAGCACCTGGAGCAAAAGTCCAGCTCCCATGCTGACGTGGTTGGAACACCCTTGATGTAGAACGGCTCGCTGCTGGCCCCTACCTCCGACTGCTCGATGGCCCGCGGGGCGCGCGGGCCGCGCGTGACCCGCGCGCGCGAACACGCGGGGCCTGGAGGGGGTGCAGCTGAGCGATGCGGCGCGCAGGGGCGGGAGCAGGAGCGAGCGGCGAGCGAGCGCCGGGCGGAGGTGGACGAAATGCATGGCGCCGTTCCCGCGCAGGGGAGCGTGGCGCGCTGCATGCTCGCGGCCCTGCGAGCGCCCAGCCGAAGTGCGTCTCGCTCCACACCGACCTGACGTTGAAGCACTCGCGCGACCAGGAAAGAGGCCGAACAGGTTAGTTGCGACGGCCGCGGGCATCGACGGGGCCTTGACGAACGCGCAGTGCCGCGCGGGCTTGGATCGTGTATGCTTCTACAGGCGACCCGGTCGGACCGCGAGACCGTGGCATTCGGGGCTGAGGCCCCCCCCTGGCGACGCAGCGGCGCACTGCGCACCTCCCTGGCCTTGACACGTCCACTGTCCTGGCTGTTTCACAGACGCAGAGGCCGCACTGTCACGATGGGACAGGTGAGACAAGGAGGCCGCCGCGGGCGCCTTGCGCCTCGCATGCAGCACGACTTGCTTGCCTGACGCCTTCCACACGCCTGGAACATCGCATCGACGGCAAGCCGCGTGTCTTTCATGATCTCACGTCGGCGAACAGAGGTCGAGGTTTCCGCACCAGCCTTTGTCTATGGCTCTGGCGCCATCGGAGGCCCCGAGATGTCTCTTACTGTCCCCGTGACATAGCTCACTTCGTGACCCACTGGACCGCTCCACGAACGCGCGCCATCGCGCGTCCCGTGAGTTGTTGCGCGACGATGTCGTTGGCGAGCAACACCACCCACGAGCCCGCGCCCGCGTGCGCGCCTCTCGCAGGGACCGTCGACGGCGCAGATCGCCGACATGGCGAAGCAGTCCGACGCCGGCTACAACCCGCCGCTCGGCCCGCCGAACCCCAGCAACCCGCAGGCACGCATCACACGCGCGCGCCTGCACGCATCGAAGCACACGCCGGAGCGACGCGCGACCTCCCTCTGTCGCGACGGCACGAGCGCACAAGGGTCGGCGGAGCGCTCGCGGCACCAGCAATCGTCGCCGCAACGTCGCTCCACGAGAGCGCTGCGTCAGACGTCCAAACCAACTCGTGGTTGCAAGACTCCTCCTCCCGGTGTCTGCAGGTGTACTTTGACATCCAGCTCGGCCGTTACGGCGACGCCACGGTACGCAGCAACGATGCGATCCCACCGCCTGTGCACGAGCAACCATCGCCAGCACCACCACCGGGCCCATGACGTGCGCTCCGGCCCCCGATCGCCGCGCAGAAGCTCGGCCGCGTCGTGATGGAGATCAAGGCCGACGTCGTTCCCAAGACCGCGGAGAACTTCGTCGAGCTGGCCAAGGCGGGCTCCCCGGGCGCGGGCTACAAGGGCAGCCGCTTCCACCGCATCATCCCGTCCTTCATGTGCCAGGTACCGGTCGCATGTTGCAGTGCGGCGCGACCGGCGCGTTCGGTCGCGGCTCGGTTCCCAGGGGCAGTTTGTCAACCTGCAATGTCACGACCTGCAATGCAGGGCGGCGATTTCACGGCGGACAACGGCACGGGCGGGTTCAGCATCTTCGGCGCGCGTTTCGAGGACGAGAACTTCGAGCTGAAGCACCTGGGGCCCGGCGTGCTGTCGATGGCCAACGCGGGGCCCAACACCAACGGCAGTCAGTTCTTCCTCTGCGTCAGCAAGACGCCCTGGCTCGACGGTGCGCCCCCCCCCGACGTGGCTCGCGTTGTGCGTACGAGCACGGAGGCCGTGTTGTTGAGGGAGCGTCTGTTTTGCTGCGTGCAGGCAAGCACGTGGTGTTTGGGCAGGTGATCAGTGGGATGAACGTCGTGAAGGCGATGGAGGCGTGCGGCAGCCGCTCCGGGGACACCGCGCACGACGTGATGATCGTCGACTGCGGGGAGCTCCCCGCGGGGTCCTCCACGGCCACGCAGGCGGTCGCGGCGCGCCGCGGGGCCGCGCGGACGCACCTGCACGCCTCCCCCGCGAGCGTCCGCACCGCGGGCCCCGCGTACGCCGCGCGCCGCGTCGGGCCCGCGGCGCGTCCGCCTCTGGGCGCGCGCCCTCGCGCGCCCGTGCGCGCCCGTGCCGCCGCGGCGGCCCCGCGCCTCGCGTTCGCGTAGTCCGCCGGCAGCACAGAGAGACGTCGCGACGCCGCAAGGCTGACACGCCTCTCCGCGAACGATCAAACAGACACATTGTAAGATCGTGATGCACATGGTCTCGCCTCATGCGACGTTACAATCTCTCAAATCTCAATGCATCGATGGGCACCCAGCGCGCGTCCACGCGCGTCCACGCGCCTCCGCGCGCCCCCCGCCGCGTCACCGCACGACCGACGTCTCCGGTCGCTCCTTCGTCATCGGCGCCGGCGTCTCCGGCTCGTACACGTTCATGAGCTGCTTGTCGTTCCACAGGCCCACCGCCTCCATCGCCGCCTCGTCCGGCGTCGCGCTCGCGGCCGCCTGGTCGCCGCCGCACTCCGGGCCGAACCGCGCGACGAGCTGCGCGTCGTTCGAGAACAGCACCGCCTGCACCGGCGGCGGCGCGTCGGGCGCCGACGCTGCGCGCAACACCCCGTGGTACACCGTCTGCCCGTCGAGGAGAATCTCCAGCTCCTGGACGCCGCGCTCGGGCGACCGCGCGTAGTTCCACAGCCGCACCGCGCTCAGCATGATCGGCCGGTCCCGCTGCACGGTTACCGTCGCCGAACCCTGCGCCGTGAGCGGGGCCATCCAGCAGTGCGCGGCGGATCCGTCGACGACGCCGTCGACCAGCTTGTCGGCCGTGCGGACGTCGCGCGTCATGCCCGGCAGCGCGCACACCCCGCGCGGCTCCGCGAAGATCTCCGTCCGCGCCACCGCCACGCGCCCGTGCACGGCGTCGTGCACCTCGATGCCGGTCAGACCCACGTAGTGCCGGTCGCCCCACGTCGTCAGCACGCGGATCGTGAGCGTGAACCCGCACGGCAGCAGCGGGCACTCGAAGCCCTGCCGCACCGGTATGACGGGCTTCTTCGCCTGCAGTGCCGCGTGCGCCGTGCGGGTGGCGCGCTCCCACGCGCCCACGTACCGCGCGGCCTCGTCGTCGCCGCCGCCGCCCGCCGCCGCCCGCACGAGCGCCTCCGCGAGCCCCGCGGGCCCGAGCACGCGCGGCGTCACCGGCACGTCCGCGGCCGTCAGCCCCGACCCCCCCCCCAGGAGCGCCAGGTCAATCACCTGACCGAAGTCGAACCGCGCGTGCCCGGGCGCCCGCCGCAGGACCACGCCGCACGGCGGCCCGACCACGCGCCCGTCCGCGAGCACCACGACCCTCTGGACCCCGCGCGCGGCGTCGACGTCCGACTTGTTGTAGTTCCACACGCGCAGGCCGCCCACCAGCACGGGGCTCTGCCCGAGGCGCACGTCGATGCGGTTGAGCCCCGACGCGTCGTCCGCGACCGCGTTCCCGCGCATCCGCTCCAGGTCCGGCCGCCACGGCGCCAGCCACATGCTGCGGTCGGACGTCGTGGCGTTGATGCCGTTCAGGAGCTTGTCCGGCGTGCGCTCGTCGCCCGAGTGCCCGGGGATGGCGTTCAGGTCCGCGGGCTCCGCGGAGACCGCCCCGGGCGGCAGCGGCAGCGCGTTCATGTCCGCCCCGAGCACCTCGAGGCCCGTCAGACCCACGTAGTGGGGGTCCCCCCACGTGCTGAGGACCACGAGGCTGACCGTGCACGCGCGCGGGAGCTCGCCCGCGACGGGCGCCGCGGGCGCCTCGTCGATCGCGTCCAGCGCGGGCCCCGCGGGCCGCCGCGACAGCGCCTGCTGCACCTGCTGCGGCGCGGGCACGTGCACGGCGGACGTCTTCGGGCGCTGCGCGCGGTCCTGCGGCGCGCCGAAGTCGGCCGCCTCGTCGTCGACGAGCTCCACGGCCGGCGCCGCGGCGGCCGGCGCGCCCGGCGCGGTCGGGGTGCCCGGCCGCGCGCTGCTCTCCGCGGCGGCGGCGCCGGCCTGGGCGTCGAAGTACTTCTGGTCGGCCTCGTCGATGGCGGCGAGGGCGGCCTCGGATTCGGTGAAGAGGATGCATTCTGCGTGCGAGGGCGCCTCGGCGAGCGCGCCCGGCGCCCGCGCGACCTCCCCGCGGAAGATGGGGGCGCCGTCGAGCGTCACCTCGAGCAGGCGCGCGCCGCGGGAGGAGTGGACGCGCGACTTGTTGTAGTTCCAGAACCGCAGCATCCCGATCGCTGCGCGCACGCGAGAGGCACGGGCGCGTCAAGGGTGAGCAGCGACATCATCGCACAGGTAGGGCCAGCATGCAACACGGGCCGAACGAGCTGTCGCGGGAGCCGTGGCGCGCACTTGTCTCTTCCGGGAGCCGCAGCGTGATTCGGTTCGGCGCGCCGTGCCCCGCGAGCGGCGCGAGCCACACGTGGAGGTCGTCGCAGGTCATGTACACGCCGTCGACCAGCTTGTCCGGCGTGCGCGGGTCCGTCCCGTACTCCGGGAGGTCGTTGATGCTCGCGGGCTTGGCGGACACCTGCGTCTCGGGGTCGTCGAACTCCACCGCGCGCCCCCCCGCGTCGAACACCTCGATGCCGCACAGGCCCACGTAGTGCTCGTCGCCCCACGTGGAGTACACCAGGACCTCGAGCACGCGCCCGCGCGGCTCGGGCGGGATCACGAAGTCGTCGTCGCGCCCGAACACCGCCGCGTACGCCGCGTGCGCACTCCCCCCCGCCTCCTCGACACTCCCCCCGTCCCCCAGCACCGCCTCCTCCTCCCCGAGCAGACCCCCCTCCCCCTCGATCGCCAGCCCCACGTCCCCGTCCCCGTCCCCGTCCCCGTACAGGTTCGCCGGCACGTCCCCGGCCCCCGGGTCCAGCAGCGAGTTGAGATCGAACCGCCCCTCCAGGATGTCGTCGTAGTCCACCCCGGGGGGCGCCATCTCGGGCGGCATGTACGCGAACTGCCGCGCGCGGCGCTCGCGCTCCAGGCGCTGGCGCTCCGCGGTCGTCGGGCGGTCCTCGAGGTCGCGCGCCAGCATGTCGGCCATGGTCATGCCCTGGAACCCCCCCCCGCCGTCGCCGCCCCGGGGGGACCCGCGCTCGGAGTCGCTCCCGAGGAAGACGTTCTTGAGGTTCGTGCCGCCCTGCGGCCACTGCGGCATCTGCTGCGCGTGCGCGTCGTCGTCGCTGCCCAGGAACCCGCCGCCCCCCCCGCCGCTGCCGTCCATCGAGACCGGGCCGAACACGCTCCCGAGCGCGCCCATGACCACGTCGCCCCCGCTGTCGCACCGTGCGAACGCCGTGTCCTCGCCTAGCACGCGCTCGAACGACGGCGGACCCGACACCGGCGTACCCTCCGCCAGGCCCCCCGCCACCCCCGCAAGGAACCGCGGACCGCTCGTGCTGCCCCCCTGCCCGCTCTGCATGCTCCCCAGGTGCTCGTCCTGCACGTGCTGCAGCGCGGGCGGCTTCCGCGGGCCCGCGCCGCCCTTGGACGCGCCCCCGTCCAAGTCGACGGGCTCCGGGTTCCCGCTCGCGCTCGGGCCCAGCCGGCCCATGTGCTGCCGCGAGAACTTCGTCAGCGAGTCCAGGCTCTGGTCCATCGAGTCCATCCGGTGCTCCACCTGCAGCGCTGCCACGTCGGCGTGCTGGGCCGGCGGCAGCGTCGCTGCGCCCGCGCCCGCCTCGGGCTCTCTCGCGGCGGCCGAGGCGTCGCCGTCACCCGCGCGCTGCCGCGGCGGCCGCTTGGGCGCGCTGTCGTCCGGCGGGGACGCCGCCTCTGGCGGGGGTGCTGCTGCCAGCGCCGCCCCTCCCGTGGCGCCCGCGACCTGGGCTCCGAGCCGAGCTCGATCCCCGCGAGCGAGTCGCTGACCTCGCCGCGCACCAGCACGCCCGGCGTGCACCCGCCGCCGCCCCCCGCCAGCCACTCCGGCGCGTCCCGCCGGGACCCCCGCGCCGGCGATTCGACGTCGTCGGCTCGCCCTCGAGCGGCCGACCCGCGCCGCCCGACGCGCGCGACGGCTCCGGCGACGGCCGCCCGCTGTGCTCGGCGGTCGCGCGGCCCTCGCTCATCTCCGACGCCCGCCGCGACGCCGCGGACAGACGCTTCTGCGACTTGCGCTTGAGCGCCTGCAGCGCCGACGCCTTGCCCTCCGCGCCCGAGGGGTGCCGCGGGGGCTGCGTGCCCGCCGCGCCGGCCACCAGGGGGACCGTTGTCGAATAGTCCCCCGTGGCCTTCCCCGTGCCCTTGCGCAACACCCCCTGCCACACAACGGTGTCGTTGCGGCGGATCTGGACGTCCTTCGCGCCGCGGCCGAGGCCCAGGAGGCCGCGGTTGTAGTTCCACACGCGCACCTGCTCCGGCGGCGTCTGCCCGGGCGCCAGCGGGGGCACCTCGACCACCACGTCCACGTGCGGCCGCGCGCCGCCCGCGCCGTGCTTCGGAAGCCGCGCAAGCCACATGTGCGACTGCTCCGTCGTGTGCGTGCGCCCGGACACCAGCCGCCCCACCACGCCCGGCGGCGCCCCGTGCACCGTCACGTGGTGCCGCTGCAGGGGGAGTTTCCGCCCCTTGCCGTCTACAAGTTCTACCTGAGTCAGTCCGACCTCGGGGCCGCCGTCCCACGAGCTGAAGAGACGGAGCACCACGCAGTCCGCGGGCCGCGCCGGCGCGGGCGCCGCCTCCGCGCCCGGGGCCCTCGCGGTCTCGGGGCCTGCCGCCAACACAGACGTCGGCGCCGCTGCTGGGGGCGCGGCATGGCGCTGCTGCGGCGCCTCTGGCGCCGTCAGGCCCGAGAGCAGCTGCACGATGTCGCCCCCGGCGTCCTGGACCCCCTTGAGGCGCCCCAATACCCCCCCCAGCACGCCGCGGAACTCCTCCGGGAGCGCCTCCATCTGCTGCTGCAGCGACTGCACGATCGCCTCGCCGGGCGTCGCCGGGCTGGCCTGCCCCGCGGCAGCCGCGGCGGGCTTCTGGGACGGCACGCGCTTCGGGCGCGACCGGGGCTGCGGCGCTGCAGGCGGCGGCTGCGCGGGCGCTGGTGGCGCAGCCGGGGCCGGAGCGGCCCGCGCGCGCGCTCGCTGGTTCTCCTGCGCGACAGCTACCAGCACGGACTGCATGTCGCTGCCCTGTGGGCGCGCCGGCGCCGGCGCCTGCAGGCGCTGCGCAGGCCCGTCGCGGTGGCTCAGCGGGCGCGCCGCCGGGGCGACCGCCTCGGGCGTCTGCTGCGGGTTCGGTCGGCCGGACAGCGGGCGCTTGATGCGTCCGGCCGCGGCCGACATCACCGGCATCGGGTCCTCCGGCGGCGGCGGCGGGCGAGGCGGTTGCGCGGGCGGCTGCGGGCGCTGGCGGTGCCGGGGCGACGGCGGGCGGAACTCCTCGTCGATGTCCGAGTCCGGGTCGGACTCGATGACCGTCGGGCCCTCGAAGTCCTCCTCGTACACCTCGTCGACGTCGTCATCGTCGCCCGGGCGCGGTTCCGAGGCCGCGCCGTCGCCGTCGTCGGCGCTGTTCGCGGGCGGCGCTCGGGCGTCGAGCGCGGCGAACTTGTTGCTGGAGAAGCCGAGCGTGGCCATGCTCTGCCGCAGCACGTCGAGGTCGGCCGCGCCGAGGCCGATCCCGCCGTGTGCGCTCGAGCGGTCGCTGCTGTCGGGCGACTCCCCCCCCGGCGCAGGCGCGGCGTCGTCGGCGCCGGCGAAGTCGTCCGGGTTCTGCGGCGCGAGCTGGCTGATCGACATGAGCACCTCGCCCGTCCGCGCGCTCTGGATCCGCAGCCCGCGCTTGCCCGACAGACGTGGCGACACAGACTCCCCCGGGGGGGTCGCCTCCTCCTCGTCGCGCGCCACCTGCTGCAGCAGCGACGACGACGCCGCGGCCGCCGCTCCGCCGGCACTGCGGACCCGCGACGCCGCGTCCGCCCCCGCCCCGGACGACGTCGGCGCCGGCGTGTCGCGCGCAGACACCGCGCGGTGCTGCGGGACCGCCGCGTGCTGCAGCGGCGCGCACGCGCGGTCGTCCGGCGCACGGTGCGCCGGGGGCAGCGGCGACTTGACGCGCATCCTGCTCCCGTCGGACGCCTTGATCTCAACCCCCCCCACCATCGAGGGCGACTCCCCCCACGTGCGGCGCTGCCGGCCCGACCGCGCGCCCCCGGCGTCCTCCCCCGCGGCCCCCGCGCGCAGCCTCCGCTCCTGCGCAGCCCGCAGCCGCTCCTCGTTCGCGCCCCCGAGGTACGTGTCGAATCCGCCGCCCGCCGTCGCGAGCCCCGCCTGCGAAGCCGACCCGCGCGCGCTCGCGAGGTCAGATAGAGGTGCGGATCGACGTCGCGGCCGGCGCGCATTCGTTCGGAGAGGGGCGGCGCGGGGTGAGGCGTCAATTCCTGGGAGGGGAGCTGGGGCGCTCCGCCACGTGCTGCGGCGTCGCGCCTGGCCGACGCCGCGCGGCCTGAGCTGCGCCCTCACCTGATCTGAGGCCGTGCGGCCGACCGCCGCGGCCTCGTACGCCGCGCGCTGCTGCTTGCGCGCCGAGCCTGAAACCGCCCGCTGTGGAGGCGGGTTCGAGTACCCGTACCGGTCCTGCGCGCCACGAAACACAGTCTCCCGGTATGGAACAGTCCTCGTGGGACCCGGCGGCGGCGGCGCGCCGGACGGCGCCCCCGGGGGACGCGCCACGCGCCCCCGGCTCTCGAACGAGGCCCGCCGTGGGGCGAGCGGGCGACGGCCCTCCCGCGCCCGTCGCAGAGCGCCCGTGCTCCGCGGCGCGAGGCCGCATTGCGTGCGGGCTGGCCCGGCGCGGGGGCGGCGGCGAGCGGCGTCGGCGAGGGGCGGGGCAATCGCGGCGGGAGCACGCAAGACGAAAGGGGCGAGGGCGCGGGCCGCTGGGGACGTGAGCACCGCGGCAGGCGGCGCGAGCGGCCGCGGCGGAGCAGGACTGGAAGTCACGGAGGCATCCTGGCGCGCTGTGCGGGCGGGGGCCGCGTACCGGTGCGTCGCTCATGCCGAAAGCCAGCTCCGTGGGTCCAAAGTGCCGGGAACGGCGCGCCTGCCTCGCGGTTCGGGCCAGGCGCCGCGGGGGACGCAGACCATGCGCGGTCCTGCAGACCGCCGCGGACGCTCGGGGCGAGGCGCGCCGCGTCCGCCGGCAGCGCGTGCGAGGCGCTTGCGGCGCACTCAGCGATCGAAAGCGGCCGAGAACGGGGCCGCGCGCAGCTGTCCACGCCAGGCACGCCTCGTGAGCGCGAATGCCGCCAGCCCCGCGCGCGGCGCCCCTCGGAGCCGCGCCGCGGCCCGCCCGCCCGACCGCAGCAGCAGCGTTCGTACCCAGCTGCAGTCAGCCCGGCCGGCGTCACACGGGCGCCCGGCGCCGAGATTGGGCGGCGCGGCGCCCGGGTCATGCACTTCGTTGCGTGGCTGCACCCGCGTCAGGTACCTGCGTGTTGTGGGGACGGTGCGAGGTGGCTGGTTGCAACAGTGGGGGTGAGAGGGGGAGCGCAGTGGAGGCCCTGCGCGGGCGCCGCCTCCTCGCCCTGGCCGTCTTTGGTACAGTAGGAGGGAGCAGGGCAAGATGGACTCGCAGGACTTGGACCCTCAGGCCATGGTGCGTGCAGCATGCATATGCAGAGGACCGAGCACGCGACGCCTGCGACGCGGTCAGGGCCACCGGAACCAACTCGCATACGACAGTGGCGCTTCCTGTCACTCCGGAGCGATCGTTTCCCACGCCGTTTCGCCCCCGTGTGCGGAGCCTGGCGCCGTCTCGTGGGGGCCGTGCATGCACTCGGCGCCCGGGCCGCGCACGGACGTCCGCGCCGCTGTCCCGCTCCGTCTGTCCCACCTCTCGCGTCTTCTCGGCGCCGGGGGGCACAGAAACCTCCCGTTCGCCCCGTCGCGGGGCCCGCAGCGGCCCCACATGAGGGCGCTGCGTTCGTGCCGGGGGGCGACGTCAGCGCCCCGCTGGACGCCGCACAGCACCACGACTCCCCCACGTACACGCCCGCTCCATGCGGGCCGTGTTGCGCGCGCGAGAGCGTCGCTTTCCCCCTCGGCGGCCGGCCGGCGCGGGCGCATTCGCGCGGCGCAGCACTGCGACCGGCCTCGGGCGCTCGCACGTGCGCTGACCCCCGCCCGGCGCCCCGCGCTGCCTGCAGACGTTGGAGCGGGTGTACGGCGTGTCGACGTCGGTCCGCGGGGGCGCGATCAGCCTCTCGACGCCGGGGCGCAACGCAGTGTGTTACATTGCCGCGCACACCGCGATCCTGCACGACTGCGACACGGGCCAGCAGACGCCGCTGCAGGGCCACTGCAACAGCATCTCGTCGCTCGCCACGATCCCGGACCGCTCCGTCGTCATCACGGCCGACATAGGCCCGGAGTCCCTCGTGGTGATGTGGGACAGCCTCTCCGGGCAGCCCATCTTCACCATGCCGGCGCCGGGCGAGGGCGGCACGCGCACGGTCGACGTGTCCAACGACGGCGCCTACATGGCGCTGCTGACCGCGCAGCCCCCGGCCCGCACGGCTGCGGACGCGGGCGCGCCGGGGAAGGGCGAAGCGGGGCCCTGCCAGCAGCTGATCGTGTACTCGCTGCTGAACGAGGACGGCGAGCTCGCGGAGCCCAAGGTGGTCGCCGCGGGCGACGTGCGCGCGAGGAGCCCGCACCGGTGCGTGCGCTTCAACGCGGCGGGGACGCAGCTGGTGACGAACTCGCGCGGGGAGTGCACCTTCTGGGCGGTGCACGGGTCGAAGTGCCTGCCGTTTCCGACGTCCGCGGGCGAGGACCGCGCGTACAGCGCGAACGCGGAGTTCACGGTGTCGAACTTCATCCCCGCGACGGACATGGCGGTGACGGGCACCGTGGAGGGCGACGTGATCGTGTGGGCGTCGTGGGACGGCGCGCAGACGGTCCTGCAGCGCCGCGCGCTCAAGATCATCCGCCTGCACTACAGCGCGATCACGTACATCGCCACGTGCGGCGACATGGTGGTCACCGGCGGCGGCGACGGGTTCGTGCGCTTCTTCGACCCGAAGATGCGGCTCCAGGCGTGGTTCGAGGAGGTGTCCAAGGGCGCGATCACGTCCGTGAGCTTCGCGGCGCCCACGGACGGCGCCCACGGCCACGGCGACCCCGCGCTGCCGGAGGACCCCTCGGGCGTCAGCGCGAGCACCGAGGAGGTGTCGCTGAACAAGTTCCACGCCCCAGGTGCGCGCCGCGACGCCGAGGGACGCACATAACTATACATCTTGTGTGTTGTATGTGTATACGTTGTCGTTGTTTGCATGACTGGATGTTCTGAGCGGCGGTGCGTTCCGCGCGGCCCCGTTTCCTCCCCGCAGACTTCATCGTGTGCACGGCGCAGCACTGCATCGTCTCGGTCCACGCCGCGGGCTTCAACAGCGAGACGGGCGGCCCGGAGCCCACGACGATCGTGCAGGGCATCACGGGCACCGTCGCGGACGTCTGCGCGCACCCGCACGACCACTTCATCGCCATCGTCAACACCGCGGGCCGCCTCGAGGTCTGGGACACCGCCGCCGACGCCCTCGTCCACTCGTGCGTCCTGAAGGACACCGTGCCGACTCGAGTCAAGTACTCGCGGAAGGGGGGCGTCATCGCGGTCGGCGGCGCCGCGGGGCACCTCGCGATCCACGCGTCGAGCGACCTGCGGCGCATCTGCCTCCTCCGCAACACGCGCGCGTCGATCGTGCACCTGGACGCCAACGCCGGCGGCGACCAGTTCGTCGTCGGCGACGGCGCGGGGTGCGTGTCGCTGTACTCGCACGAGCGCGTGCGCGGCGTGCTGTCGTGGGAGCACATCGGCAAGTACCGCGCGCACGAGGCCGGGCTCGCGGGCGTGGCGTTCTGCAAGGCGCAGGGCACGGAGGAGAGCTTGGTGTCGGTGGGGCGCGACGGGAGCATGGCGGAGTACGACTTGCTGAAGAGCACGACGGCGACGGGGCTGAAGATGTCGCGGTTCCACACCGCGGCGAAGGCCCCCGGGCAGCCCGTGGCCATCACGGTGCCGCGCAAGGCGGCGTGGCTCACCGAGGGGCACGCGGGCGTGGCCGTGCTGTGCGCGGACGCGACGATGAAGCTCCGCGTCGTCGACCTCGCGCGCCGGTGCAACCGCCTCACCGTCCTCGGACCCACCTTCGGCGGAGTCCCACAGTGAGTCAATTCCCCCCCCCTTGACCCCCCCCCCTCCCTCCGCCCGCCCGCTCGCCCCGTCCCGTCCCTCACGCGCTGCGCCCGCGCCCCGTCGTCGCGCGCAGGCAGCTCGTGTGCTTCCAGGCGGGCGCGGAAGGCCCCCCCGCGGTGGCGTACTCGACGGGCGACCGCGTGGTGGGCATCGCCGCGGGCCCGCTCGACGGGTGCCCCGAGCGCAGCATGGGCCTCATCGCGCACCCCGGCCCCGTCGCGGGCATCACGGTGTCGAACGACGGGCAGTTCCTCTTCACCGCCGCCGCGGGCGACCCCGTGGTCAACAAGTGGCGCGTGCACGCCGACGTGCTCGCGGGCATGGCCGCGAACCGCAAGGGCGTGGAGCGCTGGGCCGCGGCCCTCGAGGGCGGCCTGCAGGGGGAGCTGTACCACGAGATGGTGGACTACTTCTACCTGTGTCAGGTGATGAGCGAGGGCGGCGGGCAGACCGAGCCGCGGCACATGAGCATGCGCGTGCCGGCGATCGAGGTCCCGGACATCATGCGCGCGCTCGGCGTGTACCTCACGAAGAGCGAGGAGCAGGACGTGATGGCGGAGGTCATTCTCCTGACGGGCGCGCAGCACGCCGACACCGCGCACGTGGGCCTCGAGGACCTGATCCAGCTGTACGTCAACCACCGGCCCGTCGCGAGCGTCCAGGCCGAGGAGATCAAGTCGGCCTTCCTCGAGGCCTGCGAGCGGCTCGCGGGGCAGGCGCGGCGCGGCGCGGGCACGCCGCCCGGCACTGCCAACAGCGTGAGGTCGCGCATCAGCAACTCGCTCAAGAACGAGGACGACGAGGAAGGCAGCGACCTCGGCGAGCTCGAGGTGCGTTGCGGCGCTGGGCGACGGCCCCAGCAGGCTCGCACGAGCCAATGTTTGTCCTGCGGAACTCCCTGGCGTCACCGTTCGCACACGGACGTCCGCGCTGTGTTCTGTGTGCGCGCAGGAGGGTGCGCTGGAGAAGGAGCACCTGCACGAGCTCCTGACCAAGTACGGGGAGCCCTTGACGGAGGAGGAGATGCTGGTGATCGGGGAGGCCCTGTTTGGGATGTCGTCGCTGGAGGAAGCGCTCCCGGACCGGATAGGCCCGAGGCAGTTCACGGAGGAGTTCCTCGGGTTCGAGGTCGGAGAGGAAGGGGCCGCGTGACGCGTGTGAGCCTAGCAGGCGGCGGAGACGGGCTGGCGACGCGCGGTGACGCGCAGGCCGCGTTCCACGCGACGGTGTGCGCGCCTTCGCGCAGCGAGGCGGCGTCCTGTGGCTGCGCGCGGAGGCCGTCCGTGTGGAGCGCGCTCACGGACGCGAAGGCCCCGGAGCGGCGATGTCGTGACGCCTCACGTCAGGTCGGGCCGTGCGCGCCCGGCGCATCAATGGGCGTTGTGCGGCCGTCGCGGCGGCAGTCGAACGCGGAGTGTCACGGAGAGGACGAGACAGGGAGTCAACACTGACGCGAAGTCGTGCTAGTAAGACTAATCTTCCCGAACACTGGAGATATAGAGAAAGACGATGTGTGTGCGGACGACGTGCTCGAAGTGCGGCAAGCCCAGCTACGCCGGCTGCGGCAAGCACATTGAGCAAGTGAGGCCCCGAGGACCGCCGGCAGCTCCCGCTTGCCGCGTCGCGCGTGCCGTGGTCTCCACCGCAGCGTCGGCAAACAACAGGCCCGTTCGGTCCGCCGTCCCGCTGTGTTTGCGCGGCGCTGACGCGCGCTCGAGCTCCTCTTGTGGTGAACTCACAGGTACTGGGCGACATTCCGCCGGAGCAGCGGTGCCAGTGCCCGCGCTAGGCCTCACGTAATGCGGGTGCAGCACCCAGGAGCAGCGGCGCGGTGCCTGCTCTGAGCCTGGGGAGGCGCACCGGGGCTCATTCGACCCAGGAATCACGAATATTCTTCAGGCGTCGCGGAAGGCCGGATCACTCGGCCTCTGTTGGACGCGGCGCTCGCTCTCTGCTGCTCAGAGCATCCGCGGACCGCTTGTGAGTCGCGCTGACTGTCTGAACCGGTGACACCTGAATAGCATGTAACGAGTGTTTGTGATCCTTTGGCGCTCTGACTGCGCGTGCGGCTCGCAACCGGCCGACTGGCGGGTCTTCCTTCCTGTGGAGGAGTGAGCGGCGCTGCCTCCGGTGGCGGCCCTGAAGAGTCTCGCAGCCGGCGCGGCGCTGACAGTGGCTGCGCTGAGCGGGCGGGTCCTGATAGCCAGGTGGGGAGGGTCGATTCGAGCCGCGGGCTGCAGCGTCTGTGTAAAACTAGGGATGGGCCTCGTCGTCGTTGTAGGTGCGTGACATGAGCGTGTGAGAGCAACCACGACACGGTACTCTAGCAAGCAAGCAGGACGTCGGCCTCGCAGGCGGACGCGGGTCGAGCACGGCACGTGCGGAGTGCTGTTTGTTGCCGCCCGAGCCCGGCCTCGTGCTCGGCGCGCTGCCATCCATACGTCGCGGGAACCGCGGTTCCTCCCAACAAGTACAGGTGCGTCGCGAGGTATCGGGCTGGAGCTGGTGAGGGCGTACAGGGCCCGAGGGGAGGACGTCCTGGCTACTGTGCGCACTTCAAGCGAGCACCTCGAGGCCACGGGGGCCCGCGTAGTGGACGGCATCGACGTGACGGATCCACCATCGTTGCAGAAGCTCAAGGTGCAGCAGTGTGTGCGCCGCGTTGGCGCGTGCGCGGCCAGGTTGTCTCTCCAAGAGCGCACACCGTGAAACACCACGTGCGCCTCTGCTGCGCAGGACGCCGTCGCCGGGACACCCGTCGCCGTCCTCGTGCTCAACGCCGGCTACCTGGGGCAAGCGTCGCCCAGCGACCCCGATGCCTTCGCGGCCAGCTGCGCCCGCTCCTTTGCCATCAACGCCACAGCGCCCGTGCTCGTCGTCGACGCCCTGCGCGCCGCCCTCGTCCAGGGCTCCAAGGTGCTGCTCCTCGGCAGCCGCGCGGGGTCCAGCGCGATGCAGGAGAACGCCGCGTTCGGCGACATGCTCCCGTACCGCATGTCCAAGGCGGCCGCGCACCTCGCGGTGGCCAACCTGGCCGTGCAGTACCGCGAGAGGGGCGTGGCGTTCGTGTCCGTGTGCCCTGCGCGCGTCGCGACGCAGATGACCGCGGACGGCTTCGGCTGGGAGGCTGGAATGGAGACGGCGCGCGGGAGCGTCATGACGCCCGCGGAGACGGTGCCGGTGGTGGTGAGTGAGGCGCGCCCGGGAGCCCGTCTGCCTGAAGCGTACGCAGCGATGGACGTGTCTTCGAAGGGCGCAGAGCGCATCGCATCGTTCGCTTCTGCTGGGGCTGATATGCAGATGGAGATCGTGGATAGCACGAACATGGAGAACTCGGGGGCGTTCCGCGGGGTGTCGTTCGACGCGCGGGACGGCAAGCGGTACCCGGTCGACTGCGTCTTCTAGGTCCGACGGCGGCGGTGGTGAGCAGAACGCTCATCACCGTCGCGCAAGAGCGGGTCGTCGACAGAGCTTGCCAGCAGCGGCCGCGCGCGACGAGGGCGCCTCGCGCACGCCTGCGAGCGGTGACTCCCCCACGGCTCGCGCCGGTGTCGGCCCCTGCGTGTTACAAGCACAACCGCGCCATGCTCGCGTCGCATCGGGCGCGCGTCACATCGGCCGCATCGCGCCGAGCTTCTTGAAGTACCCCGTGCCGTGCGCGCAGACCTTGAGCTGCCCCGAGAGGTCGTCGCGCGTGCTCACGGAGAGCTCCACCTCGACCGTGGGCTTGGCTGTGACCGACTTGGTGATGTCCTGGGAGATGCGCACGATCTTGGACCGCACGAACACCGGCCGCCCCGCCGCCACGCGGTCCTTGAACTTGACGTTCATGCCCGCCGTCAGCGTCAGCGCGGGCCGTGGCAGGTTGCCTTGGTCCATGAGCGCCACCGCCGCCGACCAGTTGCCGTGGCACTCCATGAGGGTGACGAGCACGCCGCCCGACATGACGCCCGGAAACGCCTCGAAGTGCGGCGGGATCGTCACCTGCGAGCCGTCGCGCCGAGCGCGTCGCCCGTGCTCAGCCGCAGGGCGGACAGGCGACCGACGGCATGCGTGGCTGTGAACGCGCGGTGGAGCCAGCGCGCCACGGAGCATCGGATGCCGCTGGCGGTGACGGGCACGGCGATACGACCTCACGCGTGCATCATCCCGCGGAGTGCGACACGTGTGCGACCCGTGTGCGTGTGCGCAGGCACAGGGTGCGTGAGCGACGGCGAGGGGCGCACCTCGGCCTCGAACGCGCCAGGCTGGTTGCTCCGGAAGCTCCTGAGGCCCAGACCGTTCGCGTTGGTCGGCCCGCACCCGAAGCACTTGCCGTTGGGCGTGTACGACTCTTGAATAGACCGCTCCTTGCCGGACGGGGCCGCCACGCCGGCGCGGGCCGCGGGGTGGTGCGGGGAGTTGCACGGGTTGATCTGCGGCGGAGAGCGCGACACGAAAAGGCGGGTTCGGCGCGAAAAACGGAGGTGCCTGGCACTGGCCAGGGTTGCCGCGCTCTCCGGCCGGTGGCAGGCGCGGAGGGTACCGCGGCGCGTTTCGGTCTCCTGTCGCTCTCATTGTGCCGGGACGCGCCGTGATCTGCGCAGCAAGTCCCTACCTGCATGTTGCCGGAGCCGTGCAGGGCGCGCCAGGCCGCAGCGTCCTTCTCCGGCGTCGCGTCCGACCCGCCCGGCGGGGAGGACTGGTACGCCCGCCCGCCTGCCGCTCCCCAGCCCGCGCCCCAGCCCTCAGACCCCGCCGACTCTCGCACACCTGCCCGCCCCAGCAACGACTGGCGAATCTCCGCCCCGCGCTGGGCGAGCCCTCCGCTGCACAGGTACGCGGTTGCCCGCGAGGCGCCCCGGCGGGCAAACGCACTGGCCATGGTGAGGAGGCAACTGCGAGGGGGCGAGGGAGCGGGCGGCGGGCGGCTGTGAGCGCGTTTGGGCGGCCAGGGCGTTGTGACCCTGCCGCAGTCGTGCCCTGCAGCGGGGCGTCGCCCTGCGACCTGGAGGACTCGCTTCGACGCCGGCGCGCGACCGCCGCAGATGCAGTCGTTGAGGAAGCGATGCAGGTACGAAGATGGTCGCGGGGCGCTCACCTGCAACGCGGTCTCCTCCTTCCGGTGAGCCAACTACGCTGGCGAGCCGCCCAGAGCGCTCTTTCGTCCGGCGAGGACAGGAGTGGTCGCGACTAGCTCGGCTGCGGCGGGAGATCCGTGACCAGCCCGGCTTGCAGTCCCAGACCTGGCGGCGGGACCCTCTACAAAACCTACAAGACTGTTGGTCTCGTGCCGACCGATAGAGCCGGATGACACGCGCTTCTGGGGGACGTACACTAAGTGCTGGGGGCAGAGTGCGACGGGACGGGCGCGATGGGCGGCAAAGGCGACGGGGGACGACGCAGCGACCTGGTCGGACCGACGCCGCGCATGCTCCTGCCCTGCCACGTCAGGCTGCTCCAGGCTGTTCGCCAGCCAACGGCCCCTGCGTGTGCCGGACCCTGAAGGGCTGGCGGAGGCGCGGGAGGCGTCCTGCAGGAGGTTCCGTGCGTCGTGGAGCAGCGAGATCGAACACACAACAAAGATTGGCGCTTCACACGTGACCCGGTCGCGGCGACGGTGCGCGGTCCGTGGCTTATCTCCTCACGGGCCGTGTACGCGACGGCCGGCCTCCAGGTACTCACGCACGACGTGAATACGGTGTGTCTCTTGCAGGATATATTAATGGTGAACCTGGGTCACGAGCCTCTACGGCCGACGTCAGTTTGAGCGTTGTACCTACCCACTCACGCACCATCTCATCACTTGGTCGGATGATCTTGTCAGGGCCAAAGCCGTGTGGCTGACGACGCGAAGAATGCCACACCTCCTCCTCCATCACCGCCACGGCGCGCGTCACGCGCTGCCTGCTTCCTTTCTCCGCCTCTTCTTTACCGGCGGCCTCTCCTTGCGCCCCTCGTCGTCGTCATCATCCTGACGCACCGTCAAGTCGACAGGGATCTCCCCCACCGCCTCCACGCAATACCCCCCCCCTGCTCCCGCCGCAGCCGGCACGCAACGGCCACCACGGCGACGCGTCCGCCTGCCCCGGCCTCGCACAGGAGACGCGCGTACGCCCGGTCGTGCTGCCACCCCGGCTCGAAGGCCGCACAGTCCCCGCGCTGCACCAGCAGCAGCAGGCCGGCGCGCGCGGCGCCCGCCTTGCCCGACGCCGCGTACTCGGTGAGCTCCTGAACGTGCTTCTGCGCCCGCAGGCTCACCTGCACCGCCGCGCTCGGAGGCATCTGATGAGGGGGTGCAGGAGCCATTGTTCGCGCCGCGCCCGACCGCTTGTGATGCGTGAGTGCTCACCGTGTCGGGAAACACAGCGACGTGCCGCGCGGTCTCGTGCGGCGCCCCGGGCGGCCCGGGCTGCTCAGCATTGTCGCCGTCGTCGCCTGCAGCGACCTCGCTGCCCGCGCCCAGCCGCGCCAGCGTGACGGACTTCACCTCCACGGGGAGCACGTCGCCGCCCTCGAGCTCCAGGGCGAAGTCCACGCGCGACCCCTTCCTTATCACTACCTCTCGTTTGATACTCATGTAACTCCCAAACGAAGACACCGCGCCCGCCTCGAGCAGCGCGCTGCGTCGAGCAGGGCAGGGACGGCGCGCGCTTCGCATGGCTCGCGCGTGGCCGTGGGCACGAAGCGTGGCGCGCCTGGCGGCTGCCGCAGCAGCGCACAGCGCGCGACGGCACGCAGGAAGAACGGGGGTGTGCGGGCTGCGGCGTGCCTGCACATGGCGTTCGCGGAGGCGGAGTGCACGCCGACCCAGTCCTGCTCGCGGTGGGGCTTGATCCACTCGAGCGTGTGGCGGTACTTGCGCTTCGGGTTGTCGGACGTAGAGAGCAGCACCGGGGCCTCGGGGCGGTCCAGGAGCCCTGTCATCGGCCCTGCAGGTCGCGCAGAAGATGGACATGAACGTCGAGGTTCTGCGGCCCGGGAGTCAGCGCGGAGAGATCACAGCCGCGGCGTCGGGGGCGTCGAAGGGCGCGCTTACCAGTGTTCGGACAGTGAACCGTGACGACCTCGTCTCCGATCCTAACATCTGCCAGGAAGCGCTTGTAGCGCTTGATGAGCCGCCCGTGCACGAGGTGCTCGTACCGCTTGAGGACCAGACCGGCGCAGGACTTGGTGCCTGGGCCCGCCATGGGTTTCTCGCGCCCGCAAGGGGCTGACAGAGAGTCAATACGATCGAAAGGTGCGAGTCATGCGAGAAAGTAGCAAGTCGCGTCATCTTCGATGGCTGTCATCCTCGGTGGCGGCCTGAGTGAGGTGGCAGGGCCGCTCACCTGACGAGGGGAAAGAGGCCACCTCGTCGACAGCTGACGTGCCTCCGCGAGCTTGACATCGCCTCTCGACGACGCCAGCGCCCCGCTCGCCAACGAACATCCGAGTGAGATCCTATCTGGCCGGAATCACCGCCTGCGCAGCTTGCAACCGAGGCTGGCACTGGTGATGGGAGTGCGCGGATACCAGCTGACGGCCGGGCCCTCGGCTGCTCGGGGCTGCCGCAGTCATGACGCGGGGAAGCGGCCGGCATCTCGCAGCCCCCGCTCGGCAGGCCGGCCCTCGTCGAGCGGGAACGCGACCCGCAGGACCATGGTGACTGCATGCCATCGGTGCGCGGCCGCAGCAGCTCGTGGGCCACGAACCATGGGCGCTCTGGATGGAACAAGAATGAAAACAATCGAGGGCGTGATTCTGGGACCGTCAGCGCGCAGCAGTGCGCCCCCAGGCAACGTTTCTACACTGGCACAAGCACCGCGAGGTTCGGCCTCAGAGGGGCGCGACGACGGAGACGCGAGCGCCCGCGACGGGCAGAACGATGCGAGGGACGCAGGCGACGGCGGCGGCGGCGCGTCCGTGGGCGTGCGCGCGGCGCTGGCCCTCCTCAGGTTTTACAAGCGGGAGGTGTCGCCGCTGCTGCCGCCGTCCTGCCGGTTCCTCCCGACGTGCTCGGAGTACGCCATGGACGCGTACAAGCAGTTCGGCGTGGCGCGCGGGACCGTGCTGACCGCCTGGCGGCTGTTCCGGTGCTCGCCGTGGGGCAACCGCGGGTACGACCCCGTGCGGTGGCCGCCGCCGGGGCCCGTCGAGGTGTGGCCGTGGATGGCGAGGCTCGGCGGAAAGCAGCGGGGTGGCCCGTAGCAACTGAGCGAGTCCGGATGTCTTCCGCGAGGTCCTTGTCGACACCTGGGCACGTCACCTGTGTTCGTCGACGACTCCGCCCGGAAGCCAGAGCGCCGTTGGACGCGCAGCGGTTCGCGATGGCCCAGCGGCGAGCGACTGGGCACGATCACTGAGACGCAAGCACGATCTGTCGGCCGCGTTGGCGATCGTTCGCAAGACGGCAGACGTGTCGTTTGGGCGGTGCACGCAAGGCAAGGCCCGCGGTGCGCGTGTCCGACAGGAAGGCACGCCGACGATCCAAGACGACCTGCCTAGCTCCGTGTGCGCCGCGGTGGGGGAAATTCGAACCGAGGCGGTCAGCGAGTGTAAAATGCCCTCTGTGGCGACAACGACCTCGCCTGGCAGTCTCATGCTGTCTCGCGGGGCGCCAGCGTTTCGACGTTCACGATGTTCCGGTACTTTCACACTTTTCTTTTTCGTTGTTGGTGGGTGGGCCTTGCATGATTGCTCTCTGGCTGTATCGTCGCAGGAGCAGCGCTGCTGGGAGAAGGGCCGAGACAATGCTGGCCAGGGTGGGCTTTGCGTTGTGTTCGGCCAGGTGTAGCGGTGGTCGTCGCCGTGCTGCGAGTTGCGGTTGCTTGCGGTGACGACCACCACGAGTTGCTTCGCTGAACACGACACCAGCGGGAAAGCCGGTGTCGGCCGTGGAATACACTGAGCGCGCGAACAAAGAGGAAGGTGTCGGACACCAGTCGAACAGCAGTGCATCGGGTGGGGGGTTGAGCAGGATGGGTTCCACGGGGAAGGGGGGAGTCAGCGGGGTGGGGGGTTCGTTAGGTACGTAAGGTACGTTAGCATCGAAAGGAATCATGGCGCGCTCGCCGTGCGGAGGGATCGGCGTCTGATCCACCGGCGGCGAGCAGAGTGTCAGTGGCAGGAGCGCGACGACTCGCGGTGCTCCTGGTGTGGGCCTGCGGGGGGGGGCGGGCTCGTCCACCGGCCGCGTGCCTAAACGAGGACGCGGCTGGCTAACGAGCCCGCGGTGGTTGCGGTCAAGACCTGGCGGGGGCGTGCTCGAGTCGGGCATCCCAGGGAGGGTTGCGCGTGGGAGGGAGGGGGGCTATAACGGTTGCTTCGAATTTCCTGAACAGATGCCACCGAGCAGAATGGGAGTCGAAAATGCCTACGCGAGCGCAGGCTCGGGGGTTGGGTGCGTAGACAGGGGGCGGCCGTTCGAGACGAAGCGGCGCTGCTTGCGGGGGCCGCGGGAACAAAAGGGGGGCTCGTCCGTGCAGAACGGCGGGGTGCGGCGGCGAGCAGGCGGTGGCCGACCGACGTGCGGCGGAGGACCGACGACGGCTGGTGCTGCGCCAGCGGCAGCGCAGCGGCCGAGCAAAGCGCCCGACCGCGGCACGGAGGCGCGCGATGAGCGCGGGAAAAGCAGGGAGCAGCGCCGCCGCTGGCGCCGCGCGCTGCGTGCGGGCCCCGCGGCGCCTCACGCCTGCGGCTCGGCGGGCTGCGCGGCGGCCTCCTCGTCGAGCGGGCGCGGGCGGAAGCCCATGGCGGCGAGGCGCGCCATCATCCCGTCGGGCCGCGCCATGCGCGCGCGGAACGACGCCCAGTCCTTGCGCGCGGGGTCGGACCAGAAGGACTCGGCCAGCGCGCACAGGCGCGGGAACAACATGTACTCCGCGGTGGGCTCGTCCGGCACGTACTCGGTCCAGAGGTTGGCCTGGGAGCCGAGGACGTGGCAGGCGGCCTCGGCGTCCATCGGCGTGTCCTCCGGGAACACGAGCGCGCGCCACATGCGCATGTTGGGCGTGTCGCACCACTCCGGGAGCCCGCCCACGCCGTACATCGCCGGCCTGGGCACCGGGTCGAACAGGTAGCACGCCTCGAGCGGGAGGATCGCGTACCACGCGCCCGGCCCGTCCGGCGAGGTGTCCTGGCGGTAGTCGAGGTAGCAGTGCGAGGTGGGCGTCATGATCACGTCGTGGCCCATGCGCGCGGCGTGGACGCCGCCCTCGACGCCGCGCCACGACATGACCGTCGCGCCCTCGACGAGGCCGCCCTCGAGGATCTCGTCCCACCCGATCAGCCGCCGCCCGAGCGCGGCCAGGATCTGCGACGCCCGCCAGATGAACCAGCTCTGCAGCTCCGACTCGTTCGACAGGCCGCGGTCGCGGATGCGCGCCTGGCAGCGCTCGCAGCGCGACCACGCGACCTTCGGGCACTCGTCGCCCCCGATGTGCACCCACGGGCTCGGGAACAGCTCGCACACCTCCTCGAGCACGCAGCGCAGGAACTCAAACACCTCCTCGTTCCCCGCGCAGTACACGTCCGAGTGCACGCCCCACTGGTTGGGCACCGTCGCGACCTTGCCCGTGCACGACAGGTCCGGGTACGACGCCAGCGCCGCGCAGCAGTGCCCGGGGAGCTCAATCTCCGGGACGACGGTGATGTGGCGCTCCTGCGCGTACGCGACGACCTCGCGGACCTCCTCCTGCGTGTAGAAGCCGCCGTAGGGCTTGCCCTCGCGGCCCTCGCGCCAGGCGCCCACCTCGGTCAGCCGGGGGTAGCGCTTGATCTCAATGCGCCACCCCTGGTCCTCCGTGAGGTGCCAGTGGAAGCGGTTGATCTTGTGCAGCGCGCAGGCGTCGAGCACGCGCTTCAGGAACTCCACGGAGAAGTAGTGCCGCCCCGTGTCCAGCAGCACGCCGCGCCAACCGAACCTGCACGCCAGGGGCTGCGCGGGCGGCGGTGGGCGCGGGGCGCGGGGGGGCGCGGGGCGCGCCCGCGGGGATGCAGGGCGCACAGGACGCGCGAAAAGGGGCGTAAGTGCCGCGAAGGAGCGCGGCGTGCGCCGGGGGGCGGGGAAGCTCCCGCCCACTACTGGCCGTCTAGGGAAGGGCTAGGGGGGCGCACAGCGGGGGCGCGGCGGCGCGGTCGGGCGGAGTGGGGGTTCAGCGGGGCCTCGCTGCGTTTGGGCGGGGCGCGCGCGGCGGGGAGGGGCGTTCTGCGCGCCAGGGCGCGGGTTTGGAGCAGGTGGGGAGCTGGGCGTGCGCGGGGGGCGCAGGGCCGCCGTGGGGGGGTGCGGCGGCGCACCTAGGAGCGTCGCGGACGACGATTGCGGGAAGCGCGATCGTGGGGCCCGCGGGCGGCGTCGCGGGGAGCATTTGGAGGAAGCTCATGCACCCATTGAAGAGGCCGTGCGCGGTGGTGCCGACGATGCACACGCCGGACGAAGAGACCTCGAGGTGGTAGGCTTCGTCGGAGTTCTTGTCGATGGCGCGCAGGTCCGAGCGGACGGGGTCCGTGCACAGCCGTACACCAGCGGCAGAGGGGCCAGGAAGACCGTCCCCCGCGTCCTCGACGACGGGGCACTGCCAGCCGACGTGCTGCTCCACGAGGGATGCCAGAGTCTGTGCGACGCCCTCGGATGCCGGACAGTGGCGAATCTCGAAGCTCTCCGGCAAAGTCGCGCCCTGCTCGTCCCCACTGGAGTGGGCCTCGAGCGGCGCGGGGATGAACATCGCGCCCGTAAAGTCAGGCAAACGCTAGCGAACGTACTTTTTTACGCTCAATCCGGTCGACGAATCTGTCGCGCGTCGCGGCGCGCGCCCCCAAGGAACGCCCTCCCATCCAGGTAAGACCCACGCGTGACACTCCCCGCACCGCACCGCACCGGCCTTCATGTACCGCCAGCGCCGCGTGCCAGTCGCAGGCTCGGCGCGGTCGGCGTTTTCTTCCTGCGTCTTGCCACGCACTGACGGCGGACGGGCCCCACGCCTGCGGTGACCTCGGGCAGCGCGAACGTCTCCGGGCACCGGGCCGCGTCGTGGCGAGCATGTCCGGCGCGTCCGGGCCTGGTACGCTGATGCAGACGATGTCGACGCCCACGCGCATAGAGCTGCTCAGCGCGTACACTGGCGCGGCCAGCGCCACTGCAGCAGAGAGTGCCAGTGCAGCTGGGGCAGGGTCGCGCTGGCCAGGTCTCTTCTCGCGGCTCGGAACGGCCGCTGAGGCCGCTCCAGCAGCTGCAGGTGCGCGGAGATCCCCCTTGGCCCCCGCATTGCGACGCGTAGCAGCCTGAGAGTTGCGTGGTGCTCAGATCGCGCCACAGCTCTCCAGCGCACGCGCCCGTCGCCCCGCTGCGGCCCCCGCGTCCTCAAGTCCGCCTACCGCGCCCTCCCCCCCGGTTCCACCCCTCGCGCGGCCCACCTGCGCTCGTGATGATCACGGGACGCACTACGCAAGACAGGGGATCGCGACCCCCCCCGCCAGTCGCACACGACCCCTCGCGCGGCCCGCCCGTGCTTCTGCAGCCGCGGGCGCGCCCAAGGCGAAGCGGAAGGTCCCGTGGGGCCTCGTCCTCCTCGGCACGTACTACCTGTACCAGTACTACCGTTACCGGCGCTCCCTCACGCTCCCCAGCACCTACATCCTCGACGTGGACCTCGAGAGCAACGCCGTGACCGAGCAGCGCAAGCCGCCCAACCCCGTCAAGGCCTTCCTCGGCCTCCCCGAGCAGACCTACTCGCTTGTCGATCTCGTCGAGGCCATCGAGGCCGCGGGGGAGGACCCGCGCTGCGCGGCGCTCTCGGTGGTCACCGGCGCGTCCGCGGGCAACGCGCGCGCGTCGATGGTCGAGGAGATCCGCGACGCGGTGGGCAAGTTCCGCCGCCACGGCGAGCTGCGCGGGGCGCGCACCTTCGCGTACGCCGACTCGTTCGGCGAGGGCGGCTCGAACGGGACGCTCGGGTACTACCTCGCCAGCGCCTGCGAGCGCGTCTTCCTGCAGCCGCACGGCTCGGCGGGCGTCGCGGGGTTTGTTGCGCAACAGCCCTTCCTGCGGCCGCTGCTCGACAAGTGGGGCGTGCAGCCGCTGTTCTTCACGCGGCGGGAGTACAAGAACATGGCGAACATGTTCACGGAGCGCACGTTCACGAAGCCGCACAAGGAGGCGCTCGGGGCGGTGCTGGGGTCGACGTACGCGCACGTCGTGCAGGGCATCGCGGCCTCGCGCGGGCTGAAGCCGCAGGCCGTGCTGCGCGCCGTGGACGCCGCGCCGCTGTCGGCGGACGACGCCGTGCGCCGCGGCCTCGTCGACGCGCAGGCGTACCGCGACCAGTACCGCGACTACATTGGGGACGTCGTCGCGGTGAGCGCCGCGATGAAGAAGGCCGTCGGCGCCGCGGGCGGGCCCGCGAAGCTCCTCGAGGCGCTGCCGCCCGAGCCAGCGGCGGCGCCGGCGCCGGCCAAGACGTGGTGGGACGCGCTGGCGATCTGGCGGCCGGCGGAGCGGCCTGCGGCGGAGCCGGCGGCGGAGGACAAGGCGGAGAAGACGGACGTGAGGCCGACGCAGCCGGCGGACGCGGCGGCGCGGCACGGGCGCGTGCCGCGGGTGAGCATGCACAAGTTTCTGCGGGTGCGTCAGCACGAGCGGGAGAAGGTGCGGCGGCAGCAGCAGAAGCGGTGGTGGCTGGACACGACGGACGAGCGGCTGCGCGAGCTGATGGAGCAGCGCGTGAGGGTGGCGACGGAGGCGGGCGTGCCGATGGGCACGCTGTCGCTGGCGCCGACGGTGGCGGTGGTGTGCGCGACGGGCAACATCATGGCCGGGCCGCCGCCGCCGAAGAACCCGCTCGGGGAGGAGAGTGCCGCGATCTACTCCGGGGGCATCTGCCGGCTCCTGCGGGACATCCGCGAGGACCCCAACGTGCGCGTGGTGCTGCTGCGGGTGGACTCCCCGGGGGGGAGTGCGCTGGCGAGCGAGTCGATCCACCGCGAGGTGGTCGCGCTGAAGGACGCCGGGAAGAAGATCATCGTGTCGATGGGCAGCGTGGCGGCGTCGGGGGGGTACTACATCGCGGCGCCTGCCGACACCATCTTCGCGCTGCCGACGACGATCACGGGGTCGATCGGCGTCGTGTTCGGCAAGTTCAACGTCGACAAGTTCCTCCGCGACCAGGGCGTGCACGTCGAGACGCTCGGCGGGTTCGGCCGCAACGCCGCCGCCCTGAGCGCCGTCAGCGGCTTCACGCGCGCGCAGGTCGCGCAGGTCGAGAAGCAGCTCGACGAGACGTACGCGCGCTTCCTGCACGTCGTCGCGGACGGCCGCAAGATGACCGAGCCGCGCGCCCGCCGCATCGCCAAGGGCCGCATCTGGTCGGGCGCGCAGGCGGAGAAGCTGGGGCTCGTCGACCGGCTCGGGGGCATGACCGCGGCGCTGCTGGAGGCCAAGCGCGAGTGCGCGGCGCTCGCGGGGGTCGATCCGGCGGTCGTGCAGATCGTGGACTACCCGCGGAAGCCCCTGGGGTTCTTCGAGTCGGTGCTGTCGTTCAACGCGGACCCGCGGCCGGCGTACGAGGTGCTGGCTGAGGCGGCGGGGGCGCGCCTGGACGGCCTGTGCGCGACCGCGGGGGACGCGGTTGCGTGGGGGCGTGCCGCGGTGGAGCGGGGGGCGGGGATGCCGGTGGGACGTGCGGTGGAGGGGGGGGTGTGGATGGAGGGCGAGGGGGGCAAGGGCGGGAACGCGGTGGCGCCGGCGATGGTGGCGCTGCTGCTGGGGACGGGCGGGGCGCGCGCGGGGGGCGTGGGGCTGTCGGAGGGGGACGCGCGGATGTTGGCGCAGGTGGCGGGAGGGGGGCAGCTGCTGTACGCGTTCGACAACGCGGCGCTGCGGGGCGCGGGCTTGTGACTCTTGCGTGTGCCACAGAACGCTGCGGGGGCGAGCGGCGAGGGTTGCAGAGGTGGCTGGTGGTGGAGTGGGGTGCAGATCGCTGCTGGCGACGCGTGCTCGTGTAGCCGCACAGTCGAGCGCGCGCGGCGGCGCGCGTGCGGGCCGTTCTGCAGCGCAGGCTCATGTCACGGTCCACAGAGCTCTTTACAGTGGTTCGATGTCGTCTAGCATGTCCTAACAATCAAGCAAGCACTCAACGACCTGCGCAGTCCACGGTGCCCGCGTTACACATCTTTCATGTCAGCTGCGAGGTCGTTCACCTCGAGCATGCGATCCATGATCGGCCCACGACGCACCAGCCCCATAATGTCGAACTCCACCTGTGCAGTGGTCACGAGAACCCTCCCGCGGCAGTCCCGCTCCGCGTCCGCCGCCCTCGCCTTGAGCTGCTCCTCGACCGCCCGCTCCTCGTCCGGCGCCCATCGCACACTGTCGTGCCGCACCGCGTGCAGCCCCTGCCGCCTCCCTGGCCAGCTGCACTCCACCATCGCGTCCACCACCTCCCGCAGCGCGCCCGCCGTCATCACGTTCGCGTTCGTCACTTCCAGTCGGCTCAGCGCGCTGCCGCGGCGGAGCGCCCGCGCGTACGCATCCGCCGCAGCGTCCTCAAGCGGTGCTTGACCATCCGTGTACTGCTGGTCGCGCAGGGTCAGCTCCCTCACCGCGGACCCCTCGCCCAGCGCGTCCATCAGTGCCACAGCCCCAGCCGTGCAGATGCTGTTCCCAGCCAGATCCAGCACGCGCAGCGTGGTGTTGCCCTGCAGGCCCGCAGCCAGTGCTATCGCCCCCACGTCCGTGACGCCGCACTCCAACAGCACCACCTCCTCCAGCACGCACCCCGCCTCCATCGCGCCCCCCAGCGCCGCCGCGCCCTCGTCCCCGACGGCGGCGTTCTCACGAACGTCCAGCTTGCGCACCACCCTGTTGCCACACAGCGCCTTGCCCAGCGCCACGAAGCCCTCCGCCGCGACTGCGGACACTCGCTGCAGGCTCAGCGTCTCCAGCGTGCCCCCCAGCGCCCCCCGCTCGATCGCGCCCGCCAGCTCCAGCACAGCCTCCGTCGACAGCTCCTCGCAGTCAGTCAGGTCCAGCTCCGTCATGCACGACCGCGCAGACAGCACGCGCGCCAGCTCCGCCGCGCCGCCATCGATCGCAACGCCGCGCAGCACGAGCCGCCGCAGCGGCAGCCCCTGCTTGATCGCTGCCGCGATCGTCGCCACAGCGGCATCGGGGCACTCCTGCCCGAGGCTGAGCGCCTGCAGCGTGGTGTTCCGCAGCAGCCCGCGCGCGACCTCGGCGTAGAACTCGTCCTCGAGACTAGACTCGTCGGCATGCAGCAGGTCGAGCTCCGCCAGCGTGGTGTTGGCGGCCAGCCCCGCGCCAATCGCCCTGCCGAGCTCCAGGGACGCCACGTTCGCGAACATGTAGATCTGCGGCAGACGCAGCTTCCGCAGCGACGTGTTCTCGCGCAGCAGGCGGTCCAGCGCGGCGATGGACCGGCGGCCGATCAGAGTCGGTTCCAGGTGCGCCTCCTCGATTGACGGGTGCTCCTCGAGCGTCTCAAAAAACACACCCGACTCCAAGTTGACATCGATTCCGGACAAGCGCAGCTTGCGGAGCTCCGCCAGGTGGCCCACCGTCTCCACGACTTGCCGCAGGGCCCGGCTCCCCATCGTCGTGGCAATGATGCTCAGCTCCTCGAGGTGGCGCGACTCGGCGAGCATGCCGAGGGCTTCGACGACCATGGGGTCCACCTCCCCTAAATCCAGCTTGAAGACGCGGAGGTGCTCCCAGCAGACGTTGCTTTCGAGCAGGTCGAGAAGCACGTCGCCGTGTTCGCCAGAGGCCGACCCTATCTGGGTCAGGATCATGAGAAAGGTCTCGCCGTCCGCCATCTTGATGCCCCGCAGCCGCAGCGGCCGCCCGAGCCGCTCCGACGCCTCGAACACGCGCTCCAGCACCAGCAGCTGGTCCAGGTAGGCTGGGATTCTCGGGAGCCTGCCGCGGCAGGCGTCCAGCGCCGCCACCAGCGCCCCCGCCTCGTCCGCCGGTATCATCGCCCTGCACAGCCCCTGCAGGCACAAACTCCCCGCCGCCGGCTGCGTCCCCGGCGGCATGCGCGCCGCGATGGACCGCAGCAGCTCGCTGCGGGCGTGCATGCGCAGCTCCGCGCGCGTGAGCTCGAGCACGGTGAGCAGCACGGTCCACGACGTCGCCGCGACGGCCCGCTTGGAGGCCGCCGGGAGCGCGTCGAGCAGCGCCGGCGCTTCCCGCAACACGCTCTCCAGGGTGGGTGGCGCCGTCTGCGAGTGTCGGAACGAGCCAGATGGTCGCTGAGCACAACGGGAGTCGCAGTGAGGCGGCTGAAGTGGGGGAACGACGCATCGTCAGAGCACGCCGCCTGCGCACCATGGTGCGTGGCAGTTGTGTTCCCTCCTCCTCGTGGCGCTGGCCGCTGTCAGACACCGCCGGACGGGCCCCCTCTGGATGTTCAGGTAGCCTTGCACAGCGTGTACCCGCCGCGCGCTGCCAGCGGCTTCGGAACGTCGTGCGCCGCCGTCAGTTCCGTCGCACCCCTGCACAGCGGGCCAAAGAGGCACGGGGCGTTGCTGGGCGACGTGGCGGCTGTACCGCGCACGTTGGAATGTGATTTCATAGGTGATCTGCCCGGGGTCGATGTCGCGATCCCGCGGGCGCTCAATCGTGCAGCGCTGCGGCGGTTGCGGTTTGGCGGGAGGTGCAGGCTCAGTGTGCGCAGGCTCGAGCGCAGTCAAGTCAGTCTCGCGTGACCAGCGTGTGGACAGAGGGAGGAAGATCGTGCGCAACGCATCGCTCACCCGCAGGAACCGCAGCAGCGAGTGGGGGCGGAGAGCTCGCCTGCTGCACACAGGGCGGTTGCAGGCGCGCACCTGCAGCGAGGAGCTCGATATGCGCTTCGATACTCACAGCGATGCACATTGTGAAGCGACACACCGCCACAGGGCAGTCAAAGGTCCACGGCGGGCCACATGCCCCCCTGGGCGTTGACGGCTCTTTGCGCCTGTCAGCCCGTGAGACACCACCCGCGCAGCCGCCACGGCCTCGGAGCGTGAAGCCGCGCGCGCTAGGGAGCAAGTGGCCGCGTGTGCGTGACGGTGACTCAAATCGCGAGTCATTTGTTGGTCAATCGATGCGGTCACATCACGACGGTCACACTTCCCGCGAAACTCGAAGCCGCCACCCGACGCGAGCTGCCCTACGTGCCCTCGACCCCCGCAGGCGCGCCCTCCATCTCGTCCGTGTCGATCGTGTCGGGGCTCCTGTACTCGCGCATGTGCACAATGATCCTCCCCCGCCCCCTCATGTCCACCCCGCGCAACTTCGGCGCAACCTCATGCCTCCACGCCCGTGTACCATTGGCCCACACCTGCTGCACCTTGCCGCGTTCGCCGCGCTCCACCATTGCGTCCAAAATCCCGCACAACCCCTTGGACGTGATGTCGAGCCCGTACGACACATCGAGCTCCGTCAGCGGACTGCCGCGCCGGAGCGCCGCCGCGACCTCGGCGGCGAAGTCGTCGTCGATCGGTATCAGCTCGTCGAACGCCTCGGCTTGGCCGCCCACCCGCAGCTCCGTCAGCGCGGAGTCTCTCCCCAGGGCTTGTGCGATATGCAACGCGCCCGGGCAGGTGATCCCGTTCCCGGTCAGCGTCAGCACGCGCAGCCTGGTGTTGGCCCACAGTCCCGCCGCCAGCCCCCGCGCCCCCGGGTCGTTGATGCTGCACCCGTCCAGGCGCAGCTCCTCCAGCGCGCAGTTCGTCCGCAGGGCCGCCCCGAGCGCGGCCGCGCCCGCGTCGGCGACACTGGTGTGCCTCAAGTCTAGTCCGCGGAGCACGCCGTTGCCCCGGAGCGCCCGCCCCAGCGCCGCGTGGCTCTCCGACTCGATGTACGACGACGTCGCCCCGCTCCCAACTGGGGCCAGGTTGAGCGTCTCCAGCGTGCGCCCCAGCGCGCCGCTCTCGATCGCGCTCGCCAGCTCCAGCACAGCGGCGTTCGGCAGTTGCGCGCACGCGGGCAGGGCTAGCTCGGTCACGCTCGGGGCCGCAGACAGCGCGCCCACCAGCTCGACGCCCCCCGCCGCAATGCGCTCGCTCTCGAGCCGCAGGCGCCGCAAGGGCAGCCCCTGCCGCACCGCCCGCGCGACGTTCGCAGCGGCGGCGTCGCTGCACGCCCTGCCCAACCCCAGCTCCTGCAGCGTCCCGTTCCCCCGCAGCTCCTCAGTCACCGTGTCCAGGACAGCACCGTCCAGGTCGCGGTGCGTGCCGCAAGTCCGCAAGTCGAGCGCCAGCAGGTGCTGCTGTACCGACGGGCGGCGCAGCAGCCGCAGGAGCACGCCGTTGCCTTTCGGGGCGGGTTTCGGGGGCCGTTTTTTGCGCCAAAACATAGGCTGTAATCGACGTTTGTCTTCTTTTGGCTTCTCGGGCTCGGGAGCGCCTTCCGGCGACTTGATGCCACGCAGGCGCAGCGGACGTCCAGCCTCCGCGGACGCAGCGACCATGCGATCGAGCGCCGCCAGCTGCTGGCACAGCGTCTGGAAAGGGCCTGGCGGCGGTTTTGTGCACGTCAGGAACGTCCCGGCGTCGTCGGCCGGGATCACCGCCCCGAAGAGCTCCGCAAAGCGTATGCTCCCCGCCGCCGGCTGCGTTCCCGCCGGCATGCGCGCCGCGATGCCCCGCAGCACCGCACTCGAGTCGGGTGATGGTTGCAGGCCGATCTCCGCGCGCGTGAGCTCGAGCACGGTGATCAGCGCGGCCCACGACGTCGCCGCGACGGCCCGCTTCGAGGCCGCCGGGAGCGCATCGAGCAGCGCCGGCACCTCCCGCAACAGCCCCTCGAAGTGTACAGGTTCGGTTTCCTGCGCGCAGGACGGCGGGGTCGCGGCTGGACGGGGATCTGTTGCGGAGACTGCCGTGGCAAGGAGGGCCCGCGGGCGGGCGTGAGCGTGCGGCCTGCGCACCATGTTCGCATGTGGTGCAGGGCGCGTTGGTTGGCCGGCGTTCCTTGTCCTAGCTCTGTTGGGTCCTGTGCCGGACTGAGACCGCCAGGGGGTCGACTCCCAGCGTGGTGGGGCGCTCCCGGCGTTCGTCGCGCACCTGTGGAGCAGCAACAAACAGCTCGGCTTCTCGAGGCGATGCCGGCCGCGCCACGAGTTCTGAGCTGGTTGCGAAGCGCTTGATGCACGATGACTTCGTGTATGTTACGGTGACGACGATAAATCGTCGTTGCGAGCGACAGGGAGGCCGCAATCGCGTCAACTGAGTCCTTGCGAAGAGAGGTTGATGCCCCGGCAGCATACATGCGTGACGAGAGTCAGATGCTCGTGGGGAGCATGCGTCTGATACCACTGTCAGAGCACACGATGTCGCCGACACAGCGCGACCGCTGTGTCACCGCAGGAGCGACCAAGAGCATCAAGTTGCAGCTGCGCGCCTCGACGTGCGCAGCCACTCACCTTATGCTGGGAGCTCCAGAGCCGCCAGGACCTCGCCGTGATGTGTTAGTTTGTCGTCGTGGCGCGAAAGCTGCGGGAAGAGTCCCGGAACGTCCATGGGGGTCGCGTCCGTCTGCGCGCTGAAACACCTCCGTGAGACGTCGCGGCGCGGCGGAGCGTTGTGCGCGCTACGCGGCGGGTGGCCGACAGATCAGCCTGGCAGCGTCCGCCGTTTGACACCGCTCCCAGATCCGACAGTTGCACGCTGCACGCATCCTTGCACACCAGCACACTTGCGGATCGCGCCGCGTCGCCAAACCACCCAAGAGGGCGTCACCCCGTGTCCCGGCGGCTTCCTCGTCAGGAGATCAGCGTTCGCCCCCTGACGACCAGCACGACCGAGGCTGCGTCCCGGTTCCGCCAGGTTGGTTGTTCCGTGGCACCTCAGGCATGGTCAAGGTGGTGATTCTCGGAGCCGCAGGCTTCCTGGGCCGCCGCCTGGCAACGCTCCTGGACAAGTCCGACATCGCGGGGCAGGAGGTGACCCAGCTCCACCTCGTTGACGTGGCTGAGCCGGACTTTGCGGTGCGCGCCCACGATACACCGGTCCCGGCGACAGACCCGGCCATATACCACGATGTCGTTGCGCGCGCACGACGCTTCGTCGACAGCTCTTCCTGTGCACATCCACACATCGTCGCTGTGCACCGATATGGCTCACAAAAGGGCGCCTCCCTCCCGCCACTTTGCAGGTAGCCACGCCCGCCACCCGGGCGGCCGTGGACCTCGGCGATGCGTCCGCAATGGCGGTGGCCATCCCCGACGACGCCGACGTAGTCTTCCACCTCGCAGCGGTCGTGTCGTCCCAAGCAGGTACCCCCCCCTGGACCCACACAACCGCCGCGCGTTCCAGGAGCACCTGACGACTGCGCAGCTGCTGGCCTCCTGGTTCTCCGTCCAGCGACCTTTTGTACGCGCGCTGCGAAGAAGCGGCGTCGCGCGCTGTACCTCCTTCACGATGGGTCTGCGGTGCGCAATCACCCGGCTGGCCAATGGCGTTGCGGGGTGATTGCGCACGTCGACATGGTCATGAAGGAGAAACAGCGCACGGCGCCGCCACTTCGAGTCACGGGCGAAGTGCGCCAACACGTACAAAAGACCCCCAGATGAAGGACCAGGTGGGCCGTCAATACACCCCCCCACCGGCGCTGCCGCATCGCTGCGCAACGCCGCGCCCGCGCGCCCTTGTCCTCGCAGAGGAGGACTTCGACCTCGGGATGCGCGCGAACCTCCTCGGCGTCATGCACGTCCTGGAGCGCTGCCGCACCCTCGCCGCCGCCCGCAGCGCCCCGCCCGTCCTCGTCTTCACCTCCAGCGTCGCCATCTACGGCGCCGTCGCCGACCTCGCGCCCGGCCAGCCCGTCCCGGAGTCCCAGGCCCCCGTCCCGGCCTCGTCCTACGGCGCCCAGAAGGCCATCGGGGAACTGCTCGTCCACGACTACTCCCGCAAGGGCTTCGTCGACGGACGCGTGTGCCGCCTCCCGACCGTCTCCGTGCGCCCCGGGCGCCCCAACCGCGCCGCCAGCTCCTTTGCGTCAGGTATAATCCGGGAGCCCATGTCCGGGGAGACCGCGGTGTGTCCCGTGACGCCGGAGACGGCGATCTGGGTGAGCTCGCCGCACGTGGCGGTGCGGAACCTCGCGCACGCGGCAGGGCTGACGTCCGCGGCGCTCGGCGGCGGCCGCGCGTTCTCGCTGCCGGGGATCAGCGTCACCGCGGGGGAGATGGTGGCGTGTCTGGAGCGCGTGGCGGGGGCGGAGGCCGCGGGGCGCGTGGCGTGGGAGCCCGACGCGGAGATCCAGCGCATCGTGGGGAGCTGGCCCGCGGCGCTCGACTGCGCGCGCGCGGTGCGCGCCGGGTTTGCGCAGGACGCGTCGTTCGAGGACTGCGTGCGAGAGTTCAAGCGCGAGCTGGACGCGAGCCGGTAGGGTGTGACAGAGGGATGGCTGCGACGTGGCTGCGCGGGCGCCGTGCTGGGGGGGGGAGTTGAGCGCGAGGATCCAACAAGCGATGTTGTGACACGTGTGTGTGTGTGTTCGTGGCGTGCCGAGGATGCTCGCAACGCCGGTGGGGGGTCTTGCGCTGTGCCGCGGTGCTCCTGCGGCGTGTGTACCGCGATCGCGTGGTCCGCGGGGCGAAGGGGGACTGAAAGGCCCTTGGGGGGGGTGTCCACATTGCAAGTTGCTCGAGGCAGACATTGCCTGGGGCGTCGCGCGTGCTGCGCGAAGTCGCCGCTCGGTGGACCGCGAGCCCCTCGTCCTCCAGCGTTCGCGGAGAGAAGTTGGATCGGTGCGACGACGGCGGGGAGACCGGGGCCGGTGCACGGCGGGATCTGGCGGGGTCGGGCGCGATGGACATAGACACGCCGGGCGGGTCGAGCCCGGTGGACCTGGAGAACCTAATTCAGGCCTACAGGGGGCACTCCAGGATCAACCGGCTGGTATTCATCGCGCAGGCGTCCGTGGGCAAGCCCATTGAGCTCGAGGCGCTCAAGCTCGCCGCGGACGACCTGAAGAGCACGGATTCCGCGGTGGAGATGTACGAGCTGGTGATGCAGATGATCGACGGGCGCCTCGGGGACGCGTACATCCCCGACGTGGCGTGGATAGAGACAACGCGGAGGTGCGGTTCCTTGGCGTTCGGTCGCCCGGGCCTCCTGGCGAGCGGCTTGGCTATGCTCGCGCGCGCCGGCCCGGGCCTGCGTGCTCGTGTGTACGGCGTCCTCGCTGCGATGCATCGCCGCTCGTACGCGCCCGTGGGGCGTCACTTCGCGTCCCGCAACCCTGCGTGCGTGCAGGGCGAACCGCGAGCAGGAGAAGAAGCTCAAGCACGAGCTGAAGCAGTACCAGAACAACATGATGAAGGAGTCCATCAGGCGCGCGGCACACTGCGTCGCCACCGCTCGACAGCCGTGTGCGCGCCGCTGTCCCGTTGACGCGCCACCCCACCACCGTGCGATGCCCGCGCCGCAGGATGGCGCACAACGACCTGGCCGACTTCTACTACAACCGCGGGGGTCCGGATAACCTGAACGAGGCGTTCCGGAGCTACGTCCGCACGCGGGACTACTGCTCCTCCAACCGCCACACCATTGCCATGTGCCTCAACATCGTCCGCGTCGCCATCGAGGTCCAGAACTGGGTCCACGTCCTCAACTACGCACAGAAGGCGCTCCAGACCCCGCAGAACGACGACGTCATCGTCCAGGCACGACACGCCAGCTCCCCGCGCTCGCCGCCCACAGCAGCGACCCCCCGACGCACCCACCGCCTCACAGCATCCCGCCCGGCCCCGCCGCGACCCCGCTTCCAACACCCCCCCCAACACCCCCCCGCAGGCCAAGCTGCGCGCCGCCGAGGGCCTGGCCCTGATGCAGATGGGCAAGTACCTGGACGCGGCGCACGTGCTGACGTCGGTGTCGCCGGAGATCGGCGACACGTTCTCGGACGTGATCGCGGCGCAGGACATCGGCGTGTACGGCACGCTGTGCGCGCTGGCCAGCATGCCGCGCACCTCGCTGCACCGCTGCGTGGCCGAGTCCGGGCCGTTCCGCGAGCTCGTGACCATCCCGGACCTGCGCGAGGCCGTGCAGGACTTCCACGCCGCGCGGTACTCCGGCGCCCTCGCCGCGCTGGCCCGCCTGCAGCCCACGCTGGAGCTCGACCCCCACGTGTCCCGCCACGTCAGGCCGCTCATGGCCGCCATCCGCAGCCGCGCGCTCGCGCAGTACTGCAAGCCCTTCGCGGCAGGTGCGCCGCAAACGCCCCCGCTCGTCGCACCCTGACAGCAGCACCTCCCCGGGCCCGTCATGCTGAGCGACCCCCGTCCGTTTGCCCCCGCCCGCAGCGGACCTGCGGCGCATGGCGCAGGTGTTCGGCACGACCGAGGACGGGCTGCAGGCGGAGCTGGAGGCGCTGATCGAGGGCGGGCAGATCGACGCGCGAATCGACGTGGCGCGCGGGGTGCTGGTGGAGCGCACGCGGGACGACCGGGCCGCGGCGTACGAGGCGGCGCTGGCGGGGAGCGACGCGATGCTCGGGTCGACGCGCGCGCTGCTGCTGCGGGCGTCGCTGGTGCGGCACGACGTGTCGGTCAAGCGGCCGGCGCGGGCCGGGCGCGGCCACGGGGACGGCGGGACGCCCGGGCCGCCGCAGCACGTCGACACCGAGATGGAGGGACCGACGGGGATCGCCGCGGCGATGGAATAAGAAAAGTGTGAGGATTTGCGAGTACGAAGGCGTTTGGCGACACGCGCTGTGCAACGCTGTTCGCTGCGCGTGCGAGACCGACATCGCGCTTCACCGCGAGGGCGTCGTCGCGGTCCGCCGCACCGTGCGCGGCTCACGGTCGTGCGTGCGGTCTTCCCGGGGCAGCATGTTGCGACCAGCGATCTCATCGCAGGTGCACAGCGACGCGAGTGTTTTCGTGACGCGTCTGAGACAGCGCAGGAAGGGGTCCGGCTCACACGGCGTCCGTATTACGCGGCGGGGCACTCGATCTCGCCCTCGTCGATCTGCGCGCAACGGGAACAGAACAGCGCAGTCAGCGACAGGTGCACACAGGCTGGTGTGGGCGGGGGCTGAGCGCGAGGCGGCGGCGCGCGCCCGGCGACCCAGCCGCTGCGGCGCGCGAGGCCCCCGGGCTGCAGCGGTCGCGGGGCGCCGTGTGTGCTGTGCGTGGTGCGCGGCGCACCTTCTTCTGGATCGCGCGAGGGTCCTCCCGGTCCACAGTGCAGCCCACCGACACGCAGGTGCCGAGGATCTCCTTGATAGTGCCCTTGAGCTCCGCCGCGCACGACCGTTCCCTCATCACGCGCGCAGCGTCCACCACAGCGTCGAAGCTCAGGTTGCCGTTGTGCTGGATGTTCTTGTCCTGCGAGGAGGGAGGAGATGCGCACGGGCGGTATGGCGTATGTTCGTTGGGCATTGGCGAGCGCGGACAGGTCGTGCGCGTGCCCAGGCGAAGCCGTGGCCGGCCTAGGGGCTCGCAGTCCGGCCTAACGCAGCGTGCCGCGGCGCAGGGGCAGAAAGAGCACGCGAATCCGATGTGAGATGGCGGCGACATCGTATGCGGCGGGCGAAACGGCGCTGACTCGCAGCGTGCGGCCTGCCATCGGGCGCTGCCGCCCTCGAGTCGGACGACGCTGCGCCCGGGCGGCCGCGAGCGCTCGCTCGACGCGGACGGGCGGACTGTCATCGTTATTCGGCAGCGAAGGACGCGGTGCGCTGACGCCGAGGCGACGGCGGCGCGCGCGACGGGGCAGGAGGGGCGGCAAGAGCTGGCGAGCGCCGCCTACGCGCCGCAGCACGGACCGCCGTCGGCCGCTCGATGTGCCCCTCGCCCCTCGCGCGTGAGGACACGGCGCCGGTGCACCGGAAACGGGTCTCGGGCTGCGGAGGGAGGCAGTCCCAGTGGGGCTGCCGCGCGGTGCGGGGAGGATGCGGGCCGGGCGCCCAGGCCGCGGGAAGAGACGGGGAGGGCCCGCGCGCTCGCGCACCTTCTTGCGGTCCCTGACCGGCTCCTTGAGCGCCTTGATCACCAGGGCCGAGGCCGTGGGCACCACCGAGCACTTGGCCTGGCGGTTCTGGATGGTCAGCTTCACCGTCACACGCTGCGCGACAGGAGGGGAAACCGCGCCCAGGCGTGAGGACCGACCCAAGCGAGGACGCGCGGTGCCGGGGCGGCGGTGCAGGGGCCCTGCGGGGCCGCACGGGTCGGTGCTGCTCCCCGGCACAGGGCCTCTGCGCGCCTACGTGGCCGCAGGGAGAGCCTCGCGGCAGTGCGGGCGCGTGTGGGGCGCGACGCGCCGACGCCCCGCGCCTGGGCGCCACTGGCGGCCCCTGGGGCCGGCCCAGCGCGGCTGGGCGCGGCCGTGCGGCCCGCGCAGCGCTCCTGGGCTGCTCGGGCGCCGCGTGGGCGATGGGCTGCTCGCGGGCGCGCGGCGGGACGTGCGTGGGGGAGCGGACCTGGCCAGCCCAGTCCTTCTTGGTCGTCTTGGCGATGTCCTCACCAATCTTCTTTGGCGAGAGACCCAGCGGACCGATCTTCGGGGCGAGGGACGACGCGGCACCGACCTCGCCACCGGTCACGCGGAGGAAAACCTCCTGGACGGCCGTGGGGTCGAACTTAGGCGCCATCTTTCCTGCCGGAGGTCGGGGAGACGAGGGCGAACAAGGCGGCGGCTCAAAGTCTGGGCCAGCGCCCGCTGTACCTGTCCAGCGGTCGAGCGTCCACGAAAAGGACGGAGCCAGCGCCGGCCGCGCCGCATTATCCCCGGGGGGCGGCGGGCGCGCGGGACCGCGCACGGTGCCCTGACGAAGCGGGGTGTCGTCGGCGAACGCGGCCCGTCGCGGCGCTTTTCCCGCGAATTTCGGTGCGTTCCGCGATCGTTCGATTCAGGGCGTCCGCAGCGAGCCGAGAGCGCGGCGCAAGGGCCCCGCCGTGCCGCCTTGCTGGCCGCTGGGGCTGCCTGCAGACATCGCGGTGCGGGGCACCGCAGTCCGGGCCGGGTGCGGCGCGTGACGCACCACGACACGCCTGGGCTGTGGCGCGCGCCTGCGGCCTCCTGCGCGCCCTGCGTGCCGCCGGCCACGTCGACATGATGCCCAATTTCACCTCCGACACACCGTGGCCGCCCAACCCCTCCAGACGTGCGCGACACCCGCCGCCCGCGCAGGCGCTGCATCCTGGGATACCGGGCAAGCCTCTCGCGGGTCCCGCGGGCCGGCGTCGCTCACGTGTCGGCGCCGACGTGCGGCACAGGAAGACCGTCGCGCGAGTGTGTGTGCCGCAGCACCCGCCTGCGCCCGCACCGGAACGCAGGGGTTGCGTGCTGCCGCGTGGCCGGTGCTGCTCGGCGCCGCCCTCGAGGGCGAGTCGTACATGCGCGATGCGTCGACGCAGCGTTGGTGGGGGGGGGACTGGTGTTGTGTCCCGTGGGGGTGTCGTCGCCGCGGCGGGAACGAACGCGGCGTTTTGCGGCCCCGGCTGCGCGGCCAGGTGCAACAGGCATCCCCTGCGGACGAGACGCGGGCCACGTGGGCGCGGAGCGCGTCGTTCAGTTGGCACGAAACACAAAGCGGCGGCAGAGGGGCGGAGAAGGGCCCCTCGCGGGCTCGAGACGAGATGGCTCTCACGTCAGAGGAGGTCAACTACCTAGTGTACCGGTACTTGGTGGAGTCCGGTGCGTGCCCTGTCCGCTGTGGGCGTCGCGAGCGCTGCGCTTGCAGTGCCGACCTGCCGTTGGAGCGCCAGCAGGGGCCGAGGGCTCGCTCGCCGGCTCGAAAGTCATTGCTTCAGGGACGACAGGCTGAGCGAGTGCTGCTTCCGCGCCGTATATCGCGCCTGAGGCGGCTAGAAGCCATCGTGCGTTTGTGCCGTGGCGCCACTGCCGTTGCGCCTCCGCGCGTCGCGGCAGACAGCGGCCGCAGGCCCCGGCCGGTGCCGCCGATTTGAATGCTCGTGGTGCTGGGGCGCCGCATCGCCCGCCGCGCCCCCGCCGCCCCCCGCTTCGGTCCCGCCCACCGCTCGCGTCAATTTCCCACGCGCCCTCGCAGGCTTCTCGCACGCTTCCTTCACGTTCGGGCACGAATGCAGCATCGACGACACGAACATCAACCCCGACGACGTGCCGCCGGGCGCGCTGATCACCTTCATTCAGAAGGGCATGCAGTTTTTGGAGGTAGAGGCTTCCCTCAACGAAGGCGGCACAGGTGCGGACGAAGCCGCCCCACCGTTCACCCACAGGCGACGGAACGGCGCCGTAGATGCCTCGCAAGCGGCCCTACGCGGCGTTGGCCCGCCGGTTCGCGCCCCAGAGCGGAGGTGCCACCCGGGACCGCTGCCTCCGCCGCGCGTCGCCCGGTCCTCGCGCACGAGCAGGCCGTCCTTCGCTTCGGTCGCTCTGCAGACATCGAAGGCGACTTCGCGCTGCTCACCACGAAGGACCTCCTCAGCAAGAGCGTCCCGGAGCTGCGCGCGACCGTGCGGCGCCGACGCAAGCAGCTCGGGGCGCCCATGACCGAGGACGAGCCCATGGACCTCGGCAACGACCGCACCGCCAACATCAACGACGACGCCGTCCTCAAGCTCGACGGCCACAGGTGCGCCCCCCGCCGCCCATGCCAGCAACGCGCACACGTGTGTGCCCGGCCGCCGCCTCGCGGCCCGCGCGCGCCGCAACCGAGCGCCCAACGCGCCCCCGCGTGCCCGCAGTGCCGAGGTGTACACCTGCGCGTTCAGCCCCGTCGTGCGCGAGGACGGTGAGGTGGACCTGGCGACGTCGGGGGCGGACGCGTCCGCGCGGCTGTGGGAGATGCCCTCGACGGTCGCGGCGTCCGCGGACGTGGGGTCCGCGACGCTGCTGAAGCACCCGCGCGCGCGGGACGTGTCGACGATCGCGTGGAGCCCCGACGGGGAGCACCTGGCCACGGGCGCGCACGACGGCCTGGGACGCATCTGGTCGCGGTCGGGCGAGCTGCTGCACACGCTCGAGTCGCACGGGTGCGCGGAGAGACGCTCCTGCTTGTTCGTGCCGCGCGGATCGTGCGTGCGTGCGTGCGCGTTTAGACGAAGCGGGACGCGTGTTGGTCGAGTGCTGCGTGCAGGGGGGCGGTGCTGGCGGTGCGGTACAACCACGCGGGCGACATGGTGGCGACGGCGTCGGTGGACAAGACCGTGGTCGTCTGGGACGCCGCGACGGGGGCGCTGCGGCAGAAGTTCGAGACGCACACGGGGGGAGTGATGGCGCTCGACTGGCTGTCGAACGACACGCTGGCGACGGCCGGGAGCGACCGCGCGATCCACGTCGTGCAGGTCGGCGGCACCGGCACGCCGCGGACGACCTTCCTGGGCCACAAGGACGACGTCACGGAGCTGGCGTGCTCGCCGTCGCGCACGTTGCTGGCGTCGGCGTCCGAGGACAGCTGCGCGCGCGTGTGGCGGCTGCTGCCGCGCGAGGAGAACGGCGCGGAGGGCGCGGGGTCGGCCGCGGCGCCGGTGGTGCTCAAGGGGCACACGCGCGGCGTGCAGTGCGTGGCGTGGCAGCCGGCGGCGGCGCTGCGGGGCCGCGCGGACGCGACGGACGAGGGCCTGCTGGTCGCGACGAGCTCGATGGACCACGGCGTGCGGGTGTGGCGGGCGTCGTCGGGGGAGTGCGTGCACGCGCTGCAGGCGCACGCGGGGGCCGTGCACTCGGTGGCGTGGTCGCCGGACGGGCGGTGGCTGGTGTCGGGCGGGATGGACGGGAAGGTGTGCGTGTGGAACGTGCACAGCGGGGAGTGCGTGCGGCGGTTCGAGGGGCGCGCGGCGGTGCACTGCGTGGCGTGGCGGCGCGACACGGCGCAGGTGGCGGCGGCGACCGTGGACGGGCCGGTGCTGGTGTTCGACGTGAAGCTCGACGACGAGCCCGAGGCGCTCGACGGGGAGATGGAAACGGCGAGCTAGGGCCCGCGGTGGCTGGCAGCGCCCCCTGGCCGTTGCGTCGTGCGCTTGCAGGCAACTACCACTTGGCCACATTGCGTCGCTGCCTGCTCTGAGCTCGGCCGCAGCGACGCAGCGCCGCCATGGCAGGGTGCGCGTGACTGTGAGACATATCTGGCGCTGACGGCCGTCGCCCGCATTCCTGGCGTGCCGGTATCGCGGTCAGGCCAGTTGGGCACCGGTCATGCGCGTGGTCGCTACGGTGGGAAACGTTCGGCACAGCGCTTGACCAAGCAGGACAGCACAGTCCAGCATGACAGACGTTGAGCCGCGAGTGTCGCACACTTGAATCACAGACTATGACGAGCCAGACCAGGCGTTGCGCTAGGTCAGACGTTCGACGGTGCAAGAGACAGGGGCGAGCAAGGAAGGGCAGTTAGGCGTGCGTGTGCGTTCTTGTCTAGGCCGGCGCGCCCAGGGCGGGCGGCGGCGCGTGGGCTAGTGGTCCCCACGTGAATTTACGTCCCGGCCGGGCCCGCCTCCCTGCATCGGGCCCGGTGCGCGCCGCGCGGGGCCCTTACTCCGACTGCTTCGAGGCCCCGACGATGTTGGCCTGCGCCGCGGCGAGCCTGGCGATGGGCACGCGCAGCGGCGAGCACGACACGTAGTTGAACCCGAGCTCGTGGAAGAGCGCGACCGAGTCGGGGTCGCCGCCGTGCTCGCCGCAGATGCCGAGCTCGATGTTGGGGTTGGCCTGGCGGGCCTTCTCGACGGCCATGCGGATGAGCGCGCCGACGCCGGTGCGGTCGATCGACTCGAAGGGGTCGCGCGGGAGGATGCCGCCGGTGACGTAGTTCTTGAGGAACTTGGCGGCGTCGTCGCGCGAGTACCCGAAGGTCATCTGGGTGAGGTCGTTGGTGCCGAACGAGAAGAAGTCGGCCTGCTTGGCCAGGACGTCGGCGATGAGGCAGGCGCGCGGGATCTCGATCATGGTGCCGACCTTGAACGGCACGCGGACGCCCTTGGCGGCGAACACGCGCTCGCCCGCGGCGCGCACGACGGCGAGCTGGTGCGCGAGCTCCTCGGGCGTGCCCACGAGCGGCACCATGATGTGCGCCACGGGCGAGTGCCCCTTGGCGCGCACGTTGCACGCGGCCTCGAGGATCGCCTCGGCCTGCATCTCCGTGATCTCCGGGTGCACGATGCCCAGGCGGCACCCGCGCAGCCCGAGCATGGGGTTGACCTCGAAGAGCTCCAGGATGCGGTTCTTGCACTTGACGGGGTCGACGTGCATCTCCTTCGAGAGGTCCGCGACGAGCTGGTCGAGCTCCGCGCCCTCCTTCGGGATGAACTCGTGCAGCGGGGGGTCGAGCAGCCGCACCGTCACCTCGTAGCCGTTCATGGCCTTGAACAGGCCCTCAAAGTCCTCGACCTGGTAGCGCTTGAGGCGCGCGAGGGCGTCGTCCTTGAGGTGCGCGGCCTCCTCGAGCTGCTCGCACACGATCATGCGGCGCATGTCGTGGATGCGCTGCGCCGAGGCGAAGAACATGTGCTCCGTGCGGCACAGGCCGATGCCGACGGCGCCGTTGTCGCGCGCGACGCGGGCGTCGTTCGGCGTGTCGGCGTTGGTCAGCACGTCGAGCTTGCGGTTCTCCTCGACCCAGTCCATCACGCGCGCCACGTCGCCGCTGAGCGTCGGCGGCACCACCTCCTGGCGGCCCTTGACCACCTCGCCCGTGGTGCCGTTGATCGAGATCCAGTCGCCCTCCTTGAGCTCCGCGCCCGAGGTCGTCGTGAACGTCTTGGCCTTGGCGTTGATCTGGATCTGCTCGCAGCCGCACACGCACGGCTTGCCCCAGCCGCGCGCCACCACGGCGGCGTGCGACGTCATCCCGCCGCGCGCCGTGAGGATGCCCTCGGCGGCGTGCATCCCGCCGACGTCGTCCGCGACCGTCTCCACGCGCACGAGGATGACCTGGCGGCCCTCGGCGTGCGCCGCCTCGGCGTCCTCGGCCGAGAAGACCACCTGCCCGACGGCGGCGCCCGGGGACGCGGCGAGGCCCGCCGCGACCACGTCCTTGGCGTAGGCCTTGACGTCCTTGAACTGCGGGTGCAGGAGCATGTCCAGGTGCTTGGCCTCGACCATGCACACCGCCTGCTGCCGGTTGATCATGCCCTCGTCCACCATGTCGACGGCGATCTTGATGGCCGCCGCGCCCGTGCGCTTGCCGTTGCGCGTCTGCAGCATGAAGAGGCGCCCGTTCTGCACCGTGAACTCGCAGTCCTGCATGTCGTGCATGTACTTCTCCAGGCGCGTGGTGTTGTCGAGCAGGTCCTGGTAGGCCTCGGGGAAGTTGTCGGCCATGAACTTGGTGTTGATCGGCGTGCGGATGCCCGCGACGACGTCCTCGCCCTGCGCGTTGACGAGGAACTCGCCGTACAGGCCCTTCTCGCCCGTGGCGGGGTTGCGCGTGAAGCACACGCCCGTGCACGAGTTGTCGTTGAGGTTGCCGTAGACCATGGACACGATGTTGACGGCGGTGCCCTTGAGGCCCGTGATCTTGTTGATCTCGCGGTACTTGATCGCGCGCGGCACCATCCACGACGAGAACACCGCGCCCGTCGCGCGCTTGAGCTGCTCCCACGGGTCGGTGGGCACCTGCGCGCCCGCGCGGTCGCACACGCCCTTGAAGGCCGCGACCACCTCCTTCAGGTCGTCCGCCGACAGGTCCACGTCCTGCTTGACGCCCTTGGCCTCCTTGACGCCCTGGAGCGCCTCCTCGAACAGGTCGTGCGACACGTCCAGCACCACGTCCGCGTACATGTCGATGAACCGCCGGTAGCAGTCCCACGCGAACCGCTCGCCGTACTTCTTCGCGAGGCCCTGGACGACCTCGTCGTTGAGCCCCAGGTTGAGCACCGTGTTCATCATCCCGGGCATGGACAGCGCCGCGCCCGAGCGCACCGAGAGGAGGAGCGGGTTCGACGGGTCGCCGAACTTCATGCCCATCTCGTCCTCGAGCTCGGCCATCGCGTGCGCGACGTCGCGCCACACCGCCTCGGGGACCTTGCCCGCCTGCTGGAACTGCTCGCACACCTCCGTGGTGATGGTGAAGCCGGGGGGCACGTTCACGCCGATGCGCGCCATCTCGCACAGGCCCGCGCCCTTGCCGCCGAGCAGCTGCTTCATCTTGATCGTGCCGGCGGAGAAGCCCTGCGGACACGGGGGGGGCGCGGAAGATGGTGTGTGAGTGAGCGGTGGTTGGTGGTTGGCAACACGTCGCCCGGACGAGCGCGGACGGGGCGCGGCGCGGCGCGGTGACCGCCGCGCCGTGAAGATTGGTGTGGAAAACGAACGTCGCGCTGGTTGAACCGGCGTGATACCCCGTGCGCGAAGGCCGGGGCGCCCACCTGCCGGCGGCGCCGGCGAGGGGCGGACTAAGCGGTCCGGGAGGGCGTCGCGCGCGCGATCCCCGGACGCGAGCGAGAGAACGCGAACTGAAACGTGCGGAGACGAGGCGACGGCGCGCCGGGGGCGCGGGAACGCGCGCGGCGGCGGGACGCAGCGACGTGTCCGGGGTGGGGCCCGGCGCGGCTCGCGGAGACGGTATCAGGGAGAAACTGACAGCGCGAACGGTTCGCGAGGAACTACTGACCTTGCGGAAGATGAAGACGCGGGCGTCCGGGGGGCAGCGCTGCCCCATCTGCCACGGCGAAACGATCTCGTTGCCGGCCTCATCCCGGTGGACGTAGCCCCTGCGAGCGGCGGGAACGGGAACAAGTCATTCAGAATCATCCGGTCGCGGGCGCTGCAACTCGCGGGAACGCGCCACCGGGCGGGAACGCGCGGCATGAGGCCTTGCGTAACTGCTGCACGGCACGCCGTCCAGGGGCGCGTCCGGGGCACGAACGGGCGTCGCGTCGCTCGTGTGGCTCGAGCAGAGTATTGGCAAGCTTTTGCGGCGGCTGCTATAACGCGGGTACTCACTGCTTGCCGAGGAAACCCATGGCGGTTGTTTTCTTTCGCTCACTGTGCCTTGCAGGCTCTTGCAGTGGCCCCTGAGCGGTCGAGGTGGCTTTATATAATTGCTCTGTTGTCGAATGTCGCGTTCGCGAAGTGTCGCGGGGCCGCGCGGGGCCGCACCGACGAGCGACCGGCGGTTTCGGCCCTCGCCGAGGTGTCCCACCGAGAGACCCCGCGCCGCCAACTCAGGCTCCGGCGCCGCACCGAGGCGGTCGCGATGCCCCCATGCGCCTCCGAGCTTGTGCGAACCCCCCGGCGACGCCGCTGGTGCGCGGCGCAGGCGGCAGGCGGGCGCTTCCTAGGCAGGACCAACCGCCACGACGCAGGGGGCGCCCGGAGCGCCCAGCACGGAGCAGTTCCCGGCTCCGCGCGCCGCCCAGCACGTCTCACATGCAGCGTGCACGCATCCCTCGGGTTGATCTGGCCCGGCAGGGCGGGGCGACCGACCACGCGCTCTGTGCGCACTCGGGCGCGGTGACACGGCTCGCGGGCGCAGCGCGCGCGTCGCACCGGGAGCCGGGCCCGCCGCCGACCGGGACGGAGAACGCAGCTGCGCCCTCGCGCCGCCCTCGCCGCCCCTCGCGGTACGCGACGACGACGGCGACGTGCCCTCTCTCGTTCGGCGCGTGCTCAGGCGTCCGCGCCCCCGCCCCTCCGCGCAGGTGAGTCTAGCCACGCGCCCCGCCGCATGGCACGGCGACGCCGCCCCCCGCGCGCCGCTTCCCCGGCGCGCCTCTGCACGCGTCTGAGCCCTCACAGCACATGCCTAGTTCCTAGTCCCAACAGGGCAGGCGGACTGACTCGGACGGCCGTCCCGCGCCGCCGCGACGCCGCGCGCGCGACGCCCGGCCCCGGCGCGCGGCGCGGGCGTCACGGACGTCACCCGCGGCCCTTCCCGGCCACCTTGACCAGACCCCTGGCGCGGCGGAGGTAGAAGTTGTAGTCCACCGCGCCGCCCGCGGACGTGCGGAGCGCCTCGCCCATGCACGTCTCGAACGACTGCACGTGCTTGTAGCACGCGCCGCCCTCGAGCGAGTGCAGCCCCAGCGGCGTGTCCCTGTGCCGCTGCACGTGGTGGGGGTGGGCGGACGGCTGCGTTGTGTGCACGTGCTGCGCGCAAGACGCGGAGCGCGCGCAGAGCCCGCACGGGGGCGCCCGCGGCGACTTCGTGCGTCGCCGCGCGCGCCCGCCGTCGATGGCTAGGGTGGGCGGGATGGCCGGTCGCGGGGGGCGCGCGAGGGGCGTGGGGGGGGCGGGTGCGCACCAAGACACACGTGAGCAGCTGCTGCAGCTCCGCCTGGCACTTCACTTGTCGCTTCGGAGGGTCCGGGAGCAGCCCTGCCTGCAGTGCTCGCATCTTGCGACCCATCGCGGCCCCCTCGGCCGAGCGGCGAGCCCAACCCCGCCTCGCACGGACGCCGTTCGATCTAAACTCGCCGGGCGGGCAGCGGGGCGCCCGGATCACGGCCAGCAGGCCCCGCTGTGCGCCGAACGGGCCCGCGCGCGTGCTTGTGCGGCTCGCCTCTCCCGCTGCGGACGCCACAATGCGAAGTTCGTGTCTCTGGTGCTCCAAGAGGTCGCGAGGACGGGTTCTGGGCCGCCGCGGCCGCGCCGGGACCCCTCAGCGGCGCGCGGCGCGCCGGGGCTGTCCAACACACACGCTCCCCCAGTGCCACGCGCTGGACCCGTGGGACGCCCTCCGCGCCTTCGGCTTGCCGCCGCGGCCCCCCGCGCACACACCGCGACGAACCGAACCGCCCCGGCCGGTCGCGCCCTGCACGCGACGGTACGTACGTGTCGTCTCTCGTGCCTTCGCTCCTTCGCGCCTAGCAAACCGCACCCTGGGCTCCCGCGACGGTCGTTCCCGGGATCTGCCGTCCCCCGCGCCCCGTTCTCCTTCCTAAGGGCACGCGCGCGATGGAAGCGCAGCCGCTCGGCGCGCCGAGCGGCGGCACGGGCGCCTCGAAGGCAGCGCCCCAAGGTGGCCCGGTGCCCAGCGCGGCCCCGCAGCCGCTGCCGGCCACGGCGCTGCACATGCCCGTCCTCGGCGCGCTCCCCGTCGGCAGCGTGCCCATGCCGGCGGCGCCGCAGGGCATCCCGTTCGCGCAGATGTACCCGAACCCGTTCTTTGCCTACGGGGCGCTCAACCCGGTGATGGCGTCCGCGTACAGCGCCGCGATGGCCGCGCTGGGCGGCGCGCGGCAAGGACAGGCGGATCCGCTCGCGTTCATGCAGCAGATAGCCGTGCACCCGCCGATCGCGGGCGTCCCGGGCTTTGCTAGAGAGGGCGCGCCGGAAGGCTTCCAGGCACGCCGCCCGGGCCCGCGAGCGCGTGCCGAACGCGTCGAGTGTGCGCGCGTGCTCGCGTGAAGACGCAGGGGGCTGCGGTGGCGCGGTCGCCCCGGTCACTGCGTCGACGGGCGCGTGCTGCGGGGCGATGCAGCGCCTGCGAGTTAGGTGGGCCCGGTCCGCGCTCACGGGCGACGCGCTGCCTCCGCTGCCCGCAGGCACAGTTCCCGTCGCTGCAGGAGGTCGGCTCGCTGGCGTTCCCCTGCATTCACCCGTCCGCGACGCCGCAGGCGCACCCGGAGCCAGCCACGCACGCACCGCAGCCCGTCGTGCCCGCCGCGGCCCCCGCTTCGGCGCCGCAGCCCGCCGCGGACGCGCCCGCCGAGGCCCTCGCGCGGGCCCCGGAGCCCACGGCGCAGCCGGAGGCCCGCCCCGCGGACGCTGCGGCTGCGCCCGCCGCGGAGGCGCGGGAGGTCGCGGGGGCGCGCGGGGAGGGGCGGCCGCGGCGCAACGGGCGCCAGTTCAACATCCAGATCCACATCAACCTGAGCGTCCTGTTCAAAGTCTTCCTCGGTGGTATGCTGCTGTACTGGCACATGGGGATGTCGGCAGCAAGACTGGCCCTGCGTGAGTGCCCAGACCCCCCCCGCGCCCTTTCACAGCCGCGTCTGCGCTCGCACGCGCCGCTGTGGCCACGCACCGGCCTGGACGGCGCCCCACGCGGCGGCTGCGCCCCCCCCCTCCCGCGTGTGCAGTTCTGGGGGTGCTGGTGGTGTTTTGGGCCCTGAACAAGGTGATCGCGGTGGTCGTGAAGAAGATGCTCGGGCACCGGCGGGCGCGCGGGCGGCAGGACGGCGCCGGCGACGCGGAGGGCGACGCGGACCCCCCCCCGCGCCCGCCCGGCATGCTGTGGGAGGCGGTGTCGTGCGTGGTGTGCTTCGTCACGTCGCTGCTGCCGGGCTTCGACCGCAACCACTTCCAGGCCCGCGCGCCGCGCCCGCGCGCCGCACCCGCCGCGAACCGCCCGCACGCGGACTAGCCAGGGCGCGTGCGACGGGCACCCTACGCATGTGCTGCGCGCGCGTGACCTGGCACCGAGAGAGAGACGCCGCGACGCCCCCCGTGATACTACGTGGTAGCTGCGCGCGAGTGCGACGTTACAGCAATTCGGCGAAGGGGCGCGAGTGACACCCCCGCGTCTGTGGGCGGAGCGCCCAGGGCAACAGTAGAGCCTCGCTGCTAGTCTGTGAGCGCCTTGAGCTCCTCGAGGAGGTCCGCGAGGTTGCCGTCGAGCCCCGTCTTGCTGCCCGAGGCCTCAGACTCGCTGCCGCGGTCCGTCAGGGGGTGCGCCAGGAGTCCCCCTGGGGCGTGTGCCCGTCCCGGTGCCCGCGGCGCCTCGTCGTCGCGGTCGTCGTCGCCGGCGACGACCCGGATGTTCCACTCGTTGCCGTCGGGGTGCAGCGGCGCCGCGTCCGCCGCCGGCGCTGCGGCGGGCGCGAGGCCCCCGGGGACCTCCGCCGCGCGCTGCTGCGCCGCCCGGCACAGCTCGCTCGCGCAGTCCGGATTCGGCCGCACCGGCATCGTCGAGAAGTGGTCCTTCATCGCGCCGTACCCAACGAAGTCCGACACCTGCGGCACGTCGGGCGGCGTCGCACGGAGCGGTGTCGCAGGCTGTGCGAGCACACGGGGGCACGCGAGGCGGAGCGCGGCTCGCTCGCACGACGCGGGGCGCTCGCGCGGACCTGGCCGAAGGAGAGCAACGTTTTCAGCGCGGCCTGCGCGAGCAGCGCGGCCACGAGGCCCATAGTGGTGGGCAGGCTGGCGGCGCACACGCCCTCGCGGCGCAGGGTGCTCTCGTCGACCCCGCTGGCGACCGCGAGCGGCGGCGCGCACTCGTAGCACGCCGTGCGCCCGGGCGTCACGCGCTGCACGTGGCCTGACAGGGCGTCCTCAGACACCCCCGACTCCAGAAAGTCCACCCCGAGCTGCAGGCACGCGCGGTTCACCGCCAGGCGCGCGTTGTAGTTGTCCACGCAGCACAGGACGAGGTCCACGGGCCGCCCGCGCGGGCGCTGCGCGGCGGCGTAGGTGCCGATGGCCGGCGTGGCCTTGGAGGGGGGGTTCTCGGCCTGGCCCGACAGGGCGCCGACGAGGGCCGCGTGTCCGCGGACGGTGGCGACGTTGATGCAGTGCGCGTCGACGGCGACGTCCGGGTTGATGGCGCCGAGCGTCAGCCGCGCGGCGTCCACCTTGGCCAGCCCGACTTGGTCAGGGCGGTAGAACAGCCGGTTCATGTTGGCGAGCTCGACGCGGTCGTAGTCGAAGAGCACCAGCCGCCCGATGCCGCAGCGCGCGAGCATCTCCGCGGCGACCGACCCCACGCCCCCCACGCCCACCACCGCCACCGTCATCCTCCTGATGCGGTCAAACTCCCGCACGACGCCCATCGTCTGCATCGCCATCACCCTGCGCACAGCACGAGGCTAGGCCAGCGCCGCGTCGGGGCACGACGAGCGAGCTCGCTCTCCAACACGGCCACACACGTCCACACGGCACGTGTCCCTCCAGCCGCGCCCCGCGCGCCTCCCGCGGCGGAAGCTCGGTTCGCGCGCGACCGGACGCATGATACGAGCACGTACGGGCCGCGCGGGCGTGCGTTGGCGGCGTTGCGGACGGGGCGCGGCAGGAGCGGGGGTACCTGGAGTATGGGTTGGACGCGGAGACCTCGCTCGACATCGCGGACCGCGGCGCGCCGGACGCGTGGGTGTGTCGCTTGGGAGCCGGCAGAGGGACCTGCGTGGCCGCGGCCTGCTGCACGTGCTGCGTGGCGGCCTTGACCGCCTGCGTGATGTCGCTGACTTGCGCTTGCAGCTTCCGGACCTGCTGCTCGACCGACGACGGGTCCAGGCGCTTCAGGGACCCCGTGAGCCTGCTGACCTCGCGGTGCAGGTCCGGGAGCGGCGACTCCGCCATCCTGCGCCCCGTTGCTCGCTAGCGTGCCACGACAGCCTGGTTTCGGGGCCCGCTGCCACGCGTTGCGGGCCCGCGATGACGTGGCCTCGCGTCAACACGAAGGCACTCTCTATGTCCGTGACGCGTGTCCAAGGCCAGGCCTCCCGGTCGTCGGTCCACTGATTCCCGCCGTGCAAGCTCGGGGGGCAAAGGGGCGAGGCGGGAACGCACACACGGCCTCAGCGTGGCCGCACCGCACCGTATTTGCACGTCGAGCTCGACGAGCAGCGTGCCCGGCGCCCCTGTTCTGCCGTGCGGACACAGCGCCCTTCACCGTCGACACGAGGCCGGGCGGGGAGGAGTGGCGTGTACGCGCCAGGTACGACGCGACTATGAGATGGGGCGTGCGGTCCGCGGTGCCGCAGTGCGAGGGACCACCGCGAGTGTCTCGGCCTGCCGCCAGCGCACACAAGCCTCGTTGACTGGGTTCGAGAGGTGGGGACGCGGTGGGTGCGGTGCGGCGGGGAGGTGGTTGGCGCGACGGGGGATGCTGGCGCTGCGCTCGCTCCGAGCGGCGCGGGGCGCGGGCTGTGGACTGTGTGGCCTGTGGGAGGGGCGATGGGCGTCGACGGCGGCGGAGGCCTACCGGTTAGACTCCGAGCTGCAGGGCGCGGATCCCCCCGTGGAGCTCCCCACGTGAGTCGCGCGACCCCGATGCTGCCCTCACGCATCCGCGAGGACGGTTGCGAGTGCCGGTTCTCCGCGCGGTGATATGCGCCCCATCGCCCAGCGCGGCGCGCTGCTCGTGCGTGCCTGGGAGGCGAGCAGGTGCCGCAGCACGAATGGCCGGGGTGTCTCGAGCTCGTGTGGCGCGTACCGAACGACTATCGTTGGATTACGTTCATTCCGCTGCCGATCGTCTGACGTCCGAGTCCCCCGTGCCCGCCTGGCGCAGGTTCGTGGGCGACCGCAGGGCAGCCGAGCTGCGGAAGCGGCCGTTGGCCCCGACGTTGCCGCTGGCCGAGGCGATCGCGTGGGCTCGGGAGCGAGCCGTTGAGCTGTCGAAGCAGCGCCAGGAGAAGGGCGGCAAGGGCCTCCTCGGTGCGTCCCCCAGCCCCCGGCGCACGCAGAGAGAGTGGCACAGCCGCGGGCGACGACAGCCTCCCGCCACCGCGCGGGCAGACCCGTCCACCCACGCACATGCACCGACCCGCCTTGATCGCGGCGCTCAGACGCCGCGATGTGCGTGTGTGTGGAGCAGCACGCGTCGCGCTGCACGCACACCTCCGCTCCCGCGCACGCGACGACCGCAGGCTCGCTCGACGTGCACTTCCGGCTGAGCGTGGACCCGAAGAAGGGCGACCAGGTCGTGCGCGGCGCCGCGGTGCTGCCCCACAGCACCGGCAAGGCGGTGCGCGTGGCGGTGTTCGCGGAGGGCTCCGCGGCGCAGGCCGCGATCGAGAGCGGCGCGGACGTCGTCGGCGGCGAGGAGCTGATCGAGGAGATCTCCCGCAGCGCCGGCAAGTCGGTGGACTTCGACAAGACGATCACCACGCCGGCGATGATGCCGCGCGTGGCCAAGGTGGCGCGCATCCTGGGCCCGCGCGGGCTGATGCCGAACGCCAAGCTGGGGACGGTCACGCAGGACGTGGGCCCGCTCGTCGCGCAGATGAAGAAGGGCCGCGCCGAGTTCCGCGTGTCGCGGGAGCGCCTGATCTGTGCGGGGCTCGGGCGCGTGAGCGAGGACGGCGCGACGGATGGGCCGCTCGCGGAGAACCTCGCGGCCTACACCGCCGCCATCCTGGACGCCAAGCCCAAGGTGCGTCGCGAGTGCGCCAGTTGGCGTGCGTGTGTGTGGACGACGACGACGCGAACGCGCGCCGCGCTGTGCGGGGGCGCGACCGGCGCGTCTCTGTGCGTGTGGGTGCAGGCGGTGAAGGCGGCGGGGATGCGCGGGTACATCTCGTCCGTACGCGTGTGCACGACGTTTGGGCCGTCGGCGCTGGTCGACCTGGCGACCGTCGAGCGCGCGGTGCGGGACTACCGGGCCAAGGGCGCGGGGATGTGACCGCCCGCTCGTGTGACGCGGGGGCGAACTCTGTCGCGCACTCGTGTCAGGGCAACGCGGCAGGACCCTGCTCCTGGTGCGTGCAACCTCAAGACCAAAGCTCCACTGTGCGGCCCGTAAACGGTGTTTTGGGCGGCGTGTTTCGGCGGCGCAGTCGCCTCTCTGTTCGCTAGAGACGCGTCCGTGATCCGGCGGCGCACGGTCCTGCCTGGCGCAGCTCCCCGCCGAGTACGACCAGTGCACTGGCATGTGTCGCGTCAGAGAAGCGTGGGAGGCGAGCGAGGTGTACCGGCGGCAGGACGCCGCGAAGCCACAGAAGACGCACGTGACGCCTCCTCGCGACCTTCAACCGCGACCGGAGCAGCAGCGCGTGGACACGGCGGCCTACTACAGCTCCCTTGGCGTGCCGGGCGCAGGCAATGCCGTGTCAAGGCAGCTGTTCGAGGGCACGCAGGCAGCTGGCGCGTTGCCCTCCCAGCCGGCATCGTTGTTGCCAGCGTCACAGACGCTGCTGCCGGTGACGAGCTCCGCGCAAGTGGTCGAGACGCAGCCCAAGAGTCCCCGGGCACAGCCCCTGGCCGTCGCCCCACACATCACCGCGGAGGTCGTCCTCAGCAAGGCCCTGTCTCAGTGGGAGTTGTTTTGTGCGGGATGCCGCAAGGGCAGGTACACGAACATGGCACTCCAAGATTTCTACCTCAACTCGACTGGCCCCGACGGCAAAGAAGTGCCGTTCTTCTGCCAGTACGTCAACCGCAAGTGCGGCGGGACATGCGACGTCTGCGCCGGTCAAACGGGGGACGCATGCGAGTGCGGTGATGCAGGTGCTCTTTGGCTCTCAGTAGACTGATGTGACGCGCCATCGCCGGCCTGCTGTCCGGCACACGTCGTCCCGGAGTCATGTGAGCCCGCAGGCCGGATTACAGCGCGATCGGGGGAGGTCGACCTGGGGCCCGCCAGCGGTGGGGGCAGGCTGAAACACAAGGGGCACCGAGGGCGGTTCCGCAAATCGCGCTTTATGGCCCCGTGCCGCCCGCCCTCGCGAGATGGTGGCCTCGGAACGGCCCTGCACGCGCTGAAAATCGTGCTAGCGTGAATTTGTCGGCAGCACGTGCGGGAATGTGTTGCTGGGGGAACAAAATTGTCGTGGGCGGCGCGCAAAGAGTACCTGGGTGCTAGATGTGACGCACAGGTGCGATTACGCATAATGTCAGTCCAGGGGGGCGCGATTCACGCCCTTTCGCGGCCTGTGCACCACGGAATCGGCCGGAAATCCCCCCCCGACCACAGCCTGGCGAGTATAAGGCCTGGGCGCACAGGACGACGAGCGCGCAGCACTGGCGCGCAATAGGGCTGGTCCGCGCCGTGCCAGAAGCAGTCTCGTGATCTGCGCGCAGCCGGGCTACTGCACCGCTGCAAGGGCCGTTGTTGCTGCGAGAATCGAGGGAGAGGCTGTGGATCAGGGTAGCCGACTGAGTGGGGCTTCTCGCGGACGCTGCGCCGTACACGTCCGCTCCCACGCTGTGCTGAGCAGTCGCTGTTCGGCGGGCTGTGCGGTGCTGCGAGGTTCGTCACCCGCTGGGCGTTGTGGTCACGGCACGTTTCAGCCAAGCACCCCGTGCGAGCGGCGGAGCTTGTGCGCGCAGTCGGGCGGCACGGGCGAGTGCGCTTTGACAGCCACGGCATCGGAGGCCCGAAGGGTCGCAGAACCGCGGGGATTCACCCGCGTTCGGTGAGCAGGTAGCGCACTCGACCCTGCTGGGCCCGTGCGGTCGGGCGAGGCCCTCCGCTGGCAACACGCCTCCGTGGCCGGCGTTTCGGAGCCCGAACAGCCTGATGGAGCAATGCGTGCCTGCTCCGCCCCCAGCGCCGCGCCTTGCGCCCACCCACGGACGGGCGCATTCGACGATGCCGTGCGTCGTCTGAGAGCTGCCACCTCCCCTGAAGCTGCCGCAGGACCGACTGACGCGTCGCCCGCGGCACGGGCGTCTCTAGCTCCGCCGAGGCATTGCGTCGAACGATGCGCAAGATCTCGTCGCTTTTCGCGGCCGCGGCCGGCCTCGTGTTTGCAGCGCTGCTGTCGTCCGCCGCAGCGCAAAGCTGCACCGCCTCGACGCTCGCGGGCTACGACTGCATGTCGACGCGGCCGTTCGGCGACATCGTCATCCACTGGGTCGAGCCGTCCGCCGCCGTCGCAAGCAGCAACACGCCGACCGTCACGCTCGCCATCCAGGGCCCGGAGCGCAGCTACATCGCCCTCGGCTGGTCCCAGAACGGGTGCGGCCCCGCCACGCGACGCGCGGAGAGCGCAAGCGCAGCGGCCTCGCGCGCCCCGTGTCGCAGCCAGAGCCGCCCCCCGCCGCAGTGCTCACTCAGTGTTGACGCTGCTCACGTTCCGCCCGGTCCCGGCGCAGGTTCATGGTGCCTGGGTACGCGGTGTTCGGCTGGACGGACGGCGCGACGGGCACGGTGCAGGTCCGCAGGCTGTCGGGCAAGTCGTCGTCCTCGGTGACGCAGGGCAGCGACGTGACGCTCACGAACGAGAGCATCGAGGTCAGTGGCGGGCGGTACACCATGCGCTTCACCGTCGAGGCCGCGGGCAGCGGGAACTCGGCGGAGCTCCCGCTGCTCAGCCCCACGGGCTCGAACAGGTTCATCTGGGCGCTAGGGTCGTCGTCCAACCCCAAGGGCACCATCGCGACGCACGCGACGCGCGAGACGAACGTGCAGCTGACGATCAACCAGGCCGGCGCGGCCACGACGGCGGCGCCGACCACGACGGCGCCGCCGGGCACGACTGTGGCAGGCGCCACACCTGCGCCGACGACGCCCGCCCCGGCCGGGACCGCGGCGCCGCAGGCCACGAACGCGCCGCAGGCCACGAACGCGCCGCAGGCCACGACCGTCGCGCCGACGACGGCGCCGCCTGCGTCCGGGTGCGGCGACGCGCAGGCGTCGACTCTGGCCAGCGCGGGCTTCACATGCATGACGTCGCCCAGCGCAGGCGTCAACGTGCACTGGGCGACGCCGAACGCCGGGGCTGCGAGCGTGCGGTTCGCGATGGAGGCCGCGGACACGTCGTACATCTCCGTCGGGTTCGCGCAGTCGCCCGGCGTGATGATCGGCAGCACCGCCGTCATCGCGTGGGTGGACAACGGCGTGGCGTCGATCCGCGCGTACGAGCTGCAGTCCAAGGTGCAGGCCGGGATCGTGCCGAGCTCGTCCGTCGCGCTCACCGACGCGTCCGTGCAGCTCGTCGGCGGCAACCTGCTGATGCAGTTCACCATCCCGACGGCGCGGCGGCGCGGCGGACGCGCGCTGCAGAGCCTCCCGACGACGTCGGGCGCCACGCAGATGCACTGGTCGCTCGGCAGCGCCGGGAACCCGAAGGGGCAGCTCACCACGCACGCGACGCGCGGGTCGTTTGCGGTGTCGCTGGAGAGCGGCGCGGTGGCGTCGGTGGAGAACCCGCTGCACGACGTGTACGTCACGCACGGGGCGCTGGCGCTCACGGCGTTCGCGTTCCTGTACCCGGTCGCCGTGGCGTTCGCGGCGTTCCGCAGCGGCATGCGGGTGAGTCCACGGAGCTGCCGAACAGCATGGCTTTGGTGTTGCTGGACATTCATCGTTTATCCCTTTGTTCCCGCATGTTCTTCATTCATGTGCGCTTGTTGCCTTCCGGCGGCCGCACACACCGTTCATCGCAAGGCGTACCCCATCATCTGCGAACCCACCGTCCTGTCCGAGCGCACCGCCCGCCCGTGCAGGAGGCGAAGAGTCCGTGGGGCACGGACGTGTGGTTCGAGGTGCACCGGGCGTGCTCGACCATCGCGCCCATCCTGGCGCTGAGCACGCTGATCTACATGATCATGGAAATGAAGGACAGCGGGGGCCACACGCACGACACCATCCTCGACGTGCACGTCGCGTTCTCGTACGTGCTCGTGGCGCTGGGCGGCGCCAACGCGATCAGCGGGTGGCTCCGTCCGGGCTTTGACAAGAGCTGGCGGAAGATCTGGTTCTGGGCGCACCGCGTGACGGGGATGACCGTGGTGCTCCTCGGCATCGTGCAGTGCTGCCTGGGCATGAGCCTGATGGCGGACCGCGACGACGACACGGACGGCATGATCGCCGCGTTCGGCGTGTTTGGTGGGGTGGCGCTGGTGACGGCTGTCGCGCTCGCCGTGTCGGCGGCGACGTACGCGCCCGCCGCGGTCAAGGACACGTCGCACAACGGCACCAACGTGCAGGCGTGGTCGTGATCGAACGCGGACTGGCGGACCTTGTGACCCGATGAAACTCTTGTGCGCCGTGCGCCCTGGTCCAAGGCTTTTGCGCGTGGCGTTGCCGGCAAAGGTCGCGCGAGATATCTGAGCGAAACGTCGGCGCGTGGGCGGCGAGACGGTGATGCCGAGCAACGTATCGGGGCACCCACACACGGTGCCATGACAGGGCGAACGCGGCAACGCGTGCCGCCCTGACGCACACGTCGCCTCCCCGCTCACAGCGATGGCGTGCTCGCCGGACTCCGTCGCGCCGCACGGCCGCCACACCCCCAAGGCGCCGGCGCCACCACCGTGCGTGGCCCGCACCTCGAAACACGACGTGCTCCTTCCGGACGGCCCGTTCGACGGTCGGAGTCCCGGAAGCGCGCGGTCAGGCGAACTCCTCGAACTGGATCACCTTGACCGTGCTGCCGAACTTGTCGCTCACGTGCGACACGGCCTTTGCTGGCAGGGTGAGCTGCCCCTGCTTGACCGGGCCCGCGAGCCCCGACTCCAGGAAGTAGTCCACGCTGCACGTGCCGCCCAGCTCGTCCTCGACGTACCTGCGGTCGACGTTGCGCGCGTCGCGCGTTCAGCGCAGTGTCGCGCGACGGCACTGTACCAACTGAAAGTCGCTCGCGGGGGCGGCGGTGCGGGCGGAATAGCTCGGTCCAAGTTGTGATCGAGCGCAACAGCTGTATCCAAGGCCGATCGCGCGACGTCGCTGGGCGGAGCGGCGTCCTGCGCCGCGGAAGACCCCCGTTCCTGGGGCTGCGCACCTGCACGTCGCGTCCGCTTCCTCGCGCGCGGCGTCCTCGTGCCATATGATGAGCCAGACGCCCACTCTGTCCGAGCTCGACAGCTCCTCCATCCGCCGCCCGCGCCCGTCCTCCTTCAGGCTCTCCTCCATGCCCTCAGCCCCAAACACCACCGAGGCCTTCCTGTCCTGGCGCTGCACCGCCAGGTTCAGCCGCGCCGGGTTCCAGGCCTGGTGCATCCCAGCGTCCTCGCGGTACGGCTCGTGCCCGGGCTCGTATCGCAGCACGCGCCCCGTGCGCTCGTCCACCTTGTGCTGAATCTCCCGCACCACGTCCGGGCCCGCCACCGGCTCCGCGCCCGCCGCCAGCGCGAGCGACGCGAGCAGCGCGAACAGCAGGACGCAGGCGCGCATGGCGCCCGGCATTCCTGTCCCGCGGGGCGCGCAGGCCGAGCGCAAGCGTTGCCAGCAAGACAGCAGGAAACGCCCTCGTACGACGCGTGCACGTCAGTCGCCACCGACAGAAGTGCACGGCTGAGAGCTACAGCGTGCCGAAGTGCGCTGGAGCGCGTCGTGGGGCAGCCAAGTCGACGAGCACGACTCTGACGGCGGGTCTATAGGTCCCAGTCCTCGCCAGAGTCCCCAACCGTCGCTGAGGGACGCTGGGGCGCTGCGCGCGCGGCGGCCGGCACTCGCGCGCGCCCGAGCTCGTTCGGGCACTCCGCGACACATCGCGTGCGGGCGCAAGATGCCCGCGGAGCCGGACCACCCACTGGCCGCGGCTGGAGCGGCGCTCCACGGCGCCGTGCGGGGGGCGGAACGCGCGCTGTATGACCTCCAGCGCCGTCTCAAGACGAGCGGCGACGCTGTGCGAGCTGCGGGCCAGGCGGCGTTCGCCAACATGCGGGGCTCGCTGCGTCCGGCGGCTGCAGGCTTCGCCTCCGTCACCGTCTCCACCGACCAGGTGCGGGCGCCCTCCCTGCGCGACCTCCTCGCATTGTATCAGCGCTGGCCCCGGAACCGAGGCATCACGACATCGTGTCGGTCTTTCGCCCGCGCGAGCGAACTGGTCCTCCCGCGGTGAAGACGCCAAGCTCTACGCGCGGATGCCCGCAAGCCCTGTGTTCTCGCTCTCCGCCGCCACATCACTCGAGGCTCGGGCTCGTGGAGGGCCGCGCACTGTCCGTTGGCGAGCGGTGCCCCCCCCGCCGGCGAGCGTTGCACCCGCGGGCAGATAGACCGCCGCCCAGCGTCGCCGTGTTCGCGCGCATGCCAGCGTCGCCGCGCCTGGCACGCGTCCTTCGCATACAGAGCCCCTCTACGACCGCCGCTGGTCTGCCTGCAGGCCCCCCAGCCGTCGAGCGCCGAGGGCCTGCAGTCGCACCCGCTGCCCGACACGCCGGGCGGGAAGAAGAAGAAGAAGAAGCGCGACAAGCCGGAGCGCATCACGAGCGAGAACCGCGAGCAGGTCGCCGCGGAGCTCCGCGCGCTGTCCCCGGAGGAGTACAACGCGCTGTACAGCGCCGTGCAGCGGGCGGTGGACTCGAGCGTGGAGCTCCCGGAGAGCTTCCTGGAGCGCGTGCGCGACATCCAGGAGCGCAACACGGGGTTCAAGCCCTTCGAGCACGTCCGCACGCTGGCGGACATGAAGGAGGCGGTCCGCCTGGCGCAGCTGCGGCTGAAGCGCGGCGCGGGGCGGCCGACGTTCGGGGTGAATTACGAGGAGGAGCGGAAGCTGCTGGACCCCGTCGCGCTGCGGCCGGGCGCGGAGAAGATGGAGCTGAGTCCGCAGCAGGTGGCGGAGCGGTGCAGCCTGACGCTGGTGGGGGAGGGGTGTTTCACGACGCCGATGCCGGTGCTCGGGGCGCTGCACGGGGCGTTCGCGACGCGCGACGGCGGGTGGGCGATGTACGCGTGGCCGGAGAAGGCGCAGAAGGCGCTGGCGAAGGGCTACGGCGGCAAGGGCGTGGACGAGGTGGCGCTGGGGCAGGGGATCTACAGCGACGCGATCGCGGCGGCGAGCAAGATGGAGCTGACGGTCGCGATGATGGCGTCGCGCGACCTGCCGCTCGCGGAGGCGCAGGACAGGTACGGCGGCAGGCTGCGCGCGGCGCTGGAGCGGCTGGGCCCGACCGAGGCCGACCGGGCGGACTGCGAGAAGCTCGTGGGGATGTTCGACCCGCGGCGGGTCGAGCTGTTGTCGTGGGTGGACGGGAAGAAGGCGGCGATGAAGCGCGACACCATGGTGTGGCTCTCGCCAGTGGGCAAGGCGATGGTGGTCGAGGCGACGTCGCCGGGGCGGCTGGTCGACAAGAAGACGACGCGGCTGGGGGAGATCAAGAGCGCCAAGGTGCAGCGCGCGGTGTACGAGGTGCTGCTGGGGCCGGAGCCGGCGGACCCCGTGGGGAAGCTGGCGGTGGGGTACGGGCTCTGTCAGGCGGCGCACGGGGAGCTGATCAGGCCCGCGGACCTGGTGAAGAAGAAGGAGGCGAAGAAGAAGGAGAAGAAGGCCAAGAAGGAGAAGAAGGAGAAGGAAAGCACGGAGGGGGCGAAGGCGGACGCGGGAAGCAAGGCGGCGCCGTAGCACGCAGACAAACGTCCGCTCGAGTGAGCCGCTCAGTCGCGTCGGCGCTCCGTTGCGTCACAGATGTGTCCGGCCGCTACTCGCTGTCCTTGGGGGCGCCCTCCTCGGTCGACATCTTGTCCTCGGTCCACTCCTCCGACAGCGTGCCGATGATCGTCACCGTGCCGTCGTGCAGCATCATGTCGTCGAGGACGAAGTCGAGCGCGAACGCCGTGTGCGCCGGCGTCATGTCCGAGATCCTGCGCACCGGCGGCAGCGCAGGCTCGTAGATGTTGCAGCACAGCACGTAGTCGATGTACGCCCCGCAGTAGTACGTGTTCAGCATCTCCCGGTACTCCGCGTCCGTCGTCTCCGCGCGCACCACCGTCCGCCCGATCGCGCACACCGACTGCCGCGCCGCCTTCGGGCCCTGCCCAAACGCCCGCACCTCCTCCACCGTGAACGCCCGCATCTCCGCCTCCGGCACCTTGCGCACGCACGGACAGCTCTCGAATGTCCAGTACTTGTCCGGCGTCCGCGCGGGGCGGTGCTCCGAGCGCCTGACGCGCGCGATCCAGTCCGGGTCCACGCCGTGCTTCTCCAGCCCCAGGGCGATGACGCGGACGTAGCGCTCCGAGGGCAGCGGCGGGACCTCGCGGGGCGCGTCGTACCAGAACACGCGCGCCTCCACGCCGCGCGCCTCCGCCCCGGGCGGCAACAGCGCGCTGCTGGGGGAGCCCGGCGCGGCGGGGACGGTGGCCTCCATCGTGTCGCCCTGGACGAGCCCGGGGCCGTACGGGTGCGCGAGCACCGCGCGGTGCGTGTACGCGCGCTCGACGTACGCCAGGTGGTCGAAGTTGCCCTTGGTCATCGCGTGGAGCACCCCGTGACACTCCGCGTCAGGGGCGTCGTCTTTCGTGATGTTCGCGAACCCCCCCGGCAGGTCGAACGTCAGCCTGCGCGGTGCGGGCGTGGACGGTGAGCGCCGGGGCGACGCGCGTGCGGGCGGGCCGGCCGCGGGTGCGGCGCTCGGCGGGTTGCGTCGCACCTGTAGCCCTGGATTTTTGCCGGGAAGCCGACGTCGCTGATGACGCCGCGGCGACGCATCGCGACGGGGTTGCACATTGCGCCGAACGAGAAGTACCACATCACGTCCTCGCCGTTGCCGTCGCGCGCGGGCCGGGCGTCGCCCTGTGCCATGGTGCGCACGCACTCTCGGGGAGACCACGCGCAGGTCGCGCTCAGAGGGAGCGGGCGCCTGTCGACAGCGTAGCTGCGTGGCCTACGAGTTACCGTTTCCTCTAGGCCACGCGATCCCTTCAGGATCGACCGAATTTTTCCGGGAGCGCGCCCTGAGGGCGGGGATCGGCGGACGTGAGCTAATGGTGGCTCCGCGCCGTGTGTGAGGAGGTGATGTGCAGCGGTTTTGGCCGTTTTGAGGTCGCGTTGCCTGCAGCTCACGCAGCCGGCGCGGTGCGCCGTGACGTCGCGGCGAACCGCCCTTGCCGCCACCGCCAAAGCTCCCAGCCAGGCCTAGCGCGCCTCCTGCGTCTCGATCGCTATTCCTGTACCAATCGGCGTCCCGCCAGTCACAGTACACGACGCCTTGCGCCCACGGCGATGATATCGGCCGTCGCGCACGAGCGCCTGCAGCGCACCGGACGTCCCCGACTCCCCCAGTTGCAGCAACTCGCACCGCGCGTCTCGGTCGCCGCTCCGCACGGGCGGCCGCGTCCCGGCGCCCGCTGCACGGCCCGGGCAGTCGCTGACACATTCGATCACAGCGCCGTCACGGCGCGGCGGGCGGCCCCGGCAGCCCCTCCTCGAGCGCGTGCAGGAAGCGAGCCTCCGCCTTCGTGGTCATCACCTGCGTCCGCGCCATCTCCTCCACGTCCGCCCCGCACTCGCGGTAGACCCGGTCCACCGCGGCCCGCCACGCCCCGCGCTCGCCCCCCGCCGGCAGCCGGTCCAGCAGGTGCTTGCGCAGGGCCAGCATCATCATCACGCACTCCACGGGCGGCACGGGCGCCCCCGCGCGGTGCGCGAGCAGCGCGCGTAGCCGCGCGGCCGCGCCCCTCCGGCGCACCATCAGCGGGTCGCCCTGGTTCGATGCGAACCGGCTCTCGTCCTCGGCCTGCGCCAGGTCCAGCCGGACCTCCGAGGTGTGCAGGCGCTCCAGCGGGCGGAAGTACGCGCGCCCGCCGATGCGCGACACGCTACCCGACGCCGACACCACGCTCGGCGCGTCCTCGTCCGCGCGCGCCTCGAGCAATATCTGCCCGTCGGTGATCGACATGAGCTCCTCCACAACCTCCGTCGCGACCTCGCGCTCCGGGTGAGGACCCCGCTCGCCCGCCGCGCTGCAGGGGAGGGCGGAGGCGGTGGGGCGTTGCGTGTGGGCGGGTGTGTGCGTTGGTTGCGGTGAGTGCCAAGAGGGGCGGGGCGCGGGGCGCGGCTCACCTGGCCTCCTGCTCGTCGAGGGCGCGGAGCATGCGTTCCTTGCGCTCGTCGGAGAGCGTCTTCGAGTTGCGGATGGCGGCGCGCGCCTTGTCCCCGCGTGCCATGCCCTGCGCGGGCCGCCCCGCGAGCACGCCGACGAGCGCGAGCGACCCGCCGCCGTTCCGGCGATGCAGCTTCGCGGACCGCTGCACGAGCGCGGAGAGGAACTTGCGCCGCTGCGCCACCGCGACGCTCACGATCATGCCCTCGTACTCGACCATCTCGTCGTCGTCCATCGACGCGCCCTCCAGCGCCTTCTGCCCGAGCGCCGTGTTCTCCATCTGCCCGCCCTCCTTCCCGCGGTACAGCAGGTACGCGTCCCCCAGCGCCGCCACCTCGCTGTTGATGCGCGCCCACAGGTCGAACATCGCCCGCAGGTCGTCCACCACCACCAGCGCGTCGCCCCCGGCGTCGCGCTCGCGCTCCGCGATCGCGCACGCCGCGCAGATCGCCGCGTACTGCTCCCCGAGCGACGCCCCCGCCGTCGCCGCCACCACCGTCGTGTTCCCCATTGCCCCGCGCGCCTCCAGCTGCCCGCGCACGTCCGCCAGCACCTCCGGCGACGCCCCGATGCTCGCGTACACGCACCGCACGCCCGAGTCCTTCTGCGCCGCCACCATGTCCAGCGCGAGCGCCGTCTTCCCGGACCCGCTCGGCCCCGTCAGCAGCAGCGACTGCCCCTTGCCCAGCGGGACCAGCACGTCGATCCCCGCGATGCCCGTCGGGAGGCCCGCGCAGATGGGCTCGCGCGCGTCCATGTCCGGCGCCGCGTTCAGCAGCGCGACCTTCTTCTCCGCGCCCAGCGGCACCGCGCCGGGCTCGACGCCGCCGTCGGGGCCCACGGGGCGGCCGAGGAAGTCGACGAAGCGGCCGCGGAGGGCGTCGCCCGCGGGCACCTTGAACGCGTCGTACTGCGTCTTCGTGCTCGGCCCCTCGTCCTCGTCGACGACCTGCAGCACCCCCGCCACGCGGCACGTCACGCGCTCCCCCACCGACACGTTCTGCGCGCCGCCGAGCACGAGCGCGTAGCACAGGTTGTCGTCCCGGCGCCACAGCAGCACGCCCGTCGCGCCGGACACGAAGGACACCGTCGTCCCCACGTCCGCGTCGTTCTCAAGCCCCTCGATGATCGCCAGGCCGTCGCCGCAGTACAGCACCGCGCCCACCTCGCGGTCCGCGGCGAGCTGGCGCTGCACCTCGAGCTGGTTCGGCCGCATCATCCGCGACTTGAAGATCGACATCTCCGCGTCCCAGTCCGGCGTGTCGTCCGGCTCCGCCTGCGCGCAGGTGGGGGCGGGCGCGCGCGGTCGGGCGCCGTGCGGCACGCGGGCCGCGGCGCCTGCCGTGGCCTGGGGCCATCGCGTGGCCCGGGGCGAGCTCGGGGCGTCAGGGTGCGGGTCCTGTCGGGGTCAGCGGGGGGCATGCAGCGCGGCGAACGAGCACGGCACCCCGGAGCGCCGCGCCGGCGCGGAGTTCGGGGCGTCTACGGCCACGCGTGTGACGCCGTCACGTAGACGGGGCGGGCGGGCCGCGGAAGCCCGCATCACGTCCCCGGGCGGGCGCGGACGGCGCGCGAGAGTGCACGGGTGTGTAGGGCAGGGCCCGCCGCGTCGCCCGCAGGCCCATTGCGCCCGAAGACATGCGAACCTCGCCGCATTGGCGCCGAGAACATCGTGGTCGGGGCAAGCAGCCGCGAGCATCCGTTGCCGGGACCGCCGACGGCGAGCGCTGCCCAAGATATGCACACCGGTCCGGGCGCAGCCCGGCGGTGCACCGCGGTCGCTCGCGCGGCGGCCCGCGGCGGCCGGGCGCGCATCCTCTGGACGGGGGCGAGCGCGGGCGGCGTTCTCCCGCCGCGGCGGCGCGGCGCGGCGGGCGCGCGGCGTAAGAATCAGTGCGGGGAGGCTGGGCGGGCGATGTCGCGGGGGCGCCGGCAGCAGTGCGCGGGGCGCGCGCGAGGGCGGCATCGGGGGCCGAACGGACCGGGCTGTGGAGCGCGAGCGGCGGGACGGGCGCGGGATTGGCCGGGGCGACCTCCCTGTGTTGCCGCACCTGGGCTAGCCGCCCCACGCGCGGGCGCCGCGTGGCTGCGGGTGGGAAGCATCGCGCCGGAGCCGGGGGGCGGGCCTGCCCGACGCGCGTCGCTCGGTCGTGGTCCTGCCCCCTCGCGCCGAGGGCTCGCAGCTGGGCGGCGGGCATCGCGGTGCTTGGTGTCGCGCGGGCGTGTGCGTGGGCCGGTGCCCCCAGCCGCGGCGCGCCGGCGGTCGCGGAATTGCGTGCGGGGCGCGGCGGGCCGCGCGCCCTCGAGCCTGGCGCCGCGGGGAGCCCACGGGGGCTGACGTCAAGCCGGGAAGTAGGTATGAGCAGCCCGTGGCGCGCCTCGTTGGGCCCGCGGCGCGGCGTGACCGCCCTCTTGGATTGGGCAGCAGTACCGGGTCACCGGGAAGCGGAAAATGGGTCGCGTCATCCGTGCCCAGCGCAAAGGGCGCGGGTCCATCTTCACCTCGCACAGCAAGAACCGCGTGGGCGAGGCGAAGCTCCGCCACCTGGATTTCTCGGAGCGCAATGGGTACATTCGCGGCGTGGTGAAGGAGATTGTCCACGACGCGGGCCGTGGCGCTCCTCTGGCGAAGGTGCGCAGCAGGAGTTGCTCGTCGAGCCCTCCTTGGGGGCCGGGCGGGCCGGCTCGCCCCAGGCCGCCCCGCCCGGACGCATCCCCCGGCATGACTCTCGCCGTCCGTGCGCCCGCGGGCCCCGTATCCCGCGACCCGGCGCCACGGCCGGCGCATACGACTGTCCGCCCCGGCGAGCGCCCAGCTGCGGCCCCGCTGCGTCCTCCCTGCGATTCGCCGGCGGATGCTTTAGATGTCCGGTCGCTTTTGCGGCGCTGCGCTGCCCGCGCGTGCCCCGGCCAGGCCGTCGGCCGGCCCAGCCGACTGCTGCTCGAGCTGCGAGCCGGCCCCTGGCGCGCCGTGGCGGCCGCCCGTGCGGCCCACCCGGCTCCTCTCCCGTTTCAACGGCGAACCAGCGTCGCCCCAGCCCCGCGCGCGCGCGCGCGGCGCCCCGGGGCCCCCGCCCACCAGCCCACCCCTGTGCCGCAACCTGCCCCCGTCTGCCGCGCCCCGCCCCCCGCAGGTGGCGTTCCGCGACCCTCTGCGGTACGGGCTGCAGAAGCAGCTGATGGTGTGCGCGGAGGGCATGTACACGGGCCAGTACATCTACTGCGGGAAGAAGGCAGTGCTGGCGATCGGCAACGTGATGCCGATCGGCAACATGCCCGAGGGTACGATCATCTGCAACATCGAGCAGAAGACGGGCGACCGCGGCTCGATGGCGAAGGCCTCGGGCGACTACGGCATCATCGTGGCGCACAACCCAGACGCGGCCATCACGCGCATCAAGCTGCCCTCGGGCGCGAAGAAGGTCGTGCCGTCGGCGTGCCGCGCGATGGTGGGCCAGGTGGCGGGCGGCGGGCGCACGGAGAAGCCGATGCTCAAGGCCGGGCGCGCGTTCCACAAGTACAAGGCCAAGCGCAACTCGTGGCCCAAGGTGCGCGGTGTGGCCATGAACCCCGTGGAGCACCCGCACGGCGGTGGTAACCACCAGCACATCGGTCACGCGTCGACCATCCGCCGGGACGCCCCGCCCGGCCAGAAGGTGGGCCTCGTGGCCGCGCGCCGCACGGGCCGCAAGCGCGGTACCGTCAACCTCAAGGCCGACCAGGAGTAGGCTGGCCGCCCGGTGCTCATATGCGCCATGTAAGGCACGCCCGCGCACGCGCACGCGCGACCGGCTCGCGTCACGCAGTCACACGCAACAACAACCACGCCCCCAGATCTGCGCGCGCCGCCCGCGCTCACGGGCGCTCCGCCCCCGGGTCAGAAGTACCACGTGCGCCGCTTCCGGCCGAGCACCTCCCCCCGGCGCAGCTCGGCGTCCGCGTCGTCCATCTCCAGCCCCATCTCCGTCCACGGGTCCTGCCCGTGCACGACGGGCGACGGCCCGATCACCCGGAACCCCGCGCCCTCGTACAGCCCGATGAGGTCCTCCTTGCAGATCAGCCGCAGGTGGCGCACCTGCGGCTGCGAGGCCTTGACGAACGAGGGATACACTCGCAGCATGCGCGTGGCGATGCCGCGCCGCCGCAGGTGCGCCTCCACGCACACGCTGTGGATGCACAGCGTCTGCCCGCCGGGCTCGTGCTTGGACATCGACTCGTGCGTCAGCTCGCCGCTCTTCGTCAGCGTGCCGCAGACGTACCCCACGAGCGCGTCGCCCGCCCCCTGCAGCGCAGCCGGGGTGGCGGTCGGTCGCGGCGGTGGGCGCCGTGGCGCCGCGGTCGCAGCGCGCGGCGCGAGGTCGCTGTCCGGGCCGAGCGGCGCGCGCGCTGTCGCGTGCGTTCGAGTGGACGGGGCGGGGCGGCACCTCGTCCGTGGTGTTGCTGGGGACCTCGGAGCTGACGGCGCCCATGAAGAGAGTGCCCGCGTTCTCGATCCGGAACTTGAGGTTCGCGTAGCTCGCCGCCTCATCTGGACGCACCGCGGCAGGGGTCAACGGTGGGGCTCGCAGGCGCGCACGTGGTCAGCGTGGGACTGCGCGCGGGGAGGCTGCGCGCACTGCGTCCCGGCGCGTGCGGTGCCGCGCATGCGACGTGGGCTGCGTCCGCTCCGCACAGCGCACGGGGCGCACACGCAAGTGAGGCGCGGCGTGCCTGCGGGGTAGCCGTCCTGTTCGAGCGCGTTGATCCTGTCCAGGTCGTCGATGTGAACCTCATCGAAGAACAGGTCGGCCACCGAAACCGTGTCGCGGCTGCTCGCGCTCGCCGCCAGCCCCACCGCGCCGCCGCGCGGCCCTCCGGCTGTGCACGGCCACCTCCCGCCGGCCCTGCACAGCGACGGACGCCCCCGCGCGGCCCCGCGCCCCGGCAGCCGCTGAGGTGTACGCGCGGTGCTCGCGGTCTGCTGCGCCGCCACCGCCATCCCCGCTCAGCGCCTGCCCCTGCCGGGAAGCGCCCCCGCCAGTTCGCGCGCCTCTAGGACGCGCAGCGCGCTCGTCAAAAGCTCCTCGCAGCCGCCGTGCCGATACTTCGGGCGCAGTACTGCACCCTCGCCGCTCGCGGGGACCGATATATCGCAGGGGTAGTCAGCAGCGTCAGTGCCGGTTGGAAGACAGGGTGCGTGTAATACCGGGGCCAGACGGACTCAGACGCGCGCTCGCGCGGCCCCCAGGGTCGGGGCGGCCGGCCGACGTCGCGCACTACCGCGGGGCAGCGTAGGGGCAGGACCTGAGCGCGCACCACGTGTCGGCGCAATCCTGATCAGCAGAGCGCCGCCGTGCCCCGTCGGAGCTGCGCTGTGCGGGCTCGAGGTCGGAAGGAACGGCTGCGCGGCCGCTCCTGATCGCTGTCGAGACAGTCTCGCTTTCGCGGCGCCGGTGGTGCGCGTGGGGGCCGCAGACCGCGCGCGCCGGCACAGCAAGAGTTGTGCAACAGGTGGTGGCTGTGCTGCGCGTTGCCACGAGGCAGTGTTTCACCTCAGTGTCCAACGGAGGGGACACTTTAAGCTCGTTCTAGCGGCCCAGGGCACTGAGGATCCCGCCCGGCGCACGATGGGCAAGGACAAGCGGGCCGACAAGGCACAGGGCCGCCCGCACAAGGGGCGCGCGGGCGCCGCACGGACGGATGAGCGGTTCCGAGCGATGCACACGGACCCGCGCTTCAAGCGCTTCCCGAAGCCCAAGGAGCAGAAGACGGAGATCGACGAGCGCTTCAAAGGTGCGCGCGGTGCTGCGGCATTGCACCGTGCACGCCGCCCCGCCGTTCGGCACCGGAGCGGGGGCCGCGGCGCCCCGCGACACCCGCCGCGCACGTGCCACTCCGCCTCGTCGCCGCGCGGCCTGGCGCCGGTGCCGCTCCAGCGCACCCCGCGCCCGAGATGCAGCGCATGCGCTCACCAGCGCGCCGCGTGTCGCGCGCGCATCGGAGGCGCCTGCGCCGCGTCCGCCCGCGACGTACGAGCACGCATTCGTCGGCTCCGCGCCCGCGCGTCGCAGAGATGTTTGAGAACGAGGACTTTGAGATCGGCAGCAAGCGCGACAAGAGGGGGCGGGTCGCGGCGGGCGGCAAGGGGAAGGAGGCGAAGAAGTACTACCGGCTCAAGGGAGACGACGACGAGGAGGCGGTCAGGGTGCGACCGCGCCCGGCGCCGCGTGCAAGTGTGTTGTGTAGCTGCGTGCCCCCCTGACCCTCCCAGAACGCTCCCTGCTCGCTTGCAGAGCGCGAAGCTCGCCAGCGAGAGCGAGCGGAGCGACAGCGAGCCGCGGAGCGACGCCAGCACGGGCTCGGAGGACTCGGAGACGGCGCGGAGGTGGGCGCGGATGCGGGGGCTGGGCCCGGAGGTGGCGTCGTCGTCCTCGGACGAGGAGGAGGACGCGCCGGCGCTCGACGAGGACCCCGCGGCGGCGCGCATGCCCGAGTACGCGGCGGACGACGAGGAGGCGGGGCGGCGGTACGTGGAGATGGTGGGCGGGGCGGAGACGTGGGGCGTGGGGGTGTACGCCATCAACAAGGAGATGGAGGAGGTGCCGCTGGTGGACGAGACGCGGCGGCTGGCGCTGGTGGACCTGGACTGGACGCGGCTGCGCGCGGTGGACCTCCTCGTGGCGCTGCGGTCGTTCCTCCCGCCCGGGGGGCGCTGCGACAGCGTCGTGGTGTACGTGTCGGACTACGGGCGGGAGCGCATGGCGGAGGAGGTCGCGCGGGGGCCCAAGGGGGTGTTCAGGGACGCGGGGGGCGCGGCGGAGGGCGCGGACGAGGAGAAGGAGGGCGACGGAGAGCGCGGCGTGCCCGAGGACTCGTCGGACGAGGAGGCGGGCGAGGAGGAGGAGGCTGGCGAGGCGGGTGCGGTGAAGGACCCCGAGGTGCTGAACGAGCGGATCCGCGCGTACGAGAAGTCGAAGATGCGGTGGTACTACGGGATCGCGACGTTCGACTCGGCGCGGTCGGCGGCGGCGGTGTACGCGGAGTGCGACGGGATGGAGTTTGAGCTGACGGGCAACGTGTTCGACCTGCGGTACGTGGCGGACGAGCAGGACTTCGAGGGGCGCGAGGTGCGGGACGCGGCGACGTCGGTGCCCGCGGACTACGAGCCGCCCCACTTCCACTCGACGGCGCTCGGGAGCTCCAAGGTGCGGCTGACGTGGGACGAGGGCGACCACGAGCGCAAGAAGGTGCTCTCGCGGAAGCTGACGGGCGACCAGGTCAAGGAGGAGGAGTTCGCCGCGTACCTCGCGAGCGGGACGTCCGACGAGGACGAGGCCGACGAGCGGGACGACCCCGCCGCGCTCCGGGAGCGGTACCGCGCCATGCTGCTGGGCAAGGGCGGCGGCGCGGGCGGCGGCGCGGGCGGCGGCGCGGGCGGCGGAGACGAGGCCGGGGGCGCGCAGGAGGAGCCCGGCGCGATGACGGTGACCTTCGACAGCGGGCTGGAGACGCTCGGGCAGCGGCTGCGCGACAAGAAGAAGCGCGGGGAGGAGACGGTGTGGGACCAGTACCTGCGGAAGAAGAAGGAGGCGAAGGAGAAGAAGAAGCAGCTGCGGCGCGCGCGCGGGGACGACAGCGACGCGGACACCGACGGCGGGGGGTCGTCCGCGGAGGACGACGGCCTGGAGCCCGACGGGGACGCGTTCTTTGAGAAGGTGCGGGGGGGGAAGGGGGGGTCTTAGTTGTGCAGGGGGGAGTTCAGATGCCGCGGGGGGCGGACGGCGAGGAGCGTGCAGGGTGGCAGTGCTGCATCGTGGTGTGCGAGCGTTGATGGTGCGTGCGTTGCGTTGCAGGGCGAGGACGGGAGGGACGCGTTTGACGACGCGTTCTTCAACGAGGACGTGGACATGGAGGCGGCGCTGGCGGCGGAGGGGCTGGACGGGCGAGGGGCCGCTGGGGAGAAGAAGAAGGGCAAGGGGGGGAAGAAGGCGGGGAGGGCGGCGGAGGGCGAGGAGGACAAGCGGCGGCGGGCGGAGCTGGAGATGCTGATGATGGACGACGCGGAGCTGCGCGCGGGGGCGCGCGGGGGCGCGCGCGAGGACGCGGGGGGCGGGGACGCGCGCGGGAAGAAGGAGCGCAAGCGGCGGAAGAGCGCGAAGGAGCGGCGCGCAGAGGAGATGTCGGACGACGACGACCTCGCGCGCGGCGGGGGCGCGTTCCAGCCGGACCTGGACGACCCGCGGTTCGCCGCGCTGTTCACGTCGCACGACTTCGCGGTGGACCCCACGGACCCGCGGTTCCGCCAGTCGGACGGCGCGAAGCGGGTGCTCAAGGAGACGATGCGGCGGCGGGACCAGGCCGTGCGCGACGGGCGGATCTCCACGGAGCGCAGCGGGCCCGCGGCGGCCGCGGCGCCGGCGACGGACGCGGGCGACAGGGCGCTCGAGACGGCGCAGCTGCGGGCGATGGTCGCCAAGATGAAGCGCCGCGCGGGGGGCGGCGGGGCGGAGGGCGGCGCGGAGAAGACGAAGAAGAGGAAGAAGAGCCGCGGCGTGTGACTGTGCGCCGAGCGCCCGTGCAGGTCGCCGCTGCTGCTCGCGCGAGTTGCCCATGGCAGTGTGATGCGATCGCGCAGGGGGGGCACTGCTAGGCGGCACTGATGGGCGGCCTTCGGCTCACATGGCCCCTGGCGGCGTGCTCGCGCACTACCGGGGGGGCCGCGGTTGCTCGCGGTTGCTAGTATGACCAGGCGCGCCCCGCAGCGCCGCGCCCTGCGCCGCCCAGCAGCGCGCGGCGCAGGAGCCCGGGCTGGGCACGTGTGTCTGCGGCGGTCCGGCGGGGTCCGGGCGCCTGTGCGCCCGTGCAGTGCAGTGTTGGTGGCGTGGAATGTACAGCAGCTTGTCAGTGTGTGTGTGTGTGTGTGTGTGTGTGTGTGTGTGTGCGTTGGGGGGGGGTTGCAGCCGGGCCTGGGCGGGCCCGGCGGGGCAGCGGGAGCGGGCGTCGTTCGGGCCTAAATCTCAATGTCGAACTGGCTCATTTGGGTGGGCCCCTCGCTCTCGCTGTCGTACGCCCCGTGGTCGGGCGTCGAGTCGTCGCTGTTGTCCCGGCCCTTGGCGCATCCGCGGCAGCTGCGGTCAGGGGGCGGCGGATGCTGCGCGGTGAGTGCCTTGGCGGCGCCGTGGCAGCGGCGGCGCGGACCTGCAGGACGCGTGTGTGCGCAGGAACCCCACGCACGCGCCATGCAGGTCCTGCCGCACGAGCTGGTTCTGCGACGGGTGCTGGCAGCTCCGCATCGATCGATGGAGGAGAACCGCTGCGCCCCCAGCGGTCTCCGTCGACGATGGTGATGCTGGGAGCGAGGGCACGCGGCGCACCTGAAGTAGAGGATGCGTTTTTGTCGCCGTGTGTAGAAGAAGAAGTTGAAGCTCCACAGACTCCCGTCCTCGCCGAACGGGTCGGACTCGAGGTCGCTCTGGTAGCTGCGCGAGGCGAACGGCACCAGCGCCTAGGGGGCTCAGCGTGGCGTGGGCGCGCGAGGCGACGCGGGCGCGGCCCCGCCCGTGGCTCTCCTCACCCACGACCAAGTGGTCGAGCCTTCCGGGCCGTCGGCAGGCCGGGCGGCGGCGGGAGAAGGGGCGCGGAGAGCCGCACATGGTGCGGGAATCTCGCCTGTACACCTCGCAGTCGGTCAGGTCGATGGCCTCGGCGACCGCCGACCACAAGCTCGAGCGAAAGTCCTCCTCCCCGCACCCCGGCGTGCAGTTCCACGCCTCGGCGACCTCCATGAGGCGCTCCTCTGCCAACTCCTCGGCCTCGTCGACTCCGGGCTGTTTCCGGAAGTGGTGCGCCCGCAGCTGGCTGAAGTCGTAGTCGGCGTACATCTGCGACGACGCGGGCGAGGGTTCCAGCGGTGACGCGGCCCGTGTCCGCCAGCACGCGCGGATTGCTGGCCTTGGAGGTTTCAGAGCACCCCCCGTACGTTGGGCGCTGCGCGGCGTAACCAGGACGCCACGGCCCGCGGAACGGCGTCGCGCTGGCTCCAACTGCGGAGCCGCGCCGGAACTGCGCGCGTCCGCGTCCCCGCGCGGCCGCGGGTGCGCAAATGCCGGTGGGTGGCATCGCGTGATCCCTGCGACCGCGGCCGCGCACACGGCCGGCGCCCCGCGCTCAGACCGCCTCCGCGGCACGGCCACTACTCAGGCGCCCGGCACGCGCGGCATCGCGGCGAACGCACGCGCGGACGAGCAGGCGGAGCGCGGGGGGCACAAACTGGCTCCGGGAGCGCCGCGCGCCAGGGCGTCGGCGCCGCCCTCGTCACGGCCGGCGGCGCGCGCCGCGGGACGGCCACATGCGGCGGGGCGCGCTCGGCGGGCGATCGGCGTTGTGCGGGTCCCCGCGCGCCCCGGAGGCGCGACCGTTGCAGCGCGGGTCGCGTCACGGGCGTGGCGCGGGCGTCGCGGCGCACCTGATTGAGCACGAGGATGAGGTACGCGAGCGTCCGCCGGTTCTGGGCGTCCGACATGGGCCCGACGGGCGAGGACATGGTCAGGAAGTCGGGCGACGACGCGTACTCCATTTGGAACTCCTGCTCGAGCGAGTGGCTGAGCTTCTTGTCGAGGCCGGCGAGCTTGCAGCTGTAGAGCTCGAGGTTGCCCTTGACGACGTACTCCCCGACGTCGACGTGCTCGAGGAAGGACGCCACGCGCTGGAGCGGGGGGCACTCGAGGAGCTTCATGGCTGGCGGTTTGTGCTAGGACGACGACACGGCATCCGGGGAGTGCGGGGGCGGCGCGAGGGCGGAGGCGTGACGGGACGGCGGGCGCTCGCGGGTCTGGTCGCGGGGCGCGCCGTCGCGGCCCGTAGGCGCCCGGCGTGGCGCGGGCGCGGGCGTGTATGTGGGCGCGGGGGCGTCGTGGCACACCCTCCCGCGCGCGCGTGGGCGTGCTGGGGGCTCGAGGGCCGCGCGCCGCGGCTGCCGGCCGACGTCTGCCGCCCCGTGCGACTCACGTTCGACCCGCAGCTCCCGCAGTAGCGCGGCGGCCTCGCGAACGCACCAGCGTCCTGCGATTCGTGCTCCCGGGCGGTTCGGGGACTTGCGACTGTTTGTACCGAGCGGAGTCGCGGCGAGATGAGCGAACCGTCGAGCCCGCAGGCGGGCGGCGAGGTTGCCCTGCCGGAGGGGTCGGGTGTGGCGCAGCTGAGAGCACACATCCTCGAGCTCGCCAAAGCGCGCTGCTCGTGCAAGGAGGAGGAGGAGGCTGTGAAGACCAGGAAGCAGCTGCTGCAGAAGGTGCGGTTCCGGCGAGGATGCGTTGCGCTCGTCGCGCGTGCTGGTCGCGGGGCCCGCTCCCGCCCAAAGGCCCAGGGCGGTGCGACAGTCGCGCGCGTGGCACGAAGGGAGCTGTCGCCGCCGTCCGGAGCGAGGGAGCTCGCTCCACGTCCGAGGAAGCGCGGGAAAGACGCTTGAGACGCGCGTGAGCGGCGGGCGGCGGCCAAGCAGTGCACCCGGGCGAATTGCAGGGCATGGCCGCGTTGCGACCGTCCCCGTCGACGCCTGGCCGGGCTCGCCGCGGTCCCTTTGCGCACCGGGGGCGCCTGTGCAGAGACGCCGCCCCGCTCGTCGCGGGCGGCCCCCCGCCGTGCGCGACCGCGCGCCCGCGGCCTGGCATGATTTGCGCCCACCTCCCCCGCGCCAGCGACGTGCCGTGCGCCGTCGATCGCAGCCCGTCTCCTGCGCACCGCACGCGTCCAGCATGTGCCAGGATCCCGGAACCGCCCAGCTTCCACAGTTCCGTGCACACGCGTAACAGCACCGGCTCGTGTGCACTCTTCCTTCACCGTCCGCCCCAGGCGCGGTTTCGCGTCGTTTCTGTCGCACGATGATTCCCCGTCTTGACGTCGTCGTCTCTTCGCAGGTGGTGGCGACCGTCACGTCGCGCGACGCGAGCGAGGATCAGAAGCGCGAGGCTCTGCAGGGCGCCTTGGTCGCGACGTGCACAGCGGCCCGCAGGTGGGACCTGCGCCGACCGATGCGCGCCCGCCTGGCCAGCACCTGGCTGCGCGCCCCGGGCGCGGACCGGCGGCCACGTGCCTGCTGACGCGCGTGATGTGTGTGTGGTGTGTGTGTGGGTTGCAGCGCGGAGCGGGAGTGCAAGTCCCTGACGAAGCAGGCCGGCGGTGCCGCGAGGGAGCGCGCGCGGCTGGTGGAGGAGCTGATGAAGCGCAGCCAGCAGGTGGACCGTCTGGAGGGGCTGTGCAAGGAGCTGCAGCGGCGCAACAAGGAGGTGGCGGAGGCGGCGCGGGCGACGCAGGAGCTGGAGGCGCGGCGGCGTGAGGAGCTGGAGGAGCGGCTGCGCGCGGGCATCGACGGCATTTCGCGGCAGGTGGAGGGCATGAGCGAGGAGCGGCGCAAGGCGCTGGAGCAGGTGGGGCGGGCGGAGGCGGACCGCGAGGAGATGCGCGGGCACCTGGCGAAGCTGCTGGAGCAGATGGAGCGGACGCAGGAGGTGGCGAAGAAGCAGGAGGCGGCGCACGGGAAGGAGCGCGAGCTGCTGCAGCTGAAGCTGGAGCACGCGACGGAGGTGGCGCGGCAGCAGGAGCAGCGGTCGGAGCAGCTCGAGGCGCGCATGGGCGAGAGCCTCGCGGGGTTCGAGAAGATGAAGGCGCTGGTGAACGGGCGGCTGGCGGACCTGGAGCAGACCAACAAGCACTACGAGGAGGTGCTGGGCGACGTCAAGGGGCGGCTGGACGACGCGACGAAGAAGCTGCGCGCGAAGGAGGAGGCCGAGCTCGCGATGCTGCGCCGCGAGAAGGAGCTCATGGAGACCAGCGCCAAGCACAGCCAGATGCTGGTGCAGGCCCTGTCGCGCAACGAGGAGCAGCTGCAGGAGATGAAGCGCGTGATCGCGCAGCGGGACCGCCTCGAGGCCCTCTGCAGGGCGCTCCGCGGGCAGACGCCCGGCGGCGAGGCGGGCGCAGCCAAGGAGGGCGACGCACCCGCCGCCGCTGGGGAGGGCTCGCACCTCGCCGAGGCGGTGCCCGCGCAGTAGGCCCGGGCCGGAGTGAGAGCGCGACGCCAGCTCGGGGCCCCAACACAGACCTGTAAATTCCAGGGGCCGCCAGCACTCGCAGGGTCGTGTCTCGCCTAGCCGCTGACAGGGCTAGTCGCTGAACAACACCATGAGACGCTCTGTGCCAGATTGCGCGCCGCTGAATGGGCGCCGCCCGTGCCGACGGCGCTGGCCGTCCTTCTAGCCGCGTGCGTGCCCGTGCGACTGGCCCTGCTTCGCCTGAATGCAAGTGACCCTCCGATCGCATTCACACCGCTCGCCAAGGAACCGCGCGGCGACTCTCTCCGCATCACTCCGCATGTTTGGCCGCCGCCGCCGCCGCTGGCCGCTCCAGCGACAGCGAGGCGACGTTGATCGACCGCGCAGACTTGGCAGGCTGGGACCCGAGGCGGGTGAGCGTCCGCTTGCTGGCCGTGCTCGGGCTCGCCGCGTTGGACGGCGAGCGGCCCATGCTGCGCTGCGACCTCATCCCGACGGACGCCTGCCGGGACCCCGCGACGAACGCCCTGGACGATGGGGGCTTGCTCATGACGCTGCCGCGCGACGAGCCGCTCCCCCTGAACCTGATGCGCGACCTGCAGGTGCGACGGGGCGCGCGGGTAGGGCGTGTGAGCGGGGCGGGCGGCGGGGCGGCGCGCGGCGAGCGTCTCGTGCCCTCGTGCGTGGCAGGCCCACCTCGCGGAGTCCGCCGCCGACCCGTGCGGCGAGTCGGCCGGCTGCGCGTCTCCCGCATCGCCGTCCGCGTCCTCCTCGCCGTCCTCGTCCTCCGCGGCGTCGGCCTGCGCCTCCTGGAGCATGTTGCGCAGGAAGTGGTCCACGGAGGCCATGTTGGCAAAGTCGGCCTTGTTCGGGTGGAACTCGATCCGCTCCTCGCGCAGCCGGTTGGTCTTGCGCTCGCGCATCACGATCTGCTCGAGCGCCCACTGGTACGGCACGTCGAACTCCATGAGCTGCAGGAGGTGCAGCAGCGAGGGCATGACCTGCTTCTCGCCGCGGGCCACGGCGCGGAGGTCGTCCTTCATGCGCTCGTACGTGGTCGGGCGGAACGCCTTGGCATAGCGCGGCTTCCACGACGCGGCCACGCGCTGCTGCTGCCGCACGCGCGCCCCGCCGGCCATGCTCAGCTCCACCTCGGTGTACTTCCGCGGGCCGTTCTGGAGGTGCTTGAAGAACGCCGTCTTCGCGCGGCTCTCCTTCCCCTCCTTCCCCTCGTCCTCGCCCTCCTCGCCCTCCGCGCCCTCCTCGCCGCCCCCGGCCTCCGCGGCCCCGCGCCCCGCCTTGTCGCGCATCACGCCCATGTACATCTGGCGGATCTGCGCGAGGTTGCGCAGGGCCAGCGCCGCGCGCGGGTGGTTCGCGCCGAGCTCGCGCGACAGCACCTGCTCGGCCTGCGTGAGGAGGTCGAGCGCCTTCTCGTACTTGCCGAGCCGGGAGAGGCAGCACCCCAGGTTGTGCGACACCACCGCCGTGTGCAGGTGCGACGGGCCGAAGTCCTTCGCGCCCGCGCGCTCGACGCGCGCCTGCACCAGCGAGCGGTACGCCTGCCGCATCTGCCCGCGGTGGTAGTACGAGCACCCCTCGATGCTGGGGACCGTCATGCGCAGCTCGTGGTGCTCCGGCAGCGACTCGGCCTCCTTCGCCGCCGTCGTCAGCACGTCCAGCGCGGCGCGGTCCTGCGACTCCTGCTGCAGCACGCACCCCATGACCAGCGAGAAGTACACGCGGACCTCCGTCAGCATGCGCCGCTTCACGTCCGTCACCGTCGTCCCCGTGGTGTTGCCCGGCTGCTCCCCCAGCGCCGACCGCCGCTCGCTGTACACCGGCCCGCGCAGCGCGTGCGTCGCCGCGTCCCACGCCGCCAGCGTGTCCGCGATGCCCGGGATGCTGTCCAGCGCCGCCACGGCCTGCAGCGGCGCACCCTCCGCCTCCCCCTCCTCCTCCTCGGGCTCCGCGTGCGACTCGAGGAACGTGGACAGCTCGTGGCCCTCCCGCCCGGACCCCCCCTCCTCCGCGCAGCTCTCCGACGGCCCCTCCGGGACCGGCGACGCGTCCGTGGTCCGGCTCTGCGCCGTGCCCGGGGGCACCTGCAGCGCGGGGGTGTCCACCACGCCCCCCGGCACGGTCATCCGCTGTCCCTCAGCGAGCGAGAGCCCCCCGGGCGTCGGCGGCACCGACGGCACGGCCGTCGACGCGACCAGGCTGGGCGCGGACTTGAGCGGAGCCTCCTCCTCGGGCGCGGCCTCGCTCTCCTGGTCGGGCGCCATCTCCTCGGGGTCGAGCGTGAGCATGATCTTGGTGGCGATGCGCTCCCAGCGGTGCATGGCCTCCTTGTACCGCTGGAGCGCGCCGAAGGAGTCTCCGCGGCGGTGCGCGTTGAGGGCCTCCGCGAGCACGTCCGCGACGTCGTCGGGCCACCACACGTCCGGCGGGGAGACGACCTCGAGGATGAGGATGGGCTTGTGCCCGCCGAGGTGCTCCGCGGCGTCGTAGTCGATGTCGAGGCTCTTCCACTCGTAGTAGGGGTCCTGGTCGGGGTCGTACTTCTTGATCTCGCCCGGCGTGAGGTTCATCATGTCGAACAGCGCCTTGACCATGTCCGCCGCGCCCTTCTTCGCGAACTCCGGGTCCTTGCTGAACCCCAGGTACGCGATCAGCCCCACCGCGTCCACGAACTCGTCGTACGACATCTCCGTGAAGTCGTCGTCCGACCCGGGGCCGTAGTTGACCTTCCGGAACACCAGGTCCAGCTCCTTCTGGCTCAGCAGCGTCGGCACGAGCTTGAAGTTCGTCGCGAGCGCCGTCAGCTCCAGGATCGACATCGACTCGGCCGCCTCCTCGATGCGGTCCCACGAGATGTCCCACCCGAGCTCCTCGTCCATCATGCTGTAGATCGCGTACGTCTCCTTCAGCGCGGGCTCGTACTCCTCCAGCACCTCGTTCACGTCCGGGTGCAGCAGCGCGCCGATCGCGCGGTCCAGCCGCCGCAGCTTGGCCTGCCGCAGGGGGACCACGTGCCGCTTCACCAGCAGCCGGTAGGCCTGCTTCGCCGCGCGCGCCCGCGCCTGCTTCTGCAGCCCGATCTTCTCCAGGATCGCCGTGAACTCGGGGCGGTACAGCACCAGGCGCGTCTTCTGCAGAGGGGGGTTGGGGCACCGGAGGGGTGGGGGTCGCTTGGTGGTGTCAGGAGGCGGCGTGCGGGCGGACACAGGGACTGTGCGTGCATGCATGCGCGCGTAGGGGGCGCGCCTTGGTCACGGCGGGGCGCGGCTGCCCGGCCGCGCGCGCGGCGGGGTGCCACTCCTGGGGCACGGCGATGCGTTCCCAGATGCGGTCGAAGTGCGTCTGGGTGAAGCGCGCGTCCATGAGCTTGGCCTCCTTGCAGAACGCGAGCGTCACGTCGCGGTCCATGAAGACGTCCTCGACCTGCTCGTCGATGATGCAGAACAGGTGGAACATGGTGTCCACCTCGTCCTCCAGCATCGCGTCCGTCTTCACGCCCTTCCCGTCCGCCACGCCCGGGTCGCGCTGCGCGTCGCGCCACCGGTGCAGCTTGGACACCGTCAGCTTCACCTGCGCGCCCACGCCCGTCGTGGCCCCGCGCGCGCTCAGCGCACTCCCCGCGAACGACACCCGGTCGCTCACCGACCCCTTCTCCGACTGCTCGTCGCCCGCCTCGATCGCCTGCCGCTCCTTCTCGTCCGCCCCGACGAGCGCCAGCGACGAGAACATGCCCCCCACGTCCTCGATGCCCTCCACCGCGCCGCCCGTCTGGACGTGGTGCAGGATCGAACACAGAATGAGCAGGTCCTGGAACAGCGGCAGGTCGACGCCGCGCTCCTCGCCGCCGGCCTCGCTCACGCGCGCCACCCCGACGGGGATGTCCAGGCCCGGGTACGGAAACAGCAAGATGATGAGCATGGCCTCCACGTACCAGCCCTCGGCCATGGGGGCGTTGTTCGGCGGGCGCGGGCCGAGGAGCGGCGCGAGCTGCATGAACTCGGTCAGCTCGCCGACCATGCCGAGCATGGTGTTGCTCAGCACGCCCGCCGAGCGCAGGAGCCTCCCCACGACGTGCGGCGGCGCGCTGGCGAAGCGGCCCTCGTCCGGGTCCTTCATCGCCTTCGACGAGTCGCGGACGTTGAGCAGCAGCGCGCTGGGGTCGCCCGCCATGAAGGACGAGTACGCGAAGCACTGCTGCACGATCTCCTTCAGGGAGACATGGTCCAGCACCGACAGCAGCGACGGGTGCACGGCCGAGCGCATGATGCTCGAAGGGCCGCTCGGGGGCCGCTTCGAGAGGCGGCTGATGTGCTCCTGGTACAGCCGGCGGAGGCCCACGGGCCGCGGGAGCTCGTGGTACATCAGTGACGCAAGCTTGAGCATGATCGACGTGAACTGCGGGAACAGGATGCGCTTGTTGCCCTCCATCTCGTACTGGTTGCTCTCGAGCTGCGGGGACGGAGCGGGGGGGTGCCGCCGTCTGAGCGGCCGGCCGCGCGGGTGTGTGCGCAGGGGGGGAGGGGGTTGCGGGGGCGGGTCGCACCTCCTTGGTGCCGGAGTCGAAGAGGAACGCGGCCTCGCCGTAGCCCGTCGCGTTCGTGATGAGGCCGGCCTCCTTGCACAGCAGCGTGAAGACGGCCTGCGTCATGGGGAGGTCTCGGAACACCTCCTCCGGGGTCCCCTCGTCCACCAGCGACCTGGCCCCCGCGTCCTCGTTGGAACGCACGAACCTGCGCGGCACACGCAGCACGCAGCGGATCGGGCCCCCGGCCGCGCGTGCGAGGCGGCGGGCGGGCACAGCGGCGGAGGCACAGCAGCGCGGGGGTGTGCGGCGCTCACCAGGCGTAGAGGGACTTCTGCAGGAGCTCGAGCGTCTCCGCCGACATGTTGAACTTCGAGGGGTGGCAGAGCGCGACGGTGAAGGTTGACCCGCAGCACACCGTCGCCACGCCGTCCTTGAGCGTCTCCCCGATGGACAGCGGCCCGTCGCCACCCGCGGAGACCGACGGCGGGAGGAGCTTCCCCGAGCCCCACACGACGAGGTGCCCGCGGTCCGTCACGATCGCGGCGTGCTCGCCCGAGCACGACGCGTGCACCACGCGCCCCGGCGGGAGGTCCTTGCGCTCGTACGGCGGGTGCGGCGCGGTGACCTTCCCGCGCTTGAGCTTCGGGAGAAGCCACGGCGACTGGCCCCACATCCACAGCCTCCCGTCGACCGTCACGGCCATGCCGACCCCCGCCGCCGCGACGTGCTTCACCGGCGGGAGCTCGATGATGCGCGCGGGCACCATGCGGTCCTTGCCGTCCCAGTGGCCCAGCGCGCCGCACCCGTTGTACCCGCACGACCACACGGAGCCCTCCGCGTCGACGATGAACGTGCACGCGCCCCCGCACGCCACCTGCCGCGCCCGCCGCTCCGCCACGGGGCCCAGGGGGTTGCCCGGCGGCACCCCCCGCCGCAGCACCTCGGGACCGTTGCCCTGCCCGAGCCGCCCGAGCTTGCCCTGGCCCCACGTCCACACCTTGCCGTCCGCGTCCACGGCGGCCGCGTGCGACCGCGCCGCCGCCAGGCTGGTGAACACCATGCCGTACAGCGGGCCACACACCTTGGGCTCGCGCACCACGCTCCCCGTGACGTTCGTCGGCAGCCCCAGCTGCCCCTCGGCGTTGCAGCCCCAGCCGATCAAGCCGCCGCGCGTCAGCGCCGCGAGCGTGAACGCGTGCCCGCAGGCCACCAGCGACACGGTGTGCGACATTCGCAGCTTGCACGGGTACGCGCACTCCAGGTCGACGGGCTCCCTGCGAGCGGAGACGGCGGCGCGCAACGTTCCCACCGCGAACGCAGCCAGCGGCGGCAGGACGCGAGGCAGTCGAGGTGTTGCTGCACATCACGCGGCATTGCATGAGCGGGTCGCGCTGCGGCAGCACGGCGGCGCGGGGCGCTCACGGTTCCTCCGCTTGTGCGATCCCGTCGTCTTCACCGTGCGACCCCCTGCGCGACGCCGCCCGCGACGCCGCCCGCGACGCCGCCCGCGACAGTGCCTCGTGCCGGGCCTTGGTCATGCTCCCGAACGGCGTGCGCGGCGAGAACCCGGGGGGCGGCACATCCTTGATGCCCAACTGGCCCTGGTCGTTCTCGCCCCACACGTACAGCTGCCCCTGCGCGTCGAGCGCGGCCCCGTGCCGGTCCCCCGCCGACACCTGCTTCACCACCACGGCCTCCAGGATGGACCGCGGCGCGCTGGTCGGGTCGTCGGGCGACCCGTCGATGCAGCAGAAGCGCCCGAGGGCCTTGGAGTCCGGGGCGCCGAACGTCACCACGCGGCGCTGCCTGCACGACCACGGGCGCACAATGGTCGAGGGTTCCGGCGAGCCTGGGCGAGCAGCGCCCGCGACCGGCGCGTCGGGGCGCGCGGGCGATCGGCAGCAGTCGCGCGCGGGCGCGGCGCGGCGGGGGGGGTCACCTCGTGGCCAGCAGGGTGTCCCACATCGACACGCTGTTCACGCAGTAGTGCTCCGGAGGCACCCTCGCCCGCGGCGCCATCGTGCCCGCGCCCCGCTGCCGGCCCGCCGCGAGGGGCTCCCTCTATGACGCCGTCTCGGCGCGTGGCGCGCTGCCCTTCAGCTCTGCGCCCCCCCCGGCCCCGCACCGCCCTGCAACATGGCTCGCCCCCGCGCGTCGCCCCGGATACGATCACCTGCGGGTCCCGCACGACCGTTCGAGGATCCTCGTTCAGATGTGACCACGCCGGGCGCGCAGCGCACGCTCCAGCCACGTGTGCGTCGAATGCGGGGACGTTGCATGCGGTGGAGTGGCAGGCGCCACCGGGGGCGCCGTCGCGCAACGGGCACCGTGCTGACCTGATCAATCGAAGACACGTCTCCACAAGGACGGGCCCGGCCACCCAGATCCGTGATCCAGCCCACACGAGGGTGCCCAGCACACGACACTAGCTTCTCCTGCCACGTTCAGGGCGCGCCTGTCGTACCCGGGTCCTCAAACACTCTTTCTACTCGACCTCACGCGGCGTCAGGTTCGAACCGTCACGCGGCTGGCGCGAACGCGCCCCCTCGAGCCCTGCGCGGCGGCCGCGAGCGACGAGAGCTGACGCTGTGCACTGCCCGACACGCTCCCGCAAGGACCCCCGGGCGCACCAGGGCTTGCTGCCCCGCCGGGCGGCCGCGCGAGGCAACAAGCGCGTGCCGGGTGCACGTATCGACCAGCAGCTCCACGCTGCGTCCGACTTTGGCGGAAGTCACAAGGGGTCGGAGCTGCAGGCGGAGCACCAGTTAGAGCACTGGAACCGCGGGAAGCCCCCGGTCGCGAACCGTCCTCCACGGTGCGATGGGGATCGACTCGCGGCACCGGTTCATTTGCGCGAAGGTGCGTCGCCTCTCTGTCGAAGGCCTTGGGCTGCTCTCAGGACCTGACCCTCTCCGCCGCTCTAGCGGGCCCGTCTCCTGCTACCGCCCGCGGATTGCCACTCCTCGTTATCCGATACGTTCGATGGCCTGCTTCCTCTTGCTCCTAAGCCGCTGTCGCGCGTGCGCTGGCCGTGAGCCAAATGCGCACGGTTGGTCTCGCGCTCTCTGCCTGCCCGCGACGACGCTGACGCAGATCCCGCGCGCACGGGCCGCTCTGAACCATTGAACCCTGCGACTGAGCAACGCGAGCGGCGCCCAGACGGCCCCCGCGCCGACGTGCGCGCCTGAACATCACCAGCGCCATGCCCGTGCCCCGCCCCGCAGGTTGCCGAGGTGTACGGGATCCCCAACGTGGCGGTCGTTGAGAAGCTCGTACAGTGCGTCCCCCCGCGCCCCGCCCGCGCCCCCGCCCCCCCCGCGCGCCCCCCCTTCAAGCCCACCGCTGCCCTGTCTCGCATGCCCCGCGCTCGCCCCGCACCCGCACGCCGCCTCCCCGCCCGCCCGCGCGCCTCCTCGCGCCCTGCGCCGCCCGCGCCCCGCGCGACCCCGTCGCCGCCCCGCACGGTTCCGCCCCGGTCGCCCTCACAGGGCGCACCGGGCCTCCCCCGCGCCCACGCGGACACCCCCGCCCCCGCCCGCGCGGCTCCGGGCCACGCGCGCCGAATGCATGCGGCGCCGCCCGCTCCCCGCTCCCCGCCGCGCGCGTGCGACCCCCCCCCGGGCATGGCGTCGGTGGCGCTGCCACACACTGCCGCGCCGCGTTCGCGCGTGACCCCGGCCCTTTGGTTCGTGTCCGGCGCGCAGGAACAACCTCGAGCACGTGACTTCGCTGTTCCAGAAGGATGGCGTCCCGTGCGTGGCGTTCTCGTACGAGGCGCAGGAGGCGCAGGACGCGGCGGGGGAGTGGGCCAAGACGGAGAAGCCGCAGGTCCGGCTGGGCATCCCCGCCGCGAGCCGCACGGAGCACCCCGTGGTCTACTTCGTGCGGTGCAACCCGAAGGGCGTGTCGGAGAAGTCGGTGGACGCGGACCTGTCGGTGTCGGTGACGACGGGCGAGGCGCTGGCCAACTTCCGCGCGCTGGTGGAGGAGCTGTTCGTGCCGGTGCTGCAGGAGCAGGCCGGGTGGGGCAAGAGCGCGCCGCAGGACGTGGCGGAGTTCCTGGGCCTGGCCAAGAAGTTTGGCGCGGTGCTGCGCGAGGCGTACGGGTCGCTGCAGAGCGGCATCGAGCTGGCGCAGCCGGACGCGAAGATGGTGGCGGACATCGAGGTGAAGCCGTACGCGTTCAACAAGGCGGCGGAGGACCCGGCGGTGGTGCAGCACATGGAGGGGGTGCTGGAGGGGTGGTGCGCGCAGGTGGAGGCGCTGCTGGACGACGAGTCGCGCGCGGACCGCGACGACGACGGGCCGGACGCGGAGCTGGAGTACTGGCGGTCGCGCGTGGCCAAGCTGAACAGCATCACGGAGCAGCTGAAGAGCAAGGAGTGCCGCGTGGTGCTGGGGGTGTGCATGGCGGCGCGCTCCAAGGCGCACCGGCACTGGAAGATGATCGACCTGCGCATCACGGACGTGTCGAACGAGGCGAAGGACAACGTCAAGTACCTCCTCACGCTGGAGAAGTCGCTCGAGGCCATGTACAACGGGGCGCCGCAGAACGTGATTGACGCCATGCCGACGCTGATGAACAACGTCAAGATGATGCACACCATCGCGCGGTACTACTCGACGCCGGAGCGCATGACGAGCCTCCTGTGCAAGATCACCTCGCAGCTCATCACCAACTGCAAGCACCACCTCCTCGAGAAGGGCCGCGTGTGGGACCAGAACTACTCGGAGTTCCTCGAGCGCCTGCGCGTGTGCATGCGCGTGCGGCAGTCGTACCAGGAGCAGTACTACGCGACCAAGGAGCGCGCGATGCAGCAGTCCCGCGGCCGCGTGTTCGAGTTCGACGAGCAGAAGATCTTCAACCGGTTCGACCTGTTCTGCAAGCGCGTGTCGAAGCTCATCAGCATGTTCACGACGGTGTCGCAGTTCGGGTCGCTCGCGCAGCACACGCACATCGAGGGCCTCGGCGCCGTGATCAAGCGCTTCGCGGAGATCGCGGACGACATGCGCCGCAAGCCGTACGACCTGCTGGACTACCTCGACAGCAAGTTCGACCGCGACCTGATGGACTTCGACGTGCAGATCCACGACCTCGAGACGCAGCTGCAGGCGTTCATCAACTCGGCGTTCGAGAACATCTCGTCGACCGAGCAGGCGCTCAACCTGCTGGCGCAGTTCGAGACGATCCTGCAGCGCGACACGCTCAAGGCCGACCTGCAGGACAAGTACATGGTCATCTTCCACAACTACGGGTTCGACCTGGAGGCCGTGCAGGGCGTGTACGAGCGCCACAAGAGCTCCCCGCCGCTGCCGCGCAACGCGCCGCCCATCGCCGGGAGCATCATGTGGGCGCGCCAGCTGCTGCGCCGCATCGAGGAGCCCATGCGGCGGTTCTCCACGAACCAGTCCATCATGGCGTCGCGCGAGGCGAAGAAGATCGTCCGGATGTACAACCGCGTGGCCCAGGCGCTGATCAAGTTCGAGATGCTCTGGGTCAAGTACTTCCTGGCCAAGATCGACCGCGACAAGGCCGGGCTGAACGCGACGCTGCTCGTGCGGCACCCGGAGACGGGCCGCCTGCTGGTCAACTTCGACCGCGACATTTTGCAGCTGATGCGCGAGGCCAAGTACCTGCAGCGCATGGGCATCGAGATCCCGGAGTCGGCGAAGATGGTGCTGCTGCAGGAGGAGAAGTTCAAGTCGTACTACAACCAGCTGACGCACGTGCTGTCGGAGTACGAGCGCGTCGAGCGCGCGATCCCCGCGGTGCTGAAGCCCATCATGGCGCCGCACATCATGGACCTGGAGCAGAAGATCCAGCCGGGGCTCTACATCCTGACGTGGACGTCGATGAACATCGACGCGTTCCTGTACAAGATCCTCGACCGCATGGGGAGCCTCGAGGAGCTCGTGCGCAAGGTCACGGACATGCTGGACAACCGCGTGGAGGCCAACCTGAAGAAGCTCAGCCGCGCGAAGATGGTCTCGATGCCCACGGACCAGACGGTGACGTTCGAGGACTTCATGCTCACGCAGTCCAAGTTCATCAAGCGCAAGCTGGAGACCATGATCATCCGCAACGGCGAGGTGCAGCGCGCGCTGGAGGACATCGTGCAGGCGCTCGAGGACTACCCGCGCAACAACACGTCCATGCGCATCATGCAGGCCGACGTGGACGAGCTCTGGCGCCACTACTCCCGCCTGATGTACCAGGCCATCCTGAAGTGCATCAAGGCCTCCTTCCGGTCGATGAAGGAGCGCCTGGGGTCGAGCAGCGGCGCCATGGGCTTCCTGTTCGTGGAGCGGCCCTTCTTCGACGTCGACGTGGAGCTGTCGGTGCCCAACATTACGCTCAACCCCACGCTCGAGTCGATCCAGCACGCCATCAACACCACGGCCAAGCGCATCATCGGCGCGGCCACGGAGCTGTCGGCGTGGGGGCCCGACCACCGCCCGGGCGACAGCTTCTTCAGCAAGCTCGCCGCGGACAAGGAGGTGGTCGTGTCGATCCTGCTCCTCACGGGCAGCATCGAGGGCCTGAAGAAGTCGGTGGTGGAGTACCTGGAGCAGTTCGACAAGTTCTCCTTCCTCTGGCGCATGGACATGCAGGCCGAGTACGACAACTTCATGAAGACGGAGCCCGAGCTCGAGGACCTCGAGGTCGAGCTCAAGAAGTACGACGACATCGAGCAGCAGATCTCCTCGCTGCCGCCCGTGCACAACATCGGGTGCCTGTCGATCGAGACGCGGCCGCTGAAGAGCTCGCTCAAGGCCGAGGCCGCGGCGTGGAAGGCCAAGTTCTCGCAGAACCTGCACCAGCAGGGCAAGGAGCAGCTCGACGCGTTCACCGAGTACGTGCGCGACACGTCCAAGCAGCTCGAGTCGTACAACCGCAAGATCGAGTCGCTGGACCTGGACGACGTGCGCAACCTGATGTACACGCTCGCGGAGGTCCGGGAGAAGGAGGCGGACATCGACAACGTCATCATGCCCGTCGAGGACATGTACAACCTGCTGATGCGCTTCGCCGTGCGCGTGCCCAAGGACGAGGCCGACCGCGTGTCCGACATGCGGTACGGCTGGGAGAAGCTGCGCAAGCTCACGGCGGACATCAACGAGAAGCTCACCAAGCAGCAGGCCGGCCTGAAGCGCGACCTCATCGCGCAGGTCCGCGCCTTCCTGGTCGACGTGGCCGAGTTCCGCAAGTCGTGGGACCGCGAGGGGCCCATGGTCCCGGGGCTGGAGCCGATGGAGGCCAACTCGAAGCTGCAGCAGTTCAAGCCGGTGTTCGAGGCCAAGCGCACCAAGTGGCACCGCTACGAGGCTGGCGAGGAGCTGTTCGGGCTGCCGGTGACGCAGTACCCGGAGCTGGAGAAGACGGAGAAGGAGCTGCAGAACCTGGACAAGCTGTACGGGCTGTACGTGGACGTGGTGCAGACCGTCGAGGGCTTCTCGGGCATGCTGTGGGTCGAGGTGGTGGAGCAGCTGCAGGTCATGATGGACAAGGTCAACTCGTTCCAGGCGCGCGTGAAGAAGCTGCCCAAGGCGCTGCGCGAGTGGCCCGCGTACAACGACTGCCGCAAGGCCATCGACGACTTCCAGACGGTGGTGCCGCTCCTGGAGATGTTCGCGGCCAAGGCGGTGCGCCCGCGGCACTGGCAGGAGCTGCAAACGGTGACGGGGCACACGCTGGACCTCGCGGAGGACCAGTTCCGGCTCGGGCAGCTGCTGGCGTGCAACCTGCTGGAGCACCAGGAGGAGCTGGAGGACCTGGCGATGGGCGCGGTGAAGGAGGAGCAGATCGAGCTCAAGCTGGCGAAGATCGAGGAGGAGTGGAACGACATGGTGCTGGTGTTCGCGGACTACCGCAACCGCGGGCCGGTGATCCTGAAGGGCGGCGAGACGGCCGAGATGATCGAGAAGCTCGAGGACACGCAGATGCAGCTGGGGAGCATGGCCACCAACCGGTTCTCGGCGCCGTTCCGCGACGACGTGCAGTCGTGGGTGCTGAAGCTGTCGACGGTGTTCGAGGTGATCGAGCAGTGGCTGGGCGTGCAGAACATGTGGCAGAGCCTCGAGGTGGTGTTCAGCGGCGGCGACATCGTCAAGCAGCTCCCGCAGGAGGCCAAGCGCTTCCAGAACATCGACAAGAACTACATGAAGGTCATCACGTCCGCGCAGGAGATCCAGAGCATCGTGCAGACCTGCTACGGCAACGAGCTCATGAAGAGCCTCCTCCCGCACCTGTCGGAGCAGCTCGAGCTGTGCCAGAAGTCGCTCTCGGCGTACCTCGAGGCCAAGCGCGCCGAGTTCCCGCGCTTCTACTTCGTGTCGGACACGACGCTGCTGCAGATCCTGTCGGTCGGGTCGGACCCGGAGAAGGTGCAGCCGCACTTCCAGTCGGGCCTGTTCGACTCGCTGTCGCACGTGTCGTTCGACAAGAAGGACAAGTCGAAGATCGTCGACATGGCGTCGCGGCAGGGCGAGGTCGTGCCGATGGACGCGCCCGTGGACACGTCGGGCAACATCGAGGTGTGGCTGCAGCGCCTGGTGGACGGGATGAAGGAGACGGTGAAGCAGGTCATCAAGCGCGCCGTGCGCGAGGTCGACGAGCAGGGCCTGGACGAGTTCATCTTCTCGCACCCCGCGCAGGTGTCCCTCCTGGGCATCCAGCTGCAGTGGACCACGGACATGCAGAACGGCCTCAGCGCGGCGCGCGCGGACAAGAAGATCATGTCGAACGTGACGAAGAAGACGGACGGCATCCTGCGCGAGATGGTGGAGCTGACGGTGACCAAGCCCAACCTGACGGCGATGGAGCGCACCAACCTGGAGACGTGCATCACCGTGCACGTGCACCAGCGCGACGTGTCGGACGAGCTCCTGCGCAAGCGCGTGCGCGACCCCACGGACTTCGAGTGGCTCAAGCAGTGCCGCTTCTACTGGAACGCGGACAAGGACACGGTCATCATCTCCATCACCGACGTCGACTTCGAGTACTCGTACGAGTACCTGGGCGTCAAGGAGCGCCTCGTGATCACGCCGCTGACGGACATCTGCTACATCACGCTCGCGCAGGCCCTCGGCATGTGCCTCGGCGGCGCGCCCGCGGGCCCCGCCGGCACGGGCAAGACGGAGACCACCAAGGACATGGGCAACACGCTCGGCAAGTACGTCGTGGTGTTCAACTGCTCGGACCAGTTCGACTTCCGGTACTGCGGCAAGATCTACAAGGGCCTCGCGCAGTCGGGCCTGTGGGGGTGCTTCGACGAGTTCAACCGCATCAACCTGGACGTGCTGTCGGTGTGCGCGCAGCAGGTGTTCTGCGTCCTGTCGGCCATCCGCGAGCGCAAGCGCGAGTTCCTGTTCACGGACGGGTGCACGGTCCCGCTGGACCCGCGCGTGGGGTACTTCATCACCATGAACCCCGGGTACGCCGGCCGCCAGGAGCTGCCGGAGAACCTCAAGTCGCTCTTCCGCGGCGTGACGATGATGGTGCCCAACCGGCAGATCATCATGAAGGTCAAGCTCGCGTCGTGCGGGTACCAGGAGAACGACATCCTCGCCAAGAAGTTCTTCGTCCTCTACGGGCTCTGCGAGCAGCAGCTCTCCAAGCAGCGCCACTACGACTTCGGCCTGCGCAACATCCTGTCGGTCCTGCGCACGGCGGGCGCGTCCAAGCGCACCAACCCGGACAAGTCGGAGGTGTACCTGATGATGCGCACGCTGCGCGACATGAACATGTCCAAGTTCGTGGCCGAGGACGTCCCGCTCTTCCTCTCGCTCATCGACGACCTGTTCCCGGGCCTCAAGGTCGAGCGCGCGACGTTCGCGGACGTCGAGAGCGCGCTGCGGCAGGAGGTGGACAAGAAGGGGCTGCAGCAGCACAAGGACTGGCTGAACAAGTGCATCCAGCTGTACGAGACGTACCTCGTGCGGCACGGCATCATGCTCGTCGGCCCCACGGGCGGCGGCAAGACGGCCATCTGCGAGTGCCTCGCGGGCGCGCTCACCACGCTCGGCCGCAAGCACCTGATCTGGAAGATGAACCCCAAGAGCATCACCGCGCCGCAGATGTTCGGCATGCTGGACAACGCCACGCAGGACTGGACCGACGGGATCTTCGCCGTGCTCTGGCGCAAGGCCGCGCGCGAGTCCAAGGCGCATAACACGTGGATCGTGCTCGACGGGCCCGTGGACGCCATCTGGATTGAGAACCTCAACACGGTGCTGGACGACAACAAGGTGCTGACGCTGGCCAACGGCGACCGCATCCTGATGACGCCGGAGATGAAGGCCATGTTCGAGCCGGAGAACCTCAACAACGCGTCCCCGGCGACGGTGTCGCGCGCGGGCATCATCTACGTGTCGGACACCGAGCTGGGGTGGAAGCCCGTCGTCACGTCGTGGCTGCAGCGCCGGAAGGCGGACCTGTCGCGCGGGCAGGAGTGCGAGCTGCTCGAGCCCATGTTCGAGAAGTTCGCCGAGCCGGTCCTGGAGCAGATGCGCATCGGGCACATCAAGAACGCCATGCAGAACCAGCCGGTGTGCATGATCACGTCGCTGCTCGACCTCCTCCGCGCCATCCTCGCGCCCTTCGTGTCGGACGGCGCGTTCTGCCCCGAGGACCACCTGGAGCGCCTCTTCCTGTACGCGCTGTGCTGGGCGGTGGGCGGCGTGGTGGACCTCAAGGGCCGCTCGCTGGTCGACGCCGAGCTGCGCAAGCACACGAAGAACATGCCGGAGCTCGAGGACGAGGAGGACACCATCTTCGAGTACATGGTGGACCCGGAGAGCACCAACTGGGCGCACTGGAAGGGCCAGGTGCACCAGTGGCAGTACCCCAAGGGCGTGGAGAAGCCCGAGTTCGCGTCGCTCGTCATCCCCACGCTCGACAGCGCGCGCCTCGAGCACCTCATCCGCATGTGCACCAGCGTGAACAAGCCCGTGCTGCTGGTGGGCGGCGCCGGCACGGCCAAGACCACGGTGATCAACAGCTTCATCGCGGGCCTCGACCCCGAGCACCACAGCTCGAAGATCGTCGCGTTCTCGTACCTCACGACGCCCGGCATCTTCCAGCGCGCCATCGAGGCCGGCCTGGAGAAGAACCCCGGGCGCATCTTCCGCCCGGCGGGCGGGAAGAAGCTGGCGGTGTTCATCGACGACATCTCGATGCCGCGCGTGAACGAGTGGGGCGACCAGATCACGAACGAGCTCACGCGGCAGCTCCTCGAGCAGCGCGGGTTCTACCAGCACGACAAGCCCATCGGGGACTTCAAGACCATCGACGACCACTGGTACTTCGCGGCGATGAACATCCCCGGCGGCGGCAAGAACGACGTGCCCAACCGCCTCAAGCGCCAGTTCCAGCTCGTGCACGTGCCGCTCCCGACCAAGGCCGTGATCCACAACATCTTTGGCACGCTGGTCGCGGGGCGCTTCGACCCGGAGTACTTCTCGCCCGAGGTGGTCGAGGAGGCCGGGAAGCTGGTGCCGATGACGATCGCGCTGTGGACGCAGGTGCAGGCCAAGATGCTGCCCACGCCCGCCAAGTTCCACTACCTGTTCAACATCCGCGAGCTCTCCAAGGTGTTCCAGGGCGTCATCCTCGCGAGCACCGACCGCTTCTCCAAGGCGGCCAAGGGCGGCACCTTCGGCGGCGGCGTCACCACGCCCGAGGGCTACCTCATCGGCCTGTGGATGCACGAGTGCCGCCGCGTCTTCATCGACAAGCTGGCCACCGCCGAGGACAAGCAGTGGACCGAGGAGCTCCTCGAGCAGCTCCTGCGCGACAACGTGTCGGAGGGCCTCGTGTCGCAGGTCGCGGACCCGCTGTTCTTCGTGGACTTTTTGCGCGAGCCCATCGAGGACCCGGAGACGGGCGAGGTGATCGACGAGTTCCCGTCGTACTACGAGGCGGTGGCGGGCGGCCTGGACGACATCCGGAGCCGCGTGGAGGCCAAGCAGCAGCAGTTCAACGAGAACTCGCGCGGGTCGAAGCTGGAGCTGGTGTACTTCAACGACGCGCTGCAGCACCTGATGCGCATCTCGCGCCTGCTCACGATGGACCGCGGGTCGGGCCTGCTCGTGGGCGTGGGCGGGTCGGGGAAGCAGTCGCTGTGCCGCATGGCGTCGTACATCAGCGGCGCGTACACGTTCCAGATCACCATCACCAAGACGTACAACATGACCAACCTGTTCGAGGACCTCAAGGCGCTGTACAAGATCGCGGGCCTCAAGGGGCAGAAGGTGTGCTTCCTGTTCACGGACAGCGAGGTCAAGGACGAGGCCTTCCTGGAGAGCATCAACCAGATCCTCATGACGGGCGAGGTCGGCGGGATGTTCCCCAAGGACGAGCAGCTGGCCATCATGGGCGACGTGCGCCCCGTGATGCGCAAGGCCGCGCCGCAGATCCTCGACACGCCGGACAACCTGTGGTCGTTCTTCATCAACCGCGTCCGCCAGAACCTGCACGTCATGCTGTGCTTCTCCCCCGTCGGCGAGAAGTTCAGCCGCCGCGCGCAGCAGTTCCCGGGCCTGATCAACGGGTGCACCATCGACTGGTTCATGCCGTGGCCCGAAGACGCGCTCGTGGCCGTGTCGCAGAAGTTCATTGGCGACTTCGACATGGCCTGCGAGGACGACGTCAAGGCGCACCTGCAGCAGATGATGGGCCACGTGCACATCTACGTGACCAAGGCGTGCGCCGAGTACTTCGAGCGCTTCCGCCGCCACGTGTACGTCACGCCCAAGTCGTACCTGGCCTTCATCAACGGGTACCAGGACCTCTACTCGCGCAAGCGCAACTTCGTGCAGGGCCTCGCGGACCAGATCAACGGCGGCCTGGCCAAGATGAACGAGGCGAAGGAGGACGTGAACAAGCTCAAGGCCGAGCTCGTGGTCATGAACCGCACCGTCGAGGTCAAGTCCGCCGAGGTCAAGCAGCTCCTCGCGCAGATCTCCGAGCAGACGGCCATCGCGGAGAAGGAGAAGCAGAAGGCGTCCTCGATCGCCGCCGTCGCCAACGCCAAGGCCGCGGAGATCGGCGTGCAGGAGGCCGAGGCCAACAAGGACCTCGCCGCGGCCGAGCCGGCGTTGCGCGAGGCCGAGGAGGCGGCCAAGTCGATCAAGGAGAAGGACATCAAGGCCGTGATGGGCATCCGCCCGTCGCCGCCGCCCCTGGTGAAGCGCGTGTTCGACTGCGTGCTGCTGCTCAAGCACCTCTACGTGCAGCCGCTGGCGTGGGAGACGGCCGAGGTCAAGTCGATGGACCTGGACGGGAAGGAGGGCAAGCTGACCACGGAGGTGCCCGTGCCGACGTGGGAGGAGGCCATCCGCCTGGACGCCGGGAAGCTGCCGTACGACATCTCGACCTTCCTCGAGAACGGCTACATGAACGACGAGGTCACGGAGCTGCTCTTCCCCTACACGCAGACGCCCGACTTCCACCCCGACATCGCCAAGAAGGCGTCCGGCGCGCTCATGGGCCTCTGCGCGTGGTCGAAGGCCATGGTCAAGTACCACAACGTGGCCAAGGTCGTGGAGCCCAAGCGCGAGGCGCTGCGCAGTGCGCAGATGGAGCTCAAGGCGGCGATGAAGGAGAAGAAGGCGGCGGACGACACGCTGGCGGAGGTGCAGGCGCAGGTGGACGCGCTGCAGGCCAAGTTCGACGACGCCATGCGCGAGAAGCAGGCGCTCGAGGACCAGGCGGCGGCGTGCAGCCGGAAGATGGACGCGGCGGCCAACCTGCTGCACGCGCTCGCGGGCGAGGAGACGCGCTGGAACCAGCAGAGCGCGGAGTTCGACGACCAGATCCGCCGCCTGACGGGCGACTGCGCGGTGGCGAGCGCCTTCGTGTCGTACCTGGGCCCGTTCAACAAGGAGTTCCGCGAGCTGCTGCTGCGGCGCGACTTCTACCAGGACTGCGTGGACCTGGCGGTGCCGGTGACGAAGGACCTGCGCGTGGCGCGCTTCCTGGTGGACGACTCGGAGATCGGCGAGTGGAACCTGCAGGGGCTGCCCACGGACGAGCTGTCGATCCAGAACGGCATCATGGTGACGCGCGCGGCGCGCTACCCGCTCATGGTGGACCCGCAGGGGCAGGCGCGCTCGTGGCTGGTGCGGCGCGAGGCCGACAACCGGCTGCAGGTGACGTCGCTGAACGACAAGTGGTTCCGCAACCACCTGGAGGAGTGCCTGTCCGAGGGGCGCCCCATGCTGATCGAGAACGTCGAGGAGGAGCTCGACCCGCTCCTGGACCCGGTGCTGGAGCGGCGCGTGGTGAAGAAGGGCCGGTCGATGATCATCCAGCTCGCGGACAAGGAGGTGGACTTCTCGCCGTCGTTCCGGCTGTACGTGACGACGCGGCTGCCGAACCCGCACTTCTCGCCCGAGCTGTCGGCCAAGGTGACGGTGGTGGACTTCACGGTGACGCTCGAGGGCCTGGAGGACCAGCTCCTGGGCAAGCTCATCCTGCGGGAGCGCTACGAGCTGGAGGAGCAGCGGCAGCAGCTGATGGCCGAGGCCAACTCGTACAAGCGCAAGATCAAGCAGCTGGAGGACGACCTGCTGTTCCGCCTGTCCAACTCCCAGGGCAACCTGCTGGACGACACGGAGCTGATCGACGTGCTGGCCAACACGAAGAAGGTGGCGCAGGACGTGACGGCCAAGCTGGCCACGGCGGAGGAGACGAACGACAAGATCACGGAGGCGTGCGAGGAGTTCCGCCCCGTGGCGCACCGCGCGGCGCTGATCTACTTCCTCATCGCGCAGTTCTCGACGGTCAACGTGATGTACCAGACCTCGCTCAAGCAGTTCGAGGAGCTGTACGACCAGTCGATCGAGCACAGCGAGAAGGCCGCGATGCCCAGCAAGCGCATCCAGAACATCATCGACTTCATGACGTACCACATCTACATCTACATCCAGCGCGGGCTGTTCGAGCGCCACAAGCTCACCTTCGCGCTGATGCTGACGAACAAGATCCTCGTGTCGGCGGGCGCGGTCAAGCACCGCGACGTGGACATCTTCATCAAGGGCGGCGGCGCGCTCGACATCAACGCCGTGCGCAAGAAGCCCAAGGAGTGGATCCCGGACAGCGTGTGGCTCAACGTGGTCGCGCTCTCGGGCATGGAGGCCTTCTCGGACATCCAGGACCGCGTGGCGGGCAACGACAACCTGTGGAAGGCGTGGTACGACCTCGAGGCGCCCGAGGCGGAGCGCATCCCCGTGTACGAGGACCACCTCACGCGGTTCGAGCGCATGTGCATCGTCAAGGCGTTCCGCGAGGACCGCACGCTGATCGCGGCCGACGAGTACATCAGCGACGGCCTGGGCAAGCGCTTCGTGGAGTCGGTCCCGCTCAGCATGGAGAAGGCGTGGACGGAGAGCCACCCGCGGTGCCCGCTGATCTGCCTGCTGTCGCGCGGCGCGGACCCGACCAAGCTGATCGAGGACCTGGCCAAGAAGAAGAAGAAGAAGATCCTCGGCGTGAGCATGGGGCAGGGGCAGGAGGTGATCGCGCGGTCGTACATGAAGCAGGCCAAGGAGGAGGGCCACTGGGTGCTCCTGCAGAACACGCACCTCGGGCTGTCGTACCTGACCGAGGTGGAGCAGAACCTGACCAAGGACGAGCTGCACCCGGAGTTCCGCCTGTGGATCACCGCGGAGCCGCACCCGCAGTTCCCCATCGGGCTCCTGCAGATCGGGATCAAGATCACCAACGAGGCGCCCGTGGGCATGAAGGCCGGCCTGCGCAGCTCGTACGCGTGGGTCAACCAGGACATGCTCGACGCGGTGCCGCGCGCCGAGTGGCGGCAGCTGCTGTTCGTCATGTGCTTCCTGCACAGCATCACGCAGGAGCGCCGCAAGTTCGGGTCGATCGGGTGGAACATCCCGTACGAGTTCAACCAGTCGGACCTGTCGGCGTGCGTGCAGTTCCTGCAGAACCACCTCATGGAGATGGACGCGAAGAAGGCGCAGCAGCCGACGTGGGAGACGGTCCGGTACATGATCAGCGTCATCATGTACGGCGGCCGCATCACCGACGACTTCGACCAGCTCCTCATGAACACCTACGCCGAGAAGTACTTCCACACGGGCGTCCTGCAGCCGGGCTACGAGCTCTTCAAGGACCCCAAGTCGGGCTTCCAGTACTTCATCCCCGAGGGCCTCGAGGTGGAGCAGTACCGCCAGTACATCGAGAACCTCCCCTCGCAGGACTCCCCGGAGATCTTTGGCCTGCACACCAACGCGGACCTCACCTTCCGCAGCCTCCAGGTGCAGGACGTGGTCCGCGTCATCATCGACACGCAGCCCAAGTCCGGCGGCGGCTCCAGCGGCATGTCGCGCGAGGAGCAGGTCGACCAGATCGCCGCCGACCTGCTCTCCAAGACGCCCTCCATGTTCGAGCCCGAGGAGGTCCGCGAGCGCCTGCGCAAGCTCCCCGGCGGGCCCACGCAGCCGCTCACGGTGCACCTGCGGCAGGAGGTGGACCGCCTCAACACGGTGCTGTCCATCACGCGCCGCACGCTGCGCAACCTGCGCCTGGCCATCGCGGGGACCATCATCCTCACGCCCGACCTCCAGGACGCGCTCTCCGCGCTGTTCAACGCGCGCATCCCGCAGCAGTGGCTGGCCAAGTCGTGGGAGGCGGCCACGCTGGGCAACTGGTTCGGCGGGCTGGTGGCGCGGTACGAGCAGCTGTACAAGTGGCTGCACCACGGCCGCCCGCGCGCGTTCTGGCTGACGGGCTTCTTCAACCCGCAGGGCTTCCTCACGGCGATGAAGCAGGAGGTCAACCGCAAGCACGCCAACGACAAGTGGGCGCTGGACGACGTCATCATGACGTCCGAGGTGACGCACCCGCCCAAGGAGTTCGAGACGCTCAAGGACGCGCCGAGCGAGGGCGTGTACGTGTGGGGCCTGTACCTGGACGGGTGCGCGTGGTCGGGCCGCGAGAACAAGCTGGTCGACTCGGAGCCCAAGAAGCTCTTCCACCCGCTGCCCATCCTCTACGTCACGGGCTGCCTCGCGCGCGACAAGAGCAAGGAGAAGTCCTACTCGTGCCCGTGCTACCGCGTCAAGGCGCGCAAGGACATCAACTACGTGTGCTCCTTCGACCTCAAGACGGAGGAGCCCAGCAGCAAGTGGGTCATGCGCGGCGTCGCGCTCCTGTGCTCCATCGACTAGACGGACGCGCGCACGCAGCGAGGGGGGCACGCACGCCGCGCGCCCACACCCTGCACGAATACCCCCTCTTTTCTCGTAACTGACGTCACTGACAGCGACCGCGTGACCGCCGCCTAGCAGCGGGCACCGCCTAGCGGCGCTGCACACCGCCAGTGCAGCGTCGACCGCCCCAGGCGGCACGTGGGTAGTAGTAGTAGGAGTCGACGTGAACTGTTGTGATGCACACCAAACCAACGTGTTGCGTGGACCAGCACTTCGGCGCGTCGGCTGGCGGGCGTCGTCCAGTACTCGCGCGGCTCGCCGCGTTGTTGCTGACGACGCCCGCCACTCACTCTAACTGATTGCAGGTCAGAGCCTTCCCTTGGCACATGATGGCACGCTCACATGGCATTTCGCGCGAGTACTCCTAGCACGCTGCCGCCTTGATCAGGACGATAGCACACCCGCATTTCGTTTCGTGCGCGGGTGGTCAATTACTACTCTGTGTCACGGGCCCGGAGCACCTCCGCACCGCCCGACCTGCGCAACGTGCATGATGCGAGCTCGATGCGATCGCGCCGTGCGAGGCTGGCGGTCGCGCACCCCCCTGGTCCCCGGGACCGCGCTCAGGGGGACAGTCCGACTCGGGTCGCGCCCGCCCCTAGCGCGGGCATCATGGCCATCCTCTCGCGCGTGTGTGCTCGACTATAGCCAGGCATCCGTCTCGAACAGGCGCGCGCGCTTCGTGCGACCCCACGACGTCGCTGCGCGACCAACTCCGTACTCGAGACGCCGCGGGGGCCCTCGACGACGGCCCTGATCGCGCGCGCTTGCCTCGACGGGGGGCATTGTGCCCCATACCGCGGGCAAGGTCGCCTCAACGCACCTGGCGGGGACGGCGCGGCGGTTCCCGGCCTGCGGTGACGAGTTCACTGGCGGTGCGCTCCCTCAAGTCCCTCTCCGGCTTCTCGCCGCGTCACCGCGCGTCGACGGGCCGCTCGTCACCGCTCGAGCACGTAGGCCTGCTGTACAACGCTGCCTGTGCCCCGGGCTGGCAGCCGCCGCGCCTCTTGCAAGCCTCAGCCTGCTTTGGTGCCGCGGGTTCACAAATCCCGCAACCGCCGGAAGTGCTGACCGCCGCGTGGGACGTGTCGATGGCGATCGAGCGCACAGGTTTTTTTTCGTACTTCTGTCGGCGACGCGCCCGAGCACCTGGCCGCCCAAATGCCGTCTGCTGCGCCTCGCGCGGGGCCTGACGAGGCGGGGACGAGGCGGCCCCGCCGGTCCGAGAAGCATATCTGAGTTCGCGGAGATGCAGCCCATGCCCGCGAAGTGATGCTCCCTGCACGGGGCAATCTGCGAGGATTCCTTGGGGCCCTCTGGGGCCGGGAATCAGCCCGCTGGCGCCGCTTTGTCGACCCGAAACCTCGCGACGGCGTCCCACACCTTCTCGAGACGTCGCTCCGTTGCGCGCAGGAAGTAACTCGGTCTCGTCGGCACGCACGGCGCGGTCCTTGGTGAGCTGAGGGGGCCCGGGCGGCCTGGTCGGTCCCCGGCAGCGGGAAGCCCGTCGCGCGGCCGCGATGGACAACCTCGGTGACGTTTGCTTCTGGCCGGACGAAGATATCCTGGAAAACCTCGGCGACATCGGCGATCCAGGTGCGCCCCACAGCCCTGGCACTGCGGCAGCGCCCGAGGCGCGCTCGGAGGGCCCGCGCCCGCCAGATCGCGCCGCCGCCTCGACCAGGTCCCTCTCTCGGCGGATCTCGCCTCTCGCGTCCGGCGACCCCGCGCTCCACCCGCCCGTGTCCCCACCTGCTGCAGAGCTGCTGGGAGGCCTCGGGGGCGACGAGTTCGCGGGGCTGCTGGACGAGTACTGCGGCGGCGGCGCCCTGGATCACACCGGCACCTCCCACCAGCAGCAGCATGCGCCGCAGGCTCCCGCGCACCCGCCCACGGGGGCGCCGCGGCACCACCTGACGCACGGGCCACCGCCTGCGGCGCGGCAGCACGCGCCGCAGCACGCCCCGCCCGCCGCGCTGCGCGTCGACACGTCCATGGTGCGCCGCCCGCCTGGCCTGCCGCGCGCCGGCCAGCGCACCGGTCGGGCCCGCCGGGCACGCCGCAACGCGCCACCACGCTCCCTCCCCCGCGACGCAGGCCCAGCAGCGGCCGTCTCCGAGCGGGTCCGCGCGGGACCTGCGCGTGCACGTGCCGCCGCGGAGTCCCGGCGCGTCCTCGCTGGGCGGGTCGGAGCGGCGGCACTCGGCGGCCGAGCGCCCCGACACGCCCATCCTGCACTCGCACGGGACGCGGCAGCGGGCGCAGGTGCAGGCGATGCTGGGGATCGACGACGTCGAGGTGCAGGAGCTGCAGGCGAAGCCGCACCCGGCCAAGTCGCGGCTGCGGTGGACGCCCGAGCTGCACGAGCTGTTTGTCAAGGCCTGCGCGGAGCTCGGGGGCGCCGCCAAGGCCACGCCCAAGGGCATCCTGCAGCGCATGGGCGTCGACGGCCTCACGATCTTCCACATCAAGTCGCACCTGCAGAAGTTCCGCCTCTCGAGCCGCCCGTCCTCGAGTGCGTCCCCCGCCGCACACAGAGAGACTCGACGCCAGCACGCTCGAGCCGACGCGCAGCGCGACGCGCTGACCGTCCGCACCGGGAGCGCGGGAGCCCACGTGCCGCGCACCCCCTGTGTTCCTCGCAGGTGGCCGCTCCGGGGCCGCGCAGTCGGGCGGCAGTTCCCGCAAGCGTCCGCGCGACACCTCGGCGGCGGAGAACGCCACCCAGGAGCCGTCGCAGCAGGTGAGGCCCGCGCCGGACGCCGCCGCCGCGTGCATGGCCGTGCGGCAGGCCGCGGGGCGCACGTGCATCTCGCGCCGCGGTCGCGACCCGTCGCACTGCGCCGCCCTGCAGGTGCTGCGGGAACGGGAGGCGAGCGGGCGCGGAGGCGAGGCGCAGGCCGGCGCGGCGGCGCCGATGCACGACGCGGCGATCAAGAAGACCGCGGAGCTGCAGGGCGCCAGTCCGACGATGAGCACGTCCCACGTGAGACACCCTCCCCGTACAAGTCGCATGCAGGGACTGTGCGTGCCGGGCCGCGCGCGACCGCGTCGACGGGCGCGAGACACGCATGCTCACTCTTCTGTCGTCGATGCAGGATGCGGTGCCGTTCTTGCGCCCGCCCGGGCAGGAATCTGCGCGCCGCCCGCCCGCGCACGATCCACGGCAGGGTGCGGCGCACGAGCAGCCGGCGGAACCCCAGCAGCGGAGGGAGGCAGCCGGACAGCCCGGGCCAGCACCCCACGCGCGTGTCCGCACTCCGACGGAGGACCAAGCCGGCCCTTCTGGCCACCAGGTGCGAGCTGCGCCTGCTGCCACTACGCCGCTTGCTTGCTTGCTTGCTCGCTCGCGGCGGGGATGTTGTCTGGCGGCTCCGTCAAGCGGCGTTTTTCTCCCGTGTCCGAGCGTGCAGGACGCGCCGCGGTCGGCGCACGGGTCCCGGGAGCCCCTGGCGGAAGCGGCCAGCGTGGCAGAGCGCCAGGGCACCGCTGCGCCCCCCGGCGACCTCCTCGGTGCGGCGCTGGGCACGCAGCGGCTGCTGTCGAAGCAGCTGTCGGACCTGCAGGGGCACATCAAGCAGACGATGACTGCTGCAGACACCGGCATGCAGGCCGCGCAGCCGGACCTGTCGCACGCGCACGCCGACCCCGCCACCAAGGCACAGCACATCGCCAACCTCGAGCAGGCTCTGCGTCGCCAGTACGAGCTCCAGAAGAAGCTGCACCAGCAGCTCCAGCTGCAGAAGCACTTGCAGCACAACATCGAGGCCAACTCCAAGCTCATCACGCAGCTGATCCAGATGGCGAGAGGCACGGAAGGCGAACAGCCCGGTGTCGATATCGACGCCCTGCTCGCATCGGCTGGTGCGTTCGGCGGCGAGATGACACGAGCTCGGCCCTGGACTGGCTTCGGCTTGCCGCTCTGGGTGTGCCGTGTCTCACCGCCGACCAGCGCCCCCGCCCGTGCAGGTATTGACAACCAGGGAGTGCAGGACGCCACGCTGGCGATCGCGCACTCGACGGCGGACAGGAAGGACCCGCTCGCGCCGCAGCAAGGACAGACAGCGCAACCACCAGTGGACGGCTGAGGCTCCTGGCTCGCGCTCGAACGGGCCGATCGATGCAGTGTGTGAGCGACACCGCTACGTCACGAGTCTCGCGCATGGTTTCAGGGTCACACGGCCACGAAGGTGGCGTCAGCCGGCGGGTGCTGCCAGCGGTCTGCTGCCACACCCGCTCAACGCGCTCGAGCGCACACCGACGTCTGTCGCTTCACGAGGCAACGATGTCGGGGACCAGCGACCAGTCCTTGGACTTCCTCAGCACGACCTCGGGCGCCTGCACGTGGAAAGAGCTACGAACGCACACCCGTCTGCACATGATGCGGCGTCTCGGTGGGCGCGAGCGAGATCGAGGACGCTCTGCAGTCACCTTGATGACGTTGGTCTTGGTCATGCCGAGCTCCACCTCGATCTTGCACTCCCTGCGGAAACGTGGAAACGAAGCCGTCCTTGCAAGGATGAGGTTCGAGCGGCCTCCCTCGCCGCACGCAGCCCCTCGCATCCTGCCAAGTCCGACCCAGGCGTCGCCATCACGCGCACGCACCTGTCGCAGAAGAGACTGGACTCGGTGAAGACGTGCTGGCAGGACGGTGGCTCCACGAACATGGTGGCATACGGCTTGGTGCACGTGACGGTCTCCGTCGCGCTGTCGACCTCGCAGTCGCCGCCCCGGAACGTGATGACCATCGACTTGCCCTGCGGTGACCAGGCCGTCGCGAACGGAGGGGCGTTGCGGCTCTGCGCCGCGTTGGTTCGTCCTGCACAGGTACACCCTGCACGGCGCGTTGTTGAGGGCGCCTCACCGTGCACTCTGCGTACGTCTTGTCCCCCTTGATGACCTGGTAGTCGCAGATCCTGCAGTGCGACGCAGCGAGGGCGCGCGTGTGGCGACGCGGACACCATCATGCGGGGACTTGCCACGACATCGTTGCCATGAATGCACTCGCTCCGGGAGGCGTTCGTGGCGGAGCAACTCACTTGTTGTCGAGCTGCAGGTAGGCCGCGTACAGGTCGTCCACGTCGCTCTTCTTGCTCTTGATCTGCGCGGAACCACGGGGGGCGGAGAGGCGCGGGCAGTCACAACCCGTTTCGTCGCTCGCAGCTGACGTGGCGCGCGATCGAAGCACCCGCCGGAACGCAGGTGCGCGCCATACGATGCGGCGCCGCGGTCGCCGCACCTGGATCTCGTCCTTCAGCGGGCCCAGGACGGAGCTCACAACGGCGGCGACGTCAATCTCTGGAAACTTGCCGAGGATGTCGCCGCTGCCCCCGAGCAGGCCGAGCTGGGGGAACGAGTAGAGCGACGCGAGGCCGTCGGTCAGCGCGGACGTGATCGCTCCTGCATCCACGCGGGGGGCCGACGGCCCGAGCACAGGTCAGGAGCATGACTGGCTGCTCGGGGGGCGGGACCTGGGCGATGCACGCCGACGCGCGTGGGACCCGTGCGACCGATGCGCGTGGGGCCCTGCGCGGGCGTTTCGCGCTGCCCGGCGGCGCGATCATCGCTCCCGAGCACGGTTTTCAGTCCCCAAGGTGTAGCACGGATTCCCGGGCGCGCAGACGGTCGCGTGGCGGGCGGCGCGGAGCAGCGAGCGGCGGGAACGCACCGAGGTCGAAGCCACCGAGGCCCTGCGCGGCAGCACCGCCCGCGCTCATCGCGAGGAGTAGGAGCGAGGAGAGGCCCACGAGACGCATGGTGGGACGTGGCGATGGCGATGCGGCGCTGCTGGTGCGGATGTGAATGCCGGCGTCGCTATGATGACGCAGCGCTGAGACGAAGTGCCAGTGGCGCCGTGCGTCCGCGCTGCATGGCGTGCGGCGGGGCCCGGCGCCGGGCTGACAGGCGGTCGACGTCCCCGAGGGTGGGTCTCATGGCCGCGCCGGCGGGCCGCTCGAAGCCACGGGTTGGCGGTTCACATGCCCTGTAGCACAAGCTTGCCGAGAGCGATGCTGAGGAACGTCGCGGAGGCGTACCTGCGATGCACGGCCCCGGGAACGACGTGGTAGGGGGTTGGGGGGGTGTGAGGGCGACGCGACGCAGCGATGGGGGTGCCGTCGGTGCGTGTGATGGATGAAGGTTGCGCGTTCGTACCCGAGGGTGCCTACGAGCAGGCCTGGGACCACGAGGCTGCCCCAGCTCTTGGACGCGGCCATGCCTGCCGCAGTGGTGGGCCCGCCCACGCACGCATTGGAGCTGATCAGCAGACCCTGCGAGGCACGCGTGCGGTGCGGCGTGGTCGTCGTGGTGCGCTGCGAGGGCGGGGGAGGGCGCAGGCCCCGCGTGTGTCGGGCGCGGGCCTCACCTTGGTCTCGAACCCAAGGAGTTTCCCAGCGCCCAGAATGGTGGCCAGGTGGATGACGATCTGCAGCACGCAGAACGCGAACAGCATCGGCGCTGTCGCTACGACGGATTTGACGCTGCCGGCCGCGCCGATCGCCACGAAGAAGTACTGCAGGGGGTGTGATGGGTGAGGGGCTGTCCAATGTGAGTCGCGGGCTCCGGAGTCCGGCCGCGGCGCTCCTGCGAAGTCCGCAGGGTGCTGCAGGCGGGCAGGCGTCGGCGAGTGCGACTGCGGCGGAGGCGTTCGCCCCCGCGGAGGTGTTTGTTTGGTTGGGTGCGCACCTGCATGAGGATGGCAGCGAGGGCCTCCCCGGACGCCACGAGCGGGGCCAGCTTCGACGGGAACAGCGTGGCGAGGGCCACCGCGATCGCCGTGACGACGGGGATGCTCATCCCCGCCCAGCCGAGCTTGGTGCAGATGGCTGTGCCCGCGTAGCACAGCAGCGCGGCCACCGCGATGGCCTGCCCGCCGCGCAGGGGGTCGAACGAGCCCTTGATCTCGCTGTCGTCGCCCGCGCCCGCCGCCCCCGCGCCGCCGCCCTCGGCGGGGATGTTCCTCGCCAGCCAGTACAGCTGCACACACACGCGCACGGGCACGCGACGCCGCTCGCCCACACCGCGGCGCGTCGACCGGCGGGCGCCCGCTGCGGCACGACCGCGTCACGGGGGCTCCGCGGGCCCCCTCGGACGCGCTCGCGGGCGGTGTGGTGTTGTGGGGTGGGGTTTACGCACCGTGCTGAAGTAGATGGCGCACACCAGGTTGTCGGCGGCGAGGCCCGCGGTGAGCGCGATGGGCGACATCTTCAACGCCCCTGCGCTGGGGGTCGCCCGAGCGAGGGGGCTCAGGCGGCGCGGCGTAGCCAGACACGCGTTGGGCGCGGAGCACCTCGCGGCCTCGTCGGGCGCAGCGGTTCGCGCGAGGGGGGGAGGTTCGTCCCACCTGCGACGCTCACGTAGTTCACGGCGCCCCCGATGTGGCGCGCGCACAACGCCGCGGCGACCTTCCACCCGTCCGCGCCCAGCTCCGGCTGCGGAAACACGTGGAAGGCCACCACCGTCCCGACGGCCGTGCCGATCGCACCTGCGCAACGCCGGAGGACAGAGGTCGGAGGGCGTGGAACCGCCGTTGGCAGTCCCGGCTGGCCGCGGTGGCCGCGCGGCGCCCCTGCATGCAGGGCACGCCCTACGCGGTGTTCGGCGCCATCTGCGCGCCGGTCCTCACCTATGACGAACGCAATGAGGAGCTTGCCGGTGTCGCGAATGACTCGCTTGAGGTCGGCCGCGAACAGCAGCAGCGGCACCGCCAGCGGGAGGAGGTACTTGTTGATGACCGCGTACGCTGCGGGCGGGCGGGGGGCGGCGGACGGTCGCGATCGGGGGCGCGCGCGGCGCAGAGGGCCGAGGGTCGGGGGCGCCTGGCCGCCGCGCCCGCGGGACGGCGCGGCGGGGCCTCACCGGGAGCCTCGAAGGGGATGACGCCGGCGTTGGAGAGCGCGAGCCCCGCGATGGTCGCCACGAGCGCCCCCGACAGAGACTTGCCCCAGGACGTGTTCTTCTCCGCCCAGATGCCGAACGCCCCGGCGGCCGTCACCGCCGCCCACACGCCCCACGGGTCCGAGGCGGGGATGAGCGGAGCCCCTGCGACGGCCGCGTGCGTCCGCCCACGCGCCGCACAGCGCTCCTGCGCACCGCGCAGCGGCCCTCTGGGTCCCCAATATGCCGAATCGCCCCCGCCGCCCGCTCCCGCCCCGCTCTGCTGCGGCGCCCGGGGCTGGTGGTTGATGCCGAGGCGGGCGGGCAGCGCCTGGCCGGAACGCACCCGCGGGCGGGCCACACCCGCGCACGGAAGCCGCGCGACCGGCGTGTTCATGGCGCCGTGCGCAGTCCGGGCGCGCTCGCGGTCGTAGCACCGGTCGGCGGCGGCGCGTCCGCGGGGTGCACCGCGCGCTGCTGCCTCTGTGGCCCGGTGCCGCTGGCTGGTGCGCCGCAGGGGCGCCAGGCGAGCCCGACGGGGAGCGGACGTGCCGCGAGAGTGCGTCGATGGCGGTTCGACGGCGCCGCATCGGGGCCGGGCCGAGAAACGCGGCCAGTACGTGTGTCACAGCTCATACGTCGTCCTCGTCACTGACGGTCAGCCGGTGCCGCCGCGCCTCCATGGGGCCGGGCGCGCGGGTCGCCGCGCAATTCCAACGCACAAAGCAACATCTCGTGAGACAAGCATACACATCAGGTGCGCACCCACCCACCCCGCCGCGCTCGATCTCTCGCCGAGGCGCTTCGACCGCCGCACCCCGTCGCGGCTCGGGCGCACCTGCGACGCGCGCCACCCTCGATTGCGATCGGAGTCGTGCGCCCTCGCGCGGCCTTTGAGCGCCGTGCGCCCCTGCGCCGGCCGGAACGCCGCGAGGTTGCAACTGCCAGCGTGGGCGAGACGTCCGCGGCGGCGGAGCCCGCGCACGAGCGCGGCCGTCCGGTCCACGCGCATGCTTTGCGTCCGCCTGCGAGCAAAATTGCCACCGCTCGACAGGATAGTGCGCGGTCTCGGCGACGCGCCGCAGCTGTTGAGCATGCCGCAGTGGTTAGCCACCGGCGCGCGGGCCGCCCGCCCGGGTAGCGGATGCACCCTCCGTCGTCCCGCACCCCCGCGCGCGTTCGAAGCCGGCGAGCGCGGTGCACGCGGCGAACTTGTCCGTTGCACGCGAGGAAGCCGTTGCCTCCCCGTTGGCATTTCAAGGCGGGGGCGCGCGGCCGCGGCGACCCGGACGCCGCTCCCCCGCGCCGGCCGCCCGCGCCGCAGATGTCTGCGTTGGCCGCGAGGCGCCCCCCCGAGGGGTTCCGTCGCGTGGTGTGTGCGCGGCGGGCGTGGGAGGGAACCAACCACCGGGGCCGTGCAGGGTCCTCGTTTCCGGCCGTTCCCGGGGCCTTTCGGGCTCACCCGCGCGTCCTTTCCCGTTTCCGTGCCTGCCGCAGGATCTACCGGCTCTCGTTGGCCCCGTAGACCCCCACTCGGTTCGGTTCCGGCGCCTCGCTTCTGTTTTGGTGCGGCAAGGCGGGACCATGCAGCACACCGCGAACAAGGAACAGGCCTACGTGGCCATGTTCGACCGTCGCATGACCGACCCGGACGACATCCTGGACCGCGCGATGAAGGAGGGCCACCTGTCGGCCAAGGCGATCCCGGCCCACCCCAAGTGGGACCTAGGCAT